CCCCCCGGGGAAAAAGAGGGGGGGGGGGGAGGGCCACCCCGCGGGGGCCGGGGGGGACCACCCCCCCCCCAAGGAAAACCAATTCCCCCCCCCCCCCCCCCCTGGAAGGGGAACACCCCCCTCCTCCTTTAAAAAATTCCCCCTTGGATTTCTTTAAAAAAAAAATTTTGGGTTTTTTTTTGGAAAACAAAAGGGAGGGGGTGGCCGGGAGGGGGCGCCAAGAGGCCGGAAAACAGACGGACGCCGACTTCGGGTGCTGGAGCCGGAGGAGAAGCTACCACTGGAGAGGACGGACGTGGCGCCGAAGGACGAGAGGCCGAAGGAGCAGAGGCCGAAGGACGGCGAGAAGACCAAGGGGAACACCGGGAGACGTGATGGGCCGGCCACAGGAGCGAAGGGCGACGGGCGACGGAGGCGACGGGCGGAGGTCCGGCGAAGTACGGCGAACCGACCGGAGAGACGAAGACGGTACCTGCGAACGGGGGACAGACGCTGGAGTCTGGGGAGGGGGGAGAGGAGAAGCGTCGAAGGGACGGGGCGGGATGTCCCGGGCAGAGGAAACGGGACAGAAGGAGCAGGGGCCCAGACGTGCATGAAGCACAACGGAGGGCCTTGTTGTGTGGCCTGACTGCCCTTGAGGCAGGGCCAGTTTGGACGATTATACGTGATAATCTCACGTCTACTAATTAGCAGGAGTAACTTCGGCGTAGTACGAATAGGTGGACTCACCGGCAACGATCACACGCTTCGTCAACACCAACCGCGATCCAACGACCAGGCTCGGACTTCATCTTCTCCCACAAGTACTCTTCTTCCCGCAGTGATCTCTTCACCCGTTTGGGCGAAGGCTCCCCTCTGGGAGAAGGGGGGGGAGCAGCGACGGGGGCGGCGGGAGCAGGACCGGCGGCGGGAGCAGGACCGGCGACGGCAGCAGGAGCGATGGCGGCGGCAGCAGCGGCGGCAGCGGCGATGGCGTTGGGGGGGGGGAGAACCCCGGAAGAGGAAGAAGAAGAGGAAGAAGAAGAAGAGGAAGAAGAAGAAGAGGAGAGGGAACGGCGTCGTTTCTGGCCCACAATTTGAGCAGGGGGAGGGGCAGGAGCGGCTGCGAGTTAGCAATGTCTTGGAGAGCTAAAGAACAGATAAACAAGGCCAAGTTCGGCGAAGGTGTGAGAGGTTGGACGAAGAACTCACGCTCAGGACTATCTACGTTGTTGTCCTCTACACTAACCGCCACCATATCATCATCCGAGTGTTCCTCTAACTCGGTTTCACCCTCCGACACGATTCTATCATCCTCATCACTATAATCACCCCCTTTTCCTTCGAAGTCTGACTGATCGTCCGACTCCGAACCACTGAGCGACTCCTGGTCGGAGGAGGACGGAGACTCACCAGGACGAAAGGCGGGCGTCCTGCGGCGAGGGCTGGCGGCAGGAGGGGAAGCAGAGCGAGAACCAGGAGGAGGAGAAGCAGAGGGAGAACCAGCGGGAGGACCGACGGGAGGAGAAGCGGAGCGAGGAGGCGGGACATCGCCAGACGGCTCCCCCAAAGAGAGGGTGCCGAGGCCGAGGGAGGAGACTTGGCGAGATCTGTCGCCGAAGGAAACTGAACATCAGCCAAGTCCGGCGAAGTAAGGTAGGTGTCGAGGAATAACTCACGAGCAGACGACACCATACCACCAAAGTTCCTCATGGCGGCGAAAGGGTTAGAGGTGGGAGTAGGAGGGGCCATGACGTTAAAAATACTTAAAGAAATAAAAGATGATTCAAGGTAACAAATCTGTTTTCTAGGTAAGAGAGATAGAAAGTTTTGAAAGCAGATGGGAAAAAGAGAGAAGCTCGACGAACTGCTCAGTATTTAGTATAATCAAACCTAAACCCTCGTCGTCAACATGCGGCAAACTTCGCGTTTCATCAACAAAAGGCATCGCAGGGACGATCAAAATTCCCACGCTATAGTGTCTCATCTCAATATAAGCGAGGGTTACTTCGACAAACAACGGTGTTGTTCGGCTGCCATTCAGGAAGCGTGTCTCACCTACAAAAGACACAGGGCTTCTTACGGCAAACCTCGACGAAGTTAGGGGAGTCTCATTGTCGGGTTTTGGAGTGAAAGGAGGCCCAACTACGAAGTGCGGCGCAAAGAGCAGAAGGGTGAAAGATGGTCATGGGGAGGGAGAGAATGGGGGTACTACGCTGCTAAGTTCTCTTGACACGACAGAGGTGTAATCGCTCACGAGGACGTTCGCGGCTAAAGAAGGGGGCGACTGTCACGAACTACGTCGTGACACCTCGATTATTCCACCAACAATGACCCTCCTTTGACCATCAAAACCCCCATCACGTCTTAACCTCTTTACTCTACACGTAACTCAGGACTTCTGAGACCAAGTACGGCGAAGTTAGACGGAGTTAGGCTAGGTAGGGACAATGGGAGCAGAAGTGCGGCGATGTTAGGCGGAGTTAGTCTAAGTAGGGACAATGGGAGCAGAAGTACGGCGAAGTTAGACGGAGTTAGGCTAAGTAGGGACAATGGGAGCAGAAGTGCGGCGAAGTTAGACGGAGTTAGGCTAAGTAGGGACAATGGGAGCAGAAGTGCGGCGATGTTAGGCGGAGTTAGTCGAAGGAGGAAGAGGATGGCCGAGGGCTCGGGGAAGTTGGACGAAGTGCGTTGAAGTACGTCAAAGCGCGAGAGGGTTGGATGAACGTCTAGGAGGAGTAGATAATATTAGCTGAGAAGATCGCTGAAGTTCTTCAGCGATCCTTGATTGTTGTCAGTAGTGAAAGACAGATAGAGATAGCTATAAATCAAGATACATCGCCATCAGTAGAACAAAACCCTAGTTAGAGTAACTACGCCGAAGTACGCCGTAGTTACACCCCTTTCGACGTCTGCGCCCTCCTGGTTGGGTGAGACATCGACTCAGAGCGTGAAGTTAGCCGAGGTTCGTCGACCGTCGGTCTATTAAGAAATAGTTGTTCGACGGCCGTGACATATTTGGATATTGGTTGGGGAGATCCTTGATGTAACCATACTGGAAACACAGCCACTTATTTGCAGTTTGGGACAAGTTTGATAGCATCTTATGGAACTCTGCATGTCTGTTACGACCTGGCGGACCAGCACCAGGCCATACACTGGCCATGCATGTGGCATCTTAAGCCACTGCGCTAAAAGGCACAATATCGCAATCAGCCCTATGATTGCGATCCGGTTATAACCTGATGTCACGACTGAGGTTGCAGGGTCGTGACAATGTCTCTGGTTATGTAATGGGATGTGTGTCATGAATGGCACGAATAGATCATGACTTGTCATAATCACAAGCTCAGACCTCCACTCTCATATCTTCCTCTGCTCTCAAGTGTATCAGGCATCAACTCCAAGTGTATCTCTCCTGTGCTCTCATGCCTAGCAGGCATAAGCTCCAAGTACTTCTCTGCTTTCTCTGTCCTCTGTTCTGATGTGTTGTAAGGCATAATCTCTCAGTCTCTTGTTCTCACAGCCCTTCTATGTTCTGCACAGTTCCTCATGGACCACCTTCCACAAAGTCATTGACTTCCGGCGCATCACATAGGATATCATAGTAGGACGTAGGTCAACGCAGATATGGCATTGTAGGATATCAGTGGTAATTGGGGGGATGCATGGCAATGCATACAGGACAGTGCAGGACGGTTCAGGACGCTCATAATACGCAGGTCTGCATGAGCCTGTTGGAAAAGGCTGCTTTTACTATTTAAACCCTATCTACTTGTGGGTATCAAAAAAAATGCAACCCCAAAGATTGGGCGCATGAATGTTGGATGATTTTCCACCTGGTATAGCCTGTACACCTCCTCTGGTACACTTGTATTCCAATATGCAACTATTATCATCAATATGAGGCAGCTGTCAGATACAGAGAGAGGAGAGATATTGGGAAGGCATCGAAGCGGTCAATCATACAGCAAAATTGCGAAGGAAATGAAGGTCAACCAGTCAACCGTTTCTCGAGCACTTGCTTGCTTCAAAATGACTGGAAGCGTCTCACGACAGGAAGGCAGTGGTGGGCCTACCATGGTCTCTAAGAAAGGTGAAGCCAGTATCTTGCGAGAAATATGTCAAGGTCTCAATCAGCGGTGGGGAAGTTATGGAGAAATTATTGATTGAGAGGGAACAAGTGTGAGTAGTCAGACGGTTAAACAAGTTGCGGAGCAAAATGGATATCACAAACAAGTGAAGGAGAAGAAGCCTCAGCTTCCACCAGCAACTGTGGAGCAGAGGAAAGAGTGGGCTGAGGACAACAAGGAAAGAGATTGGAAATGTGAGATCTGGACAGACGAGACTACGGTGGAGAGTGGGACTCCTCACAGATGTGATTGAACAATTTGTTGACCACATGAAGAATTCAATCCAAAGCATTTCACTGTCAATTTTCACGGTACAAGAGTTGTTGTCCATGTTTGGGGAGCAATCACGTTTGACCACAAACGGCCGTTATTTTGTAAACCTGTGGAGATAGTGAAGAAACCCGGAGGTGGTACTCAAACAGTTAGCCTCAATACTCGCAAGTATATTGATCTCATTTTGAGACCGCTACTGCATGTCTATGCAGTCCAACTGGAGGAGGAAAACGGATGGGAAACACTGATCATGGTTGATGGTCATCCAGCACACAGGGCAGGAGAGACCCGTGTGGTTGAGCCAGAATTAGGACTCAAACGTGTCACGAGAACCAACTAACCAGCATTGGCTCGATATAACAGTGCCCAACGGGACAGTGATCTTAACCTGATTTGGGAGGAGGCTGCTGTGCACAAGGCATCAAGCCCAGTGCTAAAACAAGCCTACTATAAGAACTATAGCATGAATGGCTTGCACAGACTCATGTACAAGGGGAACCGGAGTGCCCGGAGAAGACCCCTTGGTCGGCATGGGAATTGAACCCATGACCACATTACACTGATAGTTCCCATTCCACCATCAATGACTAGCCAGTTTAACCACTTAGCCGAGGTGGAAAACTGCGATGAAAAGGCCTATTAATTGGTGGTTAACCCTACCGCCAATCACTGGTTAAATACCCTTCCCCAACTTTTGCTCGACTTGTCACACGCTTTGTGACATTATTGTTGTCAGTAGCGAGAGATATATTCAGTAGCTACAACCATTGAGTTAGGGAGAGCTACCACCGAGCAGTTCGACGCACTATGGCGAAGTTAGCCGCAGTTCATTGACAATCACCTTATCATTTACCACTTGACGTATTACTACGGCGAAGTTAGCCGTTGTTCCCCGACAAGTACCCTGTCCCAGTGAGACATCGACGCCCCACTACGACGTAGTTAGCCGAGGTTTGTCGACCTTCGGTCAGTAGAGGAGAAGAAACGACGACCGTGACAGTATCAAGGATCACTGTGACAAGTCGAGCGAAAGATGGGGAAGGGTATTTAACCAGCGATCGGCGGTAGGGTTAACCGCCAATTAATAGGCCTTTTCGTCGCAGTGGTTTAGATCACTGTCCCGTGGGGCACTGTTATATCGAGCCAATGCTGGTTAGTTGGTCCTCGTGACAAGATAGGTGAGATGCATGGTGAGATAGGTGAGATACCAAGTAAGATAGGGGAGATACCAGGCGAGATAGGGAAGATACCAGGCGAGACAGGTGAGATGCATGTCGAGAAGGTGAGATGTAAAGCGAGATAGGCGAGACTTGAGGTGGGATAGATGAGAATCAGGTGAGGCAGAGCAAGAAGCAAGGTGAGACAGGTGTGAGCTCTGGCAAGATCAGCAAGATATGGAGGGAGACGATCTGTGTTTGCTGATAATTAGATGGTAATACAGAGGGGGAAAAGAGCATGCATCAATTCTACATGTCTCTATACTTATCACATTCCACTCACACGATAAAACCAGAGACGATTGAATAAAGTTCAGAGGATAAGTTGAACGGAGAAATATTCGACGGAAGGGGTAATTCTAACAGCGGTTCGGCCGTCCTGGCCCGATTCTGCCGGCTAACCATCTGCGAGTAAGAGCTCCCTAAAAAGTATAAATACTGGTCATAGTCTTCTTTTCCTTCTTCAAGGATCAATATACTACTTGCCACTTGCAAAAGACCTCTTCTTGACATACCGCTTACATCCGACACATCCCTCATCAACTTTACCCCTGTCCACACCATTGCACACGCCCTGATTGTGATCTTGACCTGCCCGGGTCCTTCACAAGTCACTCTAGTTGTCCGACTACATCACAAGTCAACAGGCAACATACTAATTGACGTTGTCCAAGCTAACTAAACAGTAATAGTCCACCTGTCTCTGATCTATTTGAGGTCAGCCAGGGACAGGTCCGTGACAGCCTTGATGTCACTACAGTCTTTTAACAGCAAAAAAGTGTTGTTTTGGTCCTCACCTCGTTATTCAGCTGCTGCAACCTGGTTTCATTTGCGCACTGTGATGTCCAGCCTCTCTGATGGATGGTGTTGAAGCAGAAGCCAATGATGATGACACCTGCATCTTGAGATATGTACCCCACCTGTTGTGAGACAGTGTTTATGACCCATTCTTGTCGAATTGGAGAGATTGGGCAACTAACGTTTGGTCACTTGATTCCTCTCATCATCATGGCAAACACTACAACCAGTCAGTACTTCCAAACGCACGGAGCGGGTTTGCCAACTTCAAAGGTTCCGACGCCTCTTACTCTATCCTCATCTCTCTTTGATTATCTTCCATGGAAGGCTACGCGCTTTCTCAGTGCCTCCCGCTGAGGTAGAGTTTGAAACGTAGATTGCTCCACGCCATTACAGAGTCCTCTTCTCCACCCCTACGGCGTCTTCTACCGACTGGTATTAATGTTGCAATCTCATTCCCTATCCTTACATATCTTCCTTCTTTTGTTCTCCATAAAAAATCCTGTGCTTCTTTCAAATTCCACCCCTCAAGTGGAATTTGAATTCTCAAGTGTCTGTACTCTATCAAGTCACTGGTAATTCCACCAATTTGCCACACAACGGATCCATCACGCACAACAGACACTCATTTGTGAAACTTCAGCACCTACCAGTACATATAGTATCCAATACCTATTCCCATGTCCAGTGAAGCACACCCCTTGGGGATTGCCAGTCAGGGCCGCATTGTTGTTTGGCTTCATGAGAGGATTCGGGCCAACCCTGACCTTCCCCTGGACGTTTTAGCCCAACTAGATTCTCATTTGGTATCCACATTAGCTCATTGTTTCAGTCATGATTTGTCCAAGTTTGATAAGACACCACACTCCCAAGAAGCACATATCCTGGCTCTCTGTTATTGTACAACTCCCCTCACTCCCCTCACTATCTGTTCAGATACCCTACCTATGAAGGGACAGATCAAGGTACATAATATGGTCTTGGGTATGACCAAAAGAGGATTTAATGCCGGGTCCAAGGAAAACATCATCACGTTGCCTTTGCCGGTACGTTCTTTCAGTCAAACGCTGACTACACTAAGCAGTTGTGGTGTTGATGAACCTTTGAGGGTACAGTCTCTTGAAGTCAAACGAATTGTGGAATCCATGAAAGAGTTTTTGAGGGCAAAGAGATCCCAGGAGGAAGCTCTATGGGCAAAAAGAATGGGATTTGCTTTGAAAACTATGAAGGATAGGCTTTTCTACAGTTCCTTACAAGTAAGGAGTATTGGGCCTGATGATAGTGGAAATGGTATTGTCTTTGCCATAAATCAAGACGTCCAGATCTGGGGTGACCATGGGCCTGAAACAGTCCAGCTGAAGGATTTGGTTAGTTGCACCAGCTTGTCAGGTGTCCAATGTGTTAAGGACTGCTCTGGTCAGAGCTTGGCTAAGGAACTCTGGATGCCAATTGACAGTCAACCAGTAAAAGTCCCGGGAGAGGTGGAGAATGCAGTAGAGGTTGAAACTCCTTGGTCTTCAACAACTACATTGACGTAGAAACCTACTGTATCAGTACTTTGCCTTGGGAAACACAGACGATGGTACGGGTCTAAGATCACGCCTTTGAACATGTAGGTGTAGGAAACATTGAAGAGACTAATGTCACAGATTTTATGCATCTTCTGTCCATGAACCCAAGCGCCAGTCCATTCCTCATATTGATATCTCTCCCTTTGAGCTCGGGGACAGTTATCAACCTTCCACGATATTCTTGTCAGTTGTGGGTAGTATCATCGATGAAGAGCATACAGGGTGACGGATCGGATCAGCGGGATGACCCGCAAGTCGCATGTCTTAATTATTCTACATGCAGAAGCTGGATTTTCATCTATTGTAGACTTTACGCGCCGTTTGTAGATATAAGACGGTCAATTTTGAGTGATTTTGCCTTTTGTTGTGAGTTTCCGTTCTGTGAGTCAATCATCTCGCTTCGGACGCACGGAGATAGAATCTTACAGACTTCAAATCTTGGTCCTCTTTCTTCTCTCTTTTCCCACGAGAGGCGGGTAGGGGGGTGGAAATGGGCCAGAACTTGATACGGACTTTCAAATGGACGGAGGATCAAACCTACCCGTATGTCCGGTTCACCTTTTTCCATCACCTCTAGAACACTGCCTAAACATACATATTTAGCTTGTGTTCTTCTCATCTCACCCTCTCCTCCATCTTCTCTCTATCCACGGTTATTTATGTTAACATGTCTGGTCAGCCACTTCTCACCAATCTCAATGACCTTGAACAGCAGATCATCCATGGAATTTTCTCTCTCCCATCTGGTGAACATGTCCAGCCCGCCACAACGCCGCAGATATCGGTAAGTTACTCGTGGGACGGACCTGATACATCAACTCGGTTCTTCAACCTCCTTCCTGCTATGGACGAGAGTATCAAAAGTAGAATCCGAAAAACAATTGAACCCAAACTTCGGGATACTGGTCTTTCTCTTATTAAAGAGAGTCAAAGTCAAGCAAACAATTGTGAGGTAAAGATGCATGTCCTAAATCTGGTCTCACGGTTACGGATGAGAACTTACCCTTGAATGTGACTGTCCTCTTAAAGATCTCAGGCAGCTTGAATGTGGGAGAGAGTGGTCGTACGCTACCAACTACAATTATCAGTGCTTCCGTCCCACCCCCTGTCCGGGATCTTTCACATGCGTTCCAAGAGGCTGTGCAAAAGAGCAGTACTCGTACACACACTTGGGAGAGACAAGTGGGAATGGAATCCATAAAAAATGCTGTACAAGGGTTATACTGTATAACATTCTCAAATCAACTCAAGACCAGTTGGCTAATTTCACAAGACTTGAACCACGCAAGATGCACCAACGAACTTATTACGACATGGATATGAAAGAATCAAAGACTGAAGATGTCATTGAATGGACTTGCTCTGGAAGTGTTCAGATTTGGAGTCATAATCCTGCTGTCAGGATCACGGGTACCTATAGACGGGTTCCTCAAGAGTCGTACCCAGAAGTCGTACTCCGTCTACCCGTTCCCGTCCCCGTCTCACTGATCCCGTTACGGCGTCCTCCGTTCTCCTGTCCTACCTAATCGTTACTTCTTTACCATGCTATACTTTTCCTTCATCTCCGTGTCCCTCATCTATGTCCGTCTTCCTTCGCTCTTACACCCCATATCGCTTTCCACATTTACTCCATAGATTCGGTATCACTCCGCTCCCTTTTTAGTATATAGGAACACCCCTTTTTCGTAGATGTCTTGTCGAATGTATTTTCTCGTCACTTAGCAAATCTTTTGCCACTTGATCTCATCGACTTATAGTCTCTTCGATCCACTACATCACTAGACTATAAACTACATCACTAGGTTTGTTCCCTACGAGGCCCTATAGCCAAAGCTCATAGACGCAGACTATTTTCAACGTCTGGTCCTGACATATGCCCAGGGAACATTTCGCTCCAAGATTCGCTTCAATGCTCAGTGGACACATGACTGGACCAAAGAATGGAGACGGCAATGGCGAGCCAGTCTTGCTACCGTTACTTATGACCTGGACATTACTATAGGAGGGCAGACCGTTCGTTATGTGAAAAAAGAAGATATGCCGGCTGAACAGTATAGGATTGAAATTTTCGGACCAGCTGGACCCTCTGAACGGGGTGCCCTGTCTGCATAAGGTAAAGAAGAGCTAGAGTTGATGTAGCATTCATGAACTCCCACACACTCCCACCAGCAAGCATACTCATACATATCTTCCTCACTGCCATACAATAAGAATGTCATGACAGGGTGAAGGATATGATATGTATCACAGTGTACTTGCACAGTATTGACCGAGCATGTATCTATGCACATCTATTCCACGCTAAGCCGTTTACATTTCGTTCACGACTTGACTCATCAGGCAACTAAGCAAAAGACAAGAGGATGATGATTGTGGATGCATTCACTCAGTCTGACTGGACGTTCACTACTCACTTCATCGAATCCTGTCCCGGAATACTACTTCCCCCTTTCTTAACATGTGTAAACGTTCCTCCTGCAAACCACCTATCATTTGCTTCTTTCACCTTACTAGCAGCTGTCAAACTCGGAGTAACGATTTCCAACCCTTGAACCGGTGTGAAACTGAGACTTGTCGCTGTCCCACTTTTCGAATCGCTCGATAGAGCACTTCGACCCAGAACTTGTGTACGAAGTTTGTTTGCGCGTGATAATTTAGCTTTCGAACGTGAATCGACCACTTCCGCACGGACACGACCAGAAGCAGAACCGATCATACCCAATCCGATAGTTTCATCATCTACACCTGTTTCTTCTTCAGGTTTACCGAATTCCATACGATTTTGAAGTTTACGAAGTTCAGTTTGGGCGTATGCTTCTTTTTGTTTACGAGCGCTGAAAATTAGTTGTACTTCAATCATTAACTTAAAAAATGGCGGTCATAGATTGATAACGCAAGTGAAGGTTCAGGAATGAGGCGTGACCGGCAAAGTAGAGGCTAAAACGATGAGGAAGAGACAAGAATAGGAATATGAGAGATAATGTATATGACGATGTGAGTTCAAGATGGGGGAAAAGATGTCCTGCAGATAAACTTGATCACTCACCGTTTACCACCTCTCTTTTTCCTATTCGTCTCCTTCGGTATCGGTAATGCCTTTGTCAATTTGTTAGGAGGTGGTTCCGCCATCTTTTCAATCCTCTTTTGTAAATCTAATAAACATTTCCTTCCATAACTCCCATCTCTAGCTCCTTTCCCAGCATCTATCCTAGCTGCTAAAACACATTTAGCCGCTACGGCTCTTTGTGCTCTTCTCCTATCCTCCGGCTGAGCAGTTTGAACCAACTGAGATTGAAAGATAAATCCCGTATGTCTTTGTTGTGAAGCCGCTGACATATGTGTAGTAGCCAAAGTTTTCTTCAACGCTCCAAATAGCATGACGTTACAACTTGGTGTCCTACTGAAAGCTTGTAAACCACCTGCTAGCCCTAGAAGTTTCGCAGCGATTCCGGTCCCCACTATGGCGGATAAGTTTGGTGCTACAGCCGCCATACGTGATTCGACGTAAGCGAAAATCGTCTCTCTGGCTATACGTAAATCCGAAGCTACGTCTACTGCACGTTGAACCATCTTCCATTCCCCAGGAGTGAGTAATCGTCCTCTTGTGGAAGTAGCAGTGAGGGTGATAGAGAGGATAGTCGCTGGTGGTAATGTTGAAGGAAGTATACATTTTGTCAAATCTTCAGCATTGGCGATAGCTTTGACAGCTGCGATGTATGTCCATGGATCGGCTATGAGTTGTTCGAGTTCAGGGAAACGAGGCGCGTAATGATCACGAATGAACTTATGTACGAGTAAGATTTCGTTGTCCACTTCGACTGACATGTTGTTGGCTTTAACGACTAGTACGTATTCGGGGTTTTCGGAAAGGGGAATGGAGGTGGTGGAGGACATGTCGGTAGGGTTGGCAGTGTATTTTTCAATTTCCTGAGGGATGTCAGCTCAAACATGCAGACCGGACATATTCATCACGAAAGATGAGAGGAGAATGTGACAAGAGATCGGAAAGTTGATTGGTGATGAGGGGATTGAGCAGTGTAATAGAAAGAAAAGTGAGGATATATTACAGATACGCTTACGGATAATATTTCCTTGAGTTTATTACCAGTCATCAACTTTGCGATCTTGCCCACATCCTCCACTCCGGCCATATCAGTCTTTTCCACTTCTTCCTGATCCAACTCTTCCGCTGGTCGTGCCCCTCCCTCCGGTACGTAACCCACTGCACTTTGACCATTCTCCATTCTCATATCATCCCCATCTCCATCATTCATATCATCGTCTTCATCCATTGCCTCGTCCAAAGCCTGAGCGAGCCGTTTTTGTCCCGCGATAGCCTTGAGTGGCAAAGGAGGAGGAGGCATTGATCCACTCCCGTTGGCTCCATTTTTCGAGGAAGATGCTTGAGGTGATACCTCTGTATCAGATGCTTCATCCCCTGAGAAACCATCAAGGTCAGCGAGTAGTGAGTCTGCTAGAGACATTGTTTTGAATGAAGATGTCGAGGTTGACAAGGGAGAAGTTAGTAGAGGTGGGGGTGGAAGGGAATGTAAAATGGGGGGAACATCTAAGTTGACTTCCGATCACTCTGTTGCTGCGTGGAATGAACCATAGAGCCACCCATTTTCTTACCCAACCTTTGCTCCCTACAACTCGGTCTAATCACCTCTGTAAATCATAGAGGAACAGTGAAGCAGCTAAGAAAGAAGGTATTGGGCAAGAAGAAACATGCGATTCCTCCTCTCGGCCATCACGACAGCTCTGCTCGGTCTCATCCCCTTGGCCCTCGCGTCGGACATAGAGCATTGGGTCGCTCTTGCCCAACAGTCAAAAGATGGAATCATCAAACTCAACTCTGAGTCGTACGAAGAGCTTGTAGGTGGGACGGATAGAGAGTACTCTGCAGTCGTCGTTCTCACTGCTTTGGGTACACAATTTAAATGTCAACCTTGCCAGTGAGTCGTTCTTTGCTTCGTACTCTTTCGACTCATTACTTTCTACCTCCTTCCTCGACGTTCACTGCCCTGATCACCCTTTCTGGTCAATGAGCATCTAATGTCCTTCACTTGACCTGTCGGGATGAAAGTAGGGGGGCACAAAACCCTAGATAATGTAGGGACATCTCCCTACGACTAGTCGAGTAACTCGCCGGACAATGAATCCGCTGTTGGGGAGAGCTGACACGAAGCAACTTTGACCCTTCTGTTCATCAAGTAGCAGCCTCCTGGAAACGTCTCCCTAAATATGTGAGGGATCAACATATCTTCGCTCAGTTGGACTTTGCCGATGGTCAAGCTATCTATCAAAAGGTCAGCTCTAACTTCCCTTATATCTCTCGAACGGGTACATTATCGATATTGATTCTTGTGGTTCTCATCATCATCTCTTTTTTCTCTGATCGTCCAATCTATGGAAAAATTCGTGACTATTCCTGCGTCTACTATGATTAGCTAATCAAAGTAGCTCGGACTTACCTCTGCTCCGACAGTACAGTTTCACCCCGCTTTGAGTGGACCGAACAAGGGGAACAAATTATCCGTGATCACATATGATTTACCTCGAAAGTGAGTGTCGCTTCACATCTTCTGAGATTATCCCTTTCTGTTTCCTTCAAAAAATCGATCGTTATCAGACGTGCCTCACTCACATAGAAGATGACCGAATGCTCTGTCTGCTTTCTGTGATGACGGTGAAAAAGATCCCAGGGGGGCGTTCAGAAGGCAGGAAGAGACACAGATGAAAAATGAAAAACAAGCTGAGCTAATCTCATAGTGGTCTGGATGCAGCTCCATTCCATTCCTTCCTTTCCCCTCTAACTCCCATCCCATTCGACCTACATAAACCATTCAATCCCATCCCTCTCATCATAACACTAGTGACTTTAGTAGTCTCCACCGCTGGTCTATACTCTCTTTATCCATATATCATCCCTATCGTCCAATCCCGCGTATTTTGGGGTGTGACCAGTATAATGCTAGTTTTGACATTCACCAGTGGACATATGTGGAATAGGATAAAGAATGCTCCTTATACATCCCAAGGACAAGATGGGAGCGTTAGTTGGATCGCCGGTGGTTTTCAAAATCAATTAGGGATGGAAAGTCAAGTCGTTGGTGCTATTTGTGAGTCTTTCAACTTTCTTCCTTTTAGTCAAAAACTCCCTATCCAAACTCTCTCCATCTTCTCAGCTTGCACGAATTGGGTCCATATCTGTGAAACCTCGCTCTCCTTGAAATTCCCTCTGGAGTTTCAATATTAACATCTTTTTATTCTATTTGTCTCATCAAGCCGAATCAGTGGACAACGCAGTATTTGTCTGTCAGCCGAATCACCCTGACATTCTCATGAAGATTGAGAATTCCCAATTGATCCTGGCACATCATGGCGAGAAGATCGGGAATTTCAAAGAAACAAGAATGGCTCAATGAACTAACTTTCAGACGGTCTGTTGGCGTTTTCCATCATATCACTTACCCTCTTCGTCCCCTCACAAACTTCCCCAGCAAAACAACGTGTGGGAGTTTACCTCTGGTTAGGTATGCTCATTGTCGTTTTCTCACTATTGATGAAATTGTTCAGGATGAAAAATGGAGGTTATCCATTTTCTCTCTTGTTTTAAAACTACGATGCATATCATGTTTACCTACATCGTGTACCAGGTGCAGTTGTTACTTATCGTTCTCGCTCGTCATACTCAGTCATCCTTTCCCTCTAAATACGCGCATCATTTTGACTCAATGTTCCCTGCTCATTCTCACCCTCCTCCATTCTCACCCATCATTTCCCATCACTCACCAAGATGATAGTGTTGATCTTTGTGATAAATCAGAAGCGCTGCTTATTCAGTCGGACGGAGATGGTACATCTCCCAACTGTGGATTTTCGAGATGTCGAGAACGATGAAGAATCCAGTAACTTCACTCAGATGACTAGTCACTACTAAAGAATTCGTATCCGACAGTCAAAGCGATCACCAAGTTATCGGTCCGCTCCACCAGCCGCCAACGATACTATGTTGAAGGGCAGAGGGAAGAGGGACGGGGAACGGAAGAGGGAAGAGGGGAATCAATGCATGATGAAGATAAATGACAATATCGAAAAGAAGTATTTGAGTGAATGTATGTATTCCCCAAGACGTACGAAAGTTAAGCGGTCAAAATTACAATTTGATTTTCTTGTTTTTAACCAATTCCTCTTGCTCCGCTTTCCTCTTCTCCCCAAATTCATCTTCTCCATTAACCACTTTCTCCTCATTACTCTCCACTTTCCCCTCCTTCTCTCCATCCTTCTTTACTTCCACCTCCGACGTCATCCCATTCTTTCCCTCTCGTCCTGATATGACCTCCCCAGCCGCAAATTCAACACCAGCTTTGTCTGAAATGATAGCAGGAAAAGCAGAAGGCACTGAATTGGACATTGGTGTCGATTGGATATTCTTCTTGGGAGGTTTCTTCTTTACTAAACCACTTAAATCGTTAACTTTGATTTCTCCGTTCTTCCCATTTTGTCCATTCTGACCATTCTGACCATTTTGTTCATGGAAAGAAGAAGAAGAAGAAGGTAAAGATCCAGAATCTAAACCTCCCAATAAATGTGTGATACTTTCTTTTACGAAATCCGTTGGTTCAGGTGCAGATTTCAATTCTTCAATTTTGGCTTCTAAATCATCAATGAGTGAAACGACATCTTTCAATTCATTTTCAAGTTCTTTAATTGACATTTTTGATATTTCTCCTTCAACACTTGCATTCTGATCTTTTGATGAAGTTTCGTTCTCGTTCCCTTTTCTGACTGTGGATTTTGTGTCCGTGATGGATGATGTTTGAAATTGCGATATGACATCTTTTAATACTTTTTGACGAGCTTGAAATCCTTTTAAAGCGGAATGTACGTGATCTAAAGCTTCCGCTCTACGATCAGGGACGAATTCAAGGACAGAGGAAAGTTGATAATGTACACTTGCTAGTACTCGGGAGAAAGGGGGTAGAAGTGGGGTTTGAAGGTTAAGTGCGGAAGTGTAATCTTGTACTGCTTGAACGAAGTTTTCTAAATAGTGAGTGACTATCTTCACCAAATCATACATCCTGAAGCACTCGGCAATGCTTGGCATCACAGGGGAGATGATGAGGCTTACGATATCCGACCAAGGGGATGTAAGGGTTTGTCATTGGAAGGACGCAGATGAAGAAATGGTTGAAAAAAACAGACTGGATTGAAGACCATTTGAGGGAGAAGAAGACTGTGAAGGGGAAGGCCTCGAGGTGAAATTGCAAACTTACCAGTCTCACAACTCACATCACCCAAAGCGACATAACATTGAGCCAAATTCAACTTGACATCCTCACTTTCCGAATCTTTCACCATCTTCTCATATATCGTCCTAGCCATATCTAAAACATCCCAAGCGGCGTTGAAATCATCTTCCAAATCTTCACCTTCTTCTTGAGGTGCTTCCTCTTCTGGTGCGTCGTCGTCGTCGATTGGGTCGACGGGAGTTTGATCGTCTTCGATGTCGGCTGAGATTATGAGATTTCCGGATGATTCTTCTTCCATTTGTGCGACTATGTTTCAGTATACACATCAGATCGCCACTCCCTGCCCTTGCCCTCGTGGTTCTATGTCACTTCCTCACGGCGAACTCTCTTTCCGATGGATGATGTCACCAGCAGGAGCAATGGAAGCGCGCGAAAGGAGATGATTTGTGATGTAAGATCAGTCGCTAAGTTGACAGAATATGTGGTGAAAGGCTTCTTGAGGGGTACGGGGCGATTATAACAAAGGGGGGAATATATCAGCTTCTGGAAGAGATGAGACACTCACTCTCCGCACCAGCTTGTTTATCCAATTCTTCTTTCCCTAATGCACCTTGTGTTGAAACGGCCAGTTCGTACAATGCCTTTCCGTAGCTGAGGAGAAGAGGGGCCATAGCAGGATCAAACTCTCCTACCAGTCCTCGCCTGATATTCAGTCTCAAGCCCAGCCCACATCTATCATGACAGAGTCCGCACATCCGACAGAATGCGAAAGAGCAACTTCGCAGAGAGAGAAGACAGAACGGTTCGACGTGAGCAATGGCATAGCGCACGATTAAAAAGAGAAGACGAAGACACTTGATGACGGATGGTGAGAGAACATACATGATGTCCAAAGCTTGACCATATTTTCCAACTCCCTCCTCCCACTTTCTCAGAGCGATAGCTTTCTTACCCTCCGCGACGAGCTTGTCAGCTTCAGCGCGTTGTTCTTCTGGTGATGTTTTGGAGGGTTCGGCCGGTGTCATGTCTGAAGCGGGAGCGGTGGTGTGTTCAGTAGATTCACTCCTGTCCTGTCAGTACTGAATAACGTTCCGAAAGTATAATGTGGCTTACATATTGAGGATGGTTCGGGTAGGAGAGAGAAGATGAGAGAAAAGTCGGATAGTTGTGATGGACGCGTATCACACGCGAAGACAATGGAAACCTCTGAAATTGCCATGCAAAGGATTCGAACGCTGATTCGCTGACTGATCATGAGGAGAAGATCCTAACCGTTGAATTCACCTCTGACGCTTACGTAAAGCTTGCCTTCCTACCTGAAAGTGTGAATTTCCGTGGTTCTCCAACTTCAAAAGGTGACCCATGGCCCCAAAGCGTCGTCCGGTCAACGTCGTACGCTCTGGAAACGCAGGAAACTCTTCTAAACCCAAACCTACTCAAACCCCAGCTGCTGAGGATGGCCCTCCCAAGCCTCCTCCGTTGTTCCCATCGGGTTACAAGACTCCAGTGCAGATACTGAACGAGAAGTGTCAAAAGGCCGGATGGGAGAGACCTTTGGTTGAAGCTGTAAGTCCCCTTTTATGACATTTAGTATGCTTTGAAGTGTAATGAGGAGGGAATTTGACTTTCAGAGAGCCAACAGAGCGTCGTCACCCGAAACATTCACCGGTTCAGTGGTTCTACGTAAAAAGAAGAGCAAGAATGTGTATGATTTGGAAGAAGTACGATTGACTCCTCATCCTCCATTGCAAATTGGGACAGCACAGGAAGCTAAGCATTATGCTGCTACTTATGCTTTATTCAGGGTGAGCTCTTCTGACCTCTCTACCTCTGCTCCTCTACCACGAGATAGTTGTACGAATTATCTGTTTCGCTAGGACTCGGGCCGAATACACCACTAGAGCTGATCGTAGTTTTGCTCTCATTTTCCTATGGGAATGACTCTACCTCCTTCTACCCGTCCTTACTGGTCTACACTCACTGCCGAAAAAGCCGCCGCCCCTGCTCATCAAGCATGGGAGTACGACCCTGATCCCTTCGCTGCGAAGAAAGAAGTCGAGACTCGGCAAGCGAAACGAAAGGAGAAAGAAAGAGCTTCGGAGGATGAAAAAAATGCTCACCCAGCGCATGGCTCAGGTAGCACAGGGGGTCATGGAAGGGAATGGGATTCAGCACCTGAAGTTAGGATGGCCCCTGCTCTGAGGGAGATGGTCGAGGGAACTGTTCGAAAGGTCAGCTGGAATGTCTCTTGCCTTTTGTTTTCAGCTGACCCGTAGATGATGCAACGATTTCCTACTGCTGTCCTTGAAGCAACTCGCGATATCTCTTCCAATCCATCCGATCTACTTTCAGGATCCGCTACCCCTTCCTTGGATTTACCTAATATCGAGTCTCAGCTCACCACCCTTGGTTTTCGTCCAGCTCATATCACCTCGGCTTTGACAGCTTTATCCGCTGCCAACGCTCGACTCTACTCTTCATCTTCGTCTTCCACGGATCCTCTCGTATTGTCCCTCTCTATTTTGTCGCCGCTTGAGGCTGCCATAGAGTGGTTGCTTTTGCATTTACCAGAGGATGATCTTCCACCTCGGTATCGCACTACATCTTCGGCTGGTGATCTTGTCACTGGTGTTTCTGTAGGAGGAAAGGAACAATTGGTGAAAGGTTGGTTGATCGATAAACTCACTAAAGGAGCTGGTTTCCCCAGAAAAGCAGTGGAGGAGGTAATTCGGAATGTCGAAGCGACCTCAAGTGCCTTGGATATACTCGGACGACGTCTGTGTGGCTGGGACGGAGACTGGGCTCCGGAAGCATACGAACCGTGGGATGGTCATGAGACAGAAGGAGAATCTCGAAGATCAGCGAGAGAGGAAGAGATGTTAACGTTGGAGGCGGTTTTGGGAGAGAGATTCACCATTCTCTCATCTACAGAATGTACAGTCGACATCGAGTACGAAAGAGATAACCTGACTTTACACTTACTGTTCGACGATGCTTCTCCGTTTCCCTCTCCCACTCATCCGACCTACCCACCGGCATTTTATTTGTCTTCGGACACCGTGCCCAGCTACATGCGACTTCACCTACATTCTCAGCTCCTAAGACAATTTCGAGATCCGGAGCGACATGACTTCACTTCTGTGCTTGAAGCTGGGGCGGGTGGAGCTGTGCTGCTCATGGTGGAACATATCGAAACGTTGTTACCGGACGTTCTCGCCAATCCACCTGACCTGGGTGAGGTAACCCGATTTTTGGTCCCACGTTTGGAAGAAATCTCTCCGGCGATCCCAAAGTCGGACGGACCAGGTCGATCGAAGCCAGAGATCAGGAGACATCGTCACCAAGCCACGTCTGCGGACGAAGCTTCTGTGCAGAAACGTCACCAAGCCATGTCACAGGATCCTGCATATAAGAAAATACTGGACGATCGCCAAAAGCTTCCGGCTTGGAAGGAACGACACAATATCACCTCAGCTTTGGATTCCAATCGCGTAATTTTGGTCGTGGGTGAAACTGGGTGCGGAAAGACCACTCAACTACCTCAATTTATCCTCGACCATGAAATCTCTCAAAATAGGGGTAGCAAAACGAACATTATCGTCACTCAACCTCGACGAGTGGCAGCTATGGGTGTCGCTCAACGAGTCGCTTATGAAAGACTTGAAGATCTCGACAAAGCTACCGGCACTGTCGGTTACGCTATTCGAGGAGAAAGACGTGCTTCTTCAGATACCCGTCTGTTATTCTGTACCACCGGAGTGGTCTTACGTCGCTTGGGTACCGACAAAGATTTGGGTGGTGTAAGTCATGTGATCGTCGATGAAGCGCACGAAAGAGGGGTAGATACCGATCTTTTGATCTGTCTGTTGAAAGAAATCTTGGAAAGGAATAAAACTCTCAAAGTTGTTATAATGTCCGCTACAATTAACGAGCGTATTTTCATCGATTATTTCAATGGTTGTCCAAGTTTATCCATACCTGGATTCACCTATCCTGTGAAAGATCACTATCTAGAAAATGTCATTCCCCTTTTACCTAATCTTCAACCGACTCAACAACGTTTCGGATCTAAACAAACGGAAGAACAGAAGATATCCATTCGAGCTGATTTCGAAAAACTTTCACTTGATCCGATTTCTCAACGTACTCTTGAAATCCTTTCTCAATCCGACCGAATAGATTATAACCTCATTTCTGCCGTGGTAACACATATCATATCAATTTCGGAAGAAGGTGCAATCCTTATTTTCTTACCTGGTGTGATGGAAATTCGACAATGTATTTCAAACCTTTCTTCAGCTTCAATAGGACAAGTGGAAATATTACCTTTACATGCTAATCTAACTTCAACAGAACAACGTAGAGTATTTTTATCAACAGGAAGAAAAAGAAAAATAGTGGTTAGTACGAATGTAGCGGAAACTTCTGTGACTATACCGGATGTGGTTTTCGTGATAGATACTGGAAGAGTTAAGGAAACGGATTATGACGTTATGACGGGGATGCAAAAATTAGAAGAAGGTTGGACTAGTAGAGCTTCTGGAAGACAAAGAAGGGGAAGAGCTGGAAGGACAAGAGAAGGTGAATGTTTCAAATTGTATACTAAAAGAACGGAGGAAAAGAAAATGATGAAGTTTTCAAAACCGGAGATGTTGAGAGTTCCTTTGGAAATGGTCTTATTACAGGTTAAAGCTATGGATGAGAATATTGATGTGGAGGCTTTTTTGTTGTGAGTTTGGGCTTCATATTCTTTGCCCCTGTCCTCCGGTCGTGGTCTTTCCCTCCTTCTCATGACAATATCGCCCATATCTCCAATGACCCATTTCAACACCGAGCAAAAAGACGTAAGAGCTCGTCCTTTGATGAATCTCACTCGCTGACAATGTAGAAAAGCCATTGACCCACCTAAGCTACACGCAATCTCAACAGCATGGACCACCCTGATCGATCTCGGAATCGTCCTCTCCTCTTCTCCCTCTTCCCCTCTGACAGCATTAGGTAAACACATATCCTCCATTCCTGTAGATCTTCGTCTAGCTAAAATGCTGGTTTTAGCCGTTATTTTCAAAGTCCTCGATCCCATTCTCACTATCACAGCTCTTCTATCTTCAAAACCACTCTTCATTTCTCCTCTTGATAATCGTGATACCGCTCGAACAGCTCGTGAAAAATTCTCCACTGGTCGTTCGGATTTATTAACAGATGTCAAAGCTTATTCTGCTGCTATGGAATTGAGTGGTATGGAACAAAGAAAGTTTTGCGAAGAGAACTTTATCTCTTCTTCGACTGTGAGGGATGTGAGAAGTTTGAGAGAAGATTTTATAGGGGCTTTACAAGGAATAGGGTTTTTAGGAAGAAAAGGAGAGATTGAAAAGTTTAGTCAGAATGGGAAATTGGAGGGTTTAGTAAAAGGTGTAGTGGTTGGAGGTTTGTATCCTCGTATAGCTAGGATTAATATGCCTAAAGCGACTTATGAGAGGGTACAACAAGGTGCTGTGTTGAAAGATGTGAGTTGACAAGTGATCCTTACTCCCTTCTGCTCCTTCTATCCTTATCTTGTTGTCTCACATAAACCCAATTCCTTCCCCTCGACTCTTGACATTTACTCTCACGTATTCATCTTCATCAAGATAGGTCATCAAGACTATCCTGCTAATTAGTTCTGGAGCGATCTGGCAATGACAAGTCATCTATCATGTTGTCGCATCGTCGCAGTAGCGGTTACGGGTTGATATCGAGGGAATATCGCTTACTCGTAGCACGAAGCTAAAGAAGTTAAACTCTTTGATCCATCCGGTCGTGTCTTCCTTCATCCTTCTTCGATATTATTCACCGAATCAGGCTTCAAACCAGGTTTCATAGCGTATTTTTCAAAAGCTGAAACTTCAAAGGTTTTTCTACGAGATGCTACAGAAGTGAGCTCTCTCCTCTCCTTTCCTCACTTTCTTTCATTACCAATATATCACCATCAAACATCGCTCATCGCCCCTCACCTGTCCAACCAGTCTGAGAGTACATACACGTTTCACTACCCTCTGGGAATTCGACTCTGATTCGATGATTCTCGTCCATTTCCTTTTGTATTTTATATGGACATATTTCCTTTGCTTGTGTCGTCGACTCCCTTTCATTCCTTCACCTAACAAAGAAATCTACCGACGTTTGATGTCATCGCCGACTAGTCACCGTCGTTGATGGACGGATGAAAACAGTTATATCGAATGACGATGTAAAATGAGATTGGTTGTTGATGAGAAAAGAAGAATGACAACTAATGTATAGGTCCCTCTCTATTCACTGCTTTTATTTGGGGGTCCACTCACTATCAACCATTTTGCAGGTGGAGTACTCATAGGTAAAGAAGGTCATATAAAACTTCGAGCTCAACCTAGAGTAGGAGCTCTTTGTTCTCAGTTGAGAAGATTGTTGGATGCTCAATTGGCTGAAACTGTCGAAAGTCCCGATGGAGTAGAAGGATTGAGTAGTAAAGATGGGGAAGGTGTGGTGAATGCTATGATGGCACTTTTGACAAGGGATGGATTATCTCAGTGATGTTCGTCTTCATGTTTTCTGCCCTACTACAATACTTTCCAATTATAATCACTCCAGCTTTGTCAAATCCTCTTCCGTGTCAATTTCCAGCAAGCGGTATCACTGGTATTTCCTCAGATCCTGGGGTCATGACGTCCTCTCTCAAGGATGACTGGATAGATAGCGACGAAAGCTTATCACTTGTCATTGTGCATATTCTGATTTAGACATGCATTGCATATATCATTCTAATTGGTCAACGTCAAATTCATGTTGAGACCTTTACTACCCCATACAACACAATAATGTTCAAGCACCAATCTCAATTCTTCCACTTCGTCCAGCTGTTCCAAACGTGATATTCTATCTGTCAGCTGTAGTCCGTATTGATCGACTCCATCTCTTCTGACTCAAGTTGGCTCTTATTCGACTCCATCCTTTTGGACTCACCTCATGGTATTTCGATCTTCGAAAGGGGTGGAAATTCATTGATGAGACAGAGTAGAAGATGAAAGGCAACAAAAAAGACGTGTTGGATTAGACGAGACATACCGCTTCAACTCTTCCTCTGGGATGATACTTCTCACTTGCCAAAGAGAAATCCCATCTGCTCTGTCGAATTTTCCTTCTATCAATAACCTCTCGGCTAATGTGCTCGGTGAGGCATAAACACCTGGAAGAGATAAATTCCGTGACTGTTATAAGTGTCAAATCATCATGTGGGTAGAAAGACATACGGCAAGATTCCTTCGCATAACTTTGCCGAAAGTATCCCTTCTCATCAGCATCAGCTCTCAAAATGACAATGTTCCTATTTCCTATTTTACTATCACATCATATGTCAAATATTGCGTACGAAAAATTAAGTGAAATGAAAATTGTATAAAACTCACTCTAATCCACACATCTCATATATCACACCGACACACCGAGAGAAATTTTCTCGGAAAAATTCAAGTACCTTGTTTCCTTCGGAAGGTATCATATAACACAACACGCATTCAGCTAAGAATAAAGTAGGTCGAGATTGATCTAGATATGATAATATAGAGGATAAAGGTTGATTCCGGAGATCGAGTGGAAGTAGAGTGTATAATAGGGAAGTCAATCCTTGACCTCCATGAAGGACTTGGTATGGTTGTTTTTGACTTGAGGGAAGTATTTGTGTGGTAGGAAGGATATTGGTTGTATTTTCAAAAAAAAGTGGTTGATGGTCAACTTGCGGTGAAACGGGACGAGGGGAAAGAAGGGATGATAATTTTGGTGAACGAGCTATACGTTGTGCTTTGAGGGATGTCATACTTGGGAAATCTAGTTCGAGATAATGAGCTAGATTTGGTGGTTTATCTCGGTTCTGATAATCAGTCTCTTGACACTTTTCTCCCTTCCAATCATGTAAAAAACCGCAATCGTCTTTCGCAACAAGAATTACTTCGAGACACGGGGGGTATGCGCAGCCATAAAATGATTCAGAAGCACCAGAGGTTCGTGAGTTTTGTATGGATCATCTCCTCTGATATTGTATCAAAGGCTCAGATGTGCACAAGGAGGACGTTTCAGAAGAAATTCGACAACCGACGGAAGAATGGACCCACCATCAACCTCCAAAACCTCGTATCGCTCCCAGCACCCAACGAAACCACTTGTGCCGCTTCATCCCCACAACACCGAAAGAAATCATCCACCAATCTATCCAATGCCCATGTCCGATGATGTGTCCCTATATTGATTAACGGTGGTTTCCTCGAAGGTCCCGCGAGAGGGGAAGGTTTATGGAGGAGAGCCGTAAATGGGTCTTGGAAATATCCGAGGTTAGCTGCGGAGAGCCGAGAGGAGGCAGCATCGTTATCAGTCGATCTGATAGGTTCGTCGGGATCTGAATTGATAGGAGGGTCACGTCTGGGTAAGGCTGGAGGTAACATGAGATCGAGTGAATATATCAGAGAGGGGGAAGGCGAGTGAAGGGAAGGAATGTGGCACTTTTGTTTTTGTGGCGTTTCGACATCAATGACATGAATGAGGATGTCACAAGTCTGAACCATGATGAGGGTCGTTCCTTTATCAAAGAAATGTGCAAGATGACTAAATATGTAAGAATAAATGATGTGCTTGGACGTCATCAGAATCATTGTAAGAAACGTTGAGAACTATTATCTCCTTTCAATATTTAACCCGTGCCCTCTCATCGTCTAAGGAAGGCAGGACTTATGGTGTCATCCTAATTGACGGATATAAATAGGGTCATGTACTGACCATTCATGACTCATCACTCCTTCTTGTTTTTTTCCTCTTTTATCAAGTGATTTACTTATCTATCAATCAATTTAACATGAGTTATCTAAGCGAACAATACAATGACTCACGTAACTGGCCAAGATTCGTCGATGAATGCAAAGTTGCGTACAACTGTCAAAATTCTTCGGAGTATGATGAGGATGAAAAAGAGTTGTCATGTGATGACGCAGACAGACAACACAGAAGTTTACACATCCGAATGCCCAGTGTCAATGTTGATAGACTCTCATTCTACGGAATCTTAAACAGGGAAACTCCATACATACATCCTATCTTTCGTAAAAGGGAAATCTCAGAGACTATATATCAGGATCTGTCTCTTGCTGAAAGGGAAGAGTGGGCAATGGAGAATGTTTCAAGAGTAGTCAAAGGTGTCCAAAATATGATTGAAGTTGAGAACGATCTCGAAGTTCAAATGGAGGCGGAAATCTCTGATTGTATGAGGACTGAGGATGAAGATCGCACGAATCTCGAGAATGAGTATCTCCATGTATACCAAGAGGAGTTTGCTCAACACTCTTTGAGGCAGAAACAGAGAGGGATGGCATTATTGTCAGAGGTGGGAATACTCCATACAACATCTCAAGCTGAGGGATCAAGCTCAGAGTTTCCCAATCCTCAGAAGATGTTAAGGTGAGTTTCACTTTCCAATATGTTCATTCTTACAAGTACTGACATGCAGTCATACTTACTATACAGTACGTGGATGGACAGCTCGTCGCGGGACCGTTGATGACGCCTTCATCCAAGCTTTATCAAACACTTTGTTAGCCGGGGTTCTCTATGATAACTCTCCCTGGGATTTCAATGCCTTCTCAGGGCAAATGGAATATCAGAGTGAAGTAGATGTTGACGACGAGACGAGGAATCTACAATTGGACGAACTATTCAAATCGTTCGAAAATCAAAACCGGTTAGAGGCCTTGAACAGCCTGAAGGAAGCAGTTAGATATTTCCCGGAGGAGGATCCAGTTCCTACATCTTTGCAGGAAGAGATAGATGGAAAGGTGGGATGGTTATATTTACGTTCTGGTGGATTGACACCAGCCCAAGCAGACGAATGGCACTCTCGGCACCCGTTGCCATCTCCGGCCATCCAGAGTTATGTTGAGGAAACGGATATGATATGGGAGAACAAGGGGAAACAGGTCGAGCATCCCATCTCAGATCTTGGAAGTGGACAGGGAGGAGGGAGTGATAATGAAACAGTGACACAAGTTGTTGTATCCCACAATCCAAGAGAAAAGGGGGGTGTTAGGAGTTTACTTCGCAGGGGCAAAGCGTTCATTTCCAAAGGGTCCATGAGCGGGTCTACCTCACGTAAATAAAAGTGATCACACCGTCTCAAGCTCTTCTCATGAAGATAATCAGAGGATAGTACACTTGTTAGATTATGCGCACCATCTGCAAAACGTTTGACTTGTTACTCCTAGCTACACCTTGCACTTTGACCGTAATAAAATATCGAGAATCATTCTTTGGCTACACTGACTGTAGAGGAGACAAAATCCATCACATAGCACCAGAGACACCTAGACTTCTACAGAGTTCCATCGAGTTCGACTCAACCTGCGACCTAGTCATCGTGTTTCCAGTACTGTTACACTATCCCCCTGAAGCTAGAAGACCTTGGCTTCCAGAGATTGAGGAATCAAGAGTTGGAGAACCCATCCTCACCATCCTCATGACACTACCTGTGCTAGACAATGATGCTCTGCTAGACAGGGAACCACATTCCCTAAGACTTCCCCCTGTTGGATACACCTACACCTACCTTGGTGATTACGGTTTCAGATGTGTCATCCCCCACAACTACTGTTACGGTCAATGATGGAAAATGCTACGATAGATCCTGGGGATCTTAGGAGAAGCTACAATAATTCTCATTTCCTCATTCCATCTCAATAAACCACTCCGAATCCTACTGTCAATGGATCACTCTTGCTCAACCACCCTCCATAAACCACCCTCGATAAAGCACCCTCGATAAACCACCCCTCCCAATAAACCACCCTTCCCAATAAACCACCCTTCCCAATAAACTACCCTTCCCAATAAACTACCCTGCCTAATGAACCACCCTGCCCCGTAAATCACTGTCTTGCCTTTCCGCCTTCAAAAACGATCCAGGAGATCACGATACTTCACGAGTGACGAAACGATGGGAAACGATAGATCCTGGGGATCTCGCCGACGGATTTAGAACCCCAGATTATGAGCTACGATGGATTATGAGATACCCACGGAATGGAAAGGTCCGAGACCAGTAGGAAAGGATTAGCGCCGAGGTCGTCGCTTTCTTGAGGGAAGGGGAGGTTGTAGCCAGTAGCCGTACCGTATTGCTCCTCTTCCACTTACCTCTTACCCCTGATTTCTTTGGAGGACTCGGTTGTGGATATCAGGAGTAATTTTCTATGATATGCAGCTTCTTTTTCTCCTTTTCCCTCTCTACATTGTAGACAGTGAGTCATCGGTACCGACCAGAGCTATCGATCGTTCCCCGCGTCTTACACGTTTCATCTTTCGTGACATGACGAATCATGATACAAGTCTCGCTCCGAATTAGTGTTGTCCTTTTGTCAGAGAGACATGTGACGTTTCTGTGTGTGTGAAGATGATGTAATCTGATGTCATCAGTCGGACGATGAGAAACGTTGAGGATGTCCTTTCCATTCAACTTCTCACCCCGTGCGCTCCTTCCATGTCAGGCAAGCATGATGAATCTGCTCAAGCAGATGGGTACAAAATGCAAGGGGAAACATCTTGTCATTATTCATCCACTTCATCTGAAAGTAACACTCAATATCAGCACCACTCATACTACTCTAGTTTGAGAATCACTGACAACGTCCGATATCAAAAGTTGGATTATGCCGACAAGCACCGGCTACGACCCTGAATCTTCTCGATTGTTTGCTGATATTAGATGATAATACAGAGGGGAAAAAGAGCATGCATCAATTCTACATGTCTCTATACTTATCACATTCCACTCACACGCATAAAACCAGAGACGATCGAATAAAGTTCAGAGGATAAGTTGAACGGAGAAATATTCGACGGAAGGGGTAATTATCTAACGGTGGTTCGGCCGTCCTGGCCCGATTCTATCGGCTAACACTCCCCCACGGGACAATGCACGACTCTGCAGTAGTCCCGGACGATTTATCGATGGCGACGGCGAGGTTTGTGATGATGTAGAAGGTAATAACGATGAGATATTGAGTGTTATGTGTGTGGTAGTAGTGGTAGGTGAAATCGTGAAATGAATTTCGGTGGGGCCCCCTGCGGGGCTCCGCTCTGACACGTGGTTATCACTCACTACTGACGACTGACTCTTCTCTATCATTCCTTTTACTTCATCACTTTTATCTCCAATTATCGGTATGTCCACCTTTCGTCTTTCTCCCCTTTTATCACTCGTTTCTGACTGTCTGAGCTTCCCTCTATCCTGTCTACTTCTTAAAACTTCAGGTTTGCTAGTAGACTCCCGAGAATCGATGAATTTCCTTCGTGGTCCTGGCTGACGATATTTCGTAGAACCGCTACCCACCGAGAAACTTTTATTTTCATTAACAATTTCATTATGTCTTCGCCACTTCCCGGTGGTATCGATCCCTTGGTTCCTCTCCTGAGGCCTGGTGAGGCTCATGGTACGCTCATTAGTCACTTTATCATGAAAATTATCTCTGACCAGCTGAACTGTCGGATATCTCGGTCCGTACCTTGGAGGCGGCCTGTCGACAGATCCGTTTCCTCCGAAGGTTGCTTGTCTCTCTCTCGAACGCTGGTCAAGGTGCATCTGCACCTTTCTTCGACATTCTTTACGATCTCGAAAGGGCCTGTCAGCATGTGGAAAATTTGTTGGGATACCAGATCGATGACAATTAGTGTCATGTATCCTCCCATCTTTTCTCTCTCTTATCTTTTCCTTCTTTTCCTTATTTCTCTCTCTTAACTCTCTAATGACTCTAGGTTCTACCGGTGGCTTCTGACCTATCTTAGAATTACTCACATTCTTAGGTACACCTGAAAATTTTACATTTTGGCTCACGAGAACTTTTCCTTCGGTGGTACCTTCGGTGGGTTTCTCTGAAGTTCCTTCCACCCACACTTCTCTCTCTGGTACCAACTCTGTCTCTGGTACCACTTCGTTCTCTGTACCACCTGATAGATCTCCTAGGTCCTCGAAATCTGAATAATCGTAATCGATGATTTCATCATCATCTAATGTCACGTATACTGAACCAATGTTTTTCTTCTTCGGTGGTTCTACCCGTATCGCTGACATATTCACCGAATGTACTGGTCCACCTAAAGCCTTCGTGAGTACATCTGCTCTCTGTGAGACAGTGCTAACGTATTCTAGTTCAATAACTTTGTTACTGACTAGATCTCGAAGAGCATGATGTCGAATATCGATATGTTTTGTCCTCTGGTGAGTACCAGGTTTTCTCGCCAGTGATATCGATCCTTGGTTATCGCAGTTTAATGTAGTAGGATTTAGCTGATCATAGCCTATCTCCCTCAATAATCCTCTCAACCACTGAGCTTCCTTCGCTGCTTCAGCCATCGCGATGTATTCTGCTTCGACTGTCGACGACGATACTGTAGCTTGTCTTTTTGAACTCCAGGTTATCGGTGAGTTGTTCATCATGAATATCCAACCTGTAGTTGATCGTCGTGTGTCTTTACAACCTGCCCAATCGGCATCAACCCATCCTGCTAGATCGCTAGCCTCGCCACCGAGACGAATACCATGTAAACGAGTGGACCGAAGGTAGGTAATTACCATTATCCCTTCTTCCCATACTTTCTTCGTCGGTTTAGTGAGGTACCTAGCAAGGTATGAGGCGGCATATGATATGTCGGGTCGAGTACATGTGGCTAACCACTGTAGACATCCTATTAATTCTTGAAATGGTCGAATTTCACTCTCCGCCTCCGACATCGATGGATTTTTCGCAGTAAGGGGTAATGGCGTTTTTCGGTCTCGATGTAAGTCGTTTTCTGGAAACTTCTGAATTATCTTATCGATATATGCTGGTTGGTTTAACCATATTGTCTTTTCTTCTCTGTTCCTTGTTACCTTCATACCTAAGATAGTACTTATCTCCCCCAGGTCGGTTATTATCCACCTTTTACCTAGCCCATCGAAAATTTCCTTCGCTTCTTCCTTCGACTTCGTGGCTAATACCAGATCATCGACATAGGCTAGCAGTATTGCTGCTCCCTTTCCTTCGATTTTCCCTTCTGGTCTGTAGTAAAGACCCCAATCTGATTCGATTCTTGAAAAACCTAGGTGAGATAATCCTTCGCCGAGTTCTATCCACCATGTCCTGCCAGATTGCTTTAAACCGTAAAGAGACTTAACTAACTTCAAGGTATTACATCCAGGCTTCGGTTTTATCCCCTTGGGATACTTCATGTAAATTTCTACATCGAGTTTACCGTTTAAATACGCCCCTTCGACATCGGCCTGACGAATTTCGAGATCTTCGGTGGCCGCTATAGTCAAGAGTATTCGTAACGACCCCGATCTACCGACAGGTGCGAATGTCTCTTCGTAGTCGACACCTGGTACCTGTGAGAATCCTTGAGCTACTAGTCTGGATTTATACTTTAATAAGTTTCCTTCTGAATCTGTCTTCACTTTGAATACCCATTTACATCCAATGGCTTTACGGCCCGGTGGTAACACCGTTTCCACCCATGTTTCTTTAGATTCGATGTTAGATATCTCTTTCTCCATGGATTCCAGCCACTTCTCACCATCTGGGCCGTTTACTGCTTCTTCAGGAGAGATAGGATCAATGAGAGAAGTATCACTTTCGATACCTGCGATAGAGGCGAGTGAGACTAACTTATTAGGCTCGCGACCAAAGTCTAGGAACGAGTCTGTTAGGCCTGCAAAACGGTGGGGGGGTCGAATAATTCGTCCGTGACGTGTCGTCAGGATCCCCTCATCCCCATCATTTCTTCCTTCCTCATCATTTCTCTCATTTTCGACGATATCGTTCTCATAGATCCAATTTCCTCCCCAAATGCCCTGTCCTCGTCGTCTTTCAGTAGGTTGTGGGCCTGTATTAGGTGAGTTGTCTCTATCGACATCATTTCCTTGTTCATTATCGATATTTTCCTGTTCGCCACTTTCTGAGCGGTCGTCAGGGAAAATTTCTTCGTTGACGACGGGGTCTAGGTCCACTTCGATGGCGTCAAGAGGGGTTTGGATGACATCTGGCGACTCTCTAGTAGCCACCATTCGTCCTGTCGAGCGACGAACGTCTCGTGAGTGTTCGATTCGTCCCGATCCGTCCATTCTAACGATCCAACCGCTCACACCCTCATCCTGACCTAGTATAATGGCTGACGAACCCCTAGGTATCGTGAAGTTCGACTTCAGCCTTATCTCTCTTGGTATCTGAACGAAACATCGTTCACCAAATCTCCACACGCTATCTAAGTTCGTGTCTCTTCCTGTGAGTGATGTCCAGCCTGATTTACCACTGACACCAATCGAGGTTTTCATAATTATAATGGCGGCGTATCTGACAGCATAGGACCAATATTCGTTCGGTAGTCCTGAGTTGAATAACATCGTTGATACCATCCCCTTCAAGGTACGTATCATTCTTTCCGCCACTCCATTTAATTCTGGTGTGTATCTTGGTGTGATGTAGTGGTTGATCCCTGCTGATAGGTAGAATTCCCTCATATCGAGGCTATCGAATTCACCTCCCCCATCAGACCTAATCACCCTCACCCTTTCACCAAGCTGTTTCTCTAATTTCGAGATACACTGTCGAACGATATCTGACGATTCGTTCTTCGTCGTTATCGGTACGGCGAACACAATTCGACTCGCCCTTTCTACACCAACGAAGAAATATCGTTCACCTTTTATCGCCGGACCGAACGGGCCAGCAATATCGACATCCATTCCTACTCCTTCACCATCTCCTTTTAACATTGGTGCTTCTTTATTCTTCGGTAGACGTGTTATCTTGGCCTGCATACAGGCGGGACATTTATCGGTTGTAAAGGGATCGTTCTTGTAAGTGTCCCAGTCCTTCTTCAATAGTCCCTGTCTACCTAGACTCTTTAGTTTATCTACACCTATATGTCCGAGTCGCTGATGCTCAGATTCAAGTGGTGAAGTCGCCTTCGGTGTCGATATCACGATCATCGCGGCAGACATCGCTCTGCCAAATCGTACCGACCATAGTGAGTCATGTTTCCTCAAACCTAGTTTCTCTTTACCTTTACCTATCCATCCACCACTGCTGCTTAGATTCGCCTTCCATCCCCATGAGAGTAACTTCGAGAGGGATAGAAGACTTATCTTCGCTGTGGGGACGTGATGTACATCTTTCAGTACCATTTTCTGTCCTGAATCTAGTTCGAGGTTAATGTCACCTGTTTCCCAAGCCGTCATTGACTTGCCAGATGCTAGTCCGAACACTCTCGGCTCCACTAGTCTTTTAATATTCGTCATTATCGACCTGTGAGGAGTTATGTGGTGAGTAGCACCACTGTCCACTACCCAGGTGGGGATTACACGAGTGTGGCTTACATCATTAGACTCTGTAGCTAATCCCACCCACTCATTATCCTTATCCTCAACCCACGGGTTTTCAATTTCTTCGGGCCATACGATATTACTCGTGTACCCTTCGTCATCATCGAACCACGATTCTGTCGACATGGCCATCCCGGCCCACGCCTCATGTTCACCATCCAATGACGAATACATCAAGGAGGTTTTGGAGTTATCCTTGGACTGGTTCTCATCCTTCGAGACCGTATGTCCTTTCTTATTATTCTTATTATTATTATTATTCCTCCATTTCTTTTTACCTCCATCCTTTCCATCTGCGTTTTCCTTCCTGTTCGTATCCTCTCTTTTAGGTTTACGACAGTACTTCGCTAGATGTCCTACAGTGTCACAGTTATAACACTTTCTGGTTTCTTTTCTGGGCTGACCATCAGAGATATTATCTCGGTTCACCCTCATTCCTTTATTTCCTTCGACGAACATCGCGAATCCCTTCCTATTGGTTCTACCAACAGGGCGCGCTTTACGTCTCGCCGTTTCTTTATTGAAGATCGATAAGACCTTTTCCCAAGTTCTTTCCTCTGCTATGAGGGATGTTACTTCGATCTGAATGATCCTGTATGATGGTGCTAGAATGGTATTGAGGAATAACCCAGCTCGTTCCTGTGAGTCAAACTTCAACCCTACCAATCTCGCTTCGGACATCGTCTTCGAGAAATCCTCTACATGCTTGGCCATTTCTTCGGCTGTCGCATCGTCCCTTAAGTCATAGCTAAACAACGCTTGACGGACATTCCTTTGATTCTCGATCGTCGCTGTTACATGCAGGGCTATGCAGTAGTCCCACATTTCTTTAGCTGACATCTTCTCAGATATATCAAGCATCACAGCATCCGACACTGTTCCCTTGATCATCCCCTGCGCTTTATTCTCCCTCGCTTGCCACTTTTCCCATTCCTTCCACTCTTCTCCAGTAATCCTTCTACCAGCCACTTGCCCTTCGACGGGCGTGGTAGGAGGTACTGATCCCGCCCTCTCAGCTGCCGATCTAACCCCTACGCGACCAGGTTCGGTATCATTACCTGTGACGATATTCCACACGTCACCTATCTGTAGATACACCTCGATCGACTTCCTCCACGGAGCATACGATGCTGGATCGTGGGATAACTTTGGGTGGTTCTCAAGAGAGATCTTAGACGACACAGAGGTCATTATGAGGAGAGTAGAAATGGGAACTTGCCTTTGTTATGTTATACACAGAGGTATGTGGTCTTCCGACTGTTAATCTGTTTGCTGATATTAGATGATAATACAGAGGGGAAAAAGAGCATGCATCAATTCTACATGTCTCTATACTTATCACATTCCACTCACACGCATAAAACCAGAGACGATCGAATAAAGTTCAGAGGATAAGTTGAACGGAGAAATATTCGACGGAAGGGGTAATTATCTAACGGTGGTTCGGCCGTCCTGGCCCGATTCTATCGGCTAACATCGATGGGCACACTTCGTATGGGCCAGCAAAACGGCACTGAGTCAGCAGTTTATTACTGAGGACACCAGTACTCAAGGCCATAAACAAATCACCTGTCACATTGCAGACCGATATCGGCTTTCTCTTGAAACACCATTGCCAGAAATTGATGAAAACACATTGTTTTTCTATTCAATTCTATCACACCAAAAGCCCTATTGTCATCCCATATTTCCAGAAAGATCTATCTCCCAGAGTATATATGAAAGTCTATCTGATACTGAAAGAAACTCATGGGCACAGACAAACCTCCTCTGGGTCCTGGCACAGACAGTAAATGTAATGAAGCAGAGAGGGCCAAGCAAGCAAAAGATTCGAGAGGAGGTCACAAGAATACTGTTTGATGAGGGACATACTGAGTTTCATTGGAGAACAGTTGAAGAGGCAGTCCAAAGGAGATACAACTTGTCCTTGTCAGAAGAGACCAAAATGGTGAGAAGGAACATCTTGGGACTATTTGCGGAAATTGGGATTCTCCAATACACCAGCCCAGATAGGATTGGTTCTAGCAATACATTCCCCAAACCTGCAAAGATGCTACAGTAAGTAATTCCTTTCCCAAGCTATGATAATGCCAGGTACTCTCAAGGTTTTTTTCTCAGGCCACTGACAAGCAGTCATACTACTTGTACCATAAGGGCCTGGCAATCCCGCAAGTGGACTATAGACAACAGTTTCCTCAAAGCTCTATCGGATTCCCTTCTAGCTGGAATTGTCCATGAAGCTTCTGTGTGGGACTTTGAGGACGAAAGTCTCACAGGCGGAACTGAGAGTCAGAGGGATGACAGTTCTCAAACAATGCTGGCAAAAAGAGACTACTCATATAGATCTTTTGAGATTCAGCCCAGATTGGAAGCATTGGAAGCAGTGCAACAAGTAAACTCAAGCTTCCTGACCGGCAAGTTACCATCATCCACTTTACAAAGAGAGTATACTGGACGGTTAGGATGGCTGTACTTGCGTTCTGGTGGGCTGTCACCAGCTGAAGCCAAGGAATGGCACTCTCGGCACCCATTGCCATCTCCGATCAACCAAAGCTACCTTGAGGAGACGGACGTACAATCCCAGGAGAACAAGGGCAAGCAGATCAAAAGCCCCATCCCCGACCTTGGAGGCAGACAGGGAGGAGGGACTGATGATGATACAGTGACACAAGTTGTTGTATCTCACAATCCAAGAGAAAGCGGGGGTGTTAGGAGTTTACTTCGCAGGGGCAAAGCGTTCATGTCCAGACGGTCTATGGGCGGGTCTTCCTCACGTAAATAAGAGTGATGATTCCGTCTCTCTGACTCTTCTCATACATGTCATCAGAGGATAGTATACTTGTGAAGTGACGCACACCATCTGCACATCTTTGACTTGTTGCTATTCCCTCCACGTGCTACAAGTTCACTTTGACTATCACAAGTCGTCAAGAAGCCGGGAAACGACTGACATGCTCGTGACAATCTATCATGACCAGATAACGAGACCGGTGATCATAGACCGTGCAAAAGGCTGAATATCAACTGTGCTCTAAGGAGTTGGTCTTGATATACGTATTGGTTGTGACACAAATAGTCAAACTACTGTCATGCCCCCCCCCCCCCCACCCCCCACCCCAGGTAAACTTTGGGTTCAGACAAACTTGATACAAATTACTGAGGTGTTCAAGAAGATGTCTGGACCTCCAAGGGGCATGAGGGGTCTTGAAGATTTTTCTCAACTTCCAAAAAAACTGCATGGTCAACATATTCACATGAGCCACTTCAGAGAAGATGTAATATAATTTGTAACATAATTTGTAGGCCAATTTTCACCTTCATTGTCACTGTCACTGTCACTGTCAGACACCTCCTCATTTGGAAGGAAGCCCGAATCTTCGTCACTGTCATAATCACTGTGATCATGACTGTCATACTCTTGATACCACAACCACGGCTTTGCGTTCAATAACTCTTGCCAAGGTTGTCCCCCATGCCACTCATCTCCACCTTCACCTACCCGACTATCATATGGTCCTCCATATTGCAGGTGATGGTGTCTCCAGGAGATCCACTTGAGGTGAGAATCTGGAAGTCCATCCGGTATCAGTACTTGTTCTTGTTCCATTTCTTCATAGGTGATATCATCCTCTTCACTTGAATCAGTTGATGATTGACTTTGATCAGCATCAATCTCCTTTGTCTCATAGTTACTGAGTACTGTTATGAGTACAATGTCCTCCCAATGCAGATTACATGCCCGGGCAGCCTTATATGTGGCCCAATTCAGGGGCTCCTCCCAATCTTTGCCCCTGATTGCATTATTCTGCAGATAGGTTTGAGCATGACTAGCAACACGTCTTGCCAGACGGGTTGATCGACCGGCTTCCGTGACTACAACGCTGATTTGCCCTGTTTTTTCTGAAGGTAATAATAGCCCTTGGACTGTTCCCTTGAACAGTGCCATATTCCACTTGTTTGTGCGCTCATTACTACTGGTCAGAGTGTTAAATCTGAGTGGAAAGATGAGAGCTTACTTGCCCAATCTTTCCCCTAGGTACATACAGGCCCTTGCTGTTCTGGCCCATTGGGAAAAGGGCTTGTAGTCACCCATAAGCTGGCTCCAATAGGGGGTGTTATCCGGGTCATGACTAGATGAAGCAATCTGATTAGAGGGAGTGAATGCTTCACCTTCAGATTGGTCGATTGAGGACATGACAACACGCGTCCCAAGTTATCAATCAATTCTTCAACTGTTTCACGGGTTCTGTTTCTCCTCCAGGGGTGTGAATGTTCTAATTGAAAGATTGAGTGATGATAGAGATGAGAATGATAGGTGAAACTAGTCAAGGAAGAGGGCTTTCAACTTCAACTTTTGACGATCCTTTGTTCCGGTACAGCATTTCAATCGGCATTGAGTATGGGTGGATCACCGAGGGTGACGATAGAAATCCCGGCTTTTCATATAAGGATAATCCTCGTCACGTCGGGGGTTATGTGATGATTAGTGAAGAGTAAGTATGATGACGCCAAATACTACATGTCACACCTATGAACACAACATGAATCCAAGCACTACCCAAAATATTCCTTATCCTTTTACCCAATCTCCAATCTCCAAGATACTTCTAACTCGTATAATCTCTCACCCGCAACGTGGATGAAAGTCCTCATTTCTACTTGGACATCCAACCCCAACAAAATACCGAGATACATGTACGAACTCGGTACTAAACACATGGAAAGACGTGTTGAAGAAACGAAGAGATTGTCGAGGAAACAAGAACTAACCCCGATGAAACATAAGAGAGAAATGTGGAAGAAATGAAGAATGTATCGAAACCACATGGTCAAAGTCCGATTCGAGATGGGAAAAACAAGAATATCTAAAGTTTGATAGGAGCTTTTCTCCGTCTACCGTGCATGGGGACCACTTTCATTTCTTCGAACCGTTTTTGCATCGCTCCTTCCGAATGAGCGAGGGTCATGTCGTCGTCCCCACCTGCGGAGACGAAGTCGAGTATGAGATTAGGGACGGATCTCCTACCTGTGAGATGTTGTAGGAGGTCTTGGATGATATTGTGGTCGACTGAGAGTCAGCAATGTGCGTTGCTTTCAGAGTCGAGGACCTGTGTGACGGGAAAGGAAATCATGACACTGTGTAAGAGGAGAACACTTGCGCGGAAGATGCGTGAGGATTTGAGAGAGGTAAATGTTACCGACGGTAAGTGAATAGAGAGGTAATAAGGTCTGTAGGAAAGGGAGATGAGATGGAAAGGTAAGATCGGATATCGGATATGATTTGAAAGGGTATTTATGTGGAAAAATCAAGGTATTGGAGAAAGGAAAGATCCGGAAAGGAGTGGGGGTTGGAAAAGTAACGGAGACTCGGTACTCACCTCGTTGATCTAGCTCGATGACGAAAGGTGCGGGAGTGAGGAAGTAATTGTCCAAGATAGTTTTAGCATGTTTGCAATAAGGACAATAAGACTAAATGATCAGCATGGATACCTCATGCACCGATATTCTTCTATCTTTCCCTGTTCACCGAAAGATGAAACGGCACGAGAAGAGATGTGAAAACAAAAGAAAGAAATTTCGTTTCGTACTCACCTTTGAAAACATCACAATCCTATATCTTTTATTGGCAAACTCTGCCCAACCATCTTCGAATATTTCATCCCCTGCTTCACCATTATCAATTCCCATCAACATATTCTCCATCCCTCTTCCTCCCGCTTTTCTCAATTCACCTTTACTGGGAACTTTCCAATCTTCCGAGAACATACCACCTTCAGCCAACCACCAAATAAGAGCTCTTAAACTTTGTTGACGATCATGTTCTAAAACATCCGCATGTCTAGCTTTGACCTCTGCTTCCGCCGCCGCTTCTTCATCTGATAGAGGGATAGGTTCTACATAATGATCCCAAAATTCGTCATCTTCAGCTATAAGTTCTTCCGTATCTTGAATGAGAAGAGATAAGCCGTTATCTTCTTCTGTTTCAGTGATCGGCGTATGTGTCACGTGAGCATGAACATGTTCCGATGAATCTCGGACGTATAAATGTCGTGGTGTTGAATGAGTGAATTGAATGGAAGGTATAGAAGATCGCGTGAGAAAGAATATAGATCCTAAGATTGAAACGAATAGGAGAGTGAAGAGTATAGGTGTGTGATGTTTTTCTAATCGGGTTTTGAGAGTGTATGATACTCTTCGAGCGGATATCCTACCGGGTGAACGATTAGGAGGGGAAGAGGGATGAACGAGTGGTAAGATTGGAGGTTTCTCCTCGTCAGAGAGGGAGAATGTTAAAGCGAGACAAGGCATAGGTGGAGTTGAAAGTGTATCTAACATTGTCGAGTGGCGAGAGAGTGGTAAGGTGTATATAACGAGTGAGACGGGTCAAGTTGAGTTTGCAGCGGAGAGGTGGAAAAGGAGAGAAAAGTTGAAAGGTCCTTTGTCACCCCGGATTATCCAAAGGGAGCTAGTGCGAGGCCCCGAGGTACGATCAGATGAGAGGTCCGAGTGGTCGAGCGTCTGATCCGAGGGTCACGAGGAAAAATCGGCGATCTGAGCGGACAAGGTGTTCCTTGTCAAGAGAGGTCTGTGGGTACAAAATGATCGGCGAGGGAAGCAGTGTGTGCAAGGAGCAATAGGAGGTCGGGTCGTGAGAGAGGGCGGTGAGAGGAAGGCGAGAGAACAAGTGAGGAGTCCTCAAGTCGAAAGAGTGTGGTGATGTCGTCGAAATGACTGTCGATGAAATGATCTATACCGTACGCCTTAAAAGAAAGTCTTGATACGTCTAATGTCGCAATGTTGAAAGAAGGATAAGTGAAAGAAAGGAAGAATAAAGATGCTTAAGAAGCTTTCTCCTTTTTCTTTGTTCCAAACGTTATTCCACGCAAAATACCAACGTATCTCAACAACCCAACCGACGGTCCAATGGTTCCAGTGTTGGAGTACGAGTATCTACCAATCTTTCACTAACACTCCAGGTCAGTCACCAATTCCAAGATTTAGTGCCGATTCCAACTCTTCACTAAAAGATCGACGCGTAATATCTTTCAAGATTTAACCTGACAACCACCTGAACCTCTGACTTCACACGCGTCTCTCAAATAAACCTCAAAAGAGTGATCGTCCTGTCCCATCCGAAGGGGTTTTTCCGTGAATCCGTGACTCTCGGTCTTTGTGACTTGCCCTAGTTGTCGGAGATTTGAAGGGTTCCCAAATTCTGTCTCTCACTTTATCTCTGATCTCTGATCCAATGCCGTAATCGTGATGTTCGTGTTGTGTTTAAAGGTGAACAGAGAAGAAAGAAAGAAAGAATGATAGATGACCATGGAATGAGTAATGTATCTTCGGTCTTTACGGATTCAAGCATGCTCCACTCCACAACCAGGTCCAGGGGCGACGTTTCGTTAGACTAGGCACGACGGCTCCATTGTCTTGTTTTCCGGTGGAGAAACACTGCCACTTTGAAAAGAGTAGAGGCATGAGAGCAGAGGAAGGTGAAATTTTCCAACTCAGGTTCCCGACGACCGGGTTAAGCCGAAGACCGAAAAGGGTCTTCCGACACCGATGGTCCCAACTTTCGAAACTTCATAGAAACCGCCTAGTGATGATTTGTTCCAAGACGTCACTCGTAACTTGCTGGAGGTATATCATATCAACAGGCCTTCTCACCTCATACATTAAGTAATCGAGTAGAAGGGCGTATCCATGTGAGCTGGTCATCTTAGAATAGGGGAATGAATTTTAAGTTCAGACAATTACCTACTTCTGATGTATCTCATACACCCTGGTTCGGGACGCCACTCGAATTCTCTCCGTTTCCTTGGCTCTTTGTCAACACTCAGAAAGAGACATATCAACCTCATCCATGGAAGACGCCACTGTTCCGTGGAAGATCGACAACTCGATCCAGATTCCAGAATTGGGAATTCGGCTTAACGCCAGATCTGTAGCTACATATGTACTTATGCTTGTCGGGTTGTTATCGGAGGTATCAACCCCGGAGAACATGACGGGATTGGCCGAAGAAAGGGGAAAGACGTTGATCGATCGTTGTTAATGAATTGATAGTGAGACACGGGCAGCCATCGGATTGAGGCGGAGGCATGACGAGCTACAGAGAAATAAGGCGTAACAGGTCTCCAACATACCTGGGCTGTCTGGACGTACGGAAGGGGAAAGTTAGAGTCCTTCTTCGTCCGGGGGTTTACCGGAGGATGTGATGAGCTTGGACGTAAGTTCATATTTGGTCACGAATGCACCAGTAGAAGGCGGGAAGGGGGATGTCAAACATGTTTGATATCCGTCCACTCAGTCGGTTCATTTGCTGATCCGCTGATCTATGTGTCAATCTCAGTGTCTGAGAGGCTGATGTGGACATGTAATCCCAAATCAGCCAATAGAGCAGATAGAAGGGTGCTTGGTGTATAGTACTGAAACGTCTACACTTACTTTCTCTTCCATCTGAAAGTGTCCATAGGTCACTGTTCATCACCTTCTTTCATCAGATCTCTTGAAACATTCGGGCTACTACTAATCTAGACTACGCTCGACTCGTTCACTTTTGAGCCTCAGCATCATACTCCCTCACTTCACTCAATTGACAATGAAACAGATCACATAAGTACTCTTCGAGTGCCACTCGCCACATTCCTATTTTTCCCTCCACTTTTTCAGTCCACCTACATCAATGTCTTCCACCATACCATGTCTTCCCAGCTCGGGGCGGCAGGTCAATTACTCGAGTGGATCAAGCAAGGAAGAGGTTGGATACATCCTTCTTTGTATCTAAAACTCGGTACGTTACTCCTTCCTTCTTCCATGTCCATCCCCTCCCCATTCCTTGTGACTGATCACAAGTTGCAAGTTGCATCACCTCTATGTCTTACCAGTCGTTTTTGAATCACTGACTTCTCTTCATCTCAATCATAATAACTTCAACCGACCTCTACATCATGTTCATCAACTCGGACTAATATCGTAGATCCTTACACGGGGCTTTCTATCTATACTTCCACGCCCCTTTCGCCAGATGAGAGAATACTATCATGTCCCTTATCTCTAACTATCACTCCAACTCTTGCTACTCGAGCCATTTGTGCGGAATACGACATCGTGGAAAGTGAATTGATCATGAGGGATGGTACTCCGTGGAGCGAGAAAATACTTTTGGCCGTTTATTTGGTTCTACATTGGATAAAACCGTATTCGTGAGTTACTCTCTCTCTCTCTCTCTCATCCCATCTTATACTCACCTTCTATGTCAATCATACATGTCCAACACGAAGTGGCAGAGTGAGTGTATAGACAGTCGTTATTCCGTTCCTCCTGCATTCGGTCGAGTGTCTTATGGCGGATTTTGAGCAGGTGATGTGCCTTATGTTGGAGATTGGACACTCTTTCGGATATCTAGTGAGAGGATAAAGTGAATTGTCATGTCGTTGAGATTTCATCAATAGAAGAAAAAGCTTATGATAGTCCCAATCTACATCATCAAATCTACGTCGACGCTTTACCTCCTCCTGAAACTCTTACAAGTCCATTGCATTTCTCCGACGCAGAGTTGGATCTGTTGGAAGGAACCAATCTTCTCGGTGCGGTGAGAGATAGGAAGAATGAATTGATGGAGGAAGCTGAGATTGTGAGAGAAGCTTTGAAAGAGCCAGGGACGACATGGTGAGTTGTCCTCTCCTCTCTTCTATCGATAGACAGACTCTCTTCTTTTTCATCGCCACATTACGAACATATATCCTTGGTCTGTGTCCTCTTGAAAAGATTGTCTATCATGAAATAACAATATCAATCGAGACAAGATAGTTTGCACATGTTTTTCAGATCCGAGGACAGGGCTGGGATTATGTACGGAACGAAAGTGAGAAGTTGAGAAAAAAGGGAACGTTATCGTGATGCTTCATTTTACGTATCTTCGAGAGCTTTCCCCTCTAGTCTACTTCAAATTCAGAATGGCACAGAGTCAGATATGATTCTTCCGGGGGAAATCTCACATCCTATTCTCGTACCTGGATTAGACTTGTTGAATCGTGAGTTTTCTTCTTGGTCTCTTTCCCTTTTTTTCTTTCTTCTGCCATATCGTACACTTCTCTGTCCGTGAAGGTATCTTCGTCTCTCCTCTTTTCCTCATCTTACTTCACATTCTGACTCTTTCGTAAACACTTTCTGTCCCGCATCTGAGCGGATGTCTCTGGAGTGAGGATGTATATACGGACCATTACTGAATATAAGACGCTCGAGGTCAAGCAGTAACATGGTTAACTCATTCCGTCCCTTCCCCCGACTTACCTATTCAATCTGTCCCTAGACACCTTCACTCACCCAATCTTCCACACCTATCAACTCCGCCTACCCCCCTTCACTTATCCGACTTCGAAACCGATACTTCTCTTCTATTTGACACTTCTGACAATGCTATCCCTGAAACGAGCGAGATCAACTCCCTTATTCCATGTATATCGTTCATCCCTCACACACCCATGCCCGCCCACACTCAAATATATAACAACTACGGTCCTAAATCCAACGAAGAATTTCTATACGCATACGGTTTCGTCCTCCCTGATGGACCAGACGATACTGTGATCCTAGCTCTCGGAGGGATGTTCAAGGGGAATGGGAAAAGATATGTGATAAAAAGGGATGGAAAATTGCCAGAGGGGCTAATAAGGGATATCATGGGGATTTTAAGTGAGGAAGAGGAGGGCGTAAAAAATGATGAGATTGATCTGAAGATGGAGTTGAAAGTATCACCTCAGCAAACTAACGACGAGAAGAGTTTCCAACAAGGTTGGAACATTGTGAATGATGAAATAGAAGACGAAAGTGAGAAACGAAGTAATTGTGAGGGACAGAAAGAACTTGATATCGATACGAAGATAAATGAAGAAGTGCAAAATGATCAAGAAGATGAAATTGAATTACGTCTTTACGTATTGGAAACTATCAAGAATATGTTAAGTGTTAAACTTGATAAATTATCCTCGAGGTCAAAGAAAGAAAATGAAATCGGTAGTTCGATAAGGATGAAAGTTAGTGATATGTGTGATGAATATCGGTCGGGTCAGAAAAAGGTATTGGAATTGACGATTCAAAGATTGGAAGAAGATATGGAGTTGTTGGAAAAAAGAATGGAGTTTACATTTTAATAGAGCGATATTATACTCCAGTTGAGAATGACAAATCTCAGTGTATTATATGCATCAGGTATCTACTACTTGATAAATTCCATCCTGACTTTCCCTTTCATTTTCTTGATCATTAGTATGAATCCTGCATCATTCAAAGGTGTTTGACGTGAGGCTCTTGGCCGATCCTTCATTTCGGTTATTCAACCGTTCAGATATCTCAGATATCTCCAAGAAAGAGACCGGAAAGAAGAATCTCAATATTCACACAATGTGTTCTCATATGACATCTTTCCATCATATTGAATACCCAAATACAAGAATCCATATATCAACCATCATCACACACAGTAAACGTCACCTGAACCTCACTTACCGCTCGACTGGTAAATATTTTCAAAATATTCATTCCGAATGTTATCCATCAAAAAAAGGAACTCATTCATTTCGAAAAAAATCTACGAGATCCCTACATAAAAAAAAAAGCCCCAAAGTATTCAAAGATGAAATTGTACAAATTGAGAAAAAGTCAAACTTCGTACGATTCTTTACAAACTATTCACAGTCTCCTTAATCTTCTGGGTCAATCCATTCAATTTTATCCCATTGGTCGTTCCATTCGATTTGGTTGATAAGATTTCACCTACGAAACCTTCTTTTTCCAATTGACGTTCGATAGCTGCTAAAGGTGTTACTTCACTTTCTACGTGAATACGTCCGGAAGGTTCTACTTCAGGTACTGGTTTACGTGTTTTGGCTGCTGATGCCGGATAATTATTTGCGAATTGAATAGAATACTGTTAAAATGAGTTTCATTTCAATTGTTCTTTTTTTAGAAAAAATGATTGTATTCTATGATAGAGGTTTGAAGGGAATTCATTATTCATCACTTGGAAAATGGCGATCTCCAGTTTACGCCCTTCCCTGTCTTGTCGGATTGGAAATGGATGTGAGAAAAGGTGAATTGGGAGAAATATTGTGGAGGAATGTCAAGGAAAATGAAGATCACGTGAAGGAAACGAGGTGGGATAAAAGTGAAAGGAGGGAAGATCAAATGAGGAGAAATGAAAAAGAGAACATTGAAACTTGTGACTCACTTTAGCTCCAGTGAATTTATTCCTACCCATCACCCACTCTCCTTTCGATACCTCCCCGGCGAGCTTACGAGCCTCTGCGAATTTCCCAGCTTTTGCCAACTCGTAAACTTTGATCGTGGCTCGAGGTGCGACGTTTGAGATCCCAGTGATAGCTCCGTCACCTCCATAAGCGACGGTACCGAGAAGATAATCGGTGGCACCTCCCAGTACGGTGAACGGGGCTGTGTGGGGGGGCACAAGATTGTATATCACATGACGCATGGGGGAGGGGTTGTCGAAGCAAGGGGGTCGGAGATGGTGGAGGTGAAGAGCATCCACGTTCAGAATTTGGTGTGAGGTTAAGTGAATAAGTCGAGGATATAAGAGAAGAGATGAATATGTTCGTTGAGTAGATGGGAGGAAGCAAGAAGCAGTAAAGAGTAATTCAAAGATGAAGATATAAATGAGGAAAATGTGTTAGCGCATAACGATGATACGAAAGAATCACTCACAACCATAATTCTTATCACGGCATTCCCTCGCGATTCGACCAACATCATGATCGGTATGTTTAACACCTGCGATATTGGGATGACGAGCGAGACGCATGACCAAATCGGAATCCATGTTGATACCTGATACTACGGATGGGTAAGAGTAGATGATGACAGGTAAAGGTGATTGGTCCGCGAGCTGAACGTGAGCTTTGGTCACTCTGTCTTGACCCTCAATAATTGGTTATTTCTCTCCAACATATGCAGTTTGACAATGTGAACCATTGTAAACAACAAAAAGGAGCAATGACAATCGGAACATCATCATAGCATAGTGAGGTGAGACGGGGTTTCATGTCAAGATGAATAAGAGTATTGAAGCAAAGTGAAAGATATAGCGTTGAAAGAGATGTGAGTAATGAAGGTTTTTAGAGGGGAAAAGAGGGAGACTGGACAAGGAAGAGGCAAAACCGACTCACATCCTCATAAAACGCCTGAATGGCATCAGGTGTCATAGCCGGTGCATAATAACTCGGAGGTAAAGTCAAGATGAAATCCGCACCTGCCTCAGCGGCATCGTTGGCCAATTGTACGTTTTCCCAAGTGGATTGAGCACCGACAGTACCGGCGATGATGATTCCGGGATTGCCGATCCTTTCGAATACTTCTTTAGCAGTGCGGATCATCTGTGTGTTAGCGTGGAGCCTTGTTATTGACACTATCATGCCTATCTCTGCCTATCTTGTGCAATGATACATAACTGATATCAACCGTTAAGGATGGGATTGTCCACGGGACCGTGACTCCATGTGGGACAGAGGAAGAAACACTTCTCAAGCACAGCTCAGGATAGCGAACGTTCCGACATATCCTACTGATTGACCAGCTTCTACTCTCTATAGCCTCACACATCTTTACTACCAACACACTCGACATGAAACAACTCTCGATATACTCCTCACTCTTCATCAAAGACCTCACCAGGTGACGCATAGACATTCCCCCACTTTCATCGTCCCAAATAAGAGGATGATTGGAACTCATCTTCATAGATTGATAAACAAAACCCACCGACGACATCTCACAATTATCCCAACTTGGGACGGGGTGAGGTTTGAGGGGTGGGAGAGTGGAAGTGAATACTAAGAAATGAGACTTACAATCTTCTTTTCCTCCCTTGTCAAAGCGACAGATTCCCCAGTAGAACCTTGTACAGCAACACCGGCCACACCAGCTTTAGCGAGGAATTCGAAATGTTTGATATTAGTTTCCATATCTAGTTCTTGTCCTGGTGTATCGAGGAAAAAAGTAGCGATAGGACAATAAATCCCACCGGGAAGTTCTGTTCCTCTTTTAGAGATGGACATGGTGTAATGTTGGTCGTTCTACTCTCGATTTGAAGATCAAGTTCGATATGTGATCGTACGAGTGCTACGTTGTCGATAGTGAAGGAGAAGTTGGGAGAATGTTACGGGAAAGGTGATGGCTTTGAATTAGAAAGAGAGTATACTCTAAATCTGTAGTGGAGAGTGATGATAGAGAGAAAGATTGGACTGTATTGTATAAATGAAAGACTCGAGGTTCATACTTTCAGGGGAAATAGAGTGGGGTAAAAGGGCGAAGTAAAGTGAAGAAAGAAGCAAAAAGTGTCCGGTTCACCCGGTTAAGCCGGTATTCGGCCCGGTACTCGAACCTCCACTTTCTTCATACAGCAGTTACAAGTCAAAACCTATCCCCATTCCATCTAAAACCGACCCATCTGATCATCTCTGTCTTCTTTATGACTTCTCCAGAGGTCGGTGGACTAGAAGTATCTCTTAGTGAATAGAGAAGGTCCTCATGTCATTGATTACTTCAGGATTGAGGAATGTTATTGGATAAGTTTAGGTGACGAAAGTGAGTAAGGAGAGATTGGACGGGACGAACGCCGTGATGGGAATCGGGAGTGCCGAGTGAGTGCCGAGGACAGTTTTCGTCACCTCTTCGTTTCGTCCTCTTTAGTTCCATCTTTACATAGATCCTCCTCTAAGTACACTTGTGGAAGTGGAGATCTGTGGGTTGTACAGAAATAACATGAGTGAGGTAGATACAGATGAAAATTCATGCATATGATCATACGACGATTACAATGAGGCATCGGATACTTCCCACCTTATGTCCCCCTGCCATGTGATAAATGCATATCATGCCATAATCCCATCAACGTCACAGAGGCGTTAAGACATGCTTCGCAATCTGGGAATTCCATAAATTCCGATTTGGCAGAAGAAGGCTCAGTCTGGACTCCAGTATCGTATACCACTTTATCCGGTGTAATAGACGTTTTCGAGATCACATCGTTGGGAGGTGAGGTGATACCATGAGGTTTGGCTTCAGTCGGCTCTTTCGATAGGTCGATGATCGGTGTGGGTCGTATGTTCAAAGGAGGAACCTTCGAGATCTTTGATGTTGTCCGAGGGGAAGTTTGACTGGACATATACGGAATGATTTTGGTAGAATGAACAAGCTGTGAGGAGGTTTTTCGATTGGAAGTGACCATGGTCTGAGTAGGACTTTGAGATCTGACCATGATCGTGTGCATACTTGGTACTAAAGGAGAAACATCGCTTTCGCTCGAACCAGAAAGCACCTCGATAGCTCCTTCTACGAAAGGTGCCAGTTTGTTTTTTGATTGATGACGGGGAGGTGTGGTGGGGACTTCGTTTGTTTTCGGTGTATTGACAAGCCCTTTCTTCGACATGTCTTCAGCAGATGTGAGTGCATTTTGAGTGTTGTTTGCGCTCTGGTATGTCATTCCGGTACTGGTCTTAAAGGTAGGTTTTGTCGATGGAGTGAGGGCGTTTGGATGTTTTGAAAATATTCCGGGGCGAGTGAAAATCGAATTCCGAGTTCGACCGATTGGATGCTGAATTGGGGCAAGGTTGGAAGATTGAGGAGATGGGTGAACTTTGTGAGCACCGTTATGAGTCTGTGAGCTTGGTTGACCGACGCGACCGAGGTTGGGAGATTGAATGATCGACGCACCAAAAACTGTGCGATTGAGTGATTGTGAAGATGAGAGACGATTCGGGGTGGTGTATGATGAACGAGCAGATAATCGATTGAGTTGATTGCCAAATGACTTGAACTTGTTCTTTACCTGCTTATTCGACTTTCCGCCTGTCTTCTTTTTACCCTCTTTCAAATGTTTCTTCTTCGATCCAGTCAGACTGTTGAAAGTCGTAGTACCAACTCCGATCCGGCGTATCTCGAGAGTAGGTTTGATATCCATATCAGCAGTTTCCTCTGGTTTATATCCCGGAACAGCAGTGACAAGTGTCGAAAATGGGGAAATGACGTTTGAGATGGCAAGATCCTCAGATGTAAGATCTGCTTCAGATGCACTACTTTCCAATTCATCCGTCTCGTCCGTTGATATTTTCAGAGAAGGGGGAGGATCTACTTCTGACGAATCGTCATCCCCATCCACACTCGTCGTTTGACTATACCCTTGTTGATGTTCTTTATTCGGTCCTTTCCTTGAATCATCTCTGAAACCTGGATTGGCCGAGGACCGTACGAAGAGGATCGACTCGGAATCTGAGTTTAAGTCTGAGTCGGTCTTCTCTTCCGGATTAGAAGATGAATTGGAAAGTGACGTTCGCATGACATTGGTAGGTGTGGGTGTACGTACAACCCAAGTTGGTGCCGTCTTTCCTTTTCCTTTCGATTGAGAGTGGTCCGAATGGTTGACGACGTTTCCGATTGGAGTCGGAGATGTGTTATTCATCTGGAAAGATCTGGAGGATGATTGTATTTGTATATTTGGGGGAGTGACGATTTGGTCATCTTCAATATCTGATGAATCGGGTGATAAAGATGGTAATTTATCTGGGAAGAAATGAAATATAGATGAATCAGGGGAGAGAGAAGGTAATCTCTCCATTTCGTCGTCGCCCGCATCGACATCAATACATTCTCGTACACCAGGTCCTGGACCGATAGTGACAGAACCCTTGAGGAGTAGAGGTTGGGGTACGTCTTGACGTCTTTGCTTATTGGCAAAGTTGGACCTGACTTCATCAGCCATGAAGAAGGAAAGACACAACTTGCGTGAACAGATCATCAGGAGAAGACGAGAGGGAAAAAGGTAGGAAGGGATCTAGAGGACTGACATGGATTTCCCAGGCCGTTTCTTCATCCGAGGTGTGCGAACAGAGAGAGTCGATGGGCCTGAATGAGTTTGGAAGACACGACATCCGTCTATCTCGTCAGCCAATCTGGTCAAGTCAGGAAGCGGGGAGGGTGACTGACGATGATCCACAGCGTGTCTTTTCATGCTTACGAAGGATCGAAAACGCTGTTTGCATGTTGTCTCGACACAAGAGATTGAACTCATATCGTGTATCTTGTGAGATGAGAGTAAGTTGGGAGAGTAAGTATCAGTGAAAAGAGGAGGTGGTGTGTCTGGACAACGTCTGTCAAACCGATGACCGGGTGAGAGATGGTCGTCATGGTGACCACTGACGCCCTGGACCATGAACTATGGGTTGTCGACGAGCTGCATGCTTTCAGTCACGTCACTCGTTCTGAATCAGGGAGGATCAGAATAGTGAGTACTAGCTGGGGGCCATTGAATGAGATAGATGTGAGGTGAGTGCAGCCCACAGCGAAGACATGGTCACGAATGAGTTGGTAGCGTGGATGAAGAGAAGTCAGAGGCAATAACGTTTTGACTTTTGACTTTGGTGGGGAACGGCGATAGCATGCATCACCTATTCCGCCACTCTCACCAAGTATTCTCAAACGCCGCAAGTCCCGCCGCACCCCTTGCCATCTTCTTCCTCTCCCCCGCGATCTCACCTTCTTCGCACTCTTTACGACAACCAAGAGTCAATTCTTCACCATCGAGCACACAGCTCTTCCCACCCCCACACTTCTATAGTCATCCACTCTCACCGACTCGGACTCGCAGATACATTTAGCACTTTACCAGAATCATGTCCGTTCAAGAAGAGATCCCCAATGGCGCAGAGGCCCTTGCGGCCGCGCCCCAAGTTGAAGAGGGTCCCAAAGTTCGTTTCCCCTCTTCTCTTCCAGTACAATGCTTATATCCAGGTTTACGTCGGGAATCTTTCCTACACGGTCAGCCATCACCTCGAATCCATCGAGATGTCATAGCTGACTTGCAGGCCACTGAGGATGAAGTACGTGAATTCATGTCCCAAGCCGGGGGCGAGATGTGAGTGTTCTCATTTACTACTCATAAACTATCTGGAACCTGTTTCGCTGGTCGTGTTCACTGAGAGATGTCCGTTGTGGTGATCAATGTAATCCCAACCTGACATACAGCACCAGCGTCGAACTTCCTCAAAGATTCAACCGTCCCTCGGGGTACGCTTTCGTAGGGTACAAGACCCTCGAACAAGCTCAGAAAGCGGTAGAGGAGCTAAACGAGAAGAGTGGGTTATTCAGCTCCACACTCGCGTACACCTTACGTCACGTTCCAATTTTGCCACCATTTCCATGTTGACGCCCTCATTATGTCATGCTCACCGTCACGGAACAATTTGGGACCACGCTGATAGCAGCGTTGCTGGATCGCGCAGTCCGCATGCAAGTAGCCAGGAGCAAAGAAGAAAGTGCTCAACGTCGCAAAGAAAATCGTGAAAAACGTGCGGCTGCTAAAAAGGAAGGGGCTGAAGCAACCACCACTGATGCTGAGGGTGATGCCAAGCCAAGGAAGCCAAGGGTCAGCTGTTTTATATTTCTTTTGTGACGCGAAAGCTGACCAAGTAGCAGAAGCGTGAACGTCGCCGCCAGCCTGATGAAGGTGGGGACGAGACGTTGGTAGAGAAAGAAGGGGAGAATGGACTAAAGTCCAAGGCTAAACCTCGTAAACCCAGGACGAAGAAGCCTGCACGTGAGGCAAGGATCGATGAAGTCGAAGGGGAGGTGTCTGCCGCCGAGGGACAAGTCACGACTAAGGAAAGGCCGCGCAAACCTCGAATGCAGTTGACCGGGGAGGCCAGTCCTGTAAGTTGTGTCTTTGACTCGATCCTCTACTTCGTCCTATTTTCGTGATTATGTTGTTGAGCAGGGTCAAGCAGGCGCGAACCTCACGTGTTGATCTAAAAAAGAGCTAACCAAGATCAGACTACCATCTTCGTCGCCAACCTTCCATTCAACGTGGACGACGCAGCACTCGCTGCCATCTTCACCAACCTGTCCATCCGAGTCAAATCGGCCAAGGTGGTCCGCGGTCGTCGCAACCCTCTTGGTCGCAAATCGTTTTTCGCGTCCAAAGGATTCGGGTTTGTGGAAGTGGAAGATCATGCCCAGCAACAGGAAGCTGTCGACAAAGTTGAGGGGTGTATGATTGGGGAACGTAAGATCTCGGCTAAGATCGCTAATCAGATGAAGCCTGTGGAGGAGGAGCAAGTTGCAGAGGCCGAAGCTGAGGCTGCTGTCTAAAGTGAGTCCAGTCTGGTCATATCCTTCATGTTGATCTTCCTTTTTATCACTTCCGACCTTCCGCACTTCCCTCTTGTTCTCGCTCTGTATACGACGAGTGGATCATCAAGTAACCCCGCTGACCCGCAGCCAACCTTTCAACAAGACATTTTGGAGATAAGACCAGTCTTGGTCATCGACGATCATGTCAATGTGATTTCACCAACGGGCATTTGATGTATGTACAGACAAGAAAGACCCAATTGAGCATGCAAAACCTATGACTTTGCGGTGACGAGGACTTATCGTTTTATCAATGTCAACGAGGCCAGAAGACAAGGGTGAAATCATGATGCATACAAACAGTCGTTAGATCATCAACTAGGTATCCCTCAAATGCAGGGTGATCTCCACACGATCTACAACATTTGGAAAAGGGGGAAAGTACAAGGTGGATTTTGTACTGGTATCGTATCAAGATGAAGAATATGAATCTACACATCCAAGAAGATCTTTCCTTTCTTTCTTCCTTCATCCCACTTCATCCCACTACATTACTGGCTGACTGGTACATCTTCACACCTCATCTGCAATATCACCACCGTGTTCTCCCCACTTTCATATCTGTCATCTCTTCGTTTCTCAGCTTCACTCTCACCACCGTCCTCTGGACTTCCGTCCCTTCCTCTATCCCTACCCACACTTCATCGTCCACGCACCCTCACCTCTTCTATTCCTCTCTATACTTCTTCCCGAAGACTTCCTCGTCTCCTCTTATCTCTTCTCGCTCAATCTTCCAATATTCTGTCAGTCACCCAGTCTTCGAATCGACTCGTGTAACACCGACAAGCCTCGTACGATGTATTCTTGAATCTTCAACGAACACATTGTTGTTTCCCTCGTTCCTCCCAAAACATCGTTTCTTCGCCCAAAATCACGGAACCCAAAAACCAATGAGTCATCTATCATCATTGGCTGTTCCTCCTCCCCATACTCCTCGAAACCCAAATCAGACCGTTTGATCCACGGTCAAAAATTGACACCCTCATGAACAATTACCTAGAATGAATTCTTCACAATCACCCCCATCTGTAGCTCCAACAACATACCCTTCTCCTCTTCTAGACCGTACAGCCTAAGTGAACCGTTCAAGCCGGTTAAATACACAGCTAAGGGTGTTACGAAACCATATGACGAAATTGTAGAAATATTGTCGAAGAAAGTCGAAAAGGTTTGATGGATTGTCACCTTGAGTGAAAGGACGACGGAATTGAAGGATAAGTCGAAATACGAATTTCGGCGCAAGTGAATGTGAGGATCAAGGTGATCATGGTCCAGCTGTCATACTCATCGCTTCATCCTCAAACATACCTTCAAAAGGATGTCCCAAACCTTCTAAATCTGCACTGGGTAAACCTGGACTTTGTCTAGTTGACCATCTTTGATCCAACCTTTCCCTCTCTTCTTCTTTATCTACTTCCCCATCTCTGACGATCATCTCCTGAGGATTTTGTCGATGATTGTCCCTTGTCCATTGTTCTGTCTGATCTTGGGATGTTTTCCATTCTTCGTTGGGTTGGTCTGACACAGGAGGTTTCCACAATCTATGATTTGCCTGAGATGATGGTCGGTCGACTGACCAAAAGGTTCTCTCGGTTCTGTGAGGGGTGGAAGGTTTAGATGGGATAGAGAATGATGGAGGGTTAAGTTGAGGAGATATAGAATGAGAATGATTGGAATCTTTGATTATAGGGGATCGGAATTGATCCTGAACTCCTTGTCCTATTTGTCCTTGTGAGTGATGTCGTCTTTGATCCTCCCCGAATTGATCTGAATATGTCTGATCAACCAAATCCTCATTGTGTCGCATCTGAAGAGAATCATCTTGACCGAGTTGTCTTTGCAATTGACCAGGAAGTGATTGCGCTGCTCCCCAAACGATATCCGGCTTTCTTCTCACGTCCACTTCTGATTGTGTGCTATACACTCCTGGACGTTTGATAGTGGAGTAAGGACTAGCGAGGGTAGCTCTTCTGGCATGAATGATTCTTGGACTTTTCTCTTTTCCTCTCGTCATACCTTCTTCTCTTCCTCCATCCCCAATATTCTCTCCCCCCTTTTCTGTGTTATCTTGTCCTATTCTTGCGGATCCTTGTTCCTTTCCTACACCTCCTTGATCCATACCTGTTTCTCCATATGCGGCTCCCATTCTTTGTGATTCCGAATTTCTCTCGAGATGTCCGGATACATTCTCTTTCTGACGCCCGACACGAGACGACAGACTGTTGGTCAAAGAGCTCATCGCCAACCTTTGCCCACTTCCCATGCTGCCCCCTGGGGGTGGAGCACCGTATGAAGCTCTTCTGGGTAACGGCACGGGTGTATCCATTGGGATATCATACGCTTGGGCTAGTGTCGGACTTCCTTGGAGTATTGATTGTGGACTTTGATTCGGGTATGACATTTGTGGGCTTTGTACTGGGTATGGCATCTGTGGACTTTGATTAGTGTATGATAATTGTGGACTTTGGGCGATATATGTTTGTCGAGGAGTTTGAGGTTGATAATCTGGTAGTTGAGGATTTTCTTCTTGATTCAAGTTTGATCGTGATTGTGATAATCGAGGACTTTGACTTTTATAAGCTGTGTCTAATTCCACATCCAGTTCCATCTCCATTTGTCTAGTCGAAACGTTCGGCGAAATCACCGGACTCTCTTCAATCGATCTATTGGGACTATGATTCAAAGTAATGGGAGAAACCGCACCTTCCGGCATGGCTCTCGGGGTAAAAGGAACATAGCTAGGTTTTTGAGGAGGTAAAACGAAACCAGTTTGATAGACTCCTGGTGAAACAGTAGATGGTAAATGTACTTGTGTAGGTGGAAGAGTGATATGAAGGTTTCCTCTATTATTGAGAGGTGTATAAGTATGTCCACCGAAATCTGTGAAACCTGTTCTTGTCCAAGTTGATGGATGTGTAAGGTCGTATGGTTTATTCTTTTGTTCTTGTACGTCCTCAACTTGTGGGAAACTTGGAGAAAGGGAAATAGATGAAGAAGATGGAGAATAGAGAGTAGCAGAAGAAGGTTCAGCTTGAACAGAACGAGTTCGAAGATGCATTTGTCTCACGGTTGGATTATGAAGGAATCCACCGGAAACTGGTGCACTGGAAGGTTGTATTTCTGATTGTTGTGAGGAAGTTTGGTTATGTTGATAAGGATCAGATTGATGGAAAGGTAAAAGAGTATGGAAAATAGCCGGAGTTCCAACTCCTAGTGGAACTGGTAAAGCTCTACCGGAGGTGATTCGTTTATAGGCGATATTGAATTCGTCCAATGGGGAATCAGCACGTTGGACGGGAGTTTCAACTTCGACTTCTTGGTCGATCTTTCCCTGGACGGAGTAACGAGGAAGGGGATTTCTGTTATTGTTGATTGAACCTGGTCGAATTAAGGGAGGGGAGGAGGAAGACAAACGACCATTTCGTCGACGAGGAGGTTCGAGATCGGACATGAGATGATGATGATAAGCATCGGGAGGAGATGTATAGTCGTCAGAGTCGGAAGAAAGATCTTCATTTTGAGGAGAAGATTGTTGACGTTTCTTGGCTTGAGAAGGTCGTGGTGGTACTCGACGTTTGAAACCGAGTATCTCAGCTTGCGTCGAGGTACGTCGGAGGAATGGATGAGCTGAGGTTAATAACAAAACTTCCAATTCTTGATAAGAAAGCGAGCAAAGTCGGGATGGCCTCAACGGGATCGAACGCTGATATCGAACAGCTGAGAAAGGAGGAGACACATGAAACGAGAGGCAAGAATGAGGGGAGGTACGCAGGGATGACAAGGCGAAGGTATGAACAAGACACTCACACCATGTACTAGCATCTGGATCATTGATACCTTTCTCCACATGACGCAGACTGACCTTGCGCATCCATCCATAGATCTGAGCATTAGCCAAGATCTTCTCGCAGTCTCAACCGTCACCATACGTTGAGACGACATCAGTGGGCACGTGAGAAACACGACGACACACAGTATAGAGTGCACTATGGCGCACCCATGCGCATCTCGAAGTAGACAGAGTCAGGGTCAAGCCACAAGGCAGAACAAAACTCACGTTGAGTTGTCGAGAAAAACTAGCAAACCTGCTTTGTTTATAAACCAAAGGTAAAATCTTATCCGCCAATTCTTCAGGTTTCTCAATGATTATCGTCGATTCATCTTTGTCCCACCGGATGATCTGTGGTCAGCATTCTTCCGCGATAGATACACGCTTTCTTGATCCCTTCTCTGGGATTGTCTTGCTCATCCTCATCCACGCAGTTTACCTCGTGCACGATAGAGACCGAAGTATGATCCGCACAGGCGAACGAAGTGATCCCCGAAGGATACAGTATGGTATCGGAAGATATGCAAGCGGATAATGTTTCCGCTATCCGCATTATTCCTTCATATGGATCCGCACCATCTGTCCACATCCCGCTCAAAGACAGGAGCCGTGCTCCCCCACTTGTCAAGCGGATCGACAGACTTTGGTCTGACATCGTATATGACAGGAGCAACTGAGAGGAGAGATGACAACGGGTCGAGTGGGGGCATGACACACGGATCTGAAATGGATGAAAGCTTGTATGTGGAAAAGACGAAACACTCACATGATGATATTCTGGTTGTTCCCTCGGCATTAGCAAAGTCCACCATTTCTCAGCTTAACTTACAGAATACTATGACGTCAGCTTGTCATATCTCTGAATTTCCGGAAGAGGAGCAGGAAGTCAAACAATATCAGTCTCATACCATGACATGCTGAGAAGGTGTGATTGATACCACCGGACCAAAGCTAGGATAATGTAACGGAATGATGGAAGACTCACGCATATAACTTTGTGAGAAATGTCGGTTGTTTGCCATCAGTCTTCTTTCCCTGTCCCTTTTTCCCTCCTCCGCCTTGTCCTGAACTCTGCAATTGTCCGGGGGGAAGCTTCGAAGTGATCCTTAATACCGGGTTGAAATACGGGTCCACCTCTCTTGGACTGACGTATTCGGGACCATCTGAAGTTTCAGGTGAATGAGGTGAAGGATTATCAAACATTGTCATATTGGTTCTGTTGACATACAGGTTGGGACGTTTTGGAGTGTCATACTGACCTGCTGGAGCGTCAAATCGAGCTTGGCCGATGGTGGTCTGATATCGAGGTACCGGTGTGTCATATGGGCGTCCTGGAGTCTCGTATCGAGGGTGACGACCTGGAGTGTCATACGCTCCTTGTGAGATTTGTAGAAGTGGGGTTGCTGGAGGTGGAATACCTCTAGTTAGTCCAACTTCTTCCCCATCTCCACCTCTACCAGGCCTTCCAACTTCTGCTTGCCTGGCTCTGCCAAATTTTCCGTATGCCGCATCTCTTATGTCTTTGTTCTTGACACCATAGTTGTCGTTTTGTTGAATTCTGAAGCTCCGCTCGTGGTTGATGCCAGGGGAGGAATCGGCTGCAGGGAGTTGACTGGGAGGTGTAGCGGGCGAAACATACCCTTGAGACTCCGATGGTGTAGTGGCATGAGCAGGAAAACTAGGTAGACTGAGTCGACCAGGGGAAGATGCAGGGTCTCTCCATGGTGTTCGACGAGGAAGAAGGGATGGAGCATGAGGAAGCGGGTCCATCATTGGCATGATGCTGTTTGATCAGCTTGTGTTATTTTTACGGGAAACGGGCGACTACCAGGTTCTCTGACGACTATTGATGATGGACATTGCCACGGATCAGATGAATTGATCCTGGGTTACAGGATGGTACATAGGTGACATCTGACGATTGGCTGAATGGGTGCGAACGGACTCGAGGATGTAGGCGAATGGGAGCATATGAAGAATAATACTGTGGACTGGCGGAGGGAAAATGAGCAGCAGGTAGTAGGTAGTCGATCCGCAAAGATTGTGAAGGATGAGACAGGCGATTTAAAATCACTCACTAGGATGATCACCAATTACTGTCTGAACCCTGGGTCTAATGCTGGAATCAACGCCAACTCTGTCGTTGAGATCGATGCCGGAATTCTGTTCAAGATCTCTCCTGAATCAACGCTCAAGGGTATAGATACCCTTGGTCTCGTTACCTTTGCCGCCGGATCAGAAGGGGGCCTACAGAAAGAACCCACAAGTGTCAAGTTATAGGCACAAGTCTCCTAAATGTGTTCTCGAAGACTGTGATCGACTTCTCACACTCCTAACGTAAGTGTGTGTTTCGCGGCGCAGTGGCTTTTAGTCTGTTCCACCCTATTTCCCTTTCCTTTCCGAAGGGGCTCGACGGAGGACCTACGATAAGGTCGCTAAAATTTGAACCCTTTGTGGTCTACGTGTGACGTGTGAAGTTTGCGGCCTGAAGGCGTGATAAGAAAGGTTTGAGGGAGAAGGGATGTTAGAGGTTCACAGGTTTAAAAGGGTCAGCTTTCATGTCGATCTTCTTCTCCTCATCCTTTCCTTCACTTCCTCCCTCCCCTCTCCCTTGCGCCGATCGACACGGCCATGCCATGTCGGAGTGGGAGTATAAAGGAAAGGAAGTCGTGGTTGACTTTAAGCGGTGTAGTCGAATCTCATAGTTGGCCGAAGCATGCGACTCTGTGAATATGGTGGAAGAGAAAAGAGGTGCTCACTTGAACAACCGAAAGATTGCCAATTTTAGTATAGAGGGCTAGGCTTTAGATTCCCACCGTTGCCTTCCTGTTCTGGCCCTTTCCAAAGAGCCCAGAAGACTTGTATGTAAATTGAGATAACTACAAGGCGGTAGATCAGAGAGAATGTCGGAGGAAGTCCGAAGACTGGAAGCCAGACGAAGCCTGAAGGGTCTAGCCCAAGAGGGGGCGGTGACGGTCACCGCTTGATATATATAAAAGACGAAAAGACTTTGTGTCTCGATTCGAAGAGATGTTAGACGTTCCCTTGTCACCTCTTTCGGTTTGACGGTGTTTCGGTCTATAGACCAGAAGGGAAGGGGCTTGTTCACTTTGTTGAGGTGATCGACACCTGAAGACTTCGAAAAAGTCCCACTCCTTCTCCTGCCAAGACGGACGAAGGAACAGGAGATAGATGGCGGACCGACGCTAACCCCCTTTGAAGGAAGTGGACGAGTGGCAAATCCGTACCAGCACGTCGTCGGATATGACGGGTAGAAAAGTGGAAGTAAATAGATTGGGAAAAGGTGAATGACGTGATGTTACAGATGGTGTAGATTGAGAACGTGTCGAGAGTGTATTGTGTGAAGTATGATTTAGTGGAACATTGAAGAGGATATATGATTGAAATGAAACGGACGAAGGGGGGGTTACAGATTGATTGGCAGTTGACGTCGGCGCAGCGTATTCCAACGACCCGATAGTCTTGATGTCTGACGTGGGCGAGAGGAGGAAGGGAGGAGAGGAGAGGAGAGTCATGTTGGTCGCAAATCAATAAGATGACCATCAGACTGTGAATGGAAAACACGTTGCAAGTGAAGGGGGTGTATGATCGTACGCCATCAAACCTATTCAGTCAGTCAGATAGATAACCGATGGTGGGAGGGGGGGAAAGAGATGTACGCACTTTTCTCTTTCTCTGTACAGATGTGGCTTTTGAGCGGGGCGCAAGGAAGAAGTAAACGTGTCAATGTGAGTCTTGAGAATATAGCACGGAATGGATGATGGCGGGTTAGAAGATTAAGTGGGGAAGAATTGGTCAAGGTGGAAAAGAGGTGGAAATGATGTGAAATGATGGTCAAAAACTCTTGGCCCATCCCATCTCATCTCTTTCAACGTTTACCGAGATGTCAGAGATCAGAGATCAGAGGAGTGAGATTGGGATTACTCTACTGGAACGTTGGGTCATGGGATCAAATTGAATCAGTCATGTCAATTGGCAGTGGGATTGGATGGGTTGATCCAATAATCTTGAACACTTTAGAGACATGATCAGCCACAAGGTTATCATGACGGATCAGAAGTATCGAATGACGAGTCTCCTTCTCACTCGCTCGCCCATTGTCAACTGGCCCTTGATCCTTGACCTTCGGCCCTTTGTCGCGAGTAAAGTATTTGTGCCAAAAGTGGTGAGAATATGATATCCAAGTTCGAGTGCCGATCAGACTGATGGAATCATGTTGATCATAGAGCGAATGTCCAGCGTCGAGGTCTTGAAGTACGAATGACATGTTCGGCCGTCGAGTAAACTTTCGGGAGTACGAGTACTCTACTCGGTATCGTCCATGTCCCAGTCGGCAGCATCGGCACAAGCACTATTAATCATTTTGACATCTCATGCGTGTTGTATGAGCCGGATATCACGCAATGGGATCATGACGATGAGTCGATCAAGCCGAAGATCTGAGAGAAGAGAGGAGAAGATTGATGGCGAAGTGAAGAGACGGCCCGAAGGTCATTGTACATTGTGCTCGGATGCATCTTGCAGCGTAGGAAAACTGGGGCGTATGTGTTCTAGAGGTCAGGTGAGAGTACGAAGATATCACACCAGCAACAAAGATACAGCAATGGGACGACACCATACAGTATCGCCGCATGCGCCGCAGGAGATTTGACCCGCATGACCGACGGCCGACGATACGCCCAACACGCACCGTCAGCTGACAGTCCCGTTGGGGGGAATCGGGTGGCCGCGGGTGGGGGGATCGTCAAAGCGCTTAGCGCCGATGCCGACCTGTTCCGAGATCACAGATCAGGAGATGAGGAGAGCGTTATCCCACTCTCACTCTCCGACATTGATACTGTATGCTGGTCGTCAATGTATATCAATCAGTAGTAGGATCAAGTAGGTATTTAGAGCAACGAGAAGAAGCATCGTGACTTTCCTCAACAGCAGGTCAGGTTCAGGAACAAGAAGGGTGGATAGTTTAACGGGGAGGATGAATTAAATTAGATCTCACATGGATTGCAATGTTCGACGCGTTGGACGCGTCTCCAACTCTTCACCACGCGTTTGACATTTCTCTCTCGCTCACCTACACTCAAACGTCTTTAGAGAAAGCAAGATGGACGCCAATAGAGTATACTCAGTACAGGTCTTAGCACCAGAGACCAGCCCGGACTCTCCTTCGGAAACGGAGAGAGCTTTTCTTGATTTCTTGTCCGGCTTCAGAGTCAATGGCGAGTTTACTTATCGGTGAGTTTTTCTTCCAACACTTCCTCTGCATTCCCTCCGACAAATAAATCCTCCCCTCTGTCATATTTTTCAAAAGTGCAGAGCGCTTTCAACTCACGTAGCTTGATTTTATAGAAGGCTTGTTTTTGGAAAGAGAGAGGCCGGGGTGGTTGAGAGGGGGGGAGGGGGGGACAGGTGGCCAGCGCTTGGCCACCGTGTGGGATACACACAATCTGACTTCAGTGATCGCCTCCGTTCTTCTCTTCTTCTACACCACCACACACTCGAAGTCGACTTACGAGATCTACACATGTGGAACGATGAATTAGCCCAAAAAGTTCAGGTCAATCCAGGTGATATGATCCCATTACTGGAATCTGCCCTTTTACGATTGGCCAGGATGTTGTTGCATCCTACTCGAGAAGCGGGACCTTCGAACGAGGGCACAGAGGCGGTACCGGATATGCAAGTGACAGTGAAGAGTGGGATGAATTTGCTTCAATTTAGAGAACTCAGTGTGGGTTTTTCTTCCCCCGTTCTTGATTGCATCTCCCCCACCTCCCACCTCCGTCCCAGCCTAAAACTCCCTTCAGACTTGTATCTCTCTCCTCATGTTCACTCTTCCATACTCACATGCGTTACTCACAACATACCTTCTATTTATCTTTCACTTGCTTGATCATAAATGGATGCTTTTCTCATTCCTCGTACAACTCCTGTCTTCGCTCCACCCGGATTCCCAGCGGTCAATCTGATCACGTTATCGCACTCACTTACCCCTAGGCAAACACGCTTACCACCCTCGTTCGTCTACCAGGAATCGTCATCAATGCCTCTCAACTCACCTCCCGAGCCACACAATTACATCTTCAATGTAAAGGATGTAGGAGTGTCAAAACTGTTAAAGTGCCCAATGCTATTGGGGGAGAACGTTCTGCTTTACCAAGGAGATGTGATGCGTCAGTGACCCTCCCTATTCTCATACTCATGAGCTCTATCTTCCGTATCAACCGACGCACTCCTTCATACCTTATCTCTCCTCCCTGGCCATATGTGGCTCATCATTTCATCGTTTTGTAACGCACTCCTCTTGATTTCTGTGGTTTGTCCTTCTTCAGCTACTTCCTGGTGTAATTTTCGATGCCTGTGATTGTGCCGTAAAATGTGGCTGACGACCAGCCCGGCACCAGAAGGTCAGCCCAAAGATTGTCCCCTGGACCCTTATGTGATCCTCCATGACCGTTGTCGGTTCGTCGACCAACAAATGATAAAACTCCAAGAAGCACCCGATATGGTTCCTGTGGGAGAATTGCCACGACATATGATGCTCCATGCTGAAAGGTGATCTCGTCACTAGGTTTTTGACTTGGACTGATGGGTTAGGTATTTGACTGGAAAAGTGGTACCGGGATCAAGAATCATAGCCACGGGTATATACTCTACTTTCGCGCCTTCGAAGGGGGTGAGTAACTCTCCGTCTTTTCAATCTATGCCCCCCCCCCCCTGAACCGGATACGAGCGAACTTTCCACCTAGCAATTTACCATCCACATTTGAGTCCACCTTTCTTTGAGTTTTACGTCTGTATTTAAGTTTGACTGTCCGTATTTGAGTCTACTGTCCCGCCTGGACCATGTTCGGGCACAAGCTGATGACTTAGAAAAACACATCCGGAGCACCAGCATTACGTCAACCATACCTACGCGTGCTGGGCATAGAACTCGATACTTCTCTCGCTTCTTCCCCCGGTTCTAGAGTGTTCACTCCGGAGGAAGAAGAAGAGTTCCAGCAATTAGCAAGGAGTGAAGGGTTGTATGAAAGGTTTGCTAGTAGTGTAGCTCCTAGTATCTATGGGAATCTAGGTGAGTAATTCTCGCATGTCGTCTTTCTCTCTGTTGTTACGGAGGATTGGTAGACCGCCCTCGGCATTCGTTGATTGTCTACTTGGCCGAATACATTTTTTCGGCGACTGCTGTGTCATTCTCTGGTGGTTCAGCAGTATTATGAGTGTTGAACTCACCAAACTCGGATGTAATAGAGGAAGTATACTGATAGACAGATATCAAAAAGGCCGTCACTTGTCTGTTGATGGGAGGAAGCAAGAAGATTTTACCAGATGGAATGAGGTTGAGAGGTGATATCAACGTGCTTTTATTGGGTGATCCGGGTACCGCAAAATCACAATTACTTAAATTTGTTGAGAAGGTCAGTATTTCTCCCTTATTCTCGCGTCTCTTCCTCCCCAAATCTGTTATTCCCTAGCTTGACACTAAAAGTATGGAGTTGATCTATGATTAGGTATCACCTGTTTCAGTTTATACTTCTGGGAAAGGATCTTCAGCAGCTGGTTTGACAGCTTCCGTTCAACGTGATCCCGTTTCTGTAAGTTCATCATCTATGCCCAAAACTCTCCTTCAAATATATCTCACCTGTCACATACATCTAAGACCTGTGTCATATATCCCAATCCAAGACCCCTTGTGAGTCAGAAAACGGCCCAACAATCTCAATCGTTGCGCTAGAATAGCGGAGGATCATGAAGACCGTGGTCAACCAGATTGTAGGATAAGAGGTTGAATGATTGATGTCTGATGATCAGAGAGAATTTTATCTCGAAGGAGGAGCAATGGTCCTAGCTGATGGCGGCGTGGTTTGTATCGACGAATTCGATAAGATGAGAGACGAAGATCGAGTAGCGATACACGAAGCTATGGAACAACAAACTATTTCAATAGCCAAAGCCGGTATCACTACAGTTTTGAACTCTCGAACTTCGGTTTTAGCAGCTGCCAATCCTGTGTTTGGAAGGTATGACGATATGAAAAGTCCAGGGGAGAATATCGAATTTGCTACTACTATTTTATCAAGGTTTGATTTGATTTTCATTGTAAAGGATGAACATAATGAAGCGAGGGATAGGGTGAGTTATATCTCTCACTTTCTATTATCCCTCTTGTCATACTCTTCAGCCCTTTCTTTTTCCTCGTACGTTTTCCTTCTTATCTTAACTCCATCCCCATAGAAATATCTCTTGTCTTCCTCTCCGGAGTAGCTGCTCATTGTCCTTTCTTAAGATACTGACATTTTTCCTGCCTTGCAGATGATTCCCTTTGGGGAGAGGTTAACAAGACTTTTTCGTTCTTCTTTTCTCTCCATTATACCATCATGGACCAATCACTGTTTCTCCCATCCTGCGACTCGGTGGATCAACTTGGTGTATGAGAAAAGAACTGAAGAATAGACCATCGCAAGACACGTAATGAACCTTCATATCGGACGTCAAAACCTGGATGAAGCAATTGGCGAGATCGATATAGACAAGATGAAACGTTATGTTTCATATTGTAAATCTCGTTGTGCTCCAAGGTTGAGTACGGAAGCTGCGGAAATGCTCAGTTCACATTTTGTCAGTATAAGGAAAGAAGTACAACAGATTGAGAGGGATAATGATGAGAGGAGTAGTATACCTATCACCGTTCGGTAAGTTTCTTGTGTACTTCTTAACACATCCTTGTTTCACCTCTTGAATTTGACTACCTCTTTTCTTTATGAAAAACTATCTTCCTTTCCCCTCAAGCGTTCCTCTGGCAATTATCATTCCTTCACTGACCATTGAAACAACACCCAGGATTAAAATGGTTGTTGTAGACGCTAACATACAGTCAACTAGAAGCTATAATTCGAATCTCCGAATCCCTGGCCAAACTAACACTCTCCCCAACAGTCCGATTAGATCACGTAGAAGAATCAATCCGTTTATTTAAATTCTCAACTATGGATGCCGTATCCGCTGGAAACGTAGATGGTATGACTAGATCTGAATTGAATGATGAAATCGATAGGATCGAAAAGGAATTAAGGAGAAGATTACCTATTGGTTGGTCTACGAGTTATCAAAGTTTAGTTAGGGAATTTGTCACTCAACAGGGTTATAGTCAACATGCTTTGGAAAAATGTTTATGGGTGATGGAGAAAAGGGAAATTGTTAGGTTTTCAGGTCAGAAAAAAGTCGTTCATCGGACTGGTGTTTGATAGAATTTCATTGATCTACGTCTTTTAACCTCTTGATGTATTTGTTGATGTTGGCGTTGATGATTCGTATTGCTTGTGTAACCGTTATGATTTCTCAACTGATTGGAATATGGAAGTGCATACACTTCGAGTACGAGTCCGAGTATAGCATTACTCGTAATCGGACTTTGATATGAGTCTGTGGCTTCATGAGATGGGAAATGCACAATGAGTGACATACATACGTACTCAACTGACAGCTTTTAGGAGTGAGTTAGAAGATGAGCCCCCTGATCCTGGACTCACTAATCCCCTACCTCATCATCTTGATTCCATACAGTCTGGGTCCATTTGAATTCGTATAACGCCGAGAGTTGGCACCCGTTTTTGGCTGGGAAAAAGAATTACACGTCAGGATTGATTACGAATTCAAGTGGACCCGGACTGTAGACAGTTACTCAGCTTCGTTCTCTATTTTGGTCCGGGACACGTTTCGGAATCCCAAATCTACAAATCAATCCTCGATCCTAGTTTCCCCCTCACATGGCTCGACATCTGATGAATGATGAATTCCGCATGATCCGTGCGTCTCCTAAAAATTACCTTGACAACCGTCGTCTCCTTCCATTCCTCTTTTACCAACCCCCCAATTCCCCCTTACTCACCGCCCTGTATCATACTATACATACGGAGCAAGGGGTAAAGTCAGAGACACTCCACCCTCTCAACGGTAAGGTACGAACATACATTACATCTTATCAACCATCAAAGTAAAATCTGAAATAACCTAAACTAAAGCCACTATGTTTCCCCTTATCGTCAAGACCGTTGAATAACCTAGCAACATTCAATCAAATCATCACCAAGACGACCAATCATTGAGATCGTATCATTTCAACTCGTCTTCTTCAGAGAACATATTAATATGGAGACAAGAATGAGAGATATTCTTTTTCTCTAACCTTCAAAATTCTTTCTTTCTATTTTTTAACGGTTTGATACCGTTTCTTTTCCCTTCCACCACCACTCACCCACTTACCGCCGACAGATAGCCAGCGGCTTATCGCTCTTTTGAAAAGACGGCGTTCTACATTAGATCTGAGATCTATATCTACACTTTTTTGGAGGTACTTTACACGGTCTAACAACTTTGAAAAAAAGTGAGTTTTTCTTCCTTCTCGTGCTTCAAACAACTTTTTATGTCTTTATGAACCTGCTCTTGGTTTTTATTCTTTCGGTTCCGTTTGTCATCTTCCCACTAAGAATGAAAATTGTCCTTGAAGTGACAACCTCAATTTGGAGTTTTATGGCGTGTTGCGTGATGTGAGCGAGTTGATAAGAGTGCCACGCTGGAAAAGTGAGAAGAATGACGAACGCGAGGGGCAAAGGGTGAAAAGTACTGATGGATCTAGATGCTGGCTTCTACTCTTCTTTCCCTTCTTCCCCTTTTGGGAACAGCCTTGGCAGCTCCTCCTTCTCGTAGGGGAATGAACGACATGTCCGGTTCAGGAATGAGTATGGCAAGTACGAAATCTATGATGGCTTCGGAAAGTATGGCCACCATGGGTAGTATGGGTAAGAACATGGGTAGTATGGGTGGTGAGAGTATGGGTAGTATGGGTAGTATGGAGAGTATGGGAAGTATGGAAAGTATGGGTAGCATGAGTGAAAGTTCCGGCTGTGGATCAAGCGGATGTGGAGGTGGGATGATGAGTGAAAGTTCCGGTATGGAATCGTCTGGTGTGAGTTTTAAATTTTTCTACTCTATCCCCTTTCTTCTCCTAACCCAGACTGAATCTCGAGTGCGGCGTTCTCCCATCCATAAACGATAAATCACGGTCCGTATCGTAGAGAAGGGGATGATGAGAGAAAAGGGTATCGAGACTGATGATACAGTGCGGTAGTTCCGGATGTGGTTCCATGACTACTGAAGCTGTAAGTTAAACCTCTTCTCACTCCTCCCCAAAGTCATCCATATAATTTCTCCGCACCACTCTTCCAGCTCACCAACACTTATGAAAGTGAACGATTCAACTCTTCCAGCTCAGCAACACTTATGAAAGTGAAGGATTCATGTGGGACCGCGGAGAATCTGAGAAAAAAACTCACACAGCAGTCCATGCCAGCCCAATCTCAAGTCATGTACGGTTCCGGTTCTATGAGCATGAGTGGTGATCTCAACTCTTGTCTCAACATGTGTCAAGCTCAATTCGGTATGGGAAGTTCAAGCTATACGTAAGTTCTTATACTCTCTTATATCTCGTTCTTGATGCTTACGTCAGACCTACTAGTACCAGTTCGTCAGCTACGACCACTCACACGATTATCGTTGCTCCTACCAAGGGTGTATTGAGGTATGGTTAGTAACTCTCTTTTTCTTTACTTTTACCCTACTTTCTCAACATTCGATCATCATTCGGTCATGGACATATGGTTTGCAATATAGTTGCTGTTGGCACTGGAAATATTTATTTCAGATGAGGAAGTGCAGATATGGTATATGGAGATGGGAGAGAACTCACGTATAGTTCCCTTCATCACGAACACTCTTCCAGGGGACGAGATCGAATTCGTTTGGGGAGCTGGTCCTCATAGCTCCACTAGTTCGGTGAGTGAAACGGTCTAAATAGCACAAGTCTACTTTTGACTTATGCTTAGACCTTTGAGGGAGTCTGCAATAAAACGGATCTCTTCGATTCCGGTCTTCGTGAGTTGTCTTCCCTTCTGCTTTTCCTATCTTATCAGCGTACATAGTTATCAAATTCGAAGAATTAGGTTGAGAAGAGAAACGAGGGAGACATACACTTACCTTTTTTAAGTCAATGCCACGGCTACTTTCCTTCAGCCCGGACCGATGGATATCTCTCTCCCATCAACTTTCTACTGCCGTGTCCCAGGTCATTGTCAAAAGGGAATGTTCGGAATATTGAAGTGAGTTTTGTTTCCTTCCTTCCTCTTGACATTGTACCTTCTCTCACCTTTCCTCTTTCGTGAAGCAGATTGTCAAAAACGATGAGGTGATACAGAAAAATGATGATGGTGACATATGTAATTTCTGAAACTGACCCAACTAGTCCTCCCTCTACCAACGTAACCCTTCCACCCGCCGGGTCAGTCCCTCCTAGTCCAACGGTCGGTTCCAGTGCTCCATCTTGCAACTCTATGGACTGTTGGATCAGCTCTTGGTCGAAATCTGTAAGTGTTCCTTACCACATGAAGAGTGTTGTTGATCTCGTAGGGGGCCGCTCCTGCTGCTACTGTGTCAGCTGTGCAATCTGCTTGTGGAAGTAGTGGCGCTTGGTCTTGGGGAGGAAAAATGGATATGTCAACCTCTATAACCGAGATCGTTACTAAGGAGATTCTCATCGAGAACGTCCTGTACGTTAATCCTTATATACCTGGTCATTTCCCCCCATCATTCTCTCTAATCACATCCGTCATTTTTACGGCGAGAAACGTCAGCCTTTCGCCGACTAAAAAGCGGGAACGAAAGTAAACTTGAGGATAGGCATGGAAAATGACCATATGCTGACGTTTCAGTTACACTCGTCTAGTCCTCGGTATGAACCCCACTTACGTTTCCCAGCCATCTAGCATGTCCTATTCATCCATGACATTCCCACCTGATCTCAACTCTTTTGTCGCTTTATCAGCCAACACTTCTTCTACTTCATCTGGAGAACCTACTGCTTCTCCCACTTCCAGTGCGGGACCCAGTGGCACCAATGCCGCAGCAGCTGATTCCGCCGGGACTTCCACCAGTGGTGCCGGGAAGGTGACAGTTGGAATGATGGGTTTGGCAGGAATGGTAGGATTGAGTGTTTCGAAGATGCTCTGATTCTCCGAGTAATGGCAAGGAGAGAAGTGGAGGACATTATTATCGATAATAAGAAAACTGAGATGAATCGTGGTATACCCTAAAAAAACATCTTTGCTATCCCTACAGATCCATCTTGTCATATGTTTTGGATTCTACCAGTTGTTTCATCCATAGTTACTCGATCACCAGAAGTTCTGAAATTTAAGCTGGGTAAGTTGATAGTGAGATACATTGAGTATGAGTAGATCTGCGCTCAGATAGAAGGATACATACATGTCAAATGAAGTCAAAAGTAATCATGTCCTTCCTCTTTGTATTTTCTCCAATAACAAAGTCATTTTCGCACCCATATCAGGTTGTCCATGTTTTCCTTTTCCTCTTCCTCTTCCTCCATTTTCTGCGTGACCTCTAACACCGATATTAAGCGGGTTGAAAGGTCGATCATGACGGATCTTCTCTTCTTTTCTTCTTCCTGGATCCTCTCCACCTAAACTCGGTGCATACGACGATCGATCAGGATAAACTTTCCGTTGAAGATCTCGAATTGATATCACCGCAGAATCGGAAGACAGAGAAAGAGGTGATAAAGCTCTTAATTGACCAGAAGCAGTGATGAGTGTTTGTTGTCTTTCTCCTTCCATCTCCGATTCTTTCCCATCTCCAAAATCAAACTTTCTTGGTGCTTTTTCAACGTCCCTGTTTCTTTCCGAGTGAGTTGTATCCCTGTTTCTCATGATACCTTTTCCTTTATCTCTCTTGAACTTCGATAACCCTTCCGACAGATCATCTCTTGAGTTGGAGAAATGTTTGCGATTTGCTGAGGTGCTTGATTCTCCCTTGTACCGGGATCCTGAGCCTGATTCGTTCGTCGGAATTCCTTCATCGCCAATCGGGTCCTCGTGACCTTCACGGATGGAGGTGTTGACCTGTGATTGGACGTCAAGATTGTATGATCCAGGATTCGGAAGAGAGGTAGAGATTAGTGGATGAGTGGAAAGATTAGATCGGTCTTGAATTCGTGATGATGACATTCCTTCTTGTTTCAATATTTTGGCATAAGATTTCTTCACTTTGGCTCTTTCTACTAAATCTCTTTCAATCTTTTTGACTATTTGTCAGCAAAGCGTCTTCATACTTTTCCCTCAAAACCGTCACATATGGTGTTTCTCCCATGACCTGATATGGGTGTAGAATCCCAAATGCAGAATTGGCTGCATGAGATGTTCGAGTGTCTATCCCCATTCAAACCCTGGATAGGAAAGATAAAAACATGATAGATGGATATATCACCAAATCTAGTAATGAAACCCATTACGAGGTACTCTAGTGATAGAGATAATGATACGAGGTAAAGCCCGAACCAAATCACAATTAAGATAAACTCACCTTTACCCAAATAAGCATCTCTAGAAACATGCGCAGGTCCAACTTTGAACCCTCTTCTCCTTCCATCTCCTACTCGATCCACTCCGCCTACTTTTCTCTTCCCTTGCTCTTTTTGGCTTTTCGTTATTCTCGGCATTCATAAAATATATATCGGTATTGAAATACCAAAAACCGCGACTTGATTTTGATGAAAAGTATTAGTGTGACAATTATTACCGCCACAAGTTCGATAACGCCGTAAATTCCGCCCATCCCATCTGCGTCTTCTATTGTAGGAGTCGCGTTTCGTTTGATCGTTTCCCTATAAATCTCTTCCTAACCTCACTACTACCCCACCCTTCTTTTCCCTTCTTAAATTCTTAATAGTCAAAGTATCGTTTTATCACTTCAGAAGATTGAATGACCACTACAGGTTTGTCTCTCTCTGTTATCACATCTATTGAAGGGAGGTAGAGATGTGGGATAGTGGCGAAGATACCATCATTTCAAACCTTACTTCAACATACATCATTCATTTTGTTCATTTGACTCAATAAGTTGGAAATCATGGATGATTAAACTAATAATCAGTCACTAGTAACAAGGTGGAAGCCTCCTCCCGTAAGAAAGAAAAGACCCCGGTAGCTCCGGCCGCTGGGGCAGTGGCTAATCTCGGTCCCGCTTTTGGTGAGTTCTTCCTATACTTCAGATACGTCGTACATCTTCCTTTTTTTTCGAATACATAGATATACCTGTAGACAACAAGTTTCACCTATCCACTCTATGGACCGGAAGTGAGACGAAGGTGGTGAATTGATCATGTGTCAATCAATCAAGAACAGCTTTACTAATCTCTCAGACCCCTTTGATCAAGGTCATCCTTTCAAGCCTTCAAACGGTCCTGCCACTCCTGATTTGGATGTTGGTGTAGGTAAAAGTGACAAAGTTCATATCCGTGAGTTTTTCTTATTTTGTGCGAACCTATTAGCTGATATGTTTTCTTCTCTATTTATTCTCGAATAACTCTCCACATGTCGATGTCTATTTCACCTCAAACATATACACGATATACTTGACTGTACTACTGCTCAAACTTGACTCATGACCGTCATCATGGACAATATTCGTCACGAATAACTCCTCGATCAATCATACAGGTCTCCAACAACGAAATGGTCGTAAAACCCTCACCACGGTTCAAGGTCTTCCGGACAAATACGACTATCGTAAACTTCTCAAAGTGATGAAGAAAGAATTTGCATGTAACGGTACCATAGTTCGCGAAGAAGATGCCGATTTGGATGAAAATACTCCTGCCGTCAAAAAGGGCGCTGGCCTGGGAGATGTTTTGCAGTTTCAAGGTGATCACAGGATTCAAATCCGTGATTTCCTCATTGCCAAGGGTTTCTATACCGAAGCGGAAGCAAAGGATAGCGTCATTGTGTGAGTGACGATTTCTACACTTTCCATCAGAATGATATCACCTATAGCGGGAGACGACGCTCTTTTGGACCAGTCTGAGATCCGAGTAGTTTCCACCCCAATGAAATCTTCCCATCGCGTCGTCTTAATTCTGACGAATGACTATGGGTTGTAGCTCATCAACAGTCACGGCTACTAGACTCGTACATGATACGCCGCAAGCGGGCAGCAGCCTTTTATACGCACGATCAGTTTCTATGATGTATTTGTTTCACAGACATCCCATATATGGCATCATGTCGCATGCCGCATATCGGTACTCGTACAGTATATTGTCCAATGCAGGGCATCGTTCATCGTCTCATTGCCTCTTCTATTCATTCCCAGCAGATCCTGTTCGTTCATCTTACAGATAGGCTTTCACATACCTTCCTCTAACGCGTGCATCTGTACGTTACTGGCTATCCCTCTACTGTCATTTTCTGTGACTTTCTGTGACTTCGTATTGCGAGAGCGGGTCATGCGGGAAGTGAAAGGGAATAGAATGCTTGGAAAGTGCAAGATAAAGATGGACTGCAACAGAACGGAACCCACCTTAAACTCCAATATTCCAGAGTGACCCCCCACTGGTACATCTTCCCCGACAGGCATCATAATCTGCACACAGAGGAATCCCTCAGTCTCGATCTGGATACAGATCTTGATACTGTGTTGCAGAGCGCGGTAAAGGAGCATGATATGTGCCGCATGATAGCTGGTTGGTCAGAGCTTTCTCCATAGACAATAGGACTGCTTCAGTCTACCTTGCAGGACGAGGGACAGAGGGTAAGAGTAAGGTCAAGTAAGGCTAGACCGTCGGGAAAAGAGACGAACCTGAAGGAGATACGTTCGGGACATTCGAACCGGTCCATCACCTCGCGATCGTTTGGGTAGTCGAGCTGCCTTTGTCAGCCCTCATCCACCATCCATCGACTTAACATGAGTAGACTTGCACGGTGGGTGGAGAACGAGGTTGGGCCCAAAAGGAATCAGGGAGAAGACGGGGGGACTTACCTCTGTCTTCCCCAGATCACCTTCGGCCAGAATGGAGAAATTCCCTTTTCTGGCCCTCTGAGTCCGACGGTCGTTGCTACTCCCAGTGGCGTCCATCACCGGAGGTGGTACGTCAGAATCACGAGGTGTGGCTGTGAAAGTCACTTTTTTGCACGATGGAGGGAGATCGGCAAGGGCTTGACGAAACCACCCAGACTGTCCGTCAATTTCCCTGCCTGGAAATGTCCCGTGTGCACACTTTGTACACGAGTGAGAAGACAGGACATCAAAGATGATTCGGTAGATCGGCTTGGAGTCTTCGTATTTGACACGGGGAGGGGGAGGAATGTTGGGATTGGAAGCCTATCATGAGCGGAGAGGAAAAGGACGACGAGCGGGTGGATTCATCGGGGTGACTAACTTTCATGATGATATATAAAACACTGAAGGTCAGCGCCAACTCCCGTTGCTGTCCCGTTTCTGATTGCTTATGTGAGAAAGTAAGTCACGCGGGAGTGCGGACTCATGAGCTGAAGCCGGGATTGGCGTATGGCATGAGGCAGAGAGGATTTTGGAGTAAGAGAAGAAGAGAGGATGGAGGGCGAGGACGAACCGTTGATCGTCATCAAATTCTTGGTTCATGAGCTCTTCAGGTTCAAGGGTCTTGAGCGCACATGTTGTCACGGGTCCTTTACCTTCATCTTGTCTGCTGATCAGGCGACTGTCCACCCTCGGTTGCGACATTCCCTTCTCTCAGCAGCAACTTCCTCGGAAGTCTGGGTGTACGGTATGATCGTCGGGGCATCTCACACAAGGATGGACCAAGGAATTGAGAATAATGACCCTTTTCCATTTTTGAGAATGAACACAAAAAACTCACAGGTGAATCATCAACTCACTCCCAATTCCCTCCCACGTCATTCGCATCTGCGTCCTCTTCTCCTTACCTTTTCTCGGCCCATTATCCTGCTCTTCCTCCTCTTGTTCCCCATCTCCAGCCCAACGTCGAGAAGAACGTTGTCGGGATGGTGCTGCCGCGCCGCCGGATCCTGCGTTACCGAAGATGTTCAGACACTGCAGCATGGTATCGAGTGAGATTTCTACAATGGCTGGCACAGGAGATGGGTGGAAGATGAATGTCTTGAAGAGGTTTACTGGGATCCATGCGACGGCTAGACTCATTAAACGAGTTACTAGAACGTCTCTACGCAGTCCCTTAGGTATCATCGATGATGACGCAGGGAAGAGAAGGTTGCAGGGTGGAATGACAATATGAAAAATACGCGGACAAGGGAGATGGGGGCGAGAGTGATTTGGGCAACATACCACATAGAGTTCTGACTTCCTCTAAAGTCACCTCGAACCCAGCCTCGGAGACACTCATGACTGCATTCTAAAGATCAGCCGAAGTCACAGGCCGTACACCTCGCTCGACAATTGACATGCCCACACGAACAACACAGGCAGACTTACTCAACCAGTAGCTTTGCATCAAGCTAGACCTTGGCAGAGAGTGGGGAAGAAGATGATGTTACGCGGATAGAAGAGAAGAAGACCAAGAGATGTTAAAACATGACTCACATGCTTGAAGCCTATACCTCGGAGAAGACGAGCGAAAGGTCTTACATCCGCTAGTTCCACTTCAAGCACCTGGTGCTGTTTCGTAAGCTGGACCCTTCAATCGCTGAAATCATGCTCTGCCTTGTGAGGTCGACTGCATGTAGGGTTTCTTCCATTCGTTCCCGCGACGAACCAGACTTAGCAGGCATTAGTCTACAGATTGTGGGATGACATCCCTATAGACTTTTTGATGAGCCATACAAGCAGTATGAGCCTGAGCACGACGGAGAGCAAACAGATCTCACTCGTTCGGGAGTACTCAGTGGAGATGTGAGAGGTAAGAGATGCCGAGTTGGGGGTCAGGCAGAGACGTCATGAGCAGACCTCCAATGAATGGAGAAAACCCCAAGATACGACTCACCGGGACAGGCCTGAGAGACATGATATGCCCCTGAATCACATCTGATATATGAGAAAGAGCACAGTTTCGGATGGAGTGTCGATGGAAAGGAGGAAGAGAAAGAGAAACCCAGCCGATGATCACGTGACAAAGATTGATAAAGAAATACACGTAAGAAATCAGTCGCGTCTGCTCCAACGATCCAACGATCCCTAATAATCACTCTACACATACTTGTATTTAGCATGTAGTACCCTGGCTTTTGGTTCAACTTTCTACTCGGTGTGATGGGAACAAGAAAGGAGATGTCATTCTTGTCCATCCCACGTACGTCAAACGAATCTCATGTTCGTATTCACATGTGACATCGGCTCGAGCATTCCAATCCATCGTACGATTTCCAGATCAGCTCACACCTAGGCCTTGCTCGTTCTGGCCATGCCTCGCCGTGAACTTATTCTTCGAGGGCTCCCACGAACTTTGTCAAAATCTTCCTGGCAAGCGTCTTTCAAACGCCGGCCAAGTCAAATCGATGAGAAATGAGCGGAGATGAAATGGTTTTTAGGCGACTGGGAAGGAGAGGACTTGGGAACGTGTGAACGTGTGAACGTGTGAAAGAAGGCGTCAGGGCTATCACTATATTTGATGCGGCTCAGCCCGAGAGAAATCAAACTCAGACAATGTGAGTTCTTCTATATCATGCGATTTTTCCGAGACGAGTCTTTCTTTCACTCATTGTCAATCTATCGCTCATGTCGGATTATACTAACCGCCCAGGCGTTAACCCCTCCCGTGTACGTATCCCGCAAGGTTCTGGATCAACGTATTTTCAGCATTCTGAGCAAGGGTATGAACGACCCACCACCATATCCCAAGATCCAGAAGTCGAGAATCGGATTCGCACTCTCAAGGAGGTCACAAATGGTCTCATCCAAGATGCGGAACGTCTGAGAGTGTCCGGTCACAATTTTGCTCTTCGGGAGTCATTGGGTGAAAGCAAGACCGTGTGAGTTCTAATTTGGACCGAGCCGCCTTATCGAGTAAGAGAGTTTGTATTTGAACTGACAGTAGGGATGAACGTGACACAGAATGGAAGTATGCTAGGTTCCAAGTGACCATCTTGGGACTCAATCCTCCTCAATCCCGGATTTTCGTTCTTGCCAGGGAAAGGGGTGAGATGACTGAGTGGTCCAGAGCTGTACAATCCACAATGGAGACGTACTTTCAGGATAAGGATACTTCTAGAGTGGGTGATGATTTACAATTGGATCGGGCTGCTTGGCGCGCAGCTTTGACCCTCGGTCTCAACTATGAGGATTTTGGAGTTATACGAGCGGAAGATCATGTAAGAGAAACAACATCAGGTGGCATGGTGGTGGTCCGATGATCCAAATAGCCAATGTTTCGCAGTGATTGAAGCCTGAGGGTTAAGCGACGGAGTCTTGTTTTCCTGCTAGGACTCAACGTCTCGTACTGTCAGTATGTTCAACGATAATCCATAGAGGGCGAGGTGATTGTTGCGAGGTTTCCATGCTTTTTGATATATGTCATTTGAAATGTGTAGTGTAAACACAGAAATCAGTGCAAGTCGTAGCATCTACGTATCATCCTACTTCTTGAGGGAAAACACTTAGGTTCCTAGCGTTCGATATGGATTGTCACCCGTTGAATACACGGGTTTTTTTAATGTGATTCATGACTATGTGACCGTTGTCAGTATCTTATTTGAAATGTCGAGCTCTGGACAACTTGTGGTTTTGCTACATATCACCCTAGAGGAACTGAGAAGAACAGTCCTTGAGCCTTCCTCCACCTCCCACCACACAATTTGATGTGATGAAGAGAAACATGTACCAACTTCAGCCGCATGTTGCTCGGTTCACCAGACCTCGACTTTCAACCCGGATCTTACCCTAGATGACATATAGAGGTCAAGCTACTCCATTCAACCTCATTTGGTAATCACTCCCTTGTCATCCCCCAATTAGCACTGCCACACAAGCAACTCATCTACATACAATCCACACGCTTCGTCGAGTCTTCAACCTGGCGAGACCCGTTCTCGAACCACAGACAATCTACACCACGGCCCCATTACTCCGCATCCTTCCCACGCGGTCTGAGAACCTCTCATGATGTAGGGCTGTGCGGATCTTGACTCTATGATATCACTCAATGGAGAGACAAACGGAGAAACCACATCACCTCGTCGATCGTCGATCGTCCACCGGTTGATCGGCGATTGATCCGGCGTGGACTGAATCCGTGGAACTCCGATTGAAAAAAGCGGTTCATAGTATAAAATCTATCAACAGGGCTTTTCAATAATCCTTCACATTGAGAAACATGAACACTCATACCAAGCAACTAAGCAAGAACAGCCATCTCACACCCTCGGTCAGCACTCTTAGATCTAATCAGGTGGCCTCAGCCCTTGAAAAGATGAAGCAAGACACCACCGAACTGGCTGAAACCTACAGGACTCTTTATGAGGCTCAAGGTAGAGCCGCTATTGATGAAGTCTCCCATAAGTTAGCAAAGACTGGTTCAACAAAGTGAGTTGATAGGTCTGTGACACACAACCAGCATCCCACTAACAATCTCTAGTAATGCTGAATCTACATGGTTGAAGGCTAGAGTGAAAGGGGTTGTGATAGGAGATTTGAAGCACCCAGATACACTTCAAATCTTTGTTTCAGAGTCTGAACAACCTAGATTTACTCAATTTACATTAAATTCTTATAAGATAGCAAAAAGCGCATACGAGTATTTTACACATGAGAAAGTACAGAGCGGAGATTCTCTGCTGGCATTGGAGCTGTTATCAGAGGCTGTATCCAAAGAATATAAAACAAATGTTGTATTCTTGCCTGGGGGATTGGGAACAAACCAGATCATGACATCCGCCACACAAAGTTTGCCCAAGGAGGTAGGACATGAGAAATCGTCCCTGTCAGAGGTGCATGACATCTATGATCTATTGGTAGATATTGAAAATCGGAAGCAGTGAGCGATGGCAATTCATCGGGGCCCAAGAATTGTGCCGTGACCGGATGTGGATATCAGGCAATCAGATTGAATGCATTGAATTCAAGAGAGTTGAGGACGTTCATGTTTCTCATGCACCTCTGTGAGATTGGAAGCACAAAGAGCAATGGGGACAATCACCAGCTTAGCCTGAGCATTGTCACCATCGTTCATGAGGCACGGATGTCATGACCGGGTAGCGAGCCCGCCATCATAAACCGTCCTCAAAGACTCATTATCAACTCTGCTAGTGAGAGCTGATCTCGCTATAAGTACTGGTCGTGACAGCGGGAGACCAGAGGTCAAGTGGGAGATTGTTCATCGAGCCTGGGTATCACGTTCCTCCATCACCTGTATTGACCTGCGGATATGACAAACAATTACTCGCCAGCTTCAATCAGGCTACAACCATCTTTGTATCAACAAATCGGCGTCGAGAAAACACATTGGCCACAACATGGACCCCGGCAGACATCTTCCTTTTCGCTTCCCTCTCAATGACAATCTCAAATTCAATTCATTCCCTCCATTCATGATCTTCCTCGTAAGTTCGTCCGCCACACGTTCAACCTCATCGCGGCCTTTCCCGGGATATTTGACGGAGTTGAGACGTTATAGTGGAGAGGAGAGAAAAGCGGTGACGGAACAAAGGTAGGGTGAATTCGTGGGGAATCGAGATTCACTACTCACATATTTATAAGCCTTCCAGCAGAGCTTAGTCTTCATAACTTGACACTTCACCATCATAGAATTGGAAAAATGACATCCGTCAGTACTAGCACCGACTTCCCTGAACAACATGTCGTGAAGCCCTCAGGATGTGGGGAGGAGGGTTCGGTTGCTCCTCCCCAAGAGGAAGGAGACGAGTGGGCCGAATGGAGTTCAACCTCGGTTGACTCGCTTTCTTCTGATTCAAGCATGCTTCCATATCTTTGGGAAGGGGTTGAAAATCCTGAGGCACAATTGTAAGTAATACCAATCATGGAGTTCATGAAGTTCTGATAGAGTAGGGAGATGGAAAAGGAACGATTGCTTGACTTGACTCTGAACAATCTCCAGGCGTCATTGCTCGCTGGTCTCCAGCAATCAGAGCAGCAGTGAGTGTCATCGGTTTTTGCTCGGGCTTGCATCTCTGATAGGACAGACAGACAACTCTGATTCCCGTATCATTGGAAAAAAGTTGGTGAGTTCGAGAACTCATTCATCAACATCACTTTTTCGAGGCCTGATGAAATAGGAGTGATAACCGTCCGGCCTTGTCATCATGTCTAGAGTCGTGAGTGTAATTGGCCGGTACAATCAGCTCAACGTTCTGATGGTAAGGATTATACAATCCTGCACAACAAAAACCAACATCAATAAGAAGCCTTTACCAGAAGGTCTAGGTCATATGAGGTGGCCGTGAGTGTTCTCCATCTGGCGATCATTTGATATGTCAGTGTTGATGACAAGTGCTGAACGTGACTCCGAATGGAATGAAGCTCCATTTCAGGGCACGGTGGAAGGTCTGTGGGGTGGAAGAAAGGATATCACTGTTCAAGTGACTCAACATGGCAAGGTCACTGAACTTGCAAATAAAATCGCGACTGTTGCTCAAAATTACCTGAACACAAACGACATGGAGGACAACTATGGGGAAACAATCTTTGACTTTGAGACTGTCCTTCAAGATTACCTTAAAAACAATGTCAAGGAGGAGGATGATATGAAGAAGATCTTAGACTCCACGTCTGTCCTTCAAGAATCCCTGGATGCGAGCCGCGTGACAGACAAGAGACCGGGCAATTGGAACAAGATCTTAGACGAAGCGACGTTTAGCGCATCTCAAACGTGTGGCGTTCCCTGGGAAGAAATCTCACTTGTGACCGGACCTCACCGTCCTTTGCCCAAGAACGAGACAGATGTGATGGAAGAGGAACCGGTTGATCAGTCTGAGCCTCCTCCGCCGTATCAGCAGGTCGAACCAGGGTATACTTTAAACAGCCAGTTTTCTGGGTGGAATTCGACTGAAACAGGCGGTGTAAGTGACGCTAAGTGACGGATAGCCGTAAGAGTCAGTCATCGTACTTGGTGGTCCAACTAGATATGAGTCGTGAGGCCGAGGAATGGAATGATATGCAGGAATGAAATGAGAGCATTGAAAATATCCGAGATTGACATTAGTTTGTATGTCATGACGTGTGCCTACTTGGAATCAATTTCATATCAGTCACCTTTAGTACATCAACATACACCGTTTCTCGTCAGCGTGATACGAGACCACTGACACGGATGGTCTCTCACTAGTACGCTCTGTCAGGTTATGGCAGAGAGGTGAGTCACGATACAAAGACAAGATAGTTTAGTAGTGACATGAAGCGGCATTTGACAGAGAAATAAATGATTCAAGGCCCAAATCTGCAACCTACCTACCACCGCCGGAGAGCACCAGGTCCTCGGCGTCTGACAGCCCACGCTGCGCTCAAACCAGCAAGGATTCCACCGACATGAGCGGCAGAATCTGTGCCGGACATTGGACGGTAGGTAGCGCTGTAGAGGTCGTACTGCATGTTAGTAAGTTCCAATGTCAGATTGGAACGTCGCACAGAATTGTGAGGTGTCTGCCACAGGTGTCGAAAGACTTCGGTGAGCAAGAAGGAACAGGGAAAGAGTTGATTGAATGGAGTGAGCATTGGATGGCTCATACACTCACTACAAAGATCCCGCCAAGCATCACCCAAGCCGGCATCGGAACGATGAAGAAGAACAAGAATGTGGTCTGGGGAAACAAAGCTCCATAGAATGCTACATGTGAGTCTTCAGCCATAGGGTGATAGGAGAGGACGTACCCAAGGAAGTGTAGATGGCCCCACTGGCACCTTCTGACCCTACCCAACGCTTATTATCCCTTACGCCCACGGATCGGTGCCAAATAAGAGATGTAATCGCAGCAACTACCCCACCTGAAGGTCAGTCAGAATTTGATACATCATGATCTGTCCGTCAACTGACCGCTGAGGTAAAGGCCGATGAAAGCGGAGCTCCCTATGAGGCTTAAAGCAGTAAGCGTCATTCGTCAGGAAGAAGAGGAACGTACGACGCAGCGAGAGGAGCCATGAAATATAGCCCGAGACAGTTGATGAATATGTGTTGACCGGAGGAATGGGAGAACGACGATGTGATTAAAGTCCATCTATATATCAGTTAGTGAATACATCGACCGGTGTACAAGTGATGCCCAAGGTCATTCTACCATTCGTGTGACGGACAGCGAGTTCCGGTCATGTGAAAGGCGACTGCTAACTCCTTATGGGGGAATGAAAAGCACGCAGTAGGTAAAGATAGTTTAGATAGTAATTTGGATCACTGGCATATGACATGAAATAGGAGATAAAGATCAAGCGGGGAAAGTGGGTGAGGGACGAGGAAAGGAGAGAGGGTAAAGTGATAAAGAAGACATATAGAAGGCATATCAACGAACATTCTTCCAGCCATGATGTTCGCTTCACTCATCACAAAGTTTCTATTCATCCACAGATAAAGACTAGGATCTCGGAATTGTGTCTGAGTGTATCAGCATACATCACAGTGATTGTGCGAACATCGAATGGGTCACTCACATAACTCTGCCAGGCGTATTGCCAAAGAAGGAACACGCCAACATTCAAACCGATTATCCCATATATCTGTACATCAGCTTCTGTAAAGATACGTTGAGCTGAAACAGCGTACTATCCATATTGAAGGATAAGAATCCAACCTTCTTAAAAATCTTCGGATGAAGCCTGGTGGAGGTCGAGGTGTCCGGGGAAAGTAAGTCTGGCGTACTCGGGTGGAGGGAGAGGTACTGAGGTATCTTTGAGTTGGCAGTGAAAGTGGTCTAGATGATAAAGACCGTGGTAGACAAGGTACCAGTAGGTGCGGGTTGGAAGGCCGTATTGAAGGTGGACGAGAAAGTAGGGAGACATGTCGAAGAGGGATAGACCGAGAAGACTTGGCGAGGAAAGAGGTAGGGATCGATGGGCGAGGTCTTAAAGTCGAGAGTGAAAGTCCTATGGGGATCCGAAAAGACATAGTTTGAGTCTTGCTATTCGCACAATACTACTATCCAATTATGTATAGAGTACGGTACCTGCTGACAGAAGGACAAGACGAAGACAATAGACGATACGGACGCCGACGCCGAAGTGGACCGGAATAAATCTTTCACTTTTCTTTTTTTCTTCTCCCAAAATGTCAAAGTTCGCTCCGAGCTGCCAACTTTGACTGGATCACTCGTAGATTTCAGTGACGATTCACCCACCATGTCCTTCCCCACAGTCTATACAGTCAACGGTCCCTCTTCCACATCATCAACTTCATTACCATCATGGATAACCATAAAACCCCGTTCCAAACCTACTCCCACAGGAGCTCGGAAACGTCAACGGGCTCAACGGCAACTCGGTCAGTTGGAGCTCATTCAAGATTTTGCTTTTCCAGGATCGGCAATAAAAATTAAAACGACTGAAGATGGGAGACATGCGATCGCTACTGGGACTTATAAACCTGTGATCAAGGTTTGGGATCTGGATCAGTTGACTGTGAAGTTTGAGAGGGTCACGGATGCTGAGAATGTCGATTTTGTTGTGGGTTTATAACTTTCTCCCTTCCTCACTGTACTTCTACAGATTTTCGTAGAACCTCCCTCATAACATTCTTACCTTCCGGCGTCGTAACTATGCTGTTGCTCTCTTACATGGGGCCGAAATGTTCACCATCTGCCCCGGATGAGTTTCTTCATGAGGGAATCTGAACACTGCTTAGATATGGAGCGATAAGTATATAGTACGAATGCTAATCATAGATCCTCTCTACCGACTGGACGAAATCCTTACATCTCCAACGAGATCGTAGTTTAGCTCTTCATACTCAAATGGGACTGCACCATTCTATTCGACTACCTACTTACGGTCGTTCACTAGCATATCATTCCCCTTCCGCCGATGCTCTCATCGGATGTACCGGCAACTCTGTCTATCGATTCAACCTTGAAGAAGGCCGATATATGACACCCCTTTCAGTAGGCGAATCTTTGGACGATATTGAAGGTGTCAACACTATAGACGTCAACCCTCGACATGGTTTACTTTCCTTCGGTTTAGACGGAAGGGGTGTGGTGGAATTCTGGGATCCAAGATCTCGAACAGCCTTAACTCGACTCATGCTTCCTACATCTACTTTACTTCCTGTACAAAGTATTGAAAATATCACAGCTCCTAGGCGAACTTTATCTATCACTGCTTTGTCTTCTCATCCTTCTGATGGACTCTCTTTGGCCGTTGGGACAAGTACGGGACATACTCTGCTGTACGATCTGAGAAATCCTAATCCTTTGGCGGTGAAGGATCAGGGGTATGGAGAAGCTATCAAAAGTGTAGAATGGTTGAAAGGTGGCGGAGCACAGGAAGATAGAGGGAGAGTGGTTAGTGCAGATAGTAAAGTGATAAAAGTTTGGAATCGTGATGATGTGAGTGCAACAACAGACAATCCTCATCTCATTTCTAGTCAAGACCGTAGTGTCAGTTTGAGAAAGAGCTGATCGATAAGCCATCATCGAATCAATTATCCTTACATCCACCCAACTCTCTTGCCCATCTCCATGCAGTACCAGACTCTGGATTGTTATTCGTCGCTTGCGAAGCGCCACAATTATGTTCTTACTACATCCCGGAGATAGGACCAGCACCTCGATGGGCACAATTCTTAGATGGAGTGACGGAAGAGTTGGAGGCCGATAGCAACAAAGATGGCAAGAGCGTCTATAGTGATTTCAAATTTGTCGATAAGGGAGAGTTGGAAATGTGGGTCGTCCCTTTCTTTATTCCGCTTGTTTCTTCCTTGTCGTACACAGCGACACGCACCAATCTTGTCATGTCTCTACACATATCACAGCTACCAGTATGAGGTGTCGTCATAAGATTCTGAAGCATGGCTGACTTTGTACAGACTTGGCCTCACACATCTTATCGGTACTTCAGCTCTCAAACCCTACATGCACGGCTACTTCCTCTCCCTCAAACTCTACGCTACAGCTCGTCTCATTGCCAACCCTCAATCTTACGCCGAACATCGAGAGAAAGTTATCGCGGAACGTTTGGCTGCGAAGGCAGAATCAAGGATCAGAGCAAGGAAAGATCAACCTAAAGTCAACAAAGCTCTGGCGGAACGATTACGTCGGGTGGAGGAGAGAGAAGCGGCTGCTCTGGAGAAGAAAAGATCGAGAGCGGTTCAAGGATCATCAGAAGCTACACCTGCAGAGGAGACCGGAGATGGTTCCAGGAAAGGAACGAGAGTCGGGGAAGATACAGGAAAGACCAAAGTCAGTGTATTGGAAGACGCACGGTTCAAAGCCATCTTTGAAGACCCGGAATATGAGGTGGATGAAGAATCAAGAGAGTTCGCTTTACTCAATCCTGCCACTGCGTATAACGTGAGTTGCGTTCCCCGGATGAAAATCGATGAGCTGACGTATAGGCAAAGCGAAAGACCGCTGTTGAGGAGGAAGAGGAGAGCGAGGAGGGTTCTTCCGGTTTGGAGGGAGAGTCAGGCTCAGAGGAAGAGGAAGAGGAGGGCAGTGAGAGTGATAGTGGAAGTGACGAGGATAAAGGTGGTAGAGGTGGTGAGTACTACTTATTCACCTGTTCCGTCCAAGTTCCATATTCTACACACGCTGATCGCAGCTCATCTACAACATGACCCTCGTAACTTTCTTCCCGGCAAGTTCAAACCACCCCCTGCTCCTTCTCACCGACCAAAACTCCACATCCCCTCAAAGTCCGATACCTTCGGCTCTCGTCTTTCTTCCCGACACACCACTCCCAAAGATACAAAACCTCAAGGTGTTGTGGCCATGCGTAGAGCATTGGACGGTGGTATGGAGATGTCCTTCGTACCTTCTTCTTCGCGACGAGGGCAAGAGAAGGATGAATTGTCAGGAGGAAGTCGGAATGTGGCGGGAAAAGGAAAGGTGGAAAAGTTTGGAGCGGGGATGGAGAGGGGAGGGGAAGAGGATAACGAGGAAGAAGGTAGGAATGGGAGGACCAAGAGAAGGTTTGGAGGAAGGAGTGGGAGTAAGAACGCTTTCAGGAGAAGATGAGTTGGACATGATACATCTCCAAGATCAAAGAGGATGCATACGGCTATACGTCATTCCGACTTTACACCACGCTAGTGAACATGAGAACCTTGGCAGTGGAACATGGTCGGAATGTGAGAGGGTGAGAAGAGAGGATGCACAGACCCTCGTTGGATTTCATGGGGATTGGGGATGAGGTCACCTGCGCACGGGCCTCCTTCTACCCCACGACACCACTTATAAATCGTTGCTTTCCCCTCCTCTTCTCTCTCTTTCTTCATCCCGCCTCTCTCTCCATCTCTATCTCTCCGTTCCACGTCCTCCTTCGGTCACCCCCTTCTCACCCTTCTCATCACTCTCTTTCCCTCTCATCAACTTATATCGTCGTCTCGTCAACCATTGTCCCTTTACGATCGTGCAGCCGGCTGCATACTCTTCCTCCGCTCTAGTCATGTTCACACAGGCCCGTGGTTCCAACATGCCTCCTCCTCCTCCCACACAACGAGCTGCCCCTTCTCAGCAAGCTCCACTGTCTCAACGCGTGCCCGTTCTCTCTCAACGAGCAACGGTATCCAATCAGGCGCCGACTCTAGGGACAATACGCTCATCTCTCGCCGCTCAATCTGCCCGTCCACCCTCCTCTCAACCCGCTCGCTCTGTTCTTCCACCCTCTTCTCAACCTCGTCCGCGTCCCGCAGCTGCATATCCTCCCATCCTCCCATCTTCGACTTCAATTGTCAGTCGTCCTGGATCTGTCCCGGTCTATCAACCTCCTACCCCCTCCCCCAGTCTATTGGGAAGCGTATCCGGGAGACATGTGGTCGACTCCTACCGTCCTCCCTCGGCGCAGAGCCAGGGATCATCACACCGATTGGGCGTGGAAGGAAGTGGGGGACCAAAGTGGGGAGAGCAAATCATGGTGTTCCTCGAGGGTAAGTCCACTTTCTCAGTCCCTTCACACCACACCCCTCCACACCGTTTCCGCTCTGCTCTCGGTCACGGCTGGGCAGCGAATACATGGAAGGAAGAATCGCGAGCTTGCTATCGATGGAAGGAAGAAGCACGAGCTTGGTATCGGATACATGTTGACTCTCAGCCCAAGAACAAAACAGGGTCATCCAACATCGCGATTCAGTGCGGGGAATTGAAGCACTACATGAAGACATTCGAACCCTCTTCGAGGGACAAGCATCCCTACATGACGATAACCGCGCCTTGCGAAACGAAGTCAAACTTCTCCGTGAAGCAAACGTCGATTTAAGTCACAAACTCGAACGTCTCCTGGAGCAGTTTGGTCAGCACGGCCGAGACAGTCCCGATATCAAAGACCAGATAGAGGAGCTCCGAAATGACATTCACGAACTTCACATCGAGCAGAAAGCGATCCCGAACAAGGACGAGCTTGTAGAGGAGCTCCAAGTACAATGTGAGTGGGAGAGACTCACCAGCAAATGGTCTGCTTATAAGTAGTCTCTACACCATTGTCGGAACTTTTGGGCAACATTGGACGAGTGCTCGAAATCTTGGAGTCATTGAAAGAAATGCATCGCGCAACCAATGAAGCACGGTCGATGGACATGACGCGATCAACGGACCATACGTCCTCAATGAATAATGCGCCATTGACGAATAACGATACTCTGTCGACAAACAATCCAGCAGACACCACTTCCCCTCGATCCTCTCCCCAAACTGAAGTCCGGTCTCTGGTCCGTTCTATCAAGGACTTAGGGCAGCAAGTCAAGGAACTCCCTCAATGGGTTCTCGCGGCTCTTCGTACCACTCCACTCCCTCCTGCCAGTATTCTCACCGAGGTTCACGGTTTTATCACGGATCTTCAAGAACGTCTGAAAGTGCAAGCTGTGACATCAAAACACATGCAGGCTGATGTCTCGGTGATGGAGAACCTCATGGAGGGGATGTTGAACGAGATGAAAATACTTCGGATTGCAACAAAGGTGGGAAGTACCGGATCGACTGCGCCCACGGAACGCGTAGTACACGTCGCTCAGAATCAGAGGGAAGCTGCGGAAAACTCGCAGGCGACTGCTCAGAAGGAACCGACGAAAAACTCGCAGCCGACTGAACAGAATGATCTGCAAGAGGTCCCTTCCGAACATCCAGCTGCTCCCCATACTCCCTCCGATCTCCTTTCTCTCAACACAAACTCTTCTGGACATGGCGAGACCGACAGTGACCCTTATGCTTACGTGGACAAACAGACAAATGTCACAACAGCCAAGAGGCCAACAAAAAAACAGGCCGTCTATGCTAAAACGAAGACGCCGGCTGAAGGAAAGAAGACATCGCCACAAGCTCAACAGACCACCAGAAAGAAGCGTGTACCAGCAGAACCACTTTTGACTCAGAACCTCGGGTTTCGGCGGGAGACAAGAAGGGCATCCGCTGAAAGACTTCGGAGGGAAGCGGCGGCAAGAGAGATTATTGATCTGGCGTCGTCGTCCGAGGCAGCTAACCCGTCAAATACTGTTGATGATCTAGCAAGTCTGTCAACCCCCGTGCTTGCCAACGACGGGCAACCTAGAGCTCGCGAGGAGAGTGGATCGCACGGGCAGACAGGTCCCAGCGGAGAGAGCGTACAAGAAAATGTAGTAGCTAGAGAAGGAGAAGAAGAGAACATAGAGATTGACACGGATCTTCAGAGTGGAACTGATAAAAGCCGAGGAGATAGAAACTTGTATACAATGATGCGAGCTAAACAGGTGAGACGACGAAACGGGGAGGGAGTCGGGACGATGGAGGGACTGTTCCAAATTTAGAAGCAGGGAGGGGGATATCAGATGACTCTTGTATGTACCGAGAGAAGAGAGAGTGGCTCATAAGATCATGCCATCTTTGATTCATGTATATTCAGATTTACAACGGAGAGTATGGATACGTCCAGTAGTTACGGTAGGTCATGCACGATACCAACCAATACTTAACTTACCCGATTGGACCTCGCGAACGCCACATTTTCCCCATCCGCCACTGGCCCACTGCTCAACTTTTACACCTTCCCCACTACTCTGAAAATCATCTCTTCGCCCTCCTCCAATCACTCGTAACAACATCCTGGAACGTATCAAGCAAGCACGTATCGGGTATCCCAGTCCATCTTTGAAAGCATGGCTCCTCTTCCAACTGCCCCTCCGACGGCACTCGCCCCCGTCATCCCCCCCGCTCCACTTCCCACCCTCGTCTCCCGCGCCCAGAGATGGGCAGAAGACAACCATCGACTCATCCTGCTAGGTTGTGCAGTCTTAGCAGCTTCAGGAGCCGGATACTATATCTACTCCACCTCTTCCAGTAGACCGCCTCCACCTTCATCATCCGCTTCTTCCGGATCGGCCAAAAGTGGGAAGAAAAGGAGTAAGAAAAAGAAGTCGAAAACGGGGAACGATGATGATGGTCCGATATTAGAGGAGATAATACCTCTTATTTCGGAAGTGAAGGAGGAGGTGAAAGAGGTGAAAGAGGAGAAGGAGGAAGAGGAAGTAAAAGAAGAAGTCAAGAAGGAGTTGGAGAATGCGCATTTGGCAGGTAAGTTTTTCTCGTTGTGTGTTGGCTGCTCCATCCTGCCTCCACTCTCAATAAATAGCTCTCCACTCCCGTCTCAGATGAGATCGCATTGGCTCGAGTCCGGAATACCGTCTTCAAGAAGTGCGCAACATCGAAGGGTCACTGGGGATATGTACGGATGAGGACTACCTTCGATGTAGCACGATCGCTGACGAGATAGATATACCTGATGAAACGACACTGGCGGGAATGACAAATACCGTGAGTACAGACCTACCAACTTCTCGTCATATCTTCTCCCCTCTGTCCGAGCTAGATGGCCGGTACTCTCCGAAGCACATATTCATGAATACTTGACAGATTCACTCTCGGCAGGGTCCACATCCGCCGGCTGTTTGAGAAGAATTCTTGCTAATTCGCAGGAGAAAAACAAACTCGGTGCAACGTTGAAAGATCGTGGTAACAAATTATATTCCAAAAGAGATTTCATCAAAGCTGTGGAATGGTAAGTCTCTCCCTCTCTCTGATTTCTCAGTCTCCTTCCGACTAGCTTTCATTTCACAGCTCCACCCAAATCGACGAATTATAATACTTGTCGATTGATCTCCCATCGTGACTGTATCCCATCATCCAATTCCATCCTATATCACAAAGACCATTCACAATGATTTTTATATCTGGGGAAGGCGAAAGAGCTGATAAATAGCTACACCAAAGCCATAGAAGTATCAGTCCGAAAAGATGCCGTCTTTTACTCCAATCGTGCTGCCTGTATGTTATCTCTCATCTGAAGTTTAAATCTTCGGAAAAGTTGACGCGGAAGGCTATACTAATTTCAACCCTCCGGAATATGATAAATGCGTTGCGGACTGTGATGAGGCTTTGAAACTTGATCCTGTATAGTAAGCTCGTTCATCGTCTGAGCGACGGAGCTTATGGGTCAGTGTGAAGGCTTTGAAACGAAGAGCTACTGCTTTGGAAAATCTGGGAAGAGATGAGGAAGCTGTACGAGGTATGTCACAGTCTCTTGCTTTAACGTCCCCGTCCTCTTTCTTTGACCTATTGCCTCATATCTTTACATTTTGATTCTGAGTGGCGACTCTGGATCCCCAGGCGCTTCACACGTGGTCTTGGGGCTGGCTCTCACTCGCGATCTGTCTTTTCCCGTCCTTGACTTCATATCCCAAGTTGGCTTCTTCCAAGGATGAGCTAGACGATTATGAGCACGACTCTTTGCTCACATCAGACTTCACCGCCACTACAATCATCGAGAGGTTCCAAGATGATATGGCGGCAGCTTCTGTCGAACGGTGTTTGAAGAAGCTGGCGCAGAAGAAAGCTCAGGAGATGTTAAGAGTGAGTCAATGTCTCCTTTTTGTCCGATGATATTTTGTTATAGACCCGTACAAAGATCTCTTCGCTTCACCCGTTCCTGGTTAAAGCATCACCTTCGTGGCAGGAAGTTTCACCGATCTGCACTTCGGCGGCCGGCGGGGTGTGCTCATAGAACAGACAAGAGAACCGAAATTACCCTCACCGACATTCATCTCTTCTTATCTCGCTGCTTTCAGACCTCGTAAGTTTTTCCTGTCACACATCCCGAGTCACCCTGCACCAATCTATCATCCTCAACGCTTTACAGGAAAGTGGCTTTTACTGAGATGCATTGCTGAGAGGGTGACTGAGTTTATGTACATCCTGATGGAAGGCTAGAAGAAAAGAGTAAACGAGCTGAGACACGACATACTAACGGATAGATCCTAAAGTCGAACTTCCCTCCAATGCTTCTCAAGGCGACCAAACGCTCCTCCTGGCCTTCGACGCTCTGGGCGCCGCGGATTACTCTCACGCCGTGTCCTTTGTCAATGAGGCCATCGAACAGGGTATCAGCTGGAAAGAAGGACAAGCGGAGGCTTATAATTTGCGTGGGACTTTCAAGTGAGTCATCAGTTTACCCTCTGCCCTTTCCCCTCCACGCTATTGATATACCACATTCTCGACGCCGTTTGGCCAACCGACCTGACACAAGCGTTCTCGTTTCATCGTGTGACTCTTCTTGATTGTGCTTGACGACTCGGTTTATAATGCCATCGCCTTGTCAAGCAGGTTAGGTAATGACGACGGAGAACACTTGGCATATTGTTTTTCACTCGAAAGACACATCTGATTGATGACAGATTCCTCATCGGTGACTCCGAAGGAGCTAAAGAAGATCTTGAAAAATCACTCGATCTCATGCCCACGTTCGTCCAGAGTTGGGTCAAGATTGCTTCTGTGCATATGGAATTGGGAGATGCAGCAAGTGCTTTTGGGGATTTCGAAGCTGCTATCAGACATAATGCGGATGATCCTGATATATATTATCATCGTGGGCAGGGTGAGTAACTTCTCCACCATGTCATATCCACTCATATACATTCTCCCTTTGTACCCATTGCTTTCCTCCATCTCGCTCGTGATCAGACCCCTGAGGCTGGAATCCTTGCTTTCTTATCTCGAAACGACCAGGACAAGGGAAGAAACATGTGTAGGAAGAGAATGATTCGTAAAGCTGACATCACAGTCTATTTCATCATGGGTGAATTCGACAAGGCCATAGCGGATTACAATAAATCTACTTCACTCGATGATACTTTCATTTTCACCCATGTTCAGAGTGCTGTAGCGCAGTATAAGTTGGGTAATGTGGCTCAGAGTATGGCTGCGTTTAGGAGGATTTTGAAACAGTTTCCTGATCGCGGCGAACCGAGTAATTATTAGTAAGTCTGGTCTTGCATTCTACCAAACACGATTTATCATGAGCCACCTTCTCCATGTTCCTGGGATCTACTTCGTCTTACACAACCGATGTACGAGATGATCGTCTCTCAATGCTCGTTCCGATTCATGACTTACTCGCACGCCAATCCTCATCATCTCGATGAGGCAGGTAAGAACCTCCTGAGATGATCAAATTGGGATCTTCGAGGTCGATAGGATGTAGGGACAAAAGCTGATGATTTAGTGGAGAATTGTTATTGGATCAACAAAAGTTCGATGAATCAATTTCGAGGTTTGATAGATCTCTTGAATTGGACAAAGACAAGTGAGTGTCGTTCTTGCCTTCCCTCTCATCTTCCTATCCGTCTTTCTACGCTCCTCCTTTGAAATCTTCCCCTTCCCCTCCACTGTGAGCTAGCTGTTCTCGTTCTTAGTATTCAGGTGTCGATGACCAGACAACAATGCTTGAGAGAGTTACATCCAGTGTGCCGACCTTTTCTTTGCTGATATATCAGAAACCCCCGAAACGTCCTTCCACTAGTCAACAAAGCCCTCGCTGTCTTCCAATTCAAACAAGATCTCGCACAAGCCGAGGCGTTGTGTACCGAAGCATTGAATATCGATCCTGATTGTGATGTCGCAGTGGCGACTTTAGCGCAGTTATCTCTTCAACAAGGGAATTTGGACGAGGCGATCAAATGGTTTGAGAAGAGTGCGAAGTTGGCGAGGACAGAAGGGGAGATGGTGAATGCTATTACATGTGAGTGATTGATATTCCATCGACCTCTCCATCCCCTTCATCACCCTTTGTTGGTTCCTCGTGGTGATCGCTCTGCTTTTGCATCTCCCCGCTTTACCGATTGGCCTAATGAATCCTGTACCTCTCGGTTCCCCACATATCTCCATTATTCCACCTGATCAAGGTCGAAGTTCAGGTACGAATGTATGATTTTACGAAGCTGAACGTCGCTCCGCAGTTTCACTGACATACAGACGAACACGCATCCAGGGCACAAAAGGAATTCTTGAAGGTGAGTGCTTCGTCACTTGTAAGTTGAATGGACAAAGAACTGATATTGAGAATTACCCCGAACTTGGTACACGTTTGAGTCAGTTAGCAACTACGATGTGAGGGAAAGAGAGATCACTAAGAGAGACATATCCACGCCGAATTTATGCACATGCAACTGCTCAGCACGAACACTTTGTTGAATCATTTCATCCCCTTTTGATTCCGATAGTGCCGATTGTGATATCGATCGATGTGGAAATCATATGAGCTTATGTCATGGATAGTCCTGAGCGATCAGACAGATGAAAGTGGATAGGTAAAAACCAAAATAAGAGGGAAATAGAGCACTCTTCGTCGATTGGAAATGCGGGAGAATCAAGTTTTTGATAGACGGTGAGAGGTGTAGGAGTCGATCACATTAAGAAGCTTGTGTTACCTGATATGTCAAGTCAGCAGTATCAGTCATCATACGTAGGAAACATCGATACTCGAAATGGTGAAAGTGTGGAAGTCGTACAGATTCGAGTGAATGGGGAATAGATGTCTGTTCAGTTTAGTAAAGGTGGAACATACAAAGTTAAGTAACAAACATAATGAAGAAGACCTCGAAGTAAAAGTCGAGGTGGTCGAGATACGGTAGTAGATGGAGAAAATAGCGAGATAAAAGTCCATAGATAAAGTATTGCATCAAACAAAATATCAGAACAAAGCAAAAACAAAAAAGAAGAAAGAAGAAGAAGAAAAAGGAACAAATTTGTCAGGTCCACCGTCCCGCTTCTCAATACAAACATTTGACAAGCTGGGAACTTGGATGACCTAAGATCGATCTAGACAAGGGTTGACGCTCAACCTATTGTTGATATTTTGGAAGAAAAGGGAGCAACTCGGGGAAGAGAAAAACCTTGTCGTGCCGCACTCCACATAAAGTGGAATGAAGAGTAAGATAGAAAGTTTCGATTGGGATATAAGTTTCCGTTAAGAGGGGACCGTGGGAAAGTTGGGGTTTGGGTAGGTTTGTGGCGAAACCCCGTTCTGACTATACCATTAGTTATATCAGTCACAGAACTCGAGTACTCTACACTTGTAACGAGTACTGAATACTCGTATTTGATGATTATAAATGGGTCATGTACGATCAGGTGCGTAGTCGTATGTGTCACGTTCATGGGATGAAGTTGTAACGAGAGAAAAAAGTGATTGGCCGAGTAAAGGTGAATTGCTTAAGGACCAAATTCATGCTTTTTCCCGAAAAAAAAAAAAACCTAAACCTAGTCATAACCCAAGATCCCCTCAAATACCTATTACATGAATATTTCCCCCTGATTTTCAAACTCCTATCTCCCTCCATAGACCCGTAGATCCACCTCAACGTACCTTCCTAGATCGACTCAAGGGGATCTTCACACTATCAAACCTTTCGCCCTCTGTTTCTCAATTTCCTGTTGAACCACAACTTCCGGGTCTGGAGCGACCAAAGGATATTTGTTCACTAAGTAATTCATCACCTGCGCTAAGATTCCAACCAAAAACATCCATACTGTCGTCGCACTGAATCCAGGGATGTATCGAGGTGCATCTTTAGCTGGCCAAAGGAAAACACCATAGATGGATGCTGAATTACCTAAACCGTTGACCAAAGCGATCGATACGGCTCTTTTTTCCGCTGGGAATGCGACGACGTTTGGTACCCACATTAAAACTAGAGCACAGACGGCATATGTCATACCGAATGCTAATGTCATGAAAGCGAATTGAACTTTTGTGTTATGAACAGCTACGACGATGACTGGGAATCAGCACTAGATTATACTTTGTGTTGACGGATGTTGAGAGTCTAAGTGATCGTGAGGGGTGTTGAAGACGATGGACATGATGGAAGAGGCTTTAGAGAGAGTTTGGCGTAGGAATGAGGATGAAGAGGAGATTCTTGAGGTAAAGAGATTGGATTGGGACAACTCACTGAAGAAAGTACCAGCTGTGAACGCTAGACCGGTGATGAATATAGCCTTCTTTTGAGCGTAATCGGCCCAAATACAGAACCCGAGGATACAGCAGAAAGCACATGCGTAAAGAGGAATGGTGTGGTATTGACCTTGATAACCGGTCCATCCGAGAGCTCCGACGAGAGTAGGGACGAAGTATTGAATGGTCTGAGCACCGGTGCAAAGCATGTCTAAAACTCAGCTAATGTCTGGTGTGAGGTGGATTATGGGTTTTGGTGTAAAAGACGAGTCATGGAGAGGATTTGCGGTTGAGGTTGAGCATATGGCACTTGATCATAGAAGTGATGTATAGTAGAAGAAAGAACGAAAATCGAGGCAAGGGTGATGTGGAAGGGGGCCATAGGAAGATGGTGTAGGAGGATGTGAGGAGTTCAGGAGGTCAGGGAGGTGAAAAAGATCAGGAGAGGGGAGGGAGTGAAAATGAATTTTATTACGACGAACAGTCATATCGAACGAGTAGTCGACGGATCTCCGAGGAAGGAATTGGGAAGGAGGAAAGGAAGGTGGGGAAATGAAGAGACAACCCACACATAATAACAAACACCCAACTTCGCCAATCTCCCAACGCCATCTTGACAGTCTCCCAATGCCCAAGTCTCTCTTGTGCACCTTGAGTATTGGCCAATCCATCATATGCCAAACGTTGTGCGGCCAGAAGACGTTCCTCAGGTGACAAAAACTTGGTAGTTGTCGGCCAATCAGGCATGATGAACCCTAACGATGATCAGTCACGATGAACCATAAAGTAAGAAAATTAAAACTGACAAGTGAAACATCCTACGAAACAAGATCCTACACCTTCGATAATAAACAACCATTGCCATCCCTGAATACCACGTCTACCATCCAAATGTTGAGTGATGAGACCGGCGATAAGACCAGAGAAAGCTCCAGCGACGGCGATGGCAGTGTAGTAGATACTGAATCGGGTAGCAACTTCATATTTCTTGTACCAGGAGGATAGATACTACTGTGTCAGCTAAGTATAGAAAAGACTGGGTATGACTCACGTAGGCGATCCCGGGAGCGAAACCAGCTTCCACTATACCAAGTACGAAACGAGTGACGGCCAAAGTTTTCCTGATAGATCAGTTTGGTGATGTCGGGATAGGAGAGACATACCAGTTTTTAGTGGCTGCCATACTGGCGGCTACGGCTCCCCAGATTATACATAGACCACTTAGGTACAGGGAGGGACGGACACGGGTGAGAATGAGATTCCTATATCGTCAGCCCCACTGAGAATTACAGAAATTGGGATGAAGGAGGGCAAACAGATGAGATGATGGCAAAAGTTGAGATAATTTGAGGCGGAGAATGGAAATAGAAGGCAATGAATTATAACGATGTGATTATTGTAGACTCACGAGGGTATCTCAAAGATCAAATACGAGACGAAGAAGACAAGCAGGATGATGGAATATTGGTTAGAGTTGAATCCGAAATCCGCTTGAAGTCCACCGGTCTTTGCGTTTCCGATATTACCTCTGTCCATGAAGGACATCGCGTACAAAGCCCAAATACATGGCTGTGGAGTCAACAAAGGATCCATATATAGTAGAAGGAAGAAAGACTCTATCAATTATGAATGGATGGAGGATATTTGTGGTAGAGACGGACGGAGGGTACTTACCAAAAGACGTAAATCAATCTTTCGAACCAACTTGCGTTCTTCCTCCGTACCAGGTCTGTAACTAGCTGCAAGAGCTACAACAGTCGGGTCGACATCCCCAGCCTCTTGATGCCATTCCTCTGAAGGCTTTTGATCGTCCATGTGAGGCAAAACTTCTTGAGACATTGTTGTATGTGAAAATGTAACGCACGGGATGTCACAAGATTGGGTGATCTGTGTTCTAAAACTATTCCGATTCTGATCTCTCTTTATATCTCAATAAAAGTCTTCATCCCCCTCCCCCAAGAAGAGATGGTGTTGAACTCTCCGGAACTCCGGAGAGGTTAGACATGGAGTTTGATGGATGTATGTGGATCAAGTGGCGAGAAAAAGTGATGCGCCAAGAGAATTTGATTAACTCCGCGTTATCCATTCGGGGCTCCTTGGGTTCCTTGGGGTGTTGCGGGGAGAGGAGATCCAGCTAGGGAGAGCGAAGCGTATCTCGGTGTGGTACCGATCAGATGATCAGATTGCGTCTTCTTGGTTGTGGCCCGTTTGGCTAAGAGGAGAAAAACCCTAAATGGATGAATGGATTGATCCGAGGGATCAAGGGATCCCTCGAGGAACGTCCCGGAAGTACAGTACGAGTACTCTACTCTACTCGATAGTAAGTGCATGTGTCTTCGCTTTGCGAATTGTCGAAGTACCCGTCACCATACTGAAATCGAACACAAGGTCAGCGCATGCGCTATCCAGCCGCCAAGCATGTTCACAGAATCAACAGAGACCAACTCGCTGGCCGCTGGATCGCTGGCCATTACTGGATCTTGTAGCCTTCCATTGGAGGCACGTAGCCAAGCAACCGGTATCCCCGGTTGAGTACAAGAACCGGCTTTGGATCGCAAATTCAATTAAACCCGACATCAAAGTCCCACTTTTCGAGATGAATTTTCAAATTTTCGGGTTTTCCCAGGTCAAAAATCCATCAACCAACATGAATTGCCCTAAAACCAACATGGAGGTGGGAAAACCAACATGAAGGGGGGAAAACCAACTTGAAGAGTGGAAAACCAACGTAAAGGGTTGGAAAACCAACTTTGAGGTTGGGAAAACCCACTTCAGAGGTAGGAAAACCGACCTTAGCAAATATGAGCTGTTTGCAGTTTTCAAAAAAAATCAGGATACAGGACCAAGCCATGTCAATCATTGGCCAAAATTAGAGCAGCATTCGGGCGCATTCGAGCGCATTCGAACTCGTTGAAGGACAGTGCTCTTGCAGAAACACCGCCGAGATCTCCGCAGAACAGCTCAATTAACCGTGATATCGGACCCTCCGAGCCTTTTGATCCTTGATAGGACTTCGTCAGTGACTTACGCATTGATCGCCCTCATCAGTGATCCGGTAATGATGATCACCATGTTCCCCTTCGTTCTCATCTTCTATCCTCCTCTTGCCAACTCTTCCTTCTTTACTTATTTGTGTATAATTAGCTGTCAGGCTGTTCACAATGGTACGGTTTCGACCAAAACCACCCCCAACCGGTGTCATTCCTGCCACTACCATCCTCAGAGGTATGACTCGTCGCCCTAGAGGCCGACCCGCGCGGGTTCCCAATTCTCCATCCCCTCAGCCATCAGCAGACCTTGGAGACCCGCTTGCACCCGTCACATCACAATCAGGCATCGCTCCATCATCCATTCCAGCTGTCTCATCCCAAGAGTCTGCACCCCTTCACTCCTCCAGCCCTGACGTCAAGCCTCAATCAAACGTGGGTGATGCACCAGATCCCTCACCCGGCTCTCCCAAACATATAGCACCACGCAAACGCACTCTCTCATCCCCCAGCAATCCTTCCATCAAGTCAAGAAGGACACAAACAACCAGCTCCCCGCAGTCTGCCGACCATAGTGGCTATCATTCGTGGATGGCACGCTTTCACGATACGCCAGACATTCGACTGGCGGGAGATATGTCCGGATACTGGCCACTTGATGACCCAGACGGTATCTTCCAAACCTTACAACCCCTTAGGGAAGTAGTACCAACTGCCCGGGTTCAGATCAGTACTCGCTTTCTCCGAACCTCCAAGTGGGATTTGGACGTCGATCAGGGATATGTCAGTCAGCAGGTGAAAGTGAAAGATCTTGGCCGATTCTTCGAACAACTGGTGAGTTTCAGCTCTCACAAAGTCCTCCGTCTGACAGCATCAGCCTCATGATTACAATATTGAACGTCACAGCCTCTACCGAGGAGCCACACTGGAGTGGACGGACGGACCTGGTTTGTGGCCAAATGACATACGCGCTCGTCGTGTAGAAGTGACGATCAATGAGCAGGATTTCCGAGCACACCCCAGTCGACTCATCTGGCGTGTTGGCTTCTCTTGCAGTGGGTCCTGTAAAACACACCTTGAGACTCCCATTGTTCCATCTGTCCCCTCGCTTTCAACACAAGACAATACAGCACACGAGATGTTTGAATTTGCCAAGGCGGCCTCACAACGACGATCCAATCGAATCGATCTGCATGCTCAAGAAGATAAGGAGGAACCAGATACCCAAGTCCCCGGTGATATGACCGATCCGTTCTTCAATGACGAGCTGGATGACGACAACGATTTTGGTGAAGAAGATGATGGGCCTGGCGATGAAGAAGACGATCCGGATGGTGATGGAGAAGAGGAGGAAGAGGGTGATGACTCTCTTGGTGATCATCCTGTTACTAAGAAAGAGGGCAAGATCAAAAAGCCTCGTAGGCGTCGCTCTTGTCGGACGTTCCTCGTAGTAAGACGCCTTCCATGCTGCCACTCATGTAGCTAATTCCAGGTTGAAATGACTGCCAAACAATGCCGGCAAGGGGTGTGCACTGTGATAAAGAAGTCTGAGGAATATCATCCTCCGGTCTCCAACCTCTCTGACCTCCGTGTATCGCCATACATCCGGCGTATTCTCCATGAAGCCTCCATGGGCTTCGGTATGACAACGGCTCGACTTCAGGAATGTGAGCACTTTAACCGCGTTGTTGTACTTCACTTCAAATCTGATATCTGCAGGGTATTCTCGATCCATCATGTCTACGGACTCACACGTCAGATGGATCAAGACAAATTGTCCTCATCGTGGGGCTCGCTTGAAGGACTTCAAGCAAGCTTTGGAAACAGCCGCATCTGTTATCAAAATACATTCAAGTCCTCTAGCTGGTGTAGCCATACTTGGGAAAAGACACCCAGAATGTTTCATTGCGTCAGCCCTTCACATGTCATCTGTCCCATCAGCGTGGAGCTGACGTTCAGCTCAGAATTTCCCCCAATCCTAGACGACAAGACAGTCAAGAAGCTTCCCAAAGATTCGCGTTTTCAATGTGTCATTGCTCCTCCTGCTGCCCGAGTCACCGCAATCCTACAGGTGTACCAAAAAGGATTATACATGGACTCTTCGTGGCGGAACAAGAATGCGTTCCGATGCCCTTTGACACTCCTGGTCACCTTGAACCAGTACCATAGGATGGTACCCCGTCAGTATCTTTGGTCGTTTCTGTACCCTGTTAAGTAACTGACCAATAACAGTGGCTGCTATGGTTTCCAATCATGCGGACCAGGCAGCTTATGAGTTTCTTTTATCGAACTTCAATCGAGCCGTTCGTGAGACCGCACTGGAAATCCTCAATGGTACATACACCGTGGACCACCTGGGCGTATCCGAAGAAGATTTACGAGAGGCATGTCAAGCGGTAGTTGAAGATGGTCTCATTCCACGATTCACTATGACGGATGGAGATGAGGCCGAGCGCGCGGCAATCAATGCCATCTACCCTGGAATAGCCGTTCGAGTTTGCCAATTCCACATGATGCAGGCATGTCGCTCTAAGATTCGAAGAATTTTTGGAAGAGACCCCAGGGTCAATGAAATCACTTCAGCAATTCTCAATGCAGTACGACGGTGTCAGAGATGCGATGATGAGGAGCTTTGGCCCCAGTATTTTGGAAATTTAGAGGACGAAGTAAACACTTTAGCTGAAGACGAAGGCGAGGCCTGGGAAGTGCTGAGGGAATACCTTGAACGGGTATGGTTCAGCCCTCGGTGGATCCGTCATACAGTCGATTACGCCATGCCCTCTCATATCACCAGAGATGGGCCTTGGTCCACCAACAACTATTCGGAAGCAGCGTTTCGGACATTCGATCGGGTGTTTTTAGGTTGCCGTTCCAATAGAAGGTGTGTTAGCAAGGCTATCAAAGTCACTTGAGCTGACACATCCGATAGACTCGACCGACTTATTGCCATTCTCATATGCGCATACTTCCCCTTTTACGAAAATACACCTCCAGAACAACCCCGTGCGGATCCCAAATTACAGCGCCTCTTGTTTGCAGCTATGCACGTTTGGGAGATAGATGGCATACGACCCTGCCCGGTGGATCGTGTTCCAGAAGACGAACGTGATCAGTTTGGAGGTACTGTCTATTGTGTGCTTTCCGCTCGTCGAAATCTAGATCCTGGCTCAGCCAGCTTTTGTGGAAGGAAAGCGCGGAGTGACAGGGAGGCCTGCACTTGTCAGTACCCGTCTCTCACCGGTAAACGCTGCAGTCATCTGTGGGCAATGAGCCTCTACGAGCTCTGTGGACCGATCACGGAATTCGAAGAGAATTCCGCTGTGGTGCAAGACTTCCTACGTGATGGATATGATCTACTGGATCTCCAAGAACCTGTTCGGGTTGATGAAGACCCTTACTACAATGATCGTCAGGAATTTGAAGAGTATTGGGGTCAGAACGTGGCTGAACTATCAAATCTGTCAACAATTTCACTTCAAACCGATGATCCCCAGCTTGAAACAGATGATCCTCAGCCGTCTGTAACCGACCTCCCAATGACTAATCATGAAAGTGAATTCATAACCCAAGCTATGTACGCACCCTCACCCCCAGTGTCTAGAAGGGAGATTACCCCTATAGGACGCCGATATCAGGCTGGATCACTTCGTACCCGCCATGATGAGAACACAATTCACATCGGGAATGACGATATACATTTTGTCCGTCCAGAGCAATCACATCTGAATGGTTCAACACATGTTCTTGGTGGACAACAATCGACATATCAGTGGTTTCCAGAGCTTCACAGTGTTGTATCCGAAGCACATTACTCCTCTGAAAGTCACCATCTCCATTCGGGTACCGTCAATAGCGATCAACAAGCCACCAAAAGTACCGAATGGCCAACCGAATGGATGTCAGTACCTGAACAGCCGCCTACGGCTCCCGAATGGCCAAACGAATCGATGTCAGTACCTGAACAGCCGCCTACGGCTCCCGAATGGCCAAACGAATCGATGTTAGTACCTGAACAGCCGCCTACGGCTCCCGAATGGCCAACCGAATCGATGTTAGTACCTGAACAGCCGCCTACGGCTCCCGAATGGACCAATGCCTTTGCCGAACAGAGTCTGGAAGCTGCCGAACGACCAGAAACATTGCTCCCAATGCCGGACCAAGTTGTGGTATCTCCCGAATGGACTCACAATTTACCACCTGTCCCCGACTGGATGGGTGCGTCGATGGTAGGCGCCGAGGCATCATTTAGACATCCTGGATGGATGAACACTGAATCACCAGTACCCAATCAAGCGGTCTCGTGGAGTTTGCCAGGCATGACACCAAATCCAACGCATGCTTCAGCAGTCATTTCCTCACAACTACCGACAGCCAACATGTCATACAAACTGCCCATGGAGCCAAACGTTCAGTATCAGCATGTTGGGTACCTACCAACACCCATAGGGGTCCTACCTCAGTGGGACATCGATGGGAACATCTCCCAAGAGAACATTCAGCCACCAATAATTCCAGCTCCAATGATCCCAGTTCCAATCGTTCCCCCACCAGCTGCTCGTCCACCTTCAGCTCGTCCACCACCGACTCATCCACCGTCAGCTCGTCCACCTTCAGCTCGTCCACCACCAACTCATCCACCGTCAGCTCGTCCACCTTCAGCTCGTCCACCACCAACTCATCCACCACCGAATCGTCCACCTTCAGCTCGTCCACCACCAACTCATCCACCACCGAATCGTCCACCGTCAGCTCATCCACCTCCGACTCATCCACCTTCAGCTCGTCCACCTTCAGCTCGTCCACCTTCAGCTCGTCCACCTCCGAATCGTCCACCTTCAGCTCGTCCACCACCGACCCATCCACCACCCACTCGTCCACCGAGCACTACACCTTCAAATCCCTTGTCAGGCCCAAAAGTTCAAAATTCCTCCACCCTAAACTCAGAACATAGCCTTCAGACAGCTCATAATAGGCCTGGTCGTCTGACACACATACAACCAATGAACCCTCATCGCCAAACCTCCAATGCATTGGTTACCCACACGGACCATCAAGGACATGGACAACCCGCGAGCAGCGGTGTGAGTGGTGTGACCAACACTGGAAACGATTGCTATGCCCTGGCACTGTTTCAAGTGCTCGTACACATTGTACCTTTTCGTGACCTCCTGATTGGTCCCAAGAGGCTGCAGCAACATTCAAGGAGTGCGGATGAAGTTTTGGATTTGTTGAGACGCTTTGCCTCAGAGAGAGACAAGTCAACCGCAGTCCCTGCCTCATATCCTACAATGAAGAAGATTTTATTCCGTAAGGCGAGCTTTCCAAATGAGATGTGTGCTAACATCAGTAGAGCATAAATTGGTTGACAGTGCAGTGACACAGCAAGATCCCCAGGAATTGTTTGACAGGTTGGTGAAGCATTTGGACCGACTGGCTCCTCTTCAGTCGGCGTCTCAAATATTCAACATCGCAGTGGTCAGCCGTGTATTGTGCCCGGCTTGTTCATTCGCTTTCGTGGACATGGCTGATACTGGGATCTATCCAGCATTGTTCCTCCGCCCGGGTCACTCAACATCCGCCGAGATGCACGGACGGGAGGTTTTGGACATGGTTGAACAAAGCCTCATTGACTCAACTTCATTGAAGACACATCGATGTAAAGAATGTGGACACAAGTTCCATGCCAAAGGGAAGGCCAGTATCCCTCAGATTGGACAGCTAGTCTGCTTAAACATCATCTGGAACACCTCGTCACATAGTGCTGGGTCGGAAACTGCCAGTGCTCGCATCAAGCGCAATGTTGAATTCCACATTCCAAGGCGATCACCTCTGTCTGCATTCATTGAAGCTGAAGGAGAGGGTCCTGAATTTGAGCTGAGAGGGATAGTGTGTCGGATTGGGGAAAGCGTGCAAAACGGTCATTATATCGCAATCGTGCCATCCAACAGTGAAGAATTTTGGTGGGTGATTGATGATGCCACAGTCACAACATGCCCTTCACCTAAAGTAGCAGCGTTTAGCCAAGGCCGGTATCCGACACTGCTTATCTACGAAAACATAGGAATTCCAGAACCCAAGACATTTCCGGCACACGTCCAGTATACTACGCAGACGCCCTACATCCAGCCCATGCTATACACGGCACTGCCAACGAAGGATACCCATTCTGTGTCGAAAACTTCCGCGCCCGCCCAGTCAGGTGAATGTCATCTTTCCTGGGTCAAAGTACTTGCTGACATAACAGTCAATCACTTTGGTGAAGAATCCATGGATTCTCCACACCTATCAGATCGACTTGGACATCCGAATCCTGTCGACGGTGTTACACGATCAGCTCATGGAGGAAAGCAAGTCAGCGGGACCACGTCTACACAACGAATCACGGCCCCTGGTCCACACTCAAATGCACAAAAAATCACTTGGTACCAGAAGCCTGAACGCGACTCTGGTCACACCAACAATGCTGCTGTTGTATCAGCGGTCCTTGACAGATATCAGAAAGTCCAGTGGGTGATTCCAGATGCGAACGCTGTCAGACAAAATATGATCTCAATGTCATCGGGATCGCCCTCTTCCACATATACATTCCCGCTGTCTAGGAAGTTCTTCGCCATTCTCCGCAGGCGATTAGCCGAAAATCGTGACCGTCCGGGGTTACGTGCGGGGGTAATATGTAGCTCAAACCGATCAGCTGTAATAAGTGAAAAGATATTTGAAGATGTGCACAAGTTGACTAAGTGGTGGAGTAGTTTTTACATAGACACAATATGTGTTATTACGATTGACGTGTTAAAACGTCTTCTAAGGCAGGAAACATGGCCTGTCACCCACACTCCAAGCTTAATTAGCTGGCAGGAAAATAAAGATGGTGAACGATGGTCACCAAAATTACAATGGAATGACAAATCACAGCTTCCGTGGCCGGCACTGGGGGGAGATTCAACTTGGCGTCATCGCACGAGTGTCAGTGTGGTGTCAGTGGCGTTTATGACACACTTCGCCACAATAGTCATATTTGGAAAGGAGAGACTCGTGATTCCGTTCGATAGTGCTAGTGGCAGATATGACCATCCTGAGCTCAAACGTGTAAGTTGACGTTCACATGACGTATGGCAGAGCGTGCTGAGTCGAACAGAAATGGACCACTCTCTTGAATGATCGATTGAAGTACGAGCTAGAGCAAGGATGGGTTGAGGAAAGTGCCAATGAAAATTGGTTGTTTGCGCCGAATACGGAGGTGAGTATGACACCGCCGTAACAAACTCGAAGCTGAATCATTGCAGGCCCTTCGCCAAGGACTACATTGGATCAACCAACAAGATACTTACAGCTGCGGTCCACTGGCTACTGCGGCTGCCATGATGGTGGCCCAAGGGATCCGCCCTTGTCGAGAAAATCTTGGTCTGGAAAAGGATCTATATTTAAAGGAGCACGCAACGTTACTGCGGGATTCGATTCTGATGGTATTCCTCAATGAGCATCTGAGGTGGGCAGTAGCCACATGGGCGGAATTTGAGGTGTCACCATGGATTTGTGACCCAATTGTAATGGAGGAGATGAAAAATTGGAATGAGGCTTTCCAGAAGCGAGGTAGTAGATATATGATAGCATATCGGTGATTCAGAGTAGCAAATTTGGAGAACAGGCGACATTGGACAGATAAACAAGTCATGACCTGCATCCTGTGTCTATGAATTTACCAATGATCTAACGCTGCGGACCAATCCACCCTCACGTTCCCTGTTCATTCTGATGTTCAGCTATCTGATTGACTGCCTGAAGTACCGCCAGATGAGTTTTGGGTGTCAACACTGACTGACCCATTGTCACGGTCGACTGACTTATCATGTCGTCCTGGTGGAGGGGTGTCTCTGGCACCTGCTGGTCATCTTCATTACTCCATTGCCCTGGGATATTTGACGGGTGCGGTGTGTGCACAAGAGATGAATGATCAAATTGAGGTTGGAGGATGAGCGACTCCGCGGCTTGTCCTCCAATTGGAGCAACTTTGACAACGGATGATGCCACTTTGGTCGATGGGGAAATGGAAGACTCTGTGGATTGGACCAGCGATTGAGTGTCCACACCTAGAGAATGATTATCCGCAGAGGGTGCAATGTGTGGGGGTGGAAGTTGGGATTGAGTGACATCGCATGATGAGCTTTCGTTCGCTGGAGGTTGCACAATGAAAGTTTGTGTGGAAGGAATGAGCGACTGCAATATATCAGAAAGTCCAATGTAGGAGATTGGCATTGACTCACCTCTGACATAGTAATGCGAGGCGGAGACGGCGCCTTGGCATCCACGTCATTCGATTCGGGTATCCATACACCAGCGTCGATAGGGATGTCAATAGCCTGAGTAGAGGTCAATGTATCTGCTTGGAGAGTTTTGAGCATTGCCTTTGCTTGTTGTAACTCGCTTGTGAGCTGTTGAACCTCGGCATCAGCCTCCTCCAAAGCCGCCTCGGCAACATCTTGCGCAGCATTCGCATCCTGCATTTCCTTCTTTGCCCGCGTGGCCATTGACCTCATAGCCTCATATTCCATTCTAGCGGCATCCCTTTCTTCCAATGCAGCTTCTCTTTCCGTTACAGCCTCTCGGAGTCGCTGTCCAACGGCTGCTTCTTCCCGTAGCAAACGCTCCACATGTTGTTCAAGGAAAGAAATCTGACCGGTCTGCTTGCTGATGGCGTCATCCTTCATTGCCAACAGGTCGGCAGAATGCAGAAGACGATTATCAAGAGTCCGAAGGGTGTTCTTGAGCTGATCTCTTTCGGCTCGAACAGATATGATGGAATGTCTATCTTGTCTGGCTTGATTTTGCAACTCTTCACAGAAGTTGATAATGTTGTCAAGAGATTGAGCAAAGCTGTGACGGTTCTGTTCTACAGAATGAAGCAGTTGATTTGCACCATCGATGGCTGCGGAGAATGGCCGTTGCATGTCAAGACGAAGCGCAGCAAGGTTTGCCAGGGAAGGCGATTTGGTTTCAAATGTGCTTGTGGAGGGTGAGATGGAAGTTACCGTTGTACCACTGTGAGGAGGAGAGAGAGGCTTGAGAGACACATCATTAGGGGGAACCAGTTGTTGAAATGAATTTATGTCATCGACGGTCGGCGTGATGGAAGACAGGGGAACTGACAGAACATTTTGAGTGGGAGGCTCAGCCGATTGGGTGCGCTTCCGAAGCTTGGCCTGAGCATTGTATTGACGCCATCCACTCAGAGCGGCTGTCTTGAGCGGAGGTGGACTCAGCACAGAGGACCGTTCGGGAATCGACGGGGTCAAATCATCGACGGCAGTGACTTCGACTTTTGGAAGGGGAATATGGTGGGAAGCAGGTTCGGACTGAACTCGTTTGACCTGAGAAGGGTCGAGCTGAAGGGCAGGAACACGTTGACTGTCAGGAACAGGCAAAGCCAGCTGAGATCCTGCTGCCTGGGACTGGGAAGAAAGAGTTGTAGGGGATTGGGACCGAATGAACAGCGCCTGATGAGCAGAAGTAAGGGATGACGTATTGGTGAGGCGTCGCTTCGGTGACGGGACTTCCATATTGGCCTGCGTACTCGTCCTTGCCCGCGATTGCAGGTCTTTGGATTGCTGGACCGCAGGATCATCTGCATTGAGTCCATGAGTAGTTGGCGAGTCGATCAAGGTTGGAGCCGCGAGGAGACTGTGGGGTTCAATGGATTTGATGGCAATGGTTCTCAGGTCACAATGGCTATCGACATGGCAGTGGCAAGACCAGCAAGCCATCGGAAGAAGCGACCCTTCCTTGGAAAAGTTCCATCGCCAGATCAAGGTGGGAAAATTTCTTTTGTCCTTTGCTTGATTGCACGTTATGCCCTCCAACCTAAAGGATTAGAACACTGCTGTGTTTTGGAGAGGACATGACTTACGTGTACATGAATGCAGGAAGGCAAGGCTTGTGACAAGAGGTTTCCGCTTTGCCGTTCACCCGACACACAGGTCCACGGCTTTTGACCGGTCCAAGCTTCGTAGGCATCCAACGATTGAGACCATATTTGGCCGCAATGGGAGGGAAATATTCGGATGGACAGTGATCATATGATTGGAGTGAGTATGCAATCTGCCTTTCCAGCTGACGGAGGTTTTTTTTGGCAAAAACGGGATCGGTAGGCTGCTTTTTGGCGATCCACTCTTCAGCAAGGCGTACATGGTCGGGAGTAGGAGCGGCTGCAATACGTTCGGGAATGGGAGGAGGAAGAGAAGGCGAACGGCTTTGTTGGCGACCAGGAGCAGTAGGGGTATTACGAGTGGATCTGGTGGACCGGGGAGGGGTTTTAGTACGTGATGGAGTGGTCTGTCGGGGAGGCATGGCAAAGATGTCAAATCAAGATGTGATATTTGTTTTTCAGATGTAAGATGATGAGTCAATGACTGTTGACATCTGCGAAGAAGAGACGACTTGGCGATGGAGAGAGCGTGAAGGGGGGTGTCGGCAGCCCAGCAGGGCGGAGGCCCATAGGCATGACAGACGGCGCTGGACCAGAGGGTCCGAGCAATGAGTAGGAGAAGGGACAAGTTGTGTGTTTGGAAATTGCCCATTTTACCACGATACTGACAAGCAGCCATTGAAAACTGAAGAAAACCAGTCCGAATAGCGTCGAATGGGTGTAAAATAGAAGAGAGAAAAGACCGATTGGGTATAAGAGTAGCAATAAAGAGAAGGAGATATCGAAAATAAGTGACAGGAGAACATGGACCATGATTACGTAAATGGTCACTTGAACAAGGAAGATGGACGCCGAATGGCGCATAACTGGGTTTTGGGGAGAGCATCCGGGTTTTAGGGAGCGCATCCTGGTTTTCGGGGGGTCTAAAGTGGTTTTCGGGAGCTCATCGTGGTTTTTGGGAAACACTAGTTGGTTTTCCTGTTTGTAAAGTGGGTTTTAGAGAAAAACCGAATATTCATGTAGGTTTCTGGGATTGTAAAGTCGGGAAAAATTAGACATGCCTTTGGATCCTTGACCCGGAGTCTATGGCTTGTCCATCAGTTAGAGTGTCACGGTCGCTCCGATAAAGTATCGGCCCGGACGAAAGACTTCCACTTACAAGACAAGTATCCTCACGCGTTTATCATGCAGGTCTATCAGAACAAGAAAGAACAAGATCTTCATCTAAGACGTATTCATAATGTCGGTAACATCGTCAAACAACAGGACACTTGATATCTTAGCCAAGGCGGAAGCCGGTGGTTGTGAGTATTTCTCAGTCACTGTCAGTTAATCACGATCTGACGTTCAAGATGGTGTGATCGCTCAGACATGCTATGATTGGGGTTCGGCAATCGGACTTGTCAGAGCTGCTGAGAGAACCAAATCTCCTGCTATCTTGCAACTCTTTCCTATCACGTTGAAATACGGACAGGGCGAGTTTTTACAATTCTGTCTCGATGTGTGAGTTCTATCTAACGTATCCCAACAACCAGACATGACCTTTGTGTAACAAGGATATTTAATGAGTGAGAAATGATGCGGATTGAGCTGACATTCAGTGCCCACAACGCTTCTGTACCCATCTCGGTTCATCTTGATCATGCGACCGACGAGGAACAGCTAGAGCTAGCGGTAGGACTAGCGGAGAAAGGGATCAAGTTTGATAGTATCATGGTGGATGCCAGTCATGCAGACGTGAGTGAGGAGTAGTGATGTCATTCCGATGTAGCTGACGGAAAGACTGACGAGGAAAACATCGCTCTCGCTATTCCATGGATCAGGAGATGTGTCGCCGCTGGTGTAGCGACAGAAGTCGAACTCGGTCGATTGGAAGGTGGTGAAGCTGGATTGAGACAAATCGAAGGTAACATCTATACGGATCCAACCAAGGCTGAGAAATTTATGCAGGAGTGAGTATCTCATCCAATCTATATCATTGTCAGTAGTAGTATCTGACAAAATAGGACTGGCGCTCATATCCTTGCTCCTTGTGTTGGCAGTGAGTTGATATCTTCCAAGATATTAACGATCGTACCTTGAACATATAGATCGACATGGTTCGTACAAGCTCTTTCCAGGAGGACCTGAATCTCAATGGAAGTTTGAAATGTAAGCTGCTTACATGGCTAAAGCTTATGAGAAGAGTGAAGCGCTGACTGAAAAAGATTGGACGAATTGTCAACTCGATTCAAGGGTCGTGTTCCCCTTTGTGGTGAGTTGCGCTTCCATGAATTTGAAGGATGTTAGCTGATAATCAGCTCATGGGACTGACGAACTATCTGATGAGCTGTTCAGAAAGATCGTCAAGAGTGGAGTTACCAAGGTTTGTTGTACCCTATCCTGGAGGTCATCAAATCGTCACTGACGAATAGCTAAACGTCAATTCGTGGTGTAGGGATCCATACGTGGAGACTCTTGGTCAAGGATTGTTGAGTAGACCTTTCCCCGAGGCGATGGAAGAAGCCACCGAAGCTTTTGCTAAAGAATGCGAACGTCTATTTCACTTATTTGGATCAGCGGGCAAGGCTTGATAGAGCGAAACATCATGCACCGTGTTCAGCTTCGATATGTATACATCTCCTGATACCAAATATGAATACACATCTACAGGGCTTGGCGTATATGCATAGCCATAAATAGTGACGATGATAGGACAAGCTTCTACTGCCATGTGATTTGATGGGAGGGGAGGGGAGGGAAAGGATGAGCACGTCATCATCTCGGCGGTCAAGTTAAGCAGCTAAGATTATAATCCCTTCTTTCACATCTCTCCCTCTCTTCTTTGGATGTACACCCACCGATCCACATTTAATATCAACCATATCATCTGCTCCTCTCCATCTCTTCATAGATCCATGGTTCAATCATAGGGAATCATGTATAAACCCAATCCCTCACAGGGATACTACCCTCCATCCGATAACCTTCCTCCGCCCGATGGTCAAGGACAATGGCAAACCCGCGATCCTAATCAACGACCCACACAAGATATCTCGTCTCAGCCTCAACCTCAATACGCTTGGTACGGTCAACCGTCCGATACTTCTCCCGTTTATAGACAAACCCCTTCACAACCACCGTCGGCTACATTCCCCCCTCCAAATTATCAAACTTTCCCTACTCCCACCAGAGAACCAGAGAGCATGACTCCCCCCACGAAGAACGAAAAGACAACCTCGCAATCTCAATCTCAAACTGGAGGTAATAAAAAGAAGAGAAAGAAGACCACTATAGATGTAGTAGACACGGACGCCGCTGGTTCTGAAATGGGTGAGAAGGAAAAAAGGACCAAAACGGGAAGGGCGTGTGATGCTTGTGTGAGACAACGTTCCCTACTATAATTAAATCTTATCTTGATGATCTTACTGACTACGTAGCGTACCAAAAAGATAAGATGCGATATTCTTACTTCAACTTCACCAAACGTATCGGAAACCCCCATATGCGCCCATTGCAAGCAGTATAACCTTGAATGTACTTTCTTCTTACCTATCACAGAAACTCGATTCAAAAAACGACGGATGACCGAAGAACATACTTCAGATTCTCCACATCCTAGAGGACGAGGTGAGACTGGTAGTCCTGCAGAATCTAGGAGGTCGGAAGTTCAAGCTAGAGTCGAAGGTCAGTAATAAAAATGGAATAGTACCACGTCCATCACCCCGCTGATCAGTCAGGACCTACTTCCTTATCATTTTTATTGCATACTACCATACCTGCAACAGCTTCAGAAGCTTACGATTTACGCAATCATACTTCTTGGGAAGTGACGGAAGATGGCGATGGTCTCATACGTGTTAATGCTCCTCCAACTGTGTCGGATACGACAGAAGCCGATCTTGGAGATCCCACGAAACATCACAACAAACTTAATAAACCACTTCTTTCAGCACATACCATCTCCCTTCTTGTTAATGCCTATTTTGACTCTTTAAGTCCACTTTTCCCGATCATCACACGAACAGAATTCGCCGCCAAAACCAGTCCCAGTCCTCTACTCCTTTACGCCATATGTGGACTGGGGGCTACCCGACGACAATTCCCTCGAGAAGTTTTCGCCGGTGTCAGAGGAGTCATCAATGGTCTGTTAAGATCTAATGATATTCTAAGTGATGCAAGATTGGAGAACGTCCAAGCATTGGTATGTACCTCTCCGATGTCATAGAGGTCGACTGATGCCATATAGTTATTGTCAGCTCAAGTTGGTGACTTGCATGCGCAACCAACAGCCGCAACAGCTAGCGCAGCATTAATACGTACCGGTACAGCTACTCGTATGGCACAAGATATGGGTTTACATCGAGAATCAACGCAACGTGCACAAACGGCTCAAGATTTAGCTTTCGTAGAACTCCGTAGAAGAGTGTGGGCGGCTTGCGTCATCTTGGACAGATGGTATGGAGCAGCGTTGGGTATTCCATTACTCGTGGACTTACTTGACTGTGATGTTCTCCTTCCTGCACCTTATGACATCATTCCTGAAGCCGAACCGAGTTCGTGGCCTATCGAAAAAAGTTATATCGGATTGGCAGAACATCTCAAGTTATCGATCTTGATAGGAAGAGTGCTCAAGACTATTTATAGTCCGACTGGATTAAAGTTGACGACCGATGAGCAGCTGAGGGGGTTATTGAGTGATATGGAAAGTTGGAAAGAGAATCTTCCTCAAGAATTACGATTTCATGGTTCTAGTAGCAGTCATATCGTCGGTGGGTTGGCTTTCTCGACCTTTCATATTCATACACTCTGATCGTTCGTCGGGACGTCGCACAACTTGAGATCACATGTAGACGGTTGAACTGACATCAAGGGCTACTTCATATGGGTTACTGTGCCTTGCAATTCCTCTTCTGGCGTGTTTTCATACGTATCACACATATTCTCCCACCGCACATCAAGATAGGCGTCGAAGTCGAACGATGGTCGCAAACGACTCAAATGGCTTCTGAAGCTATAGAATGGTTGAGTCATAATGATGACGCTTTGGACTCACTCTTCATATTTCCCTACGCTGCGACATCCTGTGCTTTGATTCAATATCACACTTGGGCTAGAAGACGTGACTCGAGTGCGTTGGAAATGTTGAAACTTATAAAAGAGACTGCTCATAATTGGGAGAAAGTAGTTCAACCAGGTAAGTTCATCCTTCCTCACTCCATTCGTCAATTCCCTCACGATCTTTCTGAGGGATTTTGATGACTAACTTCAGACCAAATGTCTATTCGACGGAAAACGTGTGAAACCATGACTTTGTTATACGAAGCAGCATTAAAAACTCGACAAGAAGGTCCTGAACCTGATCGTCCTCCTCTCAATCCGACAGCCGGTGTGGCTCCACGACCGACGTACGGTCGAGCTAGATGGGTACATGACTCTTCTCGACCAGGCGGGGGTTTTTGGTTGGCTCGTGATGAGAGCGAACGTAAAGACGCTGGTATAGCATTAGATAAAGATATCGTGGTTCAACAAAGTGGTGATTCTGAGAATCAAGCTGAAGGTTCAACGACTGGACAACAAACATCAGAAAGAAGAGATGAACATATGGAACTTTTACAAAGTATGCAAACTGCAGCGAATAATTTGAATCCTCAAATGAATTTGGAAACGTATGCTCAATTTCCTTCTGGGCCGGGAGCAGGAAACGAGGTGAGTTGTTACATATCTCTTTTGTCTTTCATCCCCTGCATCAATCCTCGATGAGACTCACAGGGGAGTGAGAATGACGTAGGGAAGTGAATGGTACTGTAGGCTGACTTTTGATAGATGGGACAAATAGATCCATTCGGTTCTTTAGGTATGGCCGATCCTAGTGGTTTCGACCCCAATTTCTTGGATGGCTTACCAATGTCAGGTTTCAATTGGAACGAATGGAATGTGAGTGATTTTCTTTAGTGATAATATTTGGTATCACATTTAATTGATGACTAGAATTATTTTGAACAAATCGATAAGATGGCTCCTGGAGGAACTCAATTTCAGTGATTACCAAGGGAAAGGGTTTATGAAGAGGTTAGAGAGAAGTTTTTATAGTGTAGCATCTTTTCCGGTTATCTTGAATCGATATGTCTTGTTGATGCATAGAAAATACATAGTCTTAATTTTGAATCTACCATTCTTCCCCCTTTCCCTATCATCGTCAGTATGCAATCGTCGACGCTTTTTCGTGCTATAAAGCTACAAAAGTAAATGTTAAAGGTCTGTCTGAGTAAGTAGGTCAATGTCATTCATATGAATGAACCATCAGAGATTCATCGTACTGTACCTCAAGTTTGAAACTCGCAATACGATGAAAGGGGATTCGAATGGATCAGTTTAGATATTTTTTTTTGAAAAAAACGACGATACATTTTCGCTATTCATCCGCACCAGGTACAGGATCATATTCTTTCAAAGCGGCGACTTTAGAAGCACTTGAACTATTTTCGTCGAAAATGTATCCTAACCATTCACGTACTAATTTTCTAGCAACTTCTATTCCTATAACTCTTTGACCTAAACAAAGGACTTGTGCGTTGTTTGAGAGTACTAGACGTTCAACGGAGAAAGAATCATGTGCTGTACATGCCTGTTTCGTCAGACAATTTCTTTCCTTTTTCATTTTCATCCTCCCCAGTTTCCTTAATACTTTTCTGAGGAGACCTTCTTTCAGTCTTGTTTCTCTCATTCATTGTAGGTTGTTGGGGCTTCGTTATCCCTTTTGATTCTTCGTAACATCTCGGAACCTCATTATCTCTTCGAAATCATAGTAAAGTGTGATGTATTCTTTATCCACTTCACTCTGATTCTCTGTGATATGTGATGACTTCACTATCCCGTCTAATCCATATTGACGTTTTCATCTTTTCTTGAGACGTATAGGAAGAACGCCTGGGTTGTAATGTGTTGATGAAGCTGAAAACTTATCGACTCACTCGGATACCTGGTACTTTATTAGCACTGATAGCTACTCCCATTCCTATTCATCAGCGATTCATCTTCAACCGACTTGTTTCTCATCTTCAACCAACTTGTTTCTCATCTTCAACCAACTTGTTTCTCATCTTCAACCGACTTGTTTCTCATCTTCAACCAACTTGTTGATGTCCCACAATGACTTTGAGTGATGACATGGTACTCAAAGTAAACATGAACAATGAACATTGACCGATATTTGATGGAATCATATACGGATGACGGATTATGAGTTACAAGTCACGGATTGTGGAATGAAAACCCAACTCACCAGTTCCACAAATCAACAAAGCTCTATCAGCTTCACCACTAGCAACTTTTTTCGCTGCGGCTACACCAACATGAGGATAAGCGGTTTTATCAGTTCCTTCATGAACTCCAACATCTATAACTTTTATGACTCTTGGATCTTTTTCAAGATCTGCTTTGATTATTGATTTATAACCGTGTCCTGCTTCATCCGCTCCCATCACTATAGTCCATGAAGGTGTTGACATTTTTTCCCTGTCTTTTCTCTTCAATCTCTCTCTATGTTTCTTGTTTCCTTTCCAATTCCCACAATTGACTCTGTGTTCTGTGTGCTTCGACTTGAGATGACTTCCTACCGGAATGGTACTCTGAGATGATCTTGGCTTGTTGGAGAAAGAGAAGCAAAAACGTGTCTATCGGCAAATGGAAAGAAAGACCAAAGAGGGGGCCGGACCGGTTTACGCCGGCGCCGGAGAGTAAGAAATTTGATTCCGTCAATCGTAAAATACCGTTCCCGATTATATATCCGTGAGGAATTTCAACAATCTTCCACTCATCCGGCATCACTTGGCATTTTACGCCTTATGGAGTTTTCTTTTCCTCTTTAACCGGGATGGAGAAATGGATTAGAGTATTAGGAATATGTAGAGGGTTTTATGGGGAGGGGGTGGAGAATATATAAAGTACGTGGAGTGGGGTTGGGAAATGGATATTATTAGATTTTCACCCAACCGTTTTCCTTTTCTGAGAAAGAATCGATCGTGAAGAATGGTGGATGCTAAACCTAAGAACGTGGTTTTGATCACTGGTGCTGCTGGATGGTTGGGGAATTTGGTGAGTGAAACCGAAATCGTTCTCCTTGACTTCTTCTTTAGGAATGATCTTTTTTTGGGAATTGGGTAAGGATATCTTGAAGGGCTTGAACAAGGATGGGTGCTTGTTCACATGATGAAATATCTCTCGATGGGGGGAATGTAAGGGGAAGGGGCGAGAAAGGGAAGTGAAGGGAGAGAGAAGGGGGAAAGAGAGAAGAGAAAGATATTTTGAAAGGATTCAAGGGAAAAGCTAACTCTTTCAGCTCGCAGAAGCTCTCCTCAAAGATCCTAAAACCCCTGATGTCCATTTGATCTTATGTGACATTGTCGAACCTCGAGCTCCTAAAGATGCTAAACATGTAATCACTCGTAAAGCCGATTTGACGGATCCAAAGGAAATCGACGCTTTGTTCACTACCGAATTTGGACCACCTGATACTATTTATTGTTTCCATGGTATCATGTCCAGAGGTTCTGAAGATAATTTCGATTTGGGTATCAAGGTTAGTCCGGTCATGTTTTCTTTTCAACTTCCTTCACAATCTCGCCATTCTCACTCCTCATTGCTCATTGCACCTGATCCTCGTCGCAACTTCACTGTCTATCGTGTTCGCCCCATCCTCATATTCCCCCGAAAATGCGTCATATTGCTGAAAAATGATGGATGGGAGACATTATAATTTATGACTCGACAAGGAAATGAAAACCAGTGTCTCACCTACAGGTCAACATCGACTCTATTCGTCTCCTTCTAGATCGTGCTCGTCATACACCCACCACCCAACCGATAAAATTCATTTTCACTTCCAGTATCGCAGTTTACGGTGGTATACTTCCCCCTATTGTCGATTCGACCACAATCACCACTCCCGAAGGTGCATACGGAACTGGAAAACTCGTCGCAGAGTTGTTCGTAAATGAATACACTCGTAGAGGTTTTGTAGACGGACGTATCCTTCGACTTCCAACTATAGTCGTTCGTCCTGGTGTACCATCAAACGCTACGTCAGCTTTCATCTCAGGTATCATCCGTGAACCTCTTCATGGTGTTGAAGGAATATGTCCAGTTGGGGATAGTATCGATTCACCTGAACTTGATGAAGTTACTTGTTGGTTAGCAAGTCCAGAAATCACCATTCAAAATTTCGTCATTGCCAAACATGTACCTGCTGAGAAGTTTTTGCCTCATACGAGGACGGTTTATTTACCTGGTTTCCATAGTTCAGTGAGGGAAGAACTTGAGGCTTTGAAGGAAGTTGCCGGACCTGAAGCTTTGAAATTGGTTAAATTCAAGGTAAGATTGAGGAAATCGCTTTATCTAACATCACATTCCATCATTAATCTGGTCATTCATGATACGATATTGACAGACAGGACGATCCAATCAATCGTCGTATCGTAACCTCGTGGCCGACCAAATACGATATTACCTATCCTCTTTCACTCGGCTTCATCGTCGACGAAGGTGGGATGGTACCTATTGTCCGTCGGTTTAAAGAAGCTGTTGATGCCGGATTGGCCTAGATATGTCGAGTCGACTGCATCGGGATCGACTTGTACCAGTATGGATAAAACATGCCACATGCCACCTGCCACATTGACATCCACTCGAAACACACTGAATGCGGGCCAAAGTGACTAATGACGCATGACGCACAGACACTCGTTTCCCACTTCCCCTCTTTCCTAAACCATCACGACGTCATCGTCGATCATCCAAACATGACACAACCGCGTTTTTCTCAAAGTCCCCTTCCCCCCTTAATAGTTCCTCTCTTCTCCTCTTCCCTATCGTCGCAGCTGACTAGTGAACAGCTGACAAGCTTATCTGATTCCTGATCCTCTTGAACTCTGCCAGCTCAGACCAATAACTAGGGGATCAAGAGAAGATGACCAGCGTACCTCAACCCGCCTTGGCTGCAGAGAAAGTCAGACATGGAGGTTTATCAACCCGTTACGCCCCAGCACCGAACTCGACGGGAGTGCAAGAGTATATGAACGCTTATCCGCAAAGTGGAGCGACAGAGCCAAATCTACCCCCAATGGGAAGAACAGAGTACGCCAATGCCTCACCTCGTCCACATAGCTTTTCTGCTTCAAGATGGATCAGGTGAGCTCAGGTCCTCCGCGAAGATGAAGCTCAGGAGACAGGTTGTACGCTGTGGACCTCCTCACCATGGCAGCTATGGGTGCGATCGGCCTGGGAGTATACGAAGCGGACCCGGCTCCTTCGAGATCTTTTCCGATGTCAGTAATCTCTCCAGAGTCACTTACCATTTCTGCTATCTTGCGACTTGTCAAAATCGCCCAGAGCAACTCAGTGTGGTGACACATGGACGGAGGCTGACGAGAAGATACAATCTCGATGGGGCTATCGCTTACCCTGAGTGAGTGTACCCGCTGCCTCTTTACTGATAAAGCTGATGTTTAGATTTGCCTACCCTGTGAGTCGCTCATTCCTTTTGACAACCTTACATGTGAGGAACATGGAGATGATCGTGGAGTAGACCAAAGTGAGAAGAAACTGATATTCAGTTGAGGAAGAACATCATTCCTATTTGGCTCGCTGCTCTGCTTGCATTCATTTGCCCATTTGTCTTCTTCGTACTATTCCAAATCCGGCTGAGAAGTCTCGAGTTGTTGTTGGGAACGACTATGGGGTTACTTGAGTCTCTCAGTGAGTCTTTTGTGACCCATTTCCGCCCCTGGCAGATAGATGTCTTCCCCGATTCCATCTCATGAAGTGATGGGCCTCAAGGATCAATCCAGGTCGGTTAGGAAAAGCTGATCCGCAGTCACTGCCGCCGTCTTTCAAGTATTTCACAAATGGCTCATCGGTGGGCTCAGGTGAGTACAGCTCGACAGTGCTAGTATGGAGCTGATGTCAGACCCCATTTCTTGTGTAAGTCTTGTGAAATCTTATGTGTGTGAACTAACTTCGAAGCCGTCTGTCAGCCTAGGGTCCCACCTGGCGGTCCTCTGACTGGGAATGGCTTTCAACGGATCATGTATGATCGCTCAATTTGCACAGGGTGAGTCCTCAGCCATTCCTCGTGGCTCCGAAGTTTTATACCTTGACTCCCCGATCCTTCTCTCGGTCCCAATGGCTCATCCTCCTTGTAATGTCTCGGAGTGTACGTTGTGGAGATGAACGCTGACAGGTCCAGAGATAAAAGTACAATCGATGATTCCCTCGAGAGTTGGATGTCGGGTCATTCCACTGCGGCTTTTGCGTGAGTTGACTCCAGTACCTGGTACTGAACTGACAATTCAGAGGATTCGTTGTGAGTTAAACGAAGAGATCCCACTCCTTCCGTCTGAAACGCAGTACTTGTTCCTCTACTTCAACGCCCAATTGAAGGTGATGGCCGACCACCGACCGGCTTATTGGAAGATGATCCTCACTGTCGCCCCTATTCTTGGGGCTTCTCTAATTGCTGCTTCTTTAACAGTGGACGAGTTCCATAATTGGGTATGTTCTGTCCTCCCTTGTTCTCCCGCCTCTTCCAGAACTCAGGCTTTCTCTTGGCCTGTCCGTACTATTGAACCCTGGTCGCTTGAAAGAAGGTTCATTACTGATGAAGCTAGTATGACTGTCTGGGCGGAGCTGTTGTAGGAACCTTCTGTGCGTTTGTGAGTACTCGTACTCTAGCTTGGCTATGTCACTTGACAGTCGCTGAAATGAAGATCGCGTATAGGAAGAACTTTGCAGCACTTTGGGACTTTCGTTTCAATCACATACTCCTGCCGCGTGAGTTTTTCCACAACTCGTCACACATCTCATTTGTCGCCGTCAAGTGTGGTCCTTCCATGCTCTCTTGAGCTGGTCACGGCTACTAATCAGTGGTATGAGGAGAAGAGATCAAGATCAGACTAACTCTCAGGGTCCACTTCTCTATTCCACCGCACCCCAATCGACTTGGAAGCTCCCACCTCTCGATTCTCGTACAGTACTCCCGAAGCCCTCATTCAACGTCCAGTGGCTAGTGAAGGTGGATGGCGACGAGACCTTCGACCTGCCGGAGCTCCCAGTGACGCTCTCGGCGTCTAGTCCTTTCTCTGACGATCTCTGTCCTCATCCTGTCCATCTCTGTCTCCCGGCGCTACACTCATGACTGCCTACTATGCATGATTATATACAACAGAATCCTAATAAGCCATGATCTCTTGAATGTTCATTTCAGATGACACACTTAAACCAAGTCGTGAAAGATTGCCAAATCCCAAACACTCAACTTCTTTCTTCTGAGAGTCCTTTCTCCAAATCGATCGTTTGATCAGATAAGAGAGGTTCTTTAGCTACATCGGGTGGTGTGGGTTTGACCTGAGTTCGAGCTTTATGCCAAGTGTATAGCAGTCCGCCGAGGATGATGAGGATGATAGACATGATGCGGTTTCTGGGTACATCAGCGGGGATCCATATCTTCCTCGGGTTGAGGAAAAGTCTGAGAGTGGGTAATGCAGTGGATCCCGAGTGTTCTTGGAAGAATGTAGATTATGGGACGCATGGTAGATAATACGATATAGAATAATTGACAATGTTGATTTGCAGGCTGGAAACGGGGCGAAAGTGGTAGAGGTATAAGATGACACATACGTATTAAGAACATCGTGAAAGAGATAAACCCCTAAGATGGTCTGTAAGACTGATCTGACGGCAGCGGAGAACATGTGAGTGACGGGGGAAGTGACTTTGATACTGAGTAAACCTGCGATACAAATGAGGAAACCGACGATTCCCTGTTTGTCAGTACTTCACTTCGAGTTTTGTACCTTCTACACTTTCGTCTTGTTCACATTGACACTTCCTCAGCTGTCTCAGCTGTCTCGCCATACCCTTCCTTCTATCTCCTTTGCGGTGTCATAAGGTGTATGCGAAAATGGTACTCCTAACTTGCTCCAGTCGTACATATCGAGGCGAAGTCGTCAGACCAAGCGGGGAGTTTTGTGGGAGAACATTGAATATGTGTATATTTTAGGCAGAATGTCCCCTTTCTAGCTCATGCAAGATGAAATGGAAAGTTGAATAGAGACTCACTGTCACTCCACTCCCTATGATAAAAGCCCAAAGGTCACCTTCTTCCCCTTTGATCAACCTCTCCACACCTCCAATCTCCCCACTAAAAAGAATAAAGGGGATCAAACCTACAGCACTTAACAGATTCTGCCAATATGCTAAATCTAACATTTTCCCATCCACAACTTTCAAAGCGTTTTTAACTAAAATTGCATGAATGGCAATCATCATAGCGCATGCCGTACCCAATAACATCCCTAATATTGGGGTTTCTTCTACCGTTTTATCATTCGATATCCATGGAAGTGGGATGAAAGAATATGTGAATCCATAAGTCACGAAAAAACATGATATCAATATTTGATTCATTGGTTTTTCCCCGGACGTGAAAGATGTAAGAAGGACGGTTATTGGTAATGTTAATCCTCTTGCCACTTGGAAATATGAAGCGTCTACTAGTTGAAGACAATAGATGTTGAATATTAATCCGATCAAGTTGACCAGACATAGAGGTGCGAGGGCGAGTAGGGTTTTACGACAAAGACGGGGGATGTGGAATAGGGTTGGGGAAGATAATGAAGAAAGGAGGATGAGGAGGACTGCTATTGATAATTGAAGGAATAAGAATGTTAATGGGAGAGAAGTTTTAGTTAGAACCCATTTGTTACTAATTGATCAGCGTTCTTTTTTTATTTGTAAATTGTCATGTTTATTTTAAGGTGACGATATTTTCCAGTATTTCAATCGGAGAGGGGATATAGGGAAGAAGAATTACTCACACCATAACCATGACCAATGCTACCGCCATGTAGAAAGAGACCACACTGGCCACTTTCCAAACGGGAGGATCATCTTGAGGCATGTTTGATTGTCACCGAGAAAGATCTTCGTTTAGGGTGGCAAGCGGCAAGATGTCGAGGGGAGGGAGGGGGTTATGATAGTGACGCAATAGCTGAGTTGAAGGTCGCTTGGCGTTTCTCTAATGACAAGAACGCCAAGAGTATATTTATATCAATATATAAAATAGAAACAGAGAGGCAAGAGGAAGACAGGATAATGTGTAAATAGCGGTCATTGGGAAACGTTAAAATACTCTGGTCTCGTTACTACACCTGATGATTGTCTTTAGGGGTGGAAGCTGGAATCGAGATTATCAAACGGATCATCTCGGCCCACTACCGTATGTCGTATATCATATGTCTTACGTCGCTCGTTGCAAGTTGGAGGTCGTAGCCTCTCCCGATACGCCGTTCAGTAGACCGCGGTGGAGAAGGGAGTGCAGCGGAAGTCGTGCTGGTCATATTCCATAAGGTATGATCTTCGGGTTAAAAGATCCTCATCTACCGTTTCATCTTTCCTCGGGTGAATAGCATGTCGTATCACTCCTCATCTGTCCCCCGTTACGATAGACATGCAAGAGTTGACGATACAAGAGCGAGCAGAGTAAGTAGTGTGAAAGTAGACAACGGTGGGAACGGGAGTGCGAATTTCTCAAAAGTCCAAGGCACCGTTGCCCGATCACCGGTGCCTGAAAATCCACAAATCTGCGACATTTTCACCTTCCGCTTTTTCATTCCCGCTTTCATAAGTGTTTCATAGACCTTGCACCCTTCCACGAAGTCTACCATACTTGGTTATGACTGAATAGAAATCACTCCTGGGGAGTATGGGAGTGATAATTTGAAGGCGTATATCACACGTAAATGTTCCTTTACACTGTGACATTCGGCAGCGAGACGAAGACGAGAAATACCTCAAACCACGATGTATACCCTTGCATGGCGTACTGTACTCCAACGATGGACAGCTCGGTCCGAGACCGACCATACCTTTCTGTGATTTTTGACTTCGTATGGAGGACGAAGGTGACACGGCTTGAAGAAGAGGGATAGATGGGTGAATGGGGTGGGATGGGTGTGAGGATCAAGTTGAGATATGTCTCAATATCATATAAACCCTCAGAAAGAGTGGTTGGAGTTGTCACCTCGAACCTCATTCACCACCGAAATTTGATCTCCCGAATCAACTCTGACGACTCACACGACTCACGCTCAACCTATACATATACACGGACCTGACGACGTAATCGCAAGCACGGGGTTTTCGCTTCTCTAACGACCGACGACATCCTCAAATCATCAGTTACAGTATCACCGCAGAGTACCCTTTTTGTAACTTTTTCACAGAGGCAGATTCATCGAATCACTACTGGGATATCCTTCGTCCTATCTCATATAGTAATCTTTGACAATGTCGACCTTCGGTCAAGAACACCACGAGAACGGGTTGAATGAGATGGTCCATACACCTCCTCGTCAATCCCGACCTAAACTTCAATCTACGATATACGACAGGTATTCCCATTCCACACCCATCTCACCCTTCCGACAAAGTCGTTTCCCACTCACACCACCAGAAACCCCCAATAGACCCATCAAAGAGGCTCAAGAGCTCTATACGAACTTCTCCGCACTCACTTTCTCCCAGCCGACCGTCCAAAGCAGACTTTTGAGCGATAATGAATTATCTTACTTTCTACCTTCCCGTCAAGATGGAGTCAACGATATGTCAGTCTATGCCCTCTCCTCTCCTCTCTCCCCAACTCTATTGTATCACTCGTATCTGTCAAAATGCTGATGATATAGGTACCTACATCACTCCCTCATCGCTCCAAGGCATCTTTTCACCATCGAGCGAATCCTCAATCTCTGGGCTTATCTTCTCCTCAAACACCCTCTTCTTGCCTCCACAGTAGACATCAGATCCTGGGAGAATGTACAATTCCTATATAACCCTCCAGCCAGTCTGGAAGTAGCTCTTCAAAAAGCTGAAGAACGACTCTGTATCATTCCTTCCGGAGGAGATATCATCGATTCATATCTCAACGGTCCTCGTACCCTCTCACCGGACAGATTGGCAATGCTAGTCATAACCATCCCTGACCATCCTCCATCTCCTTCAACCTCTCCACGATACTCAGGAGATTATGACGAAGAGAAATACGAAGTCATGTTATGCGCCACCCATTATCTAGGTGATGGGATGGCGTTACATACATTGATGAACGATTTCTACACTTTACTCGCTTCTCCCTCTATCGACTTTTACGATCTCATTGAACCTTTATTGGCTACTCCATCTCGACTGCCTGTATCTCTGGAAGATCGATTGCCTCAATCTAGGACAAGATTGGAAGAAAGAATAGGAGTAGAGGAATACCAACGATCAGAGAAGAGTTTGATAGGTGGCCAAAGTTTTCCAATGTCAAAGATAAAAAGGGAAAGGAAGACGGTGGTTCCTACTCTTTCTTACTCCGAGAGAGAAACGAAGGAGATATTAGGGAAATGTAAGACGAACGGGGTGACTATAGCCCATGCGGTTTTCGCGTTGTGTAGTGTTGCTTGGTCTAGGTTGACGGAGGATTGTAGTTCCCCTTGGTGAGTGTTCATACGTCTTCCGTACCCTCTATCCGCCGTTTCCCCTCTACATTTGATTATGTCGATAATAATTTCTGAGAGGCTTTCTGTATAAACGGAGTATGGGACTAACAAAATAGTATGTTCTATTCAGCACTCAATCTCCGACCTCAACTCACCCCTTCTTCCGATTCATTCTTTCATCTCGCTGTTGGATACTTCAACATCGTCCTCCCTTCTCTACTTCCATCTATACCGACTGGTGACCTTCTTTGGCATCGAGCAAAAGAGACGAAACGACAAACTGTCAAAGCTGTCAAATCACCGTTCCTCATTTCACGAGCAAGGGAGACGAACAAAATACGTCGAACGAGGGCTGTAAAATGGGCAATGATCGATGATGCTCAAGACAAGCGTTCCAGAAGATCCACTGAAGATTTGCAGGCTAAGCATATCGTTCAATCCGTCAAGTCCGAGCGAATCCCCAGAGTTACTCAATATGATCGATCACACCCTTCAATTGCTTCTCCTGTCGGACTAGGATTGGGAGTGGATCTCCCCCGACGGAAGACGTCCATCCCTCATGCCAAAATGTCCAATGATGAGATAACGGGATTACCAACTCCCGAAACGTCCCCCTCCATTCCTCAACTTCCAACCGATCAATTTACTGTGCAGAGGGATGAAAAGACCAACATGATAAAGATCACAGAAAAAGTTGAAACAAGAACAGGGCCGTCTCAAAAAGCACTCATGGGTCTGTCCATGTTAGGAAATCTCGATACGATGTACAAACATCAATCATTCCCTTCCATCCATCTTGAAAGTCTGACAACGGGTTCTCGACAACGCTCTGGAGGATTATTGTTATTCGCTTATACCTTCAAAGGGAAATTGTGGTTTTCATTGGGGTACGACATGAACGGGTTCGAAGATGGGGTCATTGAGAGGTTTTGGGAAGAGGTACATGGGTTAGTGAAGGAGGTTATGCTGAGCAGTTAGGTCTCAATTATGTTTCAGGGAAGTCGTCTCAGTACGGAGTTGAGATTTTTGCAGGGCAGGAGAGGGCTTGGGAGGTAACTATGGGTGTCAGAGAACGTGTAGGATGATCGTATTGCTGCTTCATATAAGTTAGGTAAAATGTTTATAATGATGTCAATATTCTCTACACCATGTCATGTTACTCGGTCTCAGATTTAGTGGATCTATCAGATATCCACAGCGACGAACTTAGGTTTAAGTATACATGAGGTTCATATTTCAATTACATAGACCTACTTACTCGACAAATCATACTGTGACCAAGTCGCATGCAGATCTCACCACTCACTGCAATTCCTAACGAGTCACAGTATCGAAAATCGAACAATGAGGTCTTGAGGTATCATGTTGTGTAGTCAATTGGTATCTGTTGGCTGACGGACTGAAGTGATGCCGCTTTCGTCCGTCACAACAGTCTTACAGTCAGTGTCCATAAGAGTTGGCATAACTCCGGGCGTGACACCCGACTTTTGGTGGGCAAAATCAGTTACACATCAGGATTGATTTCGAACTCTTCTAGACTGTAGTGACGGCCTGCGCTCCCTCACTTTGTGCGTCTTCTCCCATTTATTAAACGTGCACACCTCATTTTTTGTATCGTCGAACCAGACGCTCTTCTTAGTTAGTACGCCGTCGACCGAAGTATCATCACCAAGTGTGGCAGTTTTTCTACCTCCAGGTTTTCGAGTTCCATCATCATTGAACGTGGGGTAGCCTGGCCCTGACTCTTGGCCTGTCCTTGGTTTTAAAATCGATCGAGGAAATGTTTTCGACCCCGAAGTGACAGGCCTGCTTGAACTTTCCACCTTCCATTGGACGGAGTCATCAAGGTCCTCGATTCTAGAGTTGTGGACATCGTTACCGGTTGGTGAGACCTGGTTGGAAGATAAAGGATTTTCGATAATCTTCGTGACCATGGTATCGAGAGTAATTATATTGTTGGTGTCAAATAAATCAGAGTGTAAGATAGATCGGTCGGAAGCGTCTTTCGATGCTATTTCGTAAGTATCATCATCCAGGTCTGTCTCGACCTCAATTGTAGACGGATACTCCAAATCATCACTGGGTTTGTACAATACGACGTCTTTTATGTCCGAGGCGAGTTCTACTTCCTTTATAGGTTCAAACACTTTAACGACGTCAGCATTGATGGATTGGTACTCGTCCGAAGCAAGGAACGGACCCCAATTCTCCACAACGACGGGCTCGGCTAAATGTGCTGACAGATCGGTATCGTGGGGAAGAATAGAGCCGTCTACGGGAGATTCAACCTGCGTGAAGGCCGATTCGGGGGAGGTTGATTCCAAGGGAGACGTCAGTAACAGGTTATTGGCGCTAGAGACGGGATTCGGATCATGAAATCCTACTTTCAGCTTGTCAAAACCCGATCGTGAATCATCAAAGAACAAGAGGGTAAACTTATTCCAATTCGGTCCGAAGCCATCCCAATTCATGAGTTCCGTCGAGGGGTTCCCGAAACTTGTGTTTTCAGGATACACGAGTAAACATGCAATTTCCAGAGAGATACCTGGGGGCAGGGAAGGGAGCGATAGACCTGTGGTTAGACTCATGGATGTCATTGGCGACCAGTAAGAAGAAATGAGAAGATGAAAGAAAGTGAGAGGGGACTTATTATGGTTTGGTTTGCCACTGACCGTGGGAAGAAAGAGGCGCTGAATCGATCCTTTCTTGTGGTAGATGGGCATAGAAAAAGAGGATTATCAATGGAAGGAGGAGGGGGGAAGAGAGAAGTATAATTTCCGCTTTTGCATTTTTGCTGTGTCTTCTAACCTCCTGAGCTTAGAAATGTCGAGTGCCACGTCAACGTTGCTGAGGAGATCTCATAGAGGATGGCTGCGAAGTTTATTGAAGGCATTGATACGAAAAGAAGGAAATGGTGATAGAGTGATTCTGATGTATCCTTTGGTTGAGTCCCGTCTCGCTGGTTTTCGAGACCTTGACGAGTAACGAACGTCGTAGTACTCCCGTGGGGTGAATCAATCATGTTCGTCAAGGCGATAGGAGAGAGCGCTGGTCGAAGCGAGTAGTTTCAACGATGAAAGAAGGGTGGGGTATTGAGCAACAGGAAGTCAAAGGTTTTGACGAGAGGACAATCCTGAGAATACTGAGTCAACAAGTCAGCGGCTATTCTCGCATAATGGCGACCAGTTAGTCACTGGAGAGATGAGTCATACATAGGTCCAATAGTTTCAGGAATTAGCAATACGACCATTAAAACTCCGTCCTAACAAAGTAAGCACGCGGCGATATTGAAACCTCATTCGGAGGCATGTACAAGTTATACCACTATCTTTTCTCTACAGTAGCTTCCTCGCTATCATCATAACAATCCTCTCGATCTTCAGACAGCTTGATCACGATTATATCCGTATTTCCGAAACGCACATGTTTATTACCCATTGCGAGTTTCGTCTTTCCTTCCCAGGTGGGTTCGACAGCGGTTGCAACAACAGACAAACCAAGATGCAGGTCCCCGTGACTGCGGGAATTGTTCCCCAGCTGATGTCCTTTCAAGATGGACTGTACTGATCTAACCGTGCTTCCCTGGTGTAAGCCCAGAGAATGGGAGAGAGTTTTCCCATCAGTGACATCTGAGCCATGAGACACTTCCATTCCTTGTGACTTGTCGGTGATGAATGCCGATCCCGAGTGGCTCGAGATCTGAGATTCAGCGATGTTGTCCTGACCGGAATACTTGCCTGTCTCAGCCTTGTTAGAAGACGATGCCTGAACAGATCCGTCTCCCTCAATCTTTCTCGGGGAGTCAAACCAATGTGAACAGTATCCAGGGAGGACAGAGAAGTTGGTACCAAATCGTAAGGACGAAAGCATTGCCAGCGTCCGAGTGAAGTAAGAGGCCAGACTCATGATGTTTCGTTTCAGATCAGTTGACAAGAGAACTTAAAGCCAAGGGAGACTAATTGAGGGGAATTCAAATGCACTTTATAGGACAGAGTGGGGAGGACAGTTCTGCTTTAGCCTGGGAAAAAAAAGGACCAGGGGGGAGAAGGAAGAGAGAAAAGAGAAGGAGGAGAAGGAGGAGAAGGAGGAGAAGGAGGAGAAGGAGGAGAAGGAGGAGAAGGAGGAGAAGGAGGAGAAGGAGGAGAAGGAGGAGAAGGAGGAGAAGGAGGAGAAGGAGGAGAAGGAGGAGAAGGAGGAGAATGAGAAGGGAGAGAAGGAGGAGAAGGAGGATGAAGCTTACGGGCCAGGCGTGGGTTGATCCATTGTCTATTCCAATGCCAATGGAGAGGGAGAAGCATGCGAAGATGCTAGACCCTTCTTCACTTGTCTTCGAATTTCCCACGATGACTCTCTGTTCAACTAAGCCAAATCTTGTTTTCGATCGATCGGAGTCGTGTGGGATCGATGAAGATGCTTGAATATCTCATAGGCAGACATTTATTCGCCAAACGATGGTCTTCTTTCGCCTCGAATCAGATATTACTGATAGTGTTGCAATCCGTGAACTTGACAGGTGGTGATTCTCCACTCATGATAGATGCGAAACGCACTTTTTTTGGTCGTATGGCGATTTCGAAAGCAGCTTTTCATGAGTTTCAGGTCTGGGTTCCAGCTGATCTTTATATCAAAAATCCTCATCGCCAGAGCTAGAAATATGAGTCTCTTCTTGTGCTGACTGATTGTCGTCGTCGTCGTCTTCGTCGTCAACATCGTCAACGGATGACCAGGGTCGCTTCCTCGTATGAGATGAAATCGCAAGATCTGAACTCTTTCCCGGTAACTGGTCTTCAGTGGCGGCGGTCTTTACGGGAGGAAACGTATACTGGGGCGAAGTGACGGGAGAGGGGAGTTAATTCCCAAGAGTTCTTCCAAATCTAGACTGGCTGTCGTATCTAAAAGAGTCAATTCTTCATTGAACCCATCCTCGATCTGCGAAGCCACAAATCCATCTGCGGTGACCTCTGCACCAGAGGAAGGACCAGGTAAGTTTTTACCGTCATTTTTGGTGTCGATAAATTCGTAGTTCTGATCGTGAACGCTCCTGTCACGTTTCAGATTTACCAGCATGTCGATGCAGGCATGCAGCTTGGTCCGAGACTGATAGAGATACAAGGGAGAGTCAAGAGACATTTTGAGTGATCATGTATATTTCAACTCTTGCTTCTCGGACCGTGTTGAGAGGTCTGGCCGGTTTGGGTGGAGTATGACTGTCGCACGGCCGATCCGTCGATGTTTGGAATAAAAGGAGGAGAGTGTCGAGGAGCAACATGACAGGGAATGTGCAACTACCATGTCGAAAACATAGAAGTGGAGGTATTGATAATTTCCACGGTCCATACCCTCTAAGTTATTGGTGTGTGGTAGCGTCAAAATTGTACACACTGACAAGTCTCATGTTATGTAGTCAAGTTAAATGCACAAGAGGATGAAACAAGTTAGCAAAATTCGTACCGGATCAAAGGGATGTGATAGCATATCTCCGAGTAAGGTACGAGTACCGTCGATACAAGCTTGACAACAGGACACAGGAAGTTGGCCTTTTGGATACAAGTGTCAACATGTCTTAGTCCAACATGGGTCAACCAACTTATCGATCAAGCTACAATCCTTTAATTTGAAAGACTGTCTTCAACAGGAATGTGACAAAAAAAACGTATTCCCTACTTATGGTCTGTCCAACCCGTCAAGGCGATAGGGATGACATTTCTTTCTCGCCTTCGACCTTACCTACCTACCTTACTTTACTTTTCGACCTCTCCCATACTCATGGATGACTTCATTACCTTCCTGTATCCTCCCAAACCATGTGATAGCGTATTACTTACTCTTAAATTTCTACATACTCAAGAGAACAAGGAGTCTCGCTGTGATCGATACATCATTCAAAATCATCAATTAGTCAGGCTCCACTGCATCTTCGGGCAAGAGCAGGTATTCCGACCCGACTCAACGACGTGTTCATGCATGCCAGGGGCAAAGGGGACAGGGGGTCTCTCCAAGTACAAGGCACATCATCATCCATAGTCTGGTGAGAGATTGATTTGGAGAAACAATTCCGCTCGTGGCAGATTCCTCATCGTGATTCTCAGCGTACTCGTACTCGGCAACTACGTCCGCCCTTCTGTCCAGGCCGTCAAACTATCCTTGATGCTTTCCATTAAGAAGTCCTCCATCATGCTTTGGCTCATGAGATGGGCGACTTCATCGGCGTCTTCGTCGGCTTCTTTCTGACGTTCCCAGTGCTTCCGGGACACGAAGCCATTGTCACGGTGTTTGGAACCATAAAGCGTCGAATTGATGGTGACAGGATTTACGTTCGTCTTTGGGAGCGAGCCTTGGTTGGAACATTGGTCAGAGTCGCATCGTTCATGTGACGAGCAACTCGATTGCGGACCAACAGGAGCTTTTAGGGACGTGACCGGTACTTTGACCTTCGCCTGCAGTCTCTAGAGGAAACCACGGAAGCCGTTCGAGTCGTCGTCCTTCTTTTTGGAAGAAGAATCGTTATGAGTAGGCTTGATTGTGTCCGCAGAATCAGACTTCTGTGGATCAGACAAAGATGTCAAGTGTGAGTCATCTGGGTTGGAAGTAGACGCCATATTGTCGAATGATTCAGGACGAATCTCCTGTAAGTGATAATCACTCAAGTGGCAAAGGGAGAGCCTTTTAACTTCAAGAGTAGTGAGATTATTAGAGGGTCAATTTACGCTCCTACTCGGTGTGAGGTCATAGGGAATGCAGGTCATCATCAACGGAGGACATCATCAATGGATGTTATGATCAATGGAGGAACATCAACGAAGGCGAAGAAACACAGCAAAAAACCCACATCTATTTCCTCTTTCGTCTCTTAATCAATCTCAGCCAAGCAGAATAAATGATCTCACACAGCCTTTCCCTTCTCCTTCTCTCACCCCCAAGACCCAAGACCCAAGACCCAAGGAATGGGGGATTTAGGATATTCGCCACTTTCTCCAAATTCCAAGTTCCTCCTGTGTATCACGATCAGCCAAAACATTGACCGACCTCCAAACCTCGCTTCAACATTCAGTCAACGTAGGCAGAAATAATCAGCACAACATTTGCATGTACGAGTAACAGTATGAAGAAACCATTCGTAAATACCTAAACTCACTTTAAGATCTCACCATTCCCCTTGCTCTTCCTCTACCTCTTGATCCTCCCATTTCCTTTACATGTCCCGAACTTTCCATCCCACCTTGTCCCTGTCCTCCATTTGACGCTACATTGACCATACCATCTTGTCCAACTTTACCTCTCCCTCTTCCTCTAGCATTAACAGCTCTAGGACCATTCCTCCCTCTTCCTCCACCCCTCCCGACTCCCATCGCTTCTCTCTCCAACCTAGCTCTTTCTTCCTCCCACCATCTAGAGAAATCTTCTTCTTCTCTCTTCCTCTCTCTTTCCTCTCCAGCGCGTTTCTCCTCTGCCAAGATATCCGCAAAGCTAGCCACTGCTCGACCTTTGTGACGATCCGCCAAATCTTGTTCTTGTCTCTGGATAGCCAAGAGGGACATGGATTGATTCAAACTGTTTCCTGGTGAGACGGAACCTGATAAGATGGGAGGAACAGGGGCGAAAGTGGGTATGGTCCATGCTGCACCTGATCCAGATGTCTTCCGACTTGGAATGGGAGCAGATTTTATAGGAACGATAACTTTGGAACTTCCTGCTGGAGGTATAGCATTTCTTGTGCCTGTAGCACGAGAGAGGGAAGAAGGGATGGAAGTGGATGTCAAAGGAGGTGTAGACTGTTGGGTTTGAACGGCGGTGATGGAAGGTCGACGAGGTTCTATTGGTCGCCATGGTGAGCCAGTGAGAGCGGTGGGTTTACTAGTTGGGGATTTAGACAGAACCGATGTACGAGATAATGATGGTGATTGAGAGGATTGAGGGGTTGTTGAGGGTTTGACAGTGAGACTACTAGGTGTGGAGGTGAAAGTAGGACGAGAAGGTGTTTTGTTAGCAGCAGCTGTCTCTGCCATTATACTTCGAAGGTCTTTCCTGCAATGTCAGCCACATCACTCAAGACAGCGCTCGTCGTCATGTCAGTCTTTGAAAGTACAACAGTACAAGTCCACGGACCAGAGCATGTAATAGGGGGAAAAAGTGATAGGAACACCACGAACAAAACTCACTTTCCCGATTCCACAGTCCTAGACTTCCAAACTTTGGCTTTCGACCCCGACCCCAAATCCAGAGGTGTCATCGGTCTCACTCTCATAGAACTCGCCGTACCCGGAGGAGAAGTATCTTCATCCATTGCGAAAATATCTTCTGTAGTAGTTGCGGGTGTGATAAGCGGACTAGTCATAGGACTGTCCATCTTCTTTCCATTCCTTGGTGTTCTGGGATCCGCAGGAGTCAACAATGGTGATCGAGGCTTCCACTTTTGTCGGATTCTTGGAATAGGTAAATCTTGTAAAGCCAACCAATCTTTATATTTCTCCATTAGTTTTCTCGGGATGACTTCGGTTCTTGGAATGGGTATTTTCATGGATTGTTTTTGGACTATAGTGTTTGATAAATCATGTAACACGTCGTCGTCCATCTCGTCCAGAAGACCTGACTCAAGCATCGTTTCGAGGGAGACGATGATATAATCGAATATGGCCTCTTTCAGAGGGATGGCTTGGTAGAAGGATGCTTCGCAAGCGAGAGCTGATGCGTTGAAGGCGTTGATATGACGGGTGATCACTCGGGAGCAAACTAGAACTAAACGGTCGAGTAACAACTCAGTCTGGAAATCAACTATGGCCATAGAATTGGTTAGTTGGAGTAAAAGCTCACAGCAGCAGCAAGGACTTCGAAAACAAAGTCGAGAAACTCGTCCAAAGTCTCTTGGTCTATCACGTAAGCCCGTAGTCAACACACGTATCTAATGTCATGCCAACAGAATGAGCACGCAAGACCGGGATATGTAGCTTGTCAAAACAACTGCGACATACTCGTCAACCGGAGAGATGGAAAGTGATCTAGAGTCGCAATGATGGTGGCAGCGGAGATGTTTAGGTGAATGTTTACAGATCAAGTAAGGGAAGACATAAAAAAGACATACGCAAATAATCAAAAAATTCGTCCTCCACTCCTTCATGGATCCAACGAAAGACCAACCTCATCGGCCTCCACCTCAAATGACGCATCTCCACTACACCCTGCGATTCCATCCAATCCCCATCCGCAAACATGGCTTCGAAGAATGGACAACGAGCTCTAAGGATTGTCGAAGAGCATCGTACTTCTCGATCTTCCAAACAAAGTGTGATATCACAATCTTCGGAACCATTGACATTGGTTCGATCAAAAAATCTTTGAAGATCACCGGAGAGGGTCTGTTGTGAAATCGACACCTTTGACGCAGCTTGTAGCACTACAGACAAGCCGTCCAATTTAAGGATATCCGCTATGATCTTCAAATCGGTTTTGATGTTCGTTATCGGGAGTTGTAAGTCCGGAAATCTTTCTAGTATTTCTCTTGATACACGTGGATCCCATATTGCGGAGATCTCATCAGAGTAGAGGTATTGCATGAGGAGTAAAGCTACAAGAGGATGACAAGCTTCGATTCGAATTTTGGTAGAACCATCAGAGTGATTGAGAGAAAATCGATCAAAGGTCTCACCTGATAGAATTCGAGATAAAATGGGGGAGCGTAATTTGAGTATGAGGCTGTGAGCAGGTATGGAATGATGTCCGACAACGAGATGAATGTCACTTGCCAATGGTTCTGGCCAAGAGAAAAGTGTGTCGTCACTAATACGCCATCTAGAAAGTACCGTGCAGAGTTGTATAGCGGTTTTGATATCTTGAATTACCGAATTGTTACTTTCATCATCATCCTCGTCTTCTTGTTGCTTTGCTCGCTTGACGTATCTCTCCTCGAAATCAGCTGCACTCATTTGAAGTTCCAGTCGACGGATGTGAGGTTGAATGGAGAAAATGTCTTCTTCAAGAGTTGGTCCAATCAACTTGATGTCTTTAGGTTTTGCATCCACCCTGATGGCAGCGAAAGCTCCAGCTTCATTGGCAGCGACTTTTATGACTCTTTGTAGATAAGGGACACGTTTGAACTTCAATTGGCCCGAACCAGTCTTGGCTCTTTGACGAACGAAGACATGACCGGCAGAGGTACAAATGATCACAGTACTATCGGAACCTAGCGCAACATCTCGCACGGCGTCGAATCGTTTACGTAGAGCCCAGATGAGTTGAGGTTTGACGATGACGTGTCGATCACGAGTATCTTTTGACTCTTCGGCGGGGTTGGGAAGGGTGAAGGTGAAAACGTCACCGATGGAGGATAAAGCGGCAAAGGTTTGGTTGCATGAGGTAACTTTCTTGATCATAGGTCTGAGTGTAGATTGAGGAGGGCGAAAAGGATATGCTTCGGATAGAACTCGAGGGGTGGAAAAGCTGAGTGTCAGATGCAAACGCCTTTTCTACTTTTCTACCATTTTCATATCTTCACACCGTTGTTAAACTGCTGCACTAATCTCCGCCTATGCAGACTTCTGATTGGGATAATGTGATTTAAAGACGGAAGGGGATAGGGGTCATGACAGCGCGGGGGATAGAGCAACACCCACCTGATCTTGAAATTCACATCATGATGAAAACAAATCACTTCAGACGTGTCCAAAAGACATATCATAGCGTGATCAGACAACGCAATATCCACCACCGGTTGTGAGATAGCTGTGACTTTCCTCGGCATGACTTGTACAGGATTGGAATTCTTATCGTATCCCAAATTACCTCCATTTGTACCCCAAGTCCAAACCGCATCAGCCGTCCAACAAGCGCTGGCCATACGTCCGGCCGCCACACCTCGCACAAATTCCTTTTTCAGTGGACCGACGATCCTCCTAGGTGACATTTGGACCTGACCGTCCATATCTATAGGTTTGTCGGAAGGGTCCATAACGTATCCTAATTGAGCAAAGCGATTCCGTCCCCAAGAAAGAATATACCCGCCGGATGTGAGAGCGAGGGTGTGGTCTGGACCTAAAGCTATGGAAATGATTGTATGGGGTAAATCGGCCATGGGAAGGAGAGAGAGTTGAGAGTGAATTGAACGACCTAATCGACCATTGGACCCGAAACCACATAAACTGAGATTACCTCTGTTTTCAGATGTGATGACTCCAGTGTGAAGCTTGCCCATGACCACATCTTGTACACCTACGTGGGAGAAACGTTTGGTGGGGTCAGGATGACCGTTGAATTGATCTTGACTTTGGAGATTGACTCTGTCAGGATAGGCCTTGTCAGTGCTGTCGCCAGTGCCGAGGGCGAAGTTACCTTGAAGTCAACGCCACCCCTTGAGCAGCTTTCAAACAAAGACAAGATCTTCTCAAAGAAATTTCAGTCCCAATATCTAACCTCGTCTCCTGCAGCGACGAAATATGGACGATGGGGAAAAACCGCTCCTTGAGCATTTGTCAGGATGAAGTTATGAAGAAAATGTGAGGGTGATGGGACAAAGACGCTCATATATCAAATGACATTGAGTAGACTCACGATTCACACCCCACACGAACAAATCCGTCCCATCCATTACATCTTTAGGAGGACTAGTACCATCCACAGTTCCATTATACAACTCGAAAGCAGTCAATCCCTCGGCATCTTTCACATGAATATCAATATCATTCCTCTGTAACAAATCTCTTGCTGCATGGATATTGCCAGCGAAGAGAGCTCGATGAAGGGCCGTATAACCTGATTCGTGATCTTGAAGATTTACCGATACGTTTGGGTTTCGTAAGAGGATTTGAAAGAAAGTGTATGATTGTGTTGTCAGAGAACTGGCAGCTAGATGGAGAACGCTGAGAGTGAGCTTTATGATCTCTATCATCTCTAGCTCGTCTTACAATGACTCAGTACCCAGAATACGATACCTCACCATGCGTAGGGCTTGAAAGAGCGACTAAGCGAATTGGGGAGTGATTGAGATGAACTGAGTGAGAGATAAATTTGATTCAAGAGAGTAAAAGCCTATTGACTGTTTTTCGTGTCTCCTGAATCTCTTCTCGCTAATTCTTCCATCTTTGACTCGTACGGACGCTGCGCTCTGCTTACAACCCTTTGCAGCGGTAGATATGGGGGAATAAGATGAGGACATAGGGAATCTGTTTGTGTACTTGTACTGCATGTTGTGAGGGAGGTATGAGAGGTATGAGAGGTATGAGAGGTATGAGAGGTATGAGAGGTATGAGAGGTATGAGAGGTATGAGAGGTATGAGAGGTATGAGAGGTGAGAGATGAGACGTATGCAAATTATGTATACTGATAAAGACTCACGTCCTACCAAACCAATCTCTCTCATTAGGATCCCCTCTTATAGGTAAACTCATCAATCCACTCAAACTCCAACTTTTACCTCCACTCGAACTACCCCCAAAGCCATTCCCTCCATTCATCCCATTTTCCATATCTTGTTTAAAACCTTTCCCAATCCCATCCAGTTCTTGTCTGAATGCTTTGACATTACCATGATAATAATAAACATGTAAATTTGTCATTCGTCAGATAACCCTGATAAACCGATCTGGACGTCCGATGAATACGAGGGAGGTGTCCTCGGATCCTCAGACGTGAGATCGGGAAAGGGGCCGCTTATTGAGTTTGGCGGCGAGGGGTTTTTTAGAGGAAGATGGTGGGTTGAAGGGAAGTGGGGAGTTTGTACACTAAGTTATTACTACTGTAGAGAAGAAGTGTTGCGAGGTACTTACGTGTGAACTCGAGTGTCGTGTGGGGAGTAAAGAGGACTTGAATAGCGAGTATGTGATATGTGATATGTGATATGAGATACGGAGTGATAGGTGAAAGAGATCGAGTTGTCAAGTGTAAGATACTTATGCCAGATAAGATGTGATGAGTTTGTAGAGAGAGGTGGATAGGGAGAACGTGTGTCCCCGATCGGTGGCGGAGATTCCAGTTTCGACTCTAACAAACATCTTCCCCGGGCACGCGTCTTCTGCCACGCTGCCACCAAGTTCATGCCCCATGCCTCATGCAGCATGCTCTACTATTCAAGCATGACAGCAAGCATAGCATACATAGCAGGAATCAATGTGCACTACGAATGAACTGCCCATAAACCATACAACCGATGATCACAAATGCATACACATACAAATAATATACCCTGTCAACGGACCGGTCACACGAGACGGTATCCACCCGAGCCGGTGAGTAGCAGGTAGGACACTCTTCCCTAGGAGAGAAGAGGCCATATTGATCTGGGTGACATGAAAATCGCAGGCGACTTAGGAATACTGTCGCTCGCAGAGTGTTAGACACCGGTGGAAGGATGACATGGAGGGTTGAGAGGGAGGACAAGGGGAGGTCGGACGGGGCTGGGCAGAGGTGGACCAGGAAGATGGAGAAGGATGGATGTGTGAAGAGTTCGAGAGATAGATCTTACCTCCCCACCTCGACACACATTCATCATACCCCTCTTCCTTCCGTCGTCCTGTTGAATGAGTGGACTGTGTGTAACAAGAATGAAAAACGAGCGAGGATGAAGGGCGAATTGCGAGAACGAAGGCGAAAGGTGTCAAGGGGTGTCAAGACGATTGTCCAGCACCTGTGAAGCATCGATCCCGTCACTTGCCCAAAGGGCTCGGGAAAGATAGCAAATGAGTGATGGTTGTCATGAGACTTATCACTCTGGCTGCGTCTCATGTGATCATCAATCTGGAAAGAACAGAAAGGTGATGTCTGTGGCAGCGTGTGGGGTGATATGGTCAGTAGTATGGTGGTGATATCAATAAATGTTGGAAAGGTCAGTCGTAGGTTGAATTCAGGAGGGAGATTGGTAGGAAACACTTCTGCATGATGAAGATGCAACTGCTTGTCAGCTCGAGTCCGCCGACATCATTTGCCAGTCGACTGACCATGTTATGCAATTATCGATCTACTCGTCAGCCAGTGCTATGTAGATAGTAGAGGAAACTCACAGAATTCGTGAGTGTCATCACCTCTCTTCACAACGCTCTACAAAGTCAACATTCGAAAACAACCTGAGGACAATTTCGAGCTTATGAGCATGTAATCGGCATTTCGGGAATATACACTTGTATATGGTAGAAGGAGTGTGGCGGAATGACCCACCTTCCACGCTTCTTCAAAGTCGATGGGTAAAATGACGTATCGATTCTTTCTGACCGCTGTGAGGTGAGTACATATCAGAAGAATAAATTGGCGATGTCATACCTTGCATACCCGATGCCTGACAAATAGAAGAGATCTCGGCCGAGCTGAGACGATCGGGTCTGGAGATATCTCCATGATCAGTATATCTGACGATGTGTGAAATATAAACGCACAATCTTCCAGATCGACATCGGGACCGAGGTTCATTTTGGAAGTCACAGTCTGGTAGATGAGTCGACGTTCTCGTCGAGAAGGCCAAGGGCATTCAATCTTTCTGTCTAAACGACCCGGACGAAGAAGAGCGGGATCGAGGGTATCGTGTCGGTTGGTAGCCATGATGACCTGCTCGTTAACTACGGTGTCCCTTCACGTCGAGAGTGGTCATGTTGCGAGCGGGAGCCACAATCTCCCTCGCATAGCATTGAGAGAGCGAATTGCATGTCCTGTAGATGACGGGAACAAATTGACGAATGCATTGGAAATGAGAAGAAAATGGAAGCTCACTTTGACATTCGTAGTCTGATCAAACCCGTCCATCTGATTCAATAACTCCAACAAGATTCGCTGTACCTCCCTATCCGATCCCGTCTGGGCATCGAAACGTTTCGTAGCAATAGCATCCACCTCATCAATGAAGATGATACATGGTGAATTTTCCTTGGCCAAACGGAACACGTCTCGAACCATCCTCGGGCCCTTTTTCCATCAGTCTTCTATCTTCTCTGCAATAATCTTGCCCAGCTCACCTCTCCAAGATACTTTTGAACAAACTCTGATCCTACCACACGGATGAACGCTGCTTTTGTGGCGTTGGCGACAGCTTTGACCAACATTGTTTTTCCAGTTCCTTTCCGTCAACCTTACCCCCAACCATCACATAATCCAGAATGATCGACTCACCAGGTGGACCATATAACAAAACACCTCGAGGTGGATCGATACCTATTTTCCTATAAAGTTCCATCTATGATTTGTCAGCTTTTCCTCATCCTCGACAAATGGGAATTTATGAAGGAAAGGATTGTGGTAAACTCACTTGTTGCAAAGGTAATTCCACCGCTTCTCGGATTTCTTGTTTTTGAGCATCCATACCACCTACATCGGAATATTTAACATCTGGTCTTTCTTCCGCACTCATCATAGCTATGGAAGAATCTGCCTCGGGGGGTAAAACATCGACCAAAGCGTTGGAATGACGATGTAAAACTACCGAGGAAGAAGGTTTCAAAAGTTCTCTGTCCAGTGTGGAGAGTATTCGAACGACGAAATTAGATCCTAACCCATCAGCTTTTATACATGTACATGCACCTTGAAGAGATGAGAGAAAAGAAACTGACCGGTGGTACTTCCTACGATACCTCTTCGTTCATCTACAGCTTCGAGGAATTGACCAATGACGAGAGGTACAGCCTGAATACGTTTCACTTCTTCTTGAGCTCTGAGAAGTTCTCGACGAAGGTTTTGCGTTTCGTCTCTGATGTATTCCTTCCAGTTAGCTTCGTTTGTTCAATGTCTGCAGCCGATTTCATGAAGTCTTGTATCACGATTCTAAAAGATCATCTCAACAGGAAAGGGATTTGGGGGATTTGGAATTCTACTCGTGTTTGGTAGACCGATGCGGAGAGATAAAGAAGTGAAAAAATCACCTCTTGAAGACTCAAAAACTCATTATGAGCTTCCAGACGTCTAAAAGTGGAATAAAGCTCTTCATCACTGGTAGGGAGAGAATTGAGTAAAGTCTGCTTTTCCGACAATTGTTCAGGTAGAGTAGGATCCTGAAGTTCATCAGTCTACCTGTGTTTTCTCATTAATAACTTTTCACTTACCTCCATCTTGAGATCTATACCTATCTCCTCCATGATGACTTGAGGTTATGCTACCTGTCCGATGGAATAGTAAGCGAAAAACCGAAAGGTTGCAAGTTGGAAGAAGACGACGGACATGCAACGCGTAGGCTTTGAACGGAGTTGTCTCCGATCTCCGTCAATTCCCACTCTACCATTGTCCCCCAAGAAGCCATAACTGACTGCTCAACTTATTGTCTTACGCTTCGATATCAACTTAGTACATATTCAGACTCTTGACAGACTTGAATCATTGGAGTCACTTGAATTACCTAGAGCTTAAGCTTATACGAAAATGGGTAAAAGAAAATCTACTATGAAGGTACAAACCAAGAGAGCCGAACCGTTAGGTAAGTAGGTGATTTGTACCGCTCAGGACGATATTGATCTTCAGCTACGACTTTCAAATGTTTGTTTTGCAATCATGAAAAGGCGGTTGTCGTCAAATTGTACGTCGAGTTTTCTGTATCCTATCTAACCTCAGAATCGTGAGAGAAGAGTGTATGAAGTACTCCGATGACTTAACTGGAAATTGAATGTCGGATTTTGGGCGTCTGAATCACCGAGTCGAAGGAGAGGAGGGGACAAGATGGAGGTGACTGATGAAACAGACATAAAGACGTCATGCAAGCTGAATTATCTTGTAAATATTGTCATGTCAATTGGCAAACAACTATGAGTAGTATGTCCACTCTCATCTTCTTTCCAAAAAGGCATAAGCTGATAGGGTAAGACTTGACAGCTGCTGTAGATGTGTATTCCGAGTTTGTATCTTTACTTGGCCTACTCTTTCATTCATGTGTTATCTTATATAATCGAAACTTGATAGTTCAGTCAGTGAGAAAAGGTTATCTTATATGATCGAGACTCAAACTTCCAGCAATTGAGAAGCGGCATATGATACTCTTCAATAGAGTGGTGGTTACACAGGGTAGCGCTGATTTCAGATGGATAGATAAATGTGAAGAAGAAAGGATCAAACATCAAATCAAAAAGAAACGGTAAATCCTTCTTTCCTCTTTCCCGACAAGTTCTTCACTAATGACATAGGGCCGCTAAGAAAGATCAAGAAGCTAGTCAAACACTCTCAGGGGATAATGAAACTAGACGTGAGAGAGAAGATATCGTAGAGGAAGAAGAAGAAGAACATTATGATGGTGGATATGAAGATCGGACTGAAAAACGAAGAAGAGTGGATGATTATGATGATGAAGAAGAGGAATAAAGTTTTATCTTCTAGCACAATACATTGTACAAGTAACTACTGAGTAAAGCATGTACCGATAATTTGCATAATACTTTGACAACATCAAAATACGAATCAAGTCTGTATAGCAAGATAGTAAATCGTACATTTGTTCTCATCCTGTCGGTACTGTATACCCAGTGTCCTAGTTTTGATACACATCTCTGGCGATTTCAATAATCCCCAGCAGACATATCCACAAATATGGACTATGTATCCATTTTCTCAGCTTTGGGTCGAGTTCCAAATGCGTTGAACAGATTCGTTTGTGACTATCATTTCAGTATCCGGTAAGATCTACAAAGAGAAGACTCACAGGATCATGTATCACACTATAACCAGCTTCGGACACTTTCGTACCTTTATCAATACTGTCCAATACCCCTGCTATGAGCTACATGGTGTGTTAGATGGGAAAGACATACAATCGACACGAACGACTTTCGCCCTTCTGGAGGCACCACGACCTCCTTGTCCATTGATATGTTTTTGAGCTTTAGTGCCGGATAGATTACCAGCGATGATATGGGTACAGGATGATGATTGTAGAGGTCTGTGCTTTAGCGGATGCTACGTCCACGCCATAGTCTGCAGATGATGAGAAAGGCCCTGAAGCTAGCTGCAGGGATAAATGAAGGGAGGTCGCCCTAAAAGAATCTCTTTGGAAAGAATAAGTTATGGGCAACGATATCCGGATTCGCTGACTGTGAGGGGATATATGAAATTTGAACAGGGAGGCGAGTTCAAGGAAGTTACGGTCATGGTATAAAGGAGAACTCACACGAATCGACCTCCATTTTGTGTGATCAGATGTTGTAATTGAAGATTGGAGACTTTAGGTCCTGTAGAGCCATTGATATACATCACACAACCGGCAAGTATGGAAGTTTTCTTCTGAATCAGCTAAGACTTCAAACGATTTCATTCCTCCTAAAAGTAAAAGCAACAGCTCCTCGTCCTGTCGCAATCAAGCAGAGCGTCGAACAGTTCCATGAAGCGGAATCGCTTCCTTCACGGGATTTAGATAGAGGAAAAGTGGGATGGTGAGGAGAGGAAACATGAATTGGATGGGGGGAGATCATTGATTGAGAGAAGAGAAAGGGGGAAGACGAAGGATGAGACAACGACTGCAAACTCACCTTTTCCCTCACTTGCTCGGCCATTTTAGCATTCCGGACTTCCCAATACGTCGCAGCTCCTGCACTCCCACCTCCTCTATTACTCTGTTGGTGTCCAGTAGCACAAGAAACGAAATGATCCGTTCTGGAATAAAGATCAGAGTTGGTTATGGGGTTGTTACTTTTTCCCAAGGTGGTCATCTAACTGGGTCAGCTCTAATTGATATTACCGCCAATCCCACCGTTTAGACTTTTGAATCTGATCAAGAGACGTCCAGGAAGTTTGTACGATCTAGAGTTATGAATCGGAAGGTATATCATGTTTACGTGAACAGCACAAGCGGTAGGATGGAGGTCGAGATGGGGTTGTATAAATATGAAAAGAGGAGTTGTTTGAAGAGTATAATAGTCAAGATCGTAAAGGTCAAGTTAGAATAAGTATGTAGGACACACTCACCATCCTCTCAGTCTGACGACTTCGAGCCATCTTGGCCTCCCTCTCACGATCATCAGATATCATTCTACTCCTTTTCTCCGGTTTGAGAGGTAGACTCTTGTCATCTTTGATATGCCTGACAATCTTCGTTTTGAGCTCAGGGGAAGGTTGAAATGCTACAGGTTTAGGAAGGGCGGTGGCGGTCAGGGTGGATGAAGAAGCCTGAGGAGGGGAGAGAAGGATGATCTCCTGTGAGGAAGTAGGGGTGAGAGGGGACATGATGAGTGAACAAGTGATATACACAGAGATTAAAGAGGAGGAAGGAGAGTTATGATAGTAAGTTACCTTAATGTAACCTTAGCCTAGAGGGGGGGAGAGGCGGAAGTCTAGTCAACTTTTGTTGTTTTTCCTTTCTACTTCCACATTTCTTGTGTCCTTTCTAAGTTACTACTATACTACTACTACTACTACTACTCACGACCAGGATCATCGATACATCATACATCATACAGAGTATACGACAGATAGTACATACCAAAGTTAAGATCCGATGGTGTCGACTCTGTGCTTAGATCCTAGATCCGGCCGTTACTTCCTACGATAATCGTTCAACCTTCGCTTGAGAATCGACCATACGATATACTCAAATTCGAATCCCGAGCGGGGCGATGAGCGATGCTAAAGCTCAAAAGAGATCTTGCTGACATGTCTTCTCGGTTCGATCATACTTTCCCACCCAACCTTTGATTGAATGAATGGGAATACCAAGCCTGACTATCGAAAGGTCTTGTCATCGATCCCCCTCGGTGTCATATACATAATCGACGAACCCCTTCACCGCCTCCTCTTCTCCCCTCTCTTTCTTGATCATCCCAATTTTAACCCCATATCCACTTGTTGTTCCTATTGCAGCTGATAGGACTCGCATCTCACATTACCCTCACAGGTCATCATGCCGTCTGACTGTCGGTACCCCGACCCTTCGTCCCAAACAGCCTACGGGCTTCAAACAGCCTACGGGCTTCAAGAGCAGTGCCCTAGCGAACCACCCCCTCCGTGCTCATATGTAGAACATCGATCTTGGGAAGGAGCCGTAGGGAACACAGAGTACTACCGTAATGCTTACCATCCTTGCACCGTTCAGCCCGCGGTCTACGAGTATCCTAATTCGGCTGCTTATGCTGATCAAACGATCCACTACCCACCTCAACTCTACCCGTTCTACACGTATGATTATCAAAATGTCGGCCCTCCCGTAAATGCTGCCGATACTGGACCTTCGGAAGCTCCTGCCTACATCTCTACACCCCCGACTCACTTCGGAAGACGTTCCCCAACAAGTGCCTACCTCCCGAACCCAAACTCTTCGGGCTTCCTCCCAAGGACAGAATATTTCGACCCAATTACTCGACCCCCGTTGGAAGCACCTTGTTATTCGGATACCTCCCGATCCTCTTCCCCTGCTAGTACTACAGAAGTACGGCAAATCGACGGTCCGGTACCGGAAGTAATGGACGGCTTTTCAGTGTTAACACCCCACCATTACGATGCATCAAGTCGGCGATTCTATTTTGATTATGATACAGTGAATTCCATCAATTTCCGCCCGGTTTTAGTGTCCAAGACAGTATCCCCCTTGGATGCGACAGGAAACGGTGATCCAGCATCTCAACCTTCAGGGGAGAACAAACGAAAGCGCGGCTTCGAACCAATCGCAGCCACGGACATAACACTCCGCTGGTGGCCGCCATTGACCCCAGGGAATTTTGACCTTCAGCACAGACAACTCCCAGTTGTTCGCATGCATAAGGTAGACATCAAGACCGAGCAAGTCGAGATCAATTGGGACTTCAGCGGCCCCCTGAAAATCGGGCCTTTGTCACTAGGTGAGAGCGTGATTTACTTTGGTCGTCCTTCCCAGTCGTCTACAAACTTAGATTCCGATTCGTTTTCTCACACGGAGACGCTGTATACGATGCCGTCTCAAGGGAACGGGGACTATTTGTGGTTGAAGTCTGAACCATCCGACTGAGTTACCTTGAGGAATCGTTCAGATACGGGAATGATTTGAGGTAAGGACTAGAATAATACTTTTTCCGTGTGATAAGACTAAATTGACATCTTACCCTACTATAACATTGAAGGACTAGAATGACTTTACCTCCTTGATCATCTCTTTGCTGTCATCTGACTATGAAAACGACACTGCCTGATACCCTTGTAACCTGGAAAAGTCTTTGGAAGGTTCTTGTTACGGAGTAACACGACTCGAGGGACATCCATCGAACTCGACGGATTAGGAAGGAAAACGGTGAGAGTTGGAGGCAGTGCTGCAGTAGGTAGGGACGGGTTTTCCCTTTTCGAGATTTCCCCACTGGGTTTGCTCAAAAGCGGTTTTTCACCTGTCCGAGTATGTACATAGACGCTTGCAGTAGGACTGAGAAGAGGACACGAATACCTGTAGACAAGTATATAGTACAATCAGCAAAGTACCACCTTTGCTGATTCTTCAATATCATTCTTTGGCTACATCGATTGCAGAGGAGACACGACCCATTAGCACCAGAGATACATAGATTTCCACGAGAGTTCCATCGACTTCGATCCAACCTGCGACTTAGTCATCGTGTTTCCAGTACCGTTACAGTTCTCACTTAGAAAATAGGGTTGGAGGATGAGGAAATTTATGATCCACAGCCCGTCATTCTAGTCCTTTAATGTTATCCTAGTCCTTGATGTTGTTCAAGTCTTTCAACACCGAAAAGGTGTCATTTTAGTCCTGACTCTGGGATGTTTGGATGAGTACCAATCGAGTATGGTAGGACACCGTAGCATATATGAATTACGGCTGTGATGGGGGAAAAACCTGTAGAAAATTTGCCAAAGTGGATGCTGATGATTTTCATCTGTATTTCCTGCTGACACTGGTTCCTCCTGATATAGGATCCAAGTTCTACTGATTGTCGTTCACCTCTCATTGATGTTGAACACGAACGTTAGATTAAAAAGACAACACTATCGTTGAATCTCGAGGAACGCTCAACTCTTCCGATCACTTTTGTTCTCCACTTATGTACTCGTGACCTGACTCACTCCTTACGACGTCTATAAGACGTCCTGACGCCATGTCATGCTTGTTCTTCGTTCCTCTTTATCCTTTCAAAGGAGCATCCCATTACTCCCACCAAAACGTGTCGGTCCCCTGAGAGGTCACATTGCCAAACGTACCCCTTCCCCGGCGAGTGATAGCGACGAAATCCCGGTTGTGTGAACTTAGTGGGTCGATAATCTCTGATTTCCCGCTATAGTCTTCTCCTGCATCGTGGTTGTCCGTAGGGAACTTCCCTTTCTGATGAGTATGTGAATCTCAAAAACTGTGAGTTTTTCTTATTCCCACACATCCTAGGTGGTCTCTAACGTAAAATCAGGGAATGTAGACGATTATGACACCTCCTTTCGATACATGGGCTTCTTTGTTTACATCATCATGTTTTTTTGATCCGTCCGGGTCAACCCACCTTTCCTGGTACCGACCTAAATCATCAAACAATGGCTTTGATCCGGATTTCGAAGGCGGGGTCGTGTACGAGTTTAGCTCAGGGTTGTTCGACTTTAGCGTCGTAACCAATTTCCGGAAGATGGAAGGAGGTAAATACGTCACAAGGTGCGTATCCCTAGTCATCCTATCCATCCATCTTTCTATTTCTTGGTCTTCTCTCAAGCCTTCCTCATTTTCTATACCCTTTAATATTTCCTTAAACAAAACTTCTTTTCCCCAATCTCTTAGTCAATCACCAAGATGAGCCAACATACGAATTCTCGATATCTCCGTGACTCGGCCACTGGTGTTTTTCCATACTTGCCACATGCGACGATCGACTGGACCAATGTCTTACCACCATCAGTAAATCCTATGGTATGCGCACCAGATGAAGAAATCGTGGACCCTCATTCAATACACATTGATGAATTTGACACATCATACGCCACACCTGAAGCTCCATTTGTTCCGACTACGGACAATCAGAGACTGGTGATATCAACAGAAGCGATCCTCGCCCAGTTTAATGCTACAGATTTGACGTTGACCACCGATGAAGTGATCCGGATGGTAGTACAACCTCAAGAACATTGGTCAGATAAGACAAAGAGGTACATTATAACCACCGATGGGTTGGATGAATTCGATGGGTCAGAAAAATTCAGTCATGTAAGGTTTATGCCTTTGGAAAATGGTCGAATTTTGAAAATTGATAATACTCGAACTTGGCAAGTACCCCCGGATTCGGAGAAGTGGTTCACGAAACCAATCACTCCACTTTATTATGACTCAAAGTTAGGAGATCCGCTTTGTGTCACGCCACCAACTCGGGGTCAAAAGAGACGAAGAAACGGCACGATAAAGGGAGGCGTGTCAAGTACAACTACCAACTATAAACAGAAGGTAACAGGTCCCATTTATTCTTACTTTGAAGACGAAGATGACAATTCACAGTATCAGGATGAATATGAGGTTCAATCTTCGGAACGGAGGGTGTATGATTTACCTTTACCTTCCTTTTCACGATCGCCTTACTTTCAATGACCTTCTTATGAAAGTTGTGTCCAAAGTTAGATGTTAGGAGTTATGTCGAGATGTCAGATGTAGATGGTGGAGATAGATTTCATACACCTACACATGAATTACGCCGGTACGGATGAAGTTATTAGATCGTATTTGAAGATGAGGAAATCATGGTTTCAGAGACTTGCTCGTGATGTTGAACCTTCTAGCATCATCATTTTCTCCCACGTTGCTTTGTTCTCATTTCTACCCCATTGGTAAGTTGATGAGAGGGGAGGATAGGTCTTCTACTTTTCAACCCTCTTCTTTCTACATGTTGAATCTCAGCAATCTGATGAAAATCTAAGAAGAAACATTTCCAAGAGAAAAAAGCGAGATTCAATTTACATTATCAACTTTCTTCTACTTTATAACTTTTCCTACTTTATAACTTTCCCTACTTTATAACTTTCCCTACTTTATAACTTTTCCTGAGTCATTGAGATTAATATGAGAGTAAGCGATTACACAAGATGTGACTGTCCTTCGTATGAAATATTCCGAAAATTATCTATGACATCTAACGATTCGGGCACCGGTCCCACAACGAAACTCACGATAAGTCAGATTGGTAATCGAGCTTATATATTTCCGGTCAACTCCATGTGCAATGATAGTCAATCCTCTATAATGTCACAATCTTTGACTCCTGTCGTTCCGTCGAGAGATTGTAACTCCACCAATGACAGGAACTTAACTCGTATCCCATATCTATCTTCAAGACAGAGTCAACAGAACCCTCCGGCCAGCCCTTCAGTACCCACCGGGTCTCAGGGGAAGTCTTCAGTACCCACCGAGTCTCGGAGGAACTCTTCAGTACCCACTAGGTCTCGGGTGAGATCTTCAGTACGCATCCAAAAGGATTCAGAAGCTGTCATGTTACGGAAACGGAGACATCGATTCGGATTCAGTTGTTTGCAATGCAGAGCCAAGCGAGGTCCACACTATAAGCCGTGTGAAGTACCAAAAGGTGGTGATACCTGCACTAGATGTACCAAGAGCAACATTGTATGTGAATGGGGCCAAAACGTCGAACCAATTTATATCTAAGTACTCGATTATGACAACAATGCGAAGTTGATTCATTTTTTGAGCCATTAAAAATATTCTTCTCAATTGTTGTTAGATCGATCGATCGATAGTAGTATGTATATAATGAACCATCATGCAGTTATTTCATCCCTCTATCACTTTCCATCTCAAAATTCGATTGAAAGGGAAGTTGGCAGATGTCAGATATTGAAACTTATACAATTGACCGTTCAGTCACCCCTTGCACCAAAATCCCTTCCTGTGTGTCCCGTGAAGAGTTATCGAAATTCCACCACGCTTCCCTCTCCTTGGAATTCAAGAGATGCTATATGATTTATCTATCCATCATTCACAAATCAAAATTCTTTGTCTTCTCAATATCATCTTCTTCAAGTAGCTCCGATACCGAGAGAGAGAGAGTTGGTGCGTTTGTCGAAATTTGGATGGTTACCCCCTCCTCCCTTCGAACCAAATTTTGAGAATCAGCTCTGTTTCTCACCAAGGGAGTCATGGCGACGTTAACATGTGTTATAAAGATTGAGACATATTTGGTTGTCTATCATATTGTGACATACACTGACTGACTCTTGTCCACCCATTCAGCCATCTATGGTTCCGTAGTCGTAGAAAAAGATAAAGTGGTGATGAGTTGCGCGCGGAACATTTCCATAGAATTTCCAACAATCCGCCACTTACCAAATGATGACTTGTTATACGACATGGACCCTGAGTCAGTCCGGACGGGGGTCCTAGGGCTGGTCCGGGTATCATGTCGATAACCGAATGTACGAAATTGTGACTCATGCTGCCACCTGAACGCGTTCCAACAATTCATCTCGTTCACTCTTCTCTGTCCTAACTTGCTAACTACTGCTAATTCTTGCTAATTTGTGCTCATTTTTGCTAATGTTTGTGTTGATGAGAGCTCAAGAGTGATTGATGCATACATATAGAGATATACAACAACTTATGTGTCTTCGGAGGGAGAGGTTGCTGCGACAGGGGCACAACGACGCTTACGGGGAGTATCGGGGGCAACAACACCTTCGGGAGCCATATCAGGCAAATGAATCGCCATCAATTGCTCAATGTTCGATCTGACATGCTGACATTGATATAAGATAGTTTTCGGTTCCAATTCATACTTATGTGTTGCTATAAATTAGCTTTGCAGTTATATTTAAGAACGAAAAGTACTAACTCGCTAATTCAGCCTGGATCTCGATAGCTTTCAATTTGCCCAGCTCTTCTCGCATATTTCCCGCAAAACTCGCCTGATCCAAGATGTATTCCGCCTTTTCGACAAAAGTACAGCGAGCTGTCGTACCCCTCGCGATACATTCGGTACATGCTCCTGTAGGGAGCTCACCCACGGTTACACAGCCAAAAGAACACAACTCCTCGCGATTTTGACGAGCTTGACACAACTGACAGCTAAATGTTCCCATTCTGACATGAGAATTAGGCGATACAGCGTGATTATACGCCTCCCGGTAATTTTTATACTAATTGAGTCAGATAAACACAACTTTGACGAAAATTGACTCGAAAGCACTAACTTTTGACGATTCATTAGGAGAAATTCCAATCTTAGGACCTTTATCTCCAGCTGCAACCCGAAGAACCTCATTACGACCAGTATCAGACCATTTCCGTAGAGGATAAGCAACAATACCATCCCAATCGAATTTGGCGCTCCACTCCGCTAAATATTAGAATTAATTAACCGTTCAACGTTGAAAAAGCAGCAACTAACGTGAATCGGGCTTAGACGTAACAAGTTGTTTCAAAGTAGCAGGAGGAGTAGGTGTGTTCGACATGATATCTTTTCAAGAAGCTTAAAATTCAAATGTCAGTGTGGTAAAGTAATGTAAGACGTTAAAATTTGAAAAGAGGTGGGGAAGAACTCATGACAACGACCTGGTATATGTGACAACCAGCAAATTGACCATTTCGCTCTCCTTGACAACCAAAGGATACTTACCCTTGACAACGACATGCATACCCTCGTTTTAATGGTTTGAGGACGTAAATCACGTTGATTTACAGACCCTGATTTACACTGTCTCAAGTCTATCGTTTTTAGCACGTCTTAAATACATGAAACCGTAAAACGGATCAAATTGTTGATTCCTGCAGGGACGTTTTCTGAACAACGACGTGGTCCTAATTCCTGCAGGTTATATATCCGTTGTGAGGTTTCATACTCCTTTGACTGTTCTACAACGCCCTTGGCTACGAGTAAAGAAATTTTAACCACAGTTAGCACTCACGAGCAATAATTGGCAGAAAGTAGCAAGAATGAGCAAAAGTTAGCAGGAAATTGCAGAATAAAATTTATGCAAAGGTAATGCTACACGAGAAGATACATTACTGTACAATACTAAACAGATATGAGTTCTTCGGCAGATGCTTTACTCAACCAATGTTGTAAGGCGTCTAAAGATGGATTTGGTAAAGTATGTCTATGTTTATCCCAAATCTTCGCTGCTTCAACATCTTCTATTGCTCTTGTCTCACCTAAACGTCGAACTGCTCGAATAGTGCTGATACGTCTCCTATAAAAACGTTTTTCGGTCTCGCTTGCATTCTTCAGTCCATTAGGGTTATCTTCGTACTGACTTTTAATTGATGGGCGACCATTAATGCCAAAGAGATACTCTTGCCATAATTCCTGAACTGTTTGAACTGATCTACTCATAGTAAATGGTGATAGCAGACTGGTTTGAATGGAGGTTTGAACGGTCATATTGTGGGAAGATGATGATGTAGTTGACAAGAACGAGTTTGCAATAGGAGATGTAGGTTGTTCATTTGGCAAAGTTGTCAAAGAAGTGCTTGCTTCGTTTGTATTTGCCAATCCGGAGTTCGAAGACTGATTTTCACGTAAGATAGACTGAAATATTGGCGGAAAAAGAAGTGGACTGCTAAGACCGTTTTGTATTAACGCAATTCCATTCAAGACGGCTTGAATTTGCTCGTTATTTTGTCTTTGGCTTTTATTTACTTCTTCAATGCGTGAAACCATATCATTTGACGTTTGTTGTTGTGCTTGAGCTTGAGTTTGTAGAATGTCATGTAAAATTGGCAAAGCTTGAGCAATACGATCATCATATTTGTTTTCATTGGCAATCGTTCTAGTAATCGCTTGTTCCTCAAAGGATAAGAACTCTTCGTCTTTGAAAAGAGGATGATTGAAAATGTAAAGCGATGGAAACCATTTGCGAACGTGTACGATATCTTGTAGAAATGATTCACGGAGATGACCCATTGTTTGAAGAAACATTCGACTAGTAAGCTCTTCTTCCGGACGTACGCTAGAATCGAGAATTCCTATCCTTTGAGAGTTAGCAAGAACACAAAATAGCAAAATTTAGCAAATTTTAGCACAAACTAGCAAGAGTGGGAATCAAACCGCGATTTAAGCTCACCATTTCTCAATTTCAGGAAAAACTTTGCATAGAAGGGTTGCAGGAGGTGAAATATCTCTCGAAAGAAAGAAACTATTGCCCTCAATAGAAAAACCAGCAAGAGCTCGCACCGGTCGACGAGGAATATGCGTTAAATAGTGATTTTCTAGAACCGAATGTGCCCAATGTCTGGCTCGTGCAATTTCCTCTGATGTTGCACCCCCTTGTTTGGCTAAACGAGCACCAAAACGTCTATTTATATGTGTTTTTTGATATGTGTGAACGTTGGCGGCGTGTAGCGCATCACTAACTGCTCTTCGTTGAGTATCGTATGAAATCGGTTTTGTTCGTAATTTACCATCACATAATAGTGGTAAATCGTACCATTTAGCTCTTGCTGACATATCTGGAAATCCTGCGGGTGAAGAGCCACAATAAAAGCTAGAATTTAGTATATATCGAGTACTTGGGTTTAAATACGGCTTACCGTGCAAATAAGCAAAGACTTAAGTGGAAGACAGGACATATTCTTAAATCTTTGTTTCTGATAAACGCAGTGTACTGAGGTTTACCGGAGGAGTTTGTTTTGCTTGATTGTATGACCAATACAACGAATAAACAAGACGTCGGGCCTTCTCTGCTAGAAATTTCAGAGGATATGTCCGATAAGAGTAAACTGCGCTGGTTATCACCTCTTAACATGCCAAATATTCCTAATGATTGCGCTAAAGCATCTCTGATACCCTCTTCGTTATTTCGAGCCATGTAATGCTCAAAAGAACGTTTTAATTGTGTTGTACTTTCATAGCCATCATAATAAAGCTCTACTTATCAATGCTGACCGTTTTATAAGCAAAACATGTGCACTTACGTTTTCCTTTGTTGGCGAACATTAATCTCTTTCTACGTTGGTCAAATTTGATTAATATGTTCACAATTGTCATAACGTAGATGCTACGGGGCGAAGAAGTCTTGTTGATTCCTCTTTTTGATTGTTGTTGCCAGAGATTAACAAGAGCAGCGACCCATGATAGAATAGTGCTAGGACTAATTGTACAATTTAAAATAACGTCTAAAGCTTTGCCCATTAGCTATTTACTGTTCTAGAATCAGTGATATTTACCTGATTTGGCTGTATTTTTGGATGAAGACGGAACTGTTTTCAAAAGCATGTCGATTTCTGCTTGAGTTTGATGTAAAATTCGTTTTTCATCATCATTTGAGACTTCCTCGAGGCGTTCCTCTACCGTGAGTTCTTCTGGTTCGATTTCCGCTTCATCTAGCATGTTGTTGTCGATTTCAGCAGCAGAAAGTACATGTTTTTGTTTTTTGCCTTTTCCTTGCAAAACAACCTCATATAAAAACAATAGCGCATGTTGAGGAGTAACGATGTCGCTATAGATCAGCTGACATCCTTTGATTGTTTATAAAGGCACCTCCTTTCGTCATCAAACACGAGTCCGCTCAAAATAGCACAATTGAGCAAGAAGTTGCAGGAATTAGCAAATTTGAGCAAGGAAGAGTCCTTTACTCACCGTTCAAAGAAGTTTTGCTTATCATCCCACTCTTTCCACCTTTGTTGTCGAGGTCTGTATTGTTTTCGACTGTTGGAAGACAAAATAAACTCTCCTAGCTCCACTGTTTCGTCTATAACATGTTGTGCTTGAGGATTGTTATAAGGGTGAGTTATTTCTGAATGTGGGTTACTTTTAAGATGACGAGGCATAGTGATACTTGAATATAGAGACTTCAGCAAAGGATTGAGATTGAACGAAAAGAAGAACTACTTCAAGAGAAGTTGTATCATTGTCTGCTTGAAAAAGATTACTAATGCATTAAGAAAACAATGTCGTATAACTAAAGGGCAATTGGCAGTATAACTTCAATTATACGACATAGCTCTTCTAATTGAATTAGGAAATGCAGGCGGACTCATTAGGACGCAGATTATCAGAAGCGGGACAATTGCCACTTTGGGGAATTTTGGGCGGACCGAGCCCGTCCGGGCGGAAGCAAAGTTTGGCTGGGACGCGCGGACGGACGCGGACGGGTCCGCCATATAATGCCACTTTCCTCCACTTATGTGCCCCAAGAATGATTTCGTATGACGCAGCAATATCTCAAGACATCTCATGTCAAAAGTAAACTCATGCATGGTGTCATATGTCATTCATCATGTATCAAGAACATTTGTTACTCTCCTTACACAACTTTACAAACTCTTCTCTACACAGCGAGCACCTTAAAAATACCCGAACACGATTCAAATACGAGATGAGATAGATAGGTTTTCCAATTCATCTCGCACCTCTTCTAAAATTCTCGTTCGACAGGTCTCACCAACACATCATCCCTCGCCAACCCTTTCAAAACATCAAACATAACTCCACCTCTACTGACTAAACCATGTCCCTCTCCAGATAAAACAACAACTTCAGCATTCAAATTCCTCTCCAACCATCTTATCCCCTTTTCTCCCACCCGATCATCCTCTTTCCCCCAATAAATCCTCACTGGTATTTCGGACGGTAGATCCGAATAACTGAAACCCCACGCTTGTCGAGCGAGGACTACACCGAGAAGATCACTAGTTGTTCCTGGTTCTGATTCGGCGTGAGAGGCTTGTTCGAGGGCTACTAACATAGCACCGGTCAATCGCGGTTTTTTCTTTTCACCTTCTTCACTTGGTCGGGTAGCACTTGATGTCCTATTCAGCTTCAAATCCCTGATCGGTGGATGATCCTCTTGACTCAATCGAACTAAGTCGTTCCCATGATCAAACTGTCTAATCTGATTCTGCTGAGATCTGGAAGGACTGTTAGACTTTTGAGGTTCGGTAGAATGTCGATCGTGCATTCCGTTTTTCTCGATTTCCTCACGAGGAGGTGAAATATGACAGAATGATGATGATGAAGACGAGGAAGATGAGGGTGGGAAGGAAAGACGCAGATTCGTCCCTAAAGAGGGAAACCCTTCAGGTAATCCTATGTTGATTGCGGCTTGTATGGAACTTTCCAATGAGTTTCTTTTCTGTACCACTTCCGAATTGGCCATCTGGACCAACTTCCTTTTCATATCTACTTCAGGTGTGTTCCGAATAGGTGTCGAATCTGCTCGTTGGAGCGAAGGAGGTGATCGGAGACCCAGAATGGACCCTTGTCTTGAGAGTCTTTTAGTGGTCACTTTGCTTAGACTTCTCACTAGGGGTGTCCTGGGCGACTGGGTTTTACTGTCGTGAGATTCAAATTTAGATAGAGTATTGGGATTGGGACTCGTATTGGGACTAGGTTTGATAGTTGGCGATGACGATCGAGGTGATTGCGAGGACAGCCGAGGAGGAAGAGGAGGGGCGGTAAACCCGATAGGTTTGTAGGTCAAGGGAGGAGGTTTGCCCAGGAAATAAGTTTGGAGTCGATGTTCCGCTGCGGTGGCTGACTTGATGACGGTATTGGGGACCCATTTGAGCCATTTGAAGCCTGTGTCATCAGCGGAGATCAATTAAGATTATGTAACGACGAGCCAGATGTTGAGAACATTGAGCCCACAATCGAGGACATCCGCTATTCAAGGAGTGGGAGGTAAGGTATCAAGGGCCAACAAAGTCGAGATCGTCCCTAACACTCACCGCCATCAATTTCCGTACTGACCCAAGGTGCCAACATCACCACCTTTCCCCTGACCCTCTCTTGCATTCTGAGGATCACCGCGGTGGCATAAGCACACCCCGCACTATGCGCCAAGATCTGAAAAGTGTCCACACCCAGCTCATCCATGACTCTTTCAACCACTGCGGCCCACGCGCGCATGCTCCTCTTCTCATCGGGAACAGAGTCAGTCTTGCCGTACCCCCATCGATCTATACAGATCAGTCTAAGGCCAAGTGCTCGGGCGAGGTCGTCATACATCGCAATCAGATATCTGACGCAGCCCAGACCGAGGAAAACCAATACGGGACGTCCTGCGGGATCTCCTACCTCTGCGAGAGAGACTCGGAGGGGTCTTTCGGGGTAAGGCCGGGGGAGAGTGAAGAACCGATTTAAGTGTGGCGAACGAAGGTATACGGCGAGTTCATGAGGTTGATCGTCTTTGGTCGGAGTAGGCGTTGATGTGGAGCTACGCGGTGTGGCTAGGGTGTTGGGGGAGAGAGGAGGTAGAGGAGGTGTTGTATATGCATGATGATGACGATGGGGATTGGATGGTCCTGAAGAGGCGAGCGATCCTCTTTCGAGTTTGTCCAATAATGCTTGACCGATTTCCAAATCGTGGAAGACTTCCTCCTCACTTTCCGACGTAGATGGAAGAGGTTTTGGCTGCGGAGAAGGAGTTGCCTGTCGGGATGAGGTACGAGGTGGTACAACCGCGATAATTGCGCCTGGAGATGAAGAAGAACGGATGGGCATGGGCTTGGGAGATGTAGTAAATGGTATTTGTGCGGTGTGAGGGGTTTGACCGGGAGACAGGGACGGTCGTGGTGAGACAGACTGTTTTGAAGTGATTGACGTTCGAGGAGAGAGTCCCAAATCCATACGAGCTTTTACGACGGGGGCCACTTGAGCATCGACCACGGCTGGAGAATGCCTTCTGATGATTTCGTCGATGGAAAGGGCGGGTGTCTTCGTAGGGATCTTAGGTGAAGAGGAAGCCGCAGTAGCCAAGGGACGAGGGGAAGAGCGTTTTTGACTTGGCGGTTGATTGACTGTCACAGGGGTGGAATTGAGATGGACAAGACGTTCGGATGATCGCTTGATGTGACTGGAGGAAGCCACTTGATAGTCGCTCTGCGGTCTGCTGGTTGGTCGTGGACTACTTTTCCCACTCTTGGATTGTGAAGAATGTCTTCGTCGTCTAGGACGAGGAGGTGGATTGATCTCCGAATCACCTTCGCTGGAAGAGACATGACCCTCCGTTACGTCTAGTCGTGCCCCGTAACGTCTCTGATGAGCTTCGATGACACTTGAAGCCGTCGGTAGGTCCAACTTGGACGTTTTCAGTCCGAGCGCAGCCATTCCTTGGTCCAATTCGAATGAATCTAATATCAGCGATGAACATGAGAGTATGGGTGCTGATTGACCAACGTACCATCTTGAATATCAGGTTGAAGTTGCCATGAGAATTCTCTTCTACGAGTGACAGTTCTCTTTTCTGTTTTTTGTCTCTGCCTTTCTACCTCTTCGGCCCAAGTTCGGGTCCTTTCGATACTTTTCATCCTCCTTACTCTTTTCTCGGACTCTTCAATCTCCAACCTGGGTGTGTCGTCGTCTGCGTCTCTATGTAGATCTGTTTTAGGTGTTGTGTATCTCTCAGATACGGACAAGAGCCAATTGTCTTCCAAGTGAGAAACAGTGCGCACGGCCTGGGAAGGAGAAGATGATCTAGGTGTACGAGGTGAGAGGAGGGAGGATGATTGAAGTGTTGATGCGAGTGTTAATTGTCCTGATGAGCCTGAGATGGGTCTTTCTCGATCTCGTTGATGGGTCAGAGCGAGAGAATCGTGTCGATAGGAGTGGTCGAAGATGGACATGGTCATGGGGAGCGATATCAGCGTGGAAGATTTTCGTGCGGATGATGGTAGGAGATGGAGGGACGGTAAGAAAAGGATGATCAAAGAGAGTGATAAGACGGACAAGTAAGGTTGTGAAGGAGTGAAGCTGTTGGAAAGAAAAGCTGTTGTCTCCAAGAGCCAGGGTGAAATGCGTCAAGCGGAGAAGACGAAATGAGGCTGAAAAGCTTGGAATTTGTTTTGACTATGGGCGATGCTTGCTGTGGGTTTGTGACCGCATTGGGGATATGTTTTGTGATGATTTAGTCACGATCGGAGTTGTTTGTCAGGATGAAAGCAGTAAGACAGGTATGGAAAGGTGAGTGGTAGAGAGCATACTATAAGTGAAAGAAGATTAGTAGCAACGGTAGGTAAGGAGGGAGAGATGAGACAGGTACATGGGCAAGGAAGGGAAGGGAAGGGGAGGGAAGGAGGGGAAGGAGGGGAAGGAAGGACCGTGCCATCGGGCCCTTGCGCCTTAGTACTTTCTACACCTACCAGTAGCTAGGACTACTAGCAGCTCCATTCTCACATTCCCACTCAATCACCCTACAGCAGCCCTCATATAAGTGCTCCTGACCATTGACTCGTCCATCGTCATACACGTAGCTGATGGTGTACTTTATTTGACAGTTGATAGCGGACCGACGATGACGACAACTCAAGTGATGATGGCCTGGTTTATCGGGGTGGTCCGACACCGGTGGTTCCGACCGGACGACCGGATGATTCACCGGACCCCTCCACCTCCACTTAAGGAAAATGTCGATTCTAATCTTTTTGATGATTCTTTCTCGTCAAACTTCAACTCTGACATGTTGACGTATTCCAGAATATAGTCTTCACTCACAGAATCATTCATAGGGTATCAAACACTCAGACCCATCCTACAAATATGTCCTCGAACGGAGTATCTACACCCGTAAAGGAACTATCTTACGATCCGGTTTCAGAGGTAGAACAATCACCCGAACAGAAACCGTCTTTGTTGGCCAAGACTTTGAGTAGACTATCAAGAAGACGCTCAGCTTCGGTCAAGTTACAAAAGATCAGAAAGAGAGATTTTGGGTTTTTACCGATTCCTAAACATAATCGACATGATCCAAATCTTCCACCGGAACAACAACCGAAATTCACTTGGAGAACCAATGTCGTCTTTGCACTTGCGTCGGTGAGTCGGGTCAAGGAATACCACATCACAAAACAGTCGTCCTGCACCATAAGTTCCCTGAAGAAAGACGTGGACAAAGAACTCATGTACAGACTTCAAGTGTTATGAACTTGTATTACGTGCAACCTATGCTTGTTGCGTAAGTGAAGAACAATCTCCTGTCTGCTTCTTCTCATAGTCTCAGAACATCAAAGTCTATCAAAAATTGATGATGACTACGTGTGACTGATATGTCAGTATCGCGACAGATCTGAACGTTTCCAACCAAACAGTCTCTCGTATACCAACGCTTTTGCAAGGCGGATATGGGACTGGAATTCTTTTCGTATCCCCCTTAGGCGATCTTCTCCGTCGTCGACAGTTGGTCCTGGCTCTTTTTTTGGTATGTTCCTTGCTCCAGATCGGGCTCGCCTTGGCGAAGAATGTCCAGATGTTAGAAGGTATCAGTTTCTTGGTCGGAATCTGTTCCGTGAGTCTTCCTCGGGTATTCACTTCTCCCACATATCATCTCATGCTCCTACTCCTGCAGACATGTGTCTTTCGGGTGTCATTACCAGATTACTGACCAACCAGGTCAGCGCTCAAGTTTGTATTCCATGGACGGCAGATTTGGCTCCTGCCAATATCCGCGCAAGATCAATGAGTATCACCCTTTCCGGATTGATATCTGGTTTGGTCATCGGTAGAGTGCTTGGTGGTGTATTCTCGACGTATGCCTCTTGGAGAGATACGTATTGGTGGGCTATGGCTTTGCAGATTTGTGCGTGTTGCCTTTGCTTTTCTCCAACCTCCCACTTCCCCTATTCGGCCACATCTGTACATCTGCCACCTCAATTCCGTCCCTCTCCATCCTGTCATGACATATCACACCTCATTGCAGCAAATATTGACGACGGCTAATCGACAGTCATCCTTTCTCTCTTATATCTGGGACTTCCCGATACTCCTGACAAGGGTGTCAAGGTTCCTTATTTCAAGTTTGTAAGTCTTGTTATAATCACCTCGTTGGACATGCTAAAACGATAGATATTGTCAATGTTCAAATATCTGTACAAATATCCCACTTTGACTCAGGCTTCCATCTGTTTCTGTTTCTCAAGTGGTGCGTCGATTTGCGCCCCACAAGTGTCGAATGCTGACTGCAGCTTGTTTTGCCGGTTTGTGAGTAGCGTGCCATTGAACTGTCCTTGGGGGTACTCTCGAGCGACGCTGATCAGGTAGCTGGACGACGATGACTTTCGTTCTTTCTTCTGACCCCTACCAGTGAGTCATTTCCCGTTGCCCTCGATCGATAAGAACTTGACGTACTGACCATAAGTTACTCGCCATTCGACATTGGTCTCTTCGGTCTGTTAGGTATAATAGGTGCACTCATGGCTCCTCAATGGGGTAGACTGGTGGATCGTATAGTCCCTTGGACTGGACAAATAATAGGTTTCGTGAGTGTCATGTCAAACGCTCCCTTCTCTCGTCAATGATGGACACATTCCAATCTCCAGACCGGCTCATAGAAAACATACGTAAAACGTCCCGGCCTGAGTTCCTGACGCCCGGAGTCTCCCGTCTTAACGAAGTGCATTTACATTCACTGACGCTCAGTGCGTCACCACCGCCTCGATGATCATCGCTCTGGCAGGAGCGACCAAGAGTATCGGTCCGATTTGCGTGGCCATGGTCATGTACGACGCCGGATCTCAATTGGCCCAAGTGGCAAGTACTTATCGTATAGCTGGTCTTGAACCTCAAGCTAGGGCGAGGATGAATGGGTGTTTCCTGTTGCTCATGTTCATCGGGCAGGTACGTTGACATTTTCCCCCCTATTCCCCTACCTCATCTCATTCTCTTCACCGGTTTCGAGTGAAGAGGCAGAAGCCGAAAGTCGTTAACAATCGATATCATTATAATGAGATCCAGGGGCGGGCGTTGAAACTTCACCGGAACTACGCTCATTGCCAGACGAGCGGGACGGCAATCATGACTAAAGTGTACAACACACACGGATGGTACGCTACAGGAGCGACGGCCGTAGCTTTTCAAGGTCTGGTTTTACTCACTCTTCTAGTCAGGTGAGTTATTTTCTTTTCCATAACATCTTTTTTCTTGTTCCTCTGAACCTAGTCACCCAAGATTGAACCCATCAATTCCCACTTCAATCGAGGATATGCTAATAGCCAGGGGTCCACATGAACCAGGATGGTTCGGTTGGTCAGGTGGTACACAATTATTCAGACGTGATAAATTAACCGACCTGAGTCCTACGGCTATAACAGAAGGTAAACATCATCTTTTAAAGCATAAAAGCAAACATTCACATGAGGATGTTGTTGAGATGGGAGCGGTGTATGAGAAGGGTAAACGTGTGAATAGACCGCAGTCACCAGTTCAATCAATGAATCCAGAACAGCTTTCCAAGTTAGAGAGTGGGAGGAAAGAGAAGGAGAAGGATAATGAAAAGTCAGAGGGTAAGGTTATAGAAGGAGAAGAATCAGAAGAAGTAAGAGAAATACAAAGAGTTTTCGCTGCTGGTCATAGTGCTGATACTGCTTGATGTGGGGATTTATTTGTATCTAAGTAAAGTATTAGAATCTCATAGTCTGCAAATATACAACATGGATAAAAAAGTAGAATACATAGAGGGAAGTCAACTTTGCAGCTTGATAGGCACCGTCAATCATGAAACCGCCTTTAAGTCCGTCGATCGCAACGATAACTCTCCTTTTCTTGACCCACACTTCGTCTCCATCTTTCCAAAACAACTTTTGTTACTGTGGTGTCTGTTGCTTTAAGAACATACTTATACAACATGGCGGATAAGGAAGTCTTATCCGATTCCAAGGATACCAAGATGACAACGAGACAAAAAGAAAAATCTGCTGTCAAATTGGAAGATATAGAGATGAACAATGTTCAAATGGATCATGTTAGTAGTATCTCTCTCTTTCACCAACTTCTTATCGTCATCTTTTACATAATCCCTTCTGATACCATCTTCCTTTGTCTCCATCTGAAGCTACCTCGATGTTATGCTCTTAACTCCCCGAACTAATCCGGAATGATCCCCTCTTTCTCTCTCCCTCGTTTCATATCTCTTCTTTTTCATATGTCTCAACCCGTCGTATTTCCCAAAAGCAAAGGGGAGGAACGGGGTCAAGTCAAATGAAATTACGGAAAGAGGACGGAAAGTTGAGAAGAGTCATCTTGACAAATAGGAAATATCCTTATTAATCGAACAATGGCTCTTAGCACGTTCTTATACCCTTACTGCGCAGACTATGAAAGAAGAGGTTTTAGTAGCTAGTACGGAAAAGAATGGGGTGGTGAAAGAGATAGAAAGAGGTTTGTTAGGTGAGTTCAAACATCTTTCATTTCCATCCTTCTCTTTTGCGTACTATCCATTTAACGACTCTCTAAGATTGTGACATACACATGAATGACATCTTACATCTTGGAGAATATCGTCAGGTCACAAGTGCTATTCTCATCTTCTTCAGGGCTTTTTGGGCTGTCATCCTTCAACTTTTATGATCATGATTCCTCTATCTTCAACTTTTGTTTCACAACGGGTTATGGTTATGTGCGAGGTCGTAATTGATGATTGATCCAAGCTGACATCAGACGGCGATTACAGTCTTATAGAAGGTCTTTTGGTTGATTCTGGTTTGAAACCTCAAACACAAAGAGCTTTCATGTATATGTGTTGGAGACAACAATTTTTAGAACATGTCGAAAATCGTATGTCCTCTCTTACCTCTTCTCTCTATCTTCTTCCTCTATTCCCTCATTGTAAGATAATACCATGTCCTCTCGTCGTCCTTGAACGAATGAAATATGATCATGGTCAATAGTCCAATTCATTATCGTATCTTCTCCCTTACGAACGTACTGTATGTTCTTCAAAGACGATTCATTGTCTCATCATATCTTTCATCAAAACCTGATGAAATCCTTCAAGATTTACAATTCTTATGTTAGAGGGGAAGGAGGAAAGAGGGAAAATGTCAAAAATACTAATCATCTGGTGAACCTCAAAAGGCCTTTAACCTATTGAGCAAACGTCTCAAACCTTTGGAACACTATCAACCTTATCCATACGATTTTTATAATTTATCATACCTCACTTCAGCTAGTACTGTCCATGATGCTCCCGCTTTTAGGGATTGGAAAGGTGTTCAGAGGGAAAGAGAGGGTTTGGTAAATATGTGGCATGAACTCACTGAGAAGGGGGATGGTGAGTAATGTTTCTGTCTCTGTGTTAGTCATTGCTTCGTAAATCATCTCTCATATTAAATCTCCTTCCCTACGTGATATTCGTCCATCTCATGTTTTCTCCATTATCAGTCGTTTGCCCATAAGCCGTTGGTTGAGATGGAGACATTTGGTTTGTGTAGGAAGGATTGTCTAGATGAATAGTGAAAAGACTGATTGAAAGGGAACAGGGAAAAGATTCACATCCCACCACACCGATTGGAAACTCTTCTTAGACAAGCGGCAGCTTGGCAGATTGAACATTCTCCTAGGACTTCCAGTTCTCCTCTCTCTCTTCCCTCGTGAGTTCCTCTTGTCTCTTCCATCACTACAAGTCTCGGCTGTCCATCACCACAAGTCTCTTTTATCTAACTCCGTGACGTCAAACCTGAACGCCTTCGTCGAGGCTTGGGCTAAGTTGGTGAGAACCAACTATTACTGATACCAGTCTACTGCGTGACTATCAACCCTTGATCCTCCCCGACACCTTACATCTCCTCATTCACGGTCATCAAGCAAATATCAAATGTATCTCTCCCATCTCGCCTTATCTAGCTGTGAGTGGATCGAGCGATCGTACTCTTCGTATCTTTTCAATCGTGGATGGTCTCACACGACATACACTCTCCGGACATACATCCAGGATCTGGGATTGCTCGACGACACTGGGTGGAGAGACAGTGGTGAGTGCTTCGGGAGATGGAAGTTTGCGTGTGTGGGATGTGGAAAATGGTAGATGTAAGTCGGTCATGCAAGGTCAAGGAGGAGATGTGTATAGTGTTAGATGGCGTCCTGGTCATGTGAGTGATCTACACATGACTTGATGATATTGATATCCCTCGAATGAGCTGACAGGGTAGAACCAAGTGGTCTCCGCTTCATATGACAAGATTTTACATTGTTGGGATGTAGAGACTAGTAGACAGATAAGGACATTTTCGGGTCATAGTATGAGCGCTCAAGCTGTGACTTATGATCCGACTGGGAATATCATCGCTTCTGGGTGAGTGACATTTTCCAAAATATCTCTTCTTTCCGTGTTGAAGAATGCGTCCCCATCTCGAATTTGTTGGGCATGGAGTAGAGATGCGTCATACGTACCGTTTGGTATGACTTTGCAACAGTGTTGATGGACCAGCTCAAAAGATAAACACATTCGTCTGTGGGACGCAGTGGGAGGAGTTTGTACGCATACATTAACGGATTGTCTTGGGGAAATTACTAGTATCCAATTTGATGGTGAGGGAAAATATCTCTTGGCGGGATGTAAAGATAATTCGAATCGATTGTATGATATGAGGATGGTGTGTTTTTTAAACTCCCCGTCTCGTGATTCATCCCCTTCTTTCTTCTTTCATCCCACTACGAGTACTCGTACTGTAACACGTTCTCTCCCAACTTCTTTGCTTCTGTCATCTTCCCCCCTTTTCTCATACGATAACCCATCAATTGTCGAGGGATGATATGGTGACTATGTACGTCCAACAATCACAGGTACAGTGCTTATACCTCAGCGTCGAGATTTATACCGTTACATAGGTCATCAAAACACTTCCAAAAACCTTATAAGATGTTCATTCAATATAAATTCTACCCTCGTTCTTTCCGGCTCTGAAGATGGTAATGTTTATATATGGGAAAGAGAGTCTTCTTCATCTTCTCCACCTCTACACTTATCCTCTTCCATTATCCCACCGAACGTACCTCTAGGAAACCAGGTGAATGAATCTACAAATACAACCAATCTTCCTAAAGGAACTATGATCATCCCTTCTAATCGACCGTTCAGAGGTGATGGTGATAAGACGATAACTGTAAGACCTGCAAAGGTTTTGAAAGCACATGAAGGGACTGTTTATGATGTCAAGTGGATTGAGAGTGGAGGTAGATTATTGAGTTGTGGGGAAGATGGTAGTGTTGGTATTTGGGGTCATGAGTAGTAGAGTAATGATACGTTGTATGTTAGGTCCTCAATTTTATGATTCGTGAAGTATATAATGTCTGTCACTCAATTGTCATCTAGACATAGGCGGATCATAATGTTGGGATTTGAGGCTAGTTTGATATGTGTAATGTCAATATTTCTTGTTGTAATGTAATGCTGACCAGGGATGAGATACTCCTGTTCGTATCCTTGCCATGGCGTGGATGATCACGTTACTCTACATATTGCATGCAGAGTAGTTTCCACTGGAACCAGCCTACTCGTATGAGAAAGTAGTCGTGTAGCCTAGAAATGTGTTAACATGGTTTTACTGACGGGTCATGTACTTATGGTGGGTTACATCCGGTGCGGCGGTGCCTTTGAAACTCTATCCCATGGCCCCGTCCCGGCGCGTGGCTTTGACGCGTCGCGTTCTATCAGTAAAGACGAAAAGAACCATAATCCCATAATCCCATAGACCATGCTTCTTCTCAGGTACCCAGCCATGCATAGGTAGAGTGATAATTCTCTCCAAATCGTCTATCATTCATTTCTGTTCATCGGACATTGTAAGCCACACACGATTTTTGATCTTTTTCTTTCTTTCTTTGATTTTCGATCAACTCGGGGGTCCTTTCGGTCTTAGGAACAAGAGCAAGAACAAAAACACAAAAAGATTGGATAAGGATTCGGATCAGGATTGGTTGATTCATTGTCTACAGAGTAGTGTCATCATCATCATCGTTCGGTTTCAATGGGATAGGTTGGCTCTCTTTTGTGTCAAAGTGACGGTTGTTACAATTATTCCTCGAGCCATAACTACCACCAACCACCACCCTTTGAATAGCTCACCCCCGGGTATCATCTGCGATCAAGAACAAAGCAACCAAAGTGACCGAGGGGATCCGTGCTTGTCTCGAGTGTCAAAGCAGCGACGTGGCGAGGTGGGATCCAAGAGCTGAGAGGTGCAAGACGAGAGAGTGTGTCAGGTGGTTTTAGCCTAGTAGCTGGTATTAGTTAGTGCATGGTTTCTACCAGGGCACAGGGCACAGGGGAGAGACAGAAGGAAAACATACAGTAAAGCTTTGTTCGCAAACTACCACTTGGCACTTTGACAGTGAACGATCATATCATTTCTTCAATCTTCGCCACTACATCAAGTATACCATTCATATCGTTTTATCTACACACTACCAATTATTCCAGTGTACAGTGTACGGGTCACACTTCAAATTGGTGAGTTTATCTTTGTTGTTTATCTTTACACCGCTCTACCGCCATGTTCAAACTTGCCGTAATGAGTTTCACCGGTATTCTTCTCCAATCCGCCGTTATCGGACTCTTTTCGTACCGAGATATAGACTACATTCGGTTCTTATCAAACGTCGAAGAGAGAAACCACATTCGGTCACTCTACACATATTTCATCCGAATTGAATTGTGATCATTCTTAGGATTATTGGAAAGAGAGAAGAGGGAAAGTGGACATCTTTTACCATTCTTCATCTTACTCCTTAACCCCTCTTTTACAATTCCTTTGATTCTTTTCTTTCTCCCTTCTATTCGTTTTCACTAAGTTTACATCCGTTATACCTCTTCCTCCATCACCCACTTACACACTCACTTGAATTTACGTTCTATGGGATTCGAATATCTGTCCTTGTGTGTTTCATATCATTTACTTTTTGCTCATCAATCAGTCTCGTATCATACTTTACTATCACGCCAAGAAATCTCATATTGATACGCTAGGAGACACATCAACAAGAAAAGAAGAAACCTTTGACAATGTCACTGTTAGCTATTCGTCCACCAGAAATGGAAAGAGCTTCTATGGTTCTTCCAACTATCACTTGTTCTTCATGTTCAGCCCCTATACCACTTTCTTCCCTAGGTGAACATGTCTGTCTACCTATTCCTCTTCCTTCTCGACCACCTACCAATTCGACACAATCAATAAATCCTAAAACCGGTCCGAGAAACGTCCCTAGACCTACTCAAATAACCATCCCCAATACCGAACCTTCCCGTCGAAATGGTCCAAACACATTCACGGTCAATCCACCACGTCCACCTTTCGCAGGTCCTTCAAGCGCTCGGTCCTCACCTAGTACATTAGGTATTCCTTCCGTTCATAATTCACCTCATATACCTTCACCCACTGGTCAAAATGTTTTCCCTCCATACACCCCAAACTCAAGAACACCATCACCTACAAATCCTTTTTTCCCACCCAACACACCAATGTCTGGTAATGGAATCATGATTCACGGTTTAGGATTATCGGTAGGAAGAGCTGAAGGTCCTTATCCTACCGATGCGCATATACCAGATAGAATGAAGAATTCCATTGGGATGCCGGATACTACTAGTGGTGGAGGAGCAGGAATGGCAGGAGTAGGAAGAAGAGCTTTTGCTGCTGCTGCTTGGGGAGTTAGAGCTGGTGTTGCAATGAGTAATACGACTACTAATAAGAATTTGGAAAATTCAAGAGAAATGCCTCCACCTAATCAAGGTTGGCCTACTCAACCTAGATCAGCCGGTCCTTCACATCAACAATCAAAACAAATGTTTTCTCCTACTCCCATGTCTGCTCCATTACCACCATCTCAACCGAGATTAGATATATCTTCCCGATTAGAAGCTGTTACCCAGGAATCAGTTTCGAATACGAATACATCACGACCGAATCTTCCTAATCGACAACATAGTAACAATGAAACTACACGTTCCAACATGATAACTTCACCTCCTAGACCGATCCGTTCCGCGTCCGCTATGTCTGACAGAGAAAGGTCAAATTTACCACCTCGTAAAACATCAATTTCCTCAGCTACAAGTTCAAGGTCTTCTCACAAAGGAGATTCTATATCCGAATTGATCAAAGCTCGTTCTAATCGAATAGAAGAAAGAAAAGATTCCAACGGAGGAGCGTTTTTCAATAAAGTTCGACAATTATCAACTTCTTCCTCTTCCGCAATGAGTGATCGTCCATCTGCATTAGGAGTTCTTCGTCGTCCATCTCAAAATGATTCTCAAAGTTCTCAACGTTTAGTGGCTAGTCCCGAAGAAACCATCTTACCACTTCCACACGAAGATGATTATGATGACGAAAGTACAGCTTCGGCACTTCCATGGGCGACACCAGCCGTTCGAAATCGAGATAGAAAATCACCCGATATCGGAAGAGAAGATCGAACACGTTTGATGAAAGATATGAGAGATAGATATCCTACAGCTGAGAGTGAATCTTCTTCTTCTATCGCTTCCAGTAGTAGATCTGGGAAATGGGGTGGTGGATCAGGAAGTGGACCAGAAAGTGAAGAATTAGTAACTCCTTCACAATCTTGGGAAGGTGGTCTTTCCGAACGTGTTTTAGTACAAAAAGCTAGTAAGAATGGTTTTGGTGGATTTGGAATTGAACCATCACATGACTCAAGAGATACTTTGGAACAAATCGGTGAAGAAGAAGAAGAAGAAGTTGTTGTATTCGGTGGGAAAAGTCCAAAAAGTAAATCCACTTCACGTGATTCTCAATCAAGAAACGAAAACAAAAATCAAATAATCTCAATTTCTAGACCTGGTTTATCGATAAATGGTAAAGATCATATTCGTTCTCATACAGCCCCAGAACCTAGGTCAGATAGAAGTTTGAAAACAAACGTGGATCGACAAGGAGAAAGAGAGAGAACAAGACGTAAAATTTGTCAAAAATGTCATGAAGAAGTAGGAGGTGATAAAAGGTTTGTGGAAAGAGATGGTGTGGTTTTATGTGAAAAAGATTGGAAAAAATTATATTTACCTTCTTGTAGAAGGTGTAATTTACCGATTGAGAAAAGTGCGGTTTCAAGTAGTGATGGACAGTTGAAAGGGAAATGGCATAGGTCATGTTTCACTTGTACCAAATGTGATAAACCTTTTGAAGGTGATAGTTTTTATGTTTTAGGTGGTAAACCTTGGTGTCAACAACATTATCATGAAGAGAAGTGAGTTTCGATTGTTCTCTCTTTCTTCCCTCTTTCCTCTTCCCTTTCATTCTCTGTCCTCTTCTCTTCCCTCATCTCTTCCCTCTTCTCTTCCTTGATCTCTTCCCTCTTCTCTATCTCTGCTTTTCTCTCCCATCCATCCATCTGTGATTACAATAATGTCCTGAATTCGCAATCCTGAAAGTTCCATTTTCCCTATTGCTTCACTTCATAATTGTTTCTATCCACACCCATCCTAACATTCGCTCTTACCTTGAAAAGTTGAGAATAATCTTCCGTATGATGTAAAAAATGTCACACACTGACATCTCAGCGGAACATTATGTTCCAATCCAACTTGTCGAAAACCAATAGAAGGTCCTTGTATCCTCACTTCTGGTCCTAAACCAAACCGATATCATCCCGGTCATTTAAGATGTGATCATAGAGGAGGTGTTTCAGGTGTTCAATCATGTAAAGAAAACATGGATGAATATTATGAAGTTGATGGTGGTAGGTATTGTGAGAGACATGTGAGTGAGGCCATGAGGAATTTGAGTGTGGGTATGGGAATGGGTATGGGGATGAAAAGGGCGGAAAAAAGAAGAACTAGGTTGGTGGAATTACCAGGGGCGTTTTGACAAAAACATCGTCTTCCCGACTGTTCAATTACCCTCGGAGTGTTGCACACGTTGCGTCGTCCAGTCTACAATACCGTATGGGAGGGGAGGGGGGGGGGGGGGGGTTGGGACAGAGATCGAATATAGGAGACTAGACTGGACGTTGAATGTTGAAGAGATTTGGAAAGGATGAGAATGATGAGATGTAGATTGGAAAGTGATGGAATAAGGACAACTACTACCTGGTAAAAGTAACAAAGTATAAAGACAGGACAGAGGACATTTTTTCTTGTTAGAATTTGGTATAAACATAGTTTCATAGATGCCCAAGCAAATATATGCTATAATTTGAATATCTAACTTCAACTACCAATATCGATCAATTCACATTCTGTTCTCGTCTGATTGGCCATGGTCAAAACGTTGGTGGATCGGTCGACGAAGAGTCGGATCGAACGAGGTGAAGTGTTGGCTTTGAGATGGAAGGTGGGTCAATCAATGAGCAAGTATTAATCATACACTTCATGCATCTTTACTTCTTTCTTCTTTCTCTTTATCAATTCTCAGATACCTATCAGAGTATGCTACAAATTTGAAAACTTTCAAACCTCCAACTCTATTCCCAACATCTTACCAACTCTTATCAAATATGTTTATTCACTTCCACCCTTCACATCTTCACATCCAAAGATCCACTCCGAGCAAAAACAGAAAAAGAAATCACTCGCGTACACTCGATATTCGCAATCAACACGGCAAAAGATCGACAAGAGACTAAGCAATGGCACTTGCTACAGGCACACCACCTCCTACCTTCATACCTGCTCCACCACCGTAAGTCGCCCTGGCCTTTTGATCCGCTTCTTTCTCATCTATCCCAGGGACAGAATCATCGTCGAATGTGTACAATGGCTTGTGAGGTTCTTTAGAACGAAGAATGTAGTGACGGAAATGCCAACCGAGGTTGTATATTTGATAATGAGCGTGAGTCGAGGTAGGGACGGAAAAGACTTGATCCAATTCTTCTAAAGTAAATCCTTTTGATTCCGGTAAAAACAGCAGGATCAGAACCGTTAAGACGGCACACCATGCGGCGTACCAACCGAACGCTCCTTGAGGTTTGAAAGCCTTTAAGAGGGAAGGGAATGTGAGTCCGACGATAAAGTTGAACAGCCAACACGTAGCCGTGGCGAGGGACATGCCGAGGTCACGGATATACAATGGGTAAACCTCTGCCGAGTAGGTGAATGGCACTGCGTGTCAGAGCTCGTCCCACAGTGTTGATCATACTAGACATGACATGAACAGCCACGACAGGTCGGGAAGCAAGGCCGAAAAAGACCGTTGAGCGATATTTTATAAGAGGAAGAGGCCATGTCATAAATGGCATGAAGGGAACGACTCGAGAAATTCGAACTGACCTGGCCCTTCTCCCGGACTGTAGAAGATACCGTACAAGTAAATCCCGAGAGCAATCAATCCGGTCCTCGCATGACCCATGGGAATCCAGAAGCAGAATCCAGTGAACAGCAACATGATGGACATGCAAGGGAAAGTGAACAGCAGCAAAGGACGACGACCGAATCTGTCAATGGTGTAGATGGCCGGGATTGCCTGCGGGTCAGTGAGTGTTGACGTGGGGAAGGTTGAACCATCCCTCATACGTCATCCTTCGTATTTACCCCAGCCGCGTGAGGAACGATAACGAGACAAAGGCATGGACGAGGGGAGTATCCGGCAAAATCTGTTGAAAAAGTGTAGCAAAATCGGACTCACGAAAATCCAGTTGATCAGACCGAATCCGAAAGCAGCCAACAAAGCAGAGGTTTGAGAGAAACCAGACTACTCGTCAGCTGCCCTCCTCATCTATCGTTCGCGCCAGCGGTGCGAGGCCAATATTGTTGAAATAAAGAGGTAACTCACCTGAACAAAGATGGTAGCGGTGTAATAGACGATAGCTTACGATCAGCTCCTCATCTCACAATTCCAACAATTGACTCACCATTGACACCACAGAATTGTTGAGCAAACATGACCAAACAGGATCCGATAGCCGCACGTCTGTTCCTACCGATACTGAACAATTCCCAAAGTCTGTTCCTGCCTCTCACAATGGCAGCTTCTTCTTCTAACAAAACGAAAATGTAGTACAGATCTCTAGCGGCGATGACGGGATGACCACGGAGCCTGAGCATACTAGCGTAGGCTTTCTCGTATCGACCTTTGGACATGAGCCAACGTGGCGATTCGGGGAGGAAGGGAAGTTGTGACATGACGATGAGGGCGGGGAACCCTGCAGATGCCAGCATTAATCGCCAGTTGAGTCCAGTGATATGTGGCTTGTTAGGGACGTGGAAGAAGATGAGATCGGCAACGTATCCCAACATGATTCCGAACGCCGTCCACATTTGCCTTTACATAAGCACGTTTCTGACTGCCCAAATGATCTGGGGCAGTAGGATGGTGGTCTGCCGACTAATTAAAAGCCTCGGGAAAGGAAGTAGATGAGGGGAAGATCGGGGAAGACATGGGCGTCAGAAGGAGAGGGACCGACGACATTTTCGACTCTGATGAAGGGAATGAAGAGCTGAGGCCGTGGTTGATAACTTACCATTGCATGACCAATCCACCTCGGATCTTGGCAGGGGTACACTCAGCAGCGAACACCGGCACCGTGGCTGATTTAGGTCCGATTCCAAGACCAAGGAAGAACCTGGCGATGAAGAGATGCCACCATGTGTTGGTGCATGCCGACCAGATACAAGTGAGGAAGGATATGAGGGCGGTGACGAAGATAGTACCACGGCTATTCAATCAGCGCTCTCCCTCGTCTCGCCATTCCACGAAGTTGAGAGAGGGGGTGGTGCAGGCGGAGGGAGAATACGATCAGGTATTAAAATGCGGCAACACGACTCCGACGACCACGTGTAAAGGGAACGGAGAGACGTGTGTGGAGACCAAGTGGAGAAGATCGACGAGTGACTCACCGACCAAGATAATGATTCAATGGATCCGTCAACCAACAACCAATAGTAGCGCAACACAAATAAGGTGCACCATTTATCAAACCTTCCAACCAAGAATCCCTAGATCTACCAGTCACACTTGAATCTATACCAAATTGACCTGGAAAAAATAACTGAGCACCAGATATGACACTCTCATCCATTCCTTGTACAGCTGCAGCTACTGAACAAGCGACGACCAAGTTGTACAAGATGAAAGGTTGTGAATAAGGATGAGTTATTTCCCTTCTTAAAGCTTCTTTATCATCTTCATTCAAAATTTTCATATGTTCGAAATGATTTGGACGTTTTGCTAATATACCACCTTTCTTAAATGTTTCAACTGGTAAATTGTTCGCTTGTGCAAATGCACCAGCATTATTCATTGCTTCTTCATCGGTAAGATCTCCTAATGGATTGGCGAGTTTGGCATTTGTATTTTTTATCAATTCGACTTTACGTGATGTTTTCCTTTGAATACCTTCTGAATCGACAAAAGTACCATCGATGGAATTCCGATGATTGTGATTATCGAGATGGGATTGTTTTTCGTTTGGACCTAGTGGGTTTATAGGTTGTTGACCAGAGGTGGTAGAGTCTATATTGGTTCCTTCCGCATGAGAAGTGATGGGTTTATCACCTGTCATAGCTTCTGTGAGAGGGTATCGAGATTGATGTTTATACCCGTGCCCTTTGGCGGTATGGGTAACTTCTTCGTCTGACATGTTGAAGTGATCGTCGTGTCAGACAGACGGTGGAAGTGGGTGCTTGAGGGATACTCGAGTGTGAAGAAGTAAGCTGAATTTGGTCGTGTGAGGGGTAAGAAAGGGTGGAGAATGAATTGATTTTCTCTTTCAGTTTTCTTTATAAAGCAAGGGCCGGTCTGGTTTTGAAGGGCGTCGTCATTTTCTTATTTTGGTTGAGAAACCCGAATTACATTCGGATGATGTTTCTTGTCTCTCTCCTCTTTCCCCTTTAGTCTACTCTCCCCCTCCTCCCCCCTCCTTCCCTCCTCGCCTCCTCTTCCGTCCGTCCGTCCGTCCGTCATTACGAATCCGTTCAGCCTCGGGCGTACTGTCCCAAGAAAGCGAAGAAAGAGATCCTGGAAAAGGGATGGATGATCGTCATACGTCATCTTTTTCCAATCAGAAATACCTGATCGGGTGAAATGGAAATGAACCACGCTAGACTGACATGGCTCCACATGGGTATTTTAGGGTTCGGATATCATTTGCCGGCGGGATACTCGGCGGCTTGATTTTCTCTACCCTGAACTACATAGGCCTATACTGCCATTTCTGGCAATCAACACAGTCATGAGTCCACATCTCACATCTCATCTGTCGCTTGCCTGGTCAGGGATGCAGGAGGGATGTGTGATCACGGGCTTTAGGGCATGGAAAGCGACCAAACAATGATCAATGAGTAGCTAGTAGCATGCTACTTGAAGTCCTACTCGTAATACGGTAATCGTACATATACAAGCGTCACTCCGGCTACTACTTTACCCGTCTAACATAACCCGGTCTGCGGAATGTGAATCCACCCCCACTCAAGGTCCAAGACCCAAAGAACTGTACCTCTCCGCCCAACTCAACATCTCTTCCGAGCATTCTAGCCCATGGAGCTCCACTCGCGGATCACGGATATAACGACGGATGTAACGGACGATGTAGGGGACTGGCGACTGTCACCATCATACTGAAAGTGACACATTTGTAAGAGCATGAACTCTTCATGCTTAGATTGAGATCGATGTCAGTTTCACTTAGCCAATCTCCAAACGACCCAAGATCCGAACAATGTTCAAAACATCACCCCAAGACCCCGGTCAACCTTCATTGCCCATCAGACCGTTCCACATCTGATTATCAGCACTAGTCTCGTGTGTGTGCCATCTTCAAGGGAAGGGCGATGAGTCCGACCGGGGCGGAAAGACACATATGATCCTCCCTCGCCTGACACTCCAGGTATACAATATACAGTAGGCGCTCGCGTGTGAAACACAGACGATGAAAGGGTCGATGACTTGAACTCACCACAACACTCAGAGCTTCTCCAATCTTTCGTCTACCTTCTCCCTTGATCCTCTCCGCAAAGAACCCTTCTACTTCTCGTTTCCTCTTCTTTCCTTTTCCATTAATCACATCATCCACGACGACTTCCTGAGCGCCCTTTCCCACTCCATCATCGACGCCGGTACCCCGGATCTCACCCCCCACCTCCCTCGCTTGTTTCATAGCTCTCCACAAAGCCACAGGAGTATCATATTCATCCAAAACCGCTGATACTCTCTCCGCGCTTATCCCTTTGATACACAACAACATTCTACCCCACTGTTCCCTCAATGTCCTCGATGCGGACTTGTCATTCAAACTCTGATACGCTTCGAAACTTGTCAAATATTTTTGTCGCGGATAAGTCTTACGGAGATAATCTTGAAAAGTGGTGTAAGAAGAACGACTGATATATTTGGTAGGAAGGATTTTCAAATCATGTTGAAAGTGCATGGATGTCAAAAGATTGGTCATGGTAACGAGGAAATCGATGGTTTCGGATAATCGATGTGTTTCTTTCAAGAAAAACCCGGCGTGAACTTGTAATTGTGATTTAGCGGTGAGAATGGCAGGTCCATCATAAGCCATACGTTCGGCGACATTGTAATCTTCGACAATGTAAAATACCTGGGAAATGGCCGAATTTCCCAAACGAAACTAAAAACATTAGCACATTTCTAATCAATCTTAATTGCGCTTACACATTGCTCAGTATACCGACCATCTTTGATACTAGAACACAAGTCGTCAAGACGTTTTCTCTCCACTACATAATCCAAAACACATTCATCCGCTTCCCCTCCCCAACCGTCCCTCCGCCTGGCGATCCACAACATATCACCCAGCCTCAACGCCCGTTGCTCGACGTTTATACCCTTCTTGATGAGGGCTTCTGCAAATTCATCCCGACGAGTTTTCGACTCGACCTCCCGAGTGTCCAAGATCAAGACGATGTCGTATGACCCAGCAGGGAATGTTATGGCATCCGCTGGAGTGAAAGCTGGGACGGGATTAGTTAGCTTTTCCGAGGAGTCTGGAATGGCGGTCGGGGCAGGCATGTGCGAGGATAATCTAGGTGCTGGACGGTAGACTTGAGTGGATCGTGTCGACTTTAGTGAAGCGGTAGTTTGGCTTTGACCGGTGATTGTATTCCGATGGACGGTAGCTTCGGCTGCGAGAAGGGAGGAAGACTTAGGTACCGTAGTCACCGATGATGTAGGCCTGTCAATGACAGTCGACTTGTCCATGATGGGCAGAAAATCCTCGTCATCGCTGATACCTGCAGAATCGTCGTTAAGCGTCACAGCAGTGTTGCTTAGCCTCGGTGGAGATATGTCCTTGGTCATAGGAGCGTCTCCCGACAAGGAGAATGTAGAACATCTTGGCGGCGCAGTATCTTCTATGATGTAGCCATATAATGTTGCTTCCGTTCCATGTCGTACCCTAGCAGTGGTATCCACTATCCTAAGCTGAGCGGTAAAGGGGTGGTCTCTCTGATGAAATCGAAATTCGATCTTGCGGATATTGACGAATTCGTCGGGATCGAGACGAAGGAGCGCCTCGGACATGTCATGTACGCGGGACTCGAAGGCATCTTACTTTCAGCAGCTTTCTGAAGATGATATATATAGAGCGACTCACCGATATACCAAAACTCGAATTTTTCAGATGACTTCCTAGGAACGATCTTCTCCTTGTGAACGATGGACGGTCCTGAGGCCGTCGCTGAGTCGAGGGGTTTGTGGGATGTCGGCGCTTTGGACGATGATCCCACACGAGCAGGAGAGTGTAAAAAGGGATGTTTTTCCATGTGAGAGAACTCGGGTCGAAGGTTTCTCACGGCTAAGGCTACCTCACTGTGCGTTAGGTTTTCCGACCGTCACGCAATGTATCTTTTTGAAACATTTTTTCCCATGCTTCGACGCCATGAGACGGAAGAAGGATGAGGGGCTGTGATCAGGATCCACATGTCAAAGATTAACTCACTATCCCTCCTCTGTCAAACAATACTTGTGTGGATTTCCAGTGACATAAACATAACCTTTATTTACCAAAGTTTTCATACTGCTCCAAGCTGTGAAATGTGTTCCCTTGTCACTCCTCTCGTAGCTACTATCGCAGTATTCTTGAGCCGCATTCATCACCTCCCCTTTAGTGAGGAAAACCTGGGTTGATCGTCTAGGATCATCAATAGCAAGGATGAGAGCGAGAAGTATGCCATATCCCCCTGAACCAGGTTGAGGTACGTATACCTTAGGTTTGACAGGTTTCCGAGCTTTTTTAGAAGGCTGAGGATCTTGAGAGGGCGTGGGGACGGATTCATCTATTGATATGTCTGAGGGAGGAGTGGGGGCTCGGTTCTTCCCTGTCTTTCCTTGAAAGTCAATACGTATCGAATGAGTTTCCTTTATCGGTCTCACAAGGCTTTCAACTACGATAACGCCTTTGAAGCAAATGGTCAGATTGGTAGGATTGGCACAAGACAAACAACGAGGTAGTTACAATAACCGGGATGGTTTATTGAATGAATAGGAAGGAGACGCAGGTCGAGGATGAAAGTGAGATATAGTAAAGTATGAGATGAGTGAGAAGAAGACATTGAGAAGTAAAGAAAACTGACTTTGAGGAGTACCAGGTAAAGCTAAACCATTCTCCTCACAATGCACCTTCCACCGTTTCTCCAGCACACTGACTATTTTAGGTCCGATTCCTCTTAAACATACTAAATCTCTAGGTCTCGGATATGTGATAGGACAAGAAGCTAAAGATTTACATCCCTTGGCGAACGTCTCGCCGGATTTGAGGTTTTTACTTCTAGCTTCATCGCGCATCTCTGATGGTTAGACGTGAAGGGCCAACTTCCTTGATTGCGGACCCGTCTGAGTGGTCCTGTTTGGTACAAAAATGTGGTGATTGGAGGCAACGGGCATTATGCATTGGCACATCAAAAGGACGAAGGAGAAGGGGGGGAATGAGAGATCAGGATACCCATGATGACATTTTCTCTGAGGAATGAATTGTTCAAGTAAGCTAAGGGGAAGACACGCGTAACTGACCTTGCATCCAAGATAAAAACAAGGGGTTGCCGCATTGTATTTTTGGCGGCATTACAAGAAAACATGAAGGGATATGATATGATATTTGACAAAAAGTAGCGCGCAGCGGTGATAGTGATACAAGATGAGCAATTGAGATGAAGAGATAGAGAGGAGGGAAAGTCAAGTTTGACGGATGAGATTGGTTGACTGGACTGAACGCGTCAATCGAGAATTCTGACTTTTTTCCATCGCGCGGTGCGCGGTGCGATGGATGGTTGAGAATGCATGATGCATGGCGGGCAGAATACAGTGATACTACTTTGGACGACTACATGCAATGCTATATTAGATATACTATTAATCAACATACAACACATCCATCCTTCCCACCTTCACCTTTTCTCCTCGCAGCCTCTCGTTTTCCAATCAGCTCGGCGTACTTGAGCTGCGTGTCATCAGACGGTGAAACATGATGATGGGTTCAAGCTGCCCCAAGTAAGAGCCGCAGTCTCACCTCATCGGCCGGAGTGAGTAAACCTTTGTCGTGTCGAGTTTTGAGGGCTTGGATGGTGGATGAAAGTTCGTCTTTTGCTCGTCTGACCGTCAACTTTCTTTCTCACATCACTACCTCACAAACAAATGAACGTATCACATATAAAATGAGGGTGTGATAGGTTGAAACTCACTTCTCCACTTTAGAGTTGACAAAAGGCGCCTTTACATCTTGTCCAGCTCTCTTAAATGCAGCTGCTGCAGCCGCTGCTCGAGCGTCCAGCTGGGCGGAAATAGGAGTCGCCTGTTGGGCAGGGACAGCAGGAGTTGGTTTCGACGAAGGTGCGGTAGGCTGTGGTAGGAGACGGGAGATGGCGGATTTTGCGAATATGTTTGATGTGGGATTAGGTCTGAAGTTGTACGGTTGAGGGGTTGCGCTTCTGGATGAAGAGCCAGATGGGGCGCGACAGTTATGTGCAGTGGTGTATCGGTGAGATGGGCAGAATTGATGTCCGCAGCTCTAAAGGATTAGCTCTTCTTCACCCAACAGAAAAACCAATCGTCAAAAGAACCCAAGGAACATGTGTACCGAAATGAAGATGGAGTCAACGAAAAAAAGAATGGTGAGCTATAAGCTGAGACGGAATACTCACCTCACATGTCATCTTCACCACTAAAGATTTGTTGCATCCTTTTCTCCAACACACCTCTCCTCTTTCTTTTCTCAACCTTAATTCAGCCTTCCTTCTCATTTCCCCACCTTCCATCGCCACACAAGTACCCGAAAGGATATGTCGTTCTACAGCTTCGTTCGGATCGTGGGTTTTTGGTAATGGCACGTTCTCTTTGCAAAGGGGACATTGTGGCGCTATGCGGTCGATCATGGAAGGAGGGAGAGGGGCTGTACATGTGTGTTGTGAAGGAAGGAAGTGAGGTTGACAGAAAGATAAATGACATGCCGGGCACTGTGGGTGAGTACATAGCTATGATGACTTGTACGCTAGGTAGACCCATCACAAAGGGGTTAAAAGTGGCATGGGGCAACAAGAACATTCGTGTATGAGTTTTGAGAGGGGCGATATTGTTCGATAGGAAGATCAAGATCGACTCACTTCAAAAGGTAAAAAGTCATGCAAGTGACAAGCGGGATGATGACATTCTCCTCCTAAGAAAATCATCTCCTGTTTGCTCAGCGGATTGACCGTCATGATGGGTGATTGTTGATGTTCTCCCGATGTGACCTCCAAAATGTTTTCGATGTGCTATGATCTGAGGTGATTGAGTGGTAAGAATAGTCACAGCGACTTGTCAGTGGCGTCAAGATGAATAATATTTTATAGACAAAGTGAGAAAGATGAGAAGGATGAGAAGGATGACCAAGCGTCTTTTTTGGCTTTCGGTGGAAGGCTCTGGGATTCTACCCCGTCAGTTCAAAGTCACGTGATGTAATGTGATGTAATGGACGGAATCAAAAATGAGTCATCTCCGACTCCGACCTTTTGTGCTAAGCTGAAAGAAACCAAATTCAATCACTCAATCAATCATTCAAAGTCTACTTAAACTAGTTTCCAATCCTTTATAATGCCCACATAGCCCATCTTCTTCCAATTCATTCTCACAACTTTCAATACGATACATTCGTCTTTAATATAATATTCTCCATAATGAACTCTATATTTCGACCTTTTCCTTTACCACAAACTGGTCGACAATGGTTTTACCTCACCGTCTTACAGGGTGTCGGTGCAGGTGTAAGTCTCCTTTTTTTGGTTGATATGTGTTTGAGCTTCAGCTGATCGTTTAGCTGATAGATGGTGGTATCAACTTTGCTATCGCTTATGCCAGTGAGTCGCCTGACCTTCTATCGCGATTGTAGGTAGCTGACATGTAGTGTATCATAATCAAGATAACATTCGAGTTAGTCTTTACGTTCAATTTTCCCACGCCATCTTTTCGGTCATCTGTCTGTGATCCCTTGCTCTTCAATCTCACTCGTACTTTTTGAAGATTTTACTCGCATCCAGATGGAACATCGCACTGCAAAAACTGCACAGTATCATACGGTCTGACGGAGCATAGGAGATGGAAGAAGAAGAATTGTACACGGAAGAGAATTTCGAGCTGACCAACAGATGTGGGTGTTAAAACATAACACCATAGCCGGCGATCTCGGCGTCACACCCATCATACAATGTTTAGCTTCAATGCTCATCACTTCAACACTCGTTCACACTGATTTACATCATCGTGCCATTCAACCACTTCCTTTCGTTTATCCACATGTAGAATCTCTCCCTGATCCTCGTAAATTTTTCAAACCATCAGAATCCCAATCGAATGATTCAACTAGTAAACCTTCCAACCAAGAAAAACAAAGACCTTCATCTGGATTATCAACCCCTGATACACTCGTTGAACCTAATTCTCGTCCTGCCACCACCCAACTTTCCAATTCAGATGAAACATCTTCCAACTTGACGGATATCGTTTTAAATGTCAATAACATCAAAAAGGAAGATGGAAAATTTCGATATCATTTTTGGATGTTAGTTCGATTCATATTCGAAGGTACTGAGAAAAATATGCTTTTACATCGTACTTCTGTCAGAACTTGGTTTGGTAGATTATTCTGGACAGCAGGTCAAGGTGCTCTTATAGGAATCATATTCGGTTTTCCTATTTGGTGTTTGGCTATCATAATACTTGGACCTATTTACGGTAATGGGAATATAGGATCTAAATGGGCACCTCAAGTTATAAAATTGATTTATGGAGCTGTAGTTGGATGGATCACAAATCCTGTTATTGCGACTTTCGCTTTGGGTAGTCAAGCGGATCATCATCTCGTTATAGTTCCCAATTCCTCTGATGTTGAAAATCAAATCACCGATGTTATTCATCCTATTCCAGAAGAAGATGAGACTGTTCAAAATACCATCCCTCCCACGGTACAAACTCCAGGAGGATCTCCTAAAACTCTCAGAAGACCGATTTTGATGGGAAGTCTAAGTTCACCTTCAAAACCAAACAGTATAGGAATGAATGTGACAAAACGATCTCGAGCAGCTTCTGTGACTTCGACAAAACCACCTTTATGTGCAAACGTTTCTAATATTCCTTTGATACAATCATCTTTGGAAAGTCCCTCACGTCCGAGGTCGGGTACGAACAGGACAAATGCGTCGATTATCACTCCACCCTCTGCTTCAGTCGGTTCGATGTCTCGAGCGACGGGGGGAAGACCGAGGGGCGCGACCACATCTTCCGCCATCAGTCAGGGATCGTATTCTTATGCTTTGGGGGGAACAGGTGGAAGGGCTAAAAGAACCGGAAGGTCAAGAGCAGGGACGTTTGTCGATCAAGCGGAAGGACAAATACCTCAGACTGCTCCCGTTGGGGAACGGATGGACGGTGGGAATGATAATTTAAGTCTAGAAGAAGGAGGCTTAAGGAGTGCGCCAGTGGGTAATAGCAATACTCGACTGGCTGGGGAGAGAACACCAGTGTGGAATGTGTTTAGTGAGAGCAGTAAAGAGAAAGAGGCGATTACAGGGTCTTCATGAGGGATGAAAGGGTTGGAATAATGAATTTGTCGCTTCGAGGTTTATCATTTCGTATAATTAGCATTTAGTCGTATCATATTGTGCACAGTAGATCGTTTAATGACATTTCAAGACTATCTTCTGTATTTACAATTTCTCTTCAGCAATTCTCAAGCAGTCTGGCGGTGTGACTGATAATATTTGATGAGACCTGTGGTCTATTCGTCAGTTTCTTTCCAATGACATATCTTCAACCAATCACAGATTCCTCAACACGTAGTTCTGCAAAGTATCTGAGTGGATGAGGGAAGAACACAAAAGGGGATTAAGTGAACTATGATGATCATGGAAACGGAATGGCAACTCGACTGACCGAAGAATCATGTCCTACGACTTTACTCTCATCAGGGAGCTGTTTAAGAATCGCCTTGGCCAAAACTTTACCCAATTCAACACCCATCTGATCATAACTGTTGATACCCCAAATAGCACCTTGAACATGTATCTTGTGTTCGTATAAAGCGATAAGAGAACCCAGTGTGCCAGGTGTGAGTTTCTGGAAAAAGATGCTATTGGTAGGTTTGTTTCCTTCGAATATTTTCGATTTGACCAAAGCGGCGTTGGACGATTGAGCGCCTAATTCTTGAATGACTTGAGATTCGGTTTTACCGAATGCGAGGGCTCTGTACAGTCAGCTTGAACTCGTATTACGCTAAGGAATCAAAGGTCCGAAAGCAAGGACAGCTGCATTATGGGGATAACGTGGTCACAGGAAATAATGGGAAGACTCACTCTGGCTGAGCGAAGAAATTCGAGAGTAGGATCTCGTGATGAATCCCTCCAGATATGGGGTTGAGAGTTTCGACAGGTGCCAAGAAGTCACTTCAATATCAGCTACTATCACTGACGATAAGGGTTCACATACCAAGGGATGAGCTTTGTACCTTGGTGAATAAGCTGATAGAAAGCGTGTTGACCGTTGGTACCGCTCTGACCCCAGATGATAGGCTGATGGTTGTTAGTTTTGACAACTGCAAGTATGATGGAGGGGAAACTCACTCCGGTTTCGTAGTCCACTCGGGAGCCGTCTTTAGTCACGGATTTCCCATTAGACTCCATGTCTCCTTGTTGGAAGTAGTCTGCAAATTTCTTAAGATACTGGTCGTATGGCAGCAGTGCTTGTGTCTGTGCGCCTGAAAGTCAGTGACTTGCTGCCGTTTCACGTGGGGTCATCAGTGCACATATACCAATCAGATCAGTGTGATGATCAGAAGAGTAAAAGAGGATGAGATGAGAAGAAACGGATACGTAGAACACACCATAGAAGTCATTATACCAGATACCGATCAGAGCCATGACAACAGGCAAGTTTTCTTCCAATTTGGCAGTGGTGAAATGTTTGTCCATCTCATGAGCTCCCTTGAGCATTTCTGAGAAGTTGTCAAAGCCGATAGAGAGACAAATGGAGAGACCGATAGCAGACCAAAGGGAATATCGACCACCGACCCAATCCCAGAATTGGAACATGTTATCTTTGTCAATACCGAACGCAGTGACGCCGGCGGTGTTGGTGGACAAAGCGACGAAGTGTTTAGCTACGTGTGCTTGCTAGAAAATCAGCTCCTCTTCCTTTGTCGAATCATCTGCAACTGCAGATGCAGCCGAATGAAAGAGTCACTCACGTCTTTTGCGGTCACCAAGAACCATTCTTTGGCACTTTCAGCATTGGTGATAGTCTCCTGAGTGGTGAAGGTCTTGCTAGCAACAATGAAAATGGTAGTCTCGGGATCACACGCACGAAGGACTTCAGCCATGTCGGTTCCATCGATGTTAGAGACAAAGTAAGACTTGAGATCCCTTTTGGAATAATGCTTGAGAGCTTCACAAGCCATCACTGGTCCTAAATCACTACCACCGATACCGATGTTGACCACGGTATCAATTTTCTTTCCGGTATACCCTTTCCAAGATCCAGATCGAACGGCATCGGAAAACTCTTTCATGTGTTGAAGGACCCCATGGACTTCTGCAGCACCAGGTTCTGGGATATCCCAACCTCCATCGGAAACAGGAGGGTTACGAAGTGCGATATGTAGGACGGCTCTTCCCTCTGAAGTGTTGATGTGTTTCCCTGAAAACATATCATCTCGGAAAGCCTCGACTTGAGCCTCTCGTGCGAGATCAAATAAGGCCGAAAGGACCTCTTCATCAATCAAGTTCTTAGAGTAGTCAAGGAGGATCTCGACGGAAGGAGACGAGCTGGTGAAGGTTAACGAGTGCTTGGAGAACCTCTCTGGATCTGCAGCGAAGAGATCTTTTAAGATGAGAGAGGGTCTCTTGGTAGCGTAAAGGGTCTCGAGCTTTTTCCAAGCCGAGTATTCTGTATCGAGTCAGCTGCTGGAAAGAGAGTAAGAGGGATGGATGCCAGCGAAGAGTCATTCTCACAAGCAGAGGTGGAGAGAGACGGGAATGAAAACACTCACTTGTGGCCAGCTTTCCCTCCATGTTTATGATATGCCTATGTGGTATAATCCTTGAACAAATGTCGATGTTTGTTTGAGAAGAAGAGAATGGAGTGATGGAAGTGTGGGAAGGAATGACTAAAGCAACCCCCCAGTTCATCCAATCCTCCCACTTCCATCATACCACGTGGTCACTCCGGTCCGTACGGCCGCCTCCATAGTTTACGTAACCACCCACCGTCTGTCCTCAGCGCGCGGCAGCGAGTTGGCCAACATCATCCTCCAACTTTTGGAAGTGACTGGTGTACTAGTACTCTACTCACTCATAGCGGACACGACAGCCTCGGATTTCTCCCCCCCAACTATGTCTCCAGGCCCGTCATATGCCATGGGACCTCCCGTAAACCCATCATACTCATCCTTTCCTCGCAGATTTAGCTCATCAAATCCCTTGGCCTATGCCCCAAAAACACCCACAAACCTGTCCAAATCCTTCGCCCCTTCCTCCAGTACCGCCGATGGCTCTTCCGACGATGACATGACGGGTGCATTAGATGCGGATGACAACGTGGAAACTTACTATCTCAAACCTCCAACGTTCTCTAAGAAGACCAAAAAAGAATGGAAGAAGTCAGGAAGAGGAATGATGGCTGCTGTTTCCCCAACTGGGGGAGAGGTTGCCATATGGGTCACCAAAAAGGTCAACCATCCTACATATGCATATCTGAAGCTGATGTATAGACCGGAGATGATCCGAATAAACCCCTTTCATTGTCTGATCCTAGGATAACAATGCCGGACCGAACGGTGTACTTCGCATCACACACCTCAATTCCCAATCCAGTCGTCACCCTTTATACAGAGTCATATACTCTCTTCACTTCTCTACAAAGAATCGTAGCCTCTTCCATACGACTACCGTCGATAGGCGTAGGAGCCGAGGCATGGGATAAGAAGGGTAATCTGATAGGGATCGAAGGTCTCATGGGACCTCCGGCAGCGGAAACTATTGGACATATGAGAAGATTGGGAATGATGTATGTGGAAGAGCTCGCAAAGGTCCGTGAGGCGGAGGGGCTGGAAGTAAGTGTAACCATCTTCTGTTCGAAGTGCGATTGATCTCCAGATAGCAGTAAAGAGCCATTTCAGCGCGGTATTTTACGTCCTACAACTGGCCGTGATCCTGTATTTACCACCTGATGGAAGAGGGGAAGGTTTGTTAGGAGAAGAGCTGTTGGACTGGGTGAATGATGTGGATCCTGGCAAGTGATCATCAGAAGGGATGATGACAGGCTAACTCCCGTAGCACCCGACAACATCCAAGGACAGGAGATCATGCAGGTGAAAGAACCCTGGTCTCATCCCTCATTCTGGCCATATATCATTCGGTGTATCCTGCGAGGCTTTCATCTCCCTGCATCCTCATTTCTACGTACTTTATCATCTCACCGTCATCCGCCTATATCGAAACTCGGCATGTTACTCTCAACCCATCTCTCTCTTTTCCCACGCTCACATAACACCGCCGCATACCCATTAGATCATCAGTTCCTCACCGCTCATCGGAAATGGGTCGGTCGGTTCAAGGCCGAGCTGGCAGCGTTCATCGGGGGAAGACCAAAGGGTCAATGGTTAGAAGAAACATTGCCGGGAGGGTCAGTGGGTGAAACGGGCAAGTGGTCGTCTAACGAGAGAGATTTTAGAACCGTGATAGAATTGATGGAGGGAAAGCCGGACCGAGTGCTGGAAGAAAGTGCCGATTGGCGAGAAGCCGTTGGTGCATGGGGTATCTTAGTGGACGTGGGCTTAAGAAGAGATGATCTGCCGTTAGTTTTTCCCTATCTCACGAGACTCGAGGTCATGCGTTGACGCTTGTAGCGAGGTCACCGATAGGATATTAGCAAAAATACCGGCAGACTCGACAGTGTTGGATGATAATATTCAAGCCAGTCTCTGTTCAGGAGATATCGTCAAGGTGAGTCTCTCACGGGAGGTTATGGATGATGCTAATTGGATAGGCCCTCACTTCATGTCACGAGCTCGACGTATGGCTTGCAGCGCATTTGAGCGATATCTTTGACAAGCTGGTCATGATACCTGATGATGAAGAACGGTGCGTTGTTCTCTTCTCGTTGTAACCTCCCCACCAGACTCTTCCGTGAAACATCCCTTCGACGTCCTCCTTCATGCCTTTGACTATGATTTCTCCGGCTGATGCTGATGTACAACAGGTTTGATATGTCTTTACGAGATTACTTCCTTCTAGAATATACCGACCTCCTGCAAAATAATCCCAAACATCTCGCTTTCTGGCGTATCATCGCCGACTATCTTTCTGCTGCTGGCGATGAAGGACGATGTCGATTACGAGAGTTCATCCTGCATGTCAGCTTAGACAGTGACATCACACCTTCTCAAAAGCCTGACTCGGTTTCATCTATCGCTCCTGCTAATCAGATGGATGGAATGCAAGTAGAAGAGGTGGATCCGGTGGAAGAGCACTTACGCAAATTCGCCGAAATCAAAGAAGCTTGCGTCGAGCTCAAATTGGAGGAAGAGTGGCGGATAATCAGCGGCATTTTGGCTGATCGGTTGATGAGGAAGAAAGAATTTGGGTTGGCCGCTACAATGTGTTTGCAAGCTGAAGACGGGGGTTCTTTGTCCAGAATAGCAGAGATAATATTGGATACATATATCACCGATGGTCAGTAATTTTCATCTCTGGTGTAATTCCTGCTGAATATTTAAGGGGAAGAAGAATTCCTGAGATTAGTCGACACTCTTCCCCCTTCACTCCTTAATGACGCACCCCTCGCTTTGAAAGGTTTGGACGACGACTACGAACTGAATGGTGGTGGATTGGCCGTCTCCGTCTTCGCATCCCGTCTGATGTTCTTGGCCGAGTTCAGGGACTATTTGCTTTTCTTTGGACAAGGGGTGCGGGATCAAGCGGCTTCACGATTAGTGGGATTGTTGACTTCTGGTATCGCGCCAATACGTTTTTGGGCCGTTTTGCTCGTAGAAGCTATTCCATTGTTGGAAGGTGAGCACTTTCCCTTGTGCAATTAACACTTGATTCCGACTTGTCATTGACAGTTTTGACGGTTCTTACTGATGACAGACTCGGAGATACTATTCACTTCGAATGACACATTCGAGCTTTTGCGTGTACTGGAAGAAATCACTTCCAATTCGACATATGCGCCAACCGAGTACTTGGCCCAACTGGGTCAGCTCCTACTCCGTCTTTCCAGTGAGATCAAGTTATCTGGGAAAATGACCACGGAAATGAACGGTAGTTTGGACAATTCGAAAGGAATGATAAAGAAGACACAGGGTTCGGAGGATGGGATTTCATTAGCCATTAGGAAATTGGAGGAAGCTCGTTTAGCTTTGGCTCGTAATTTAGCCAGGGCTTTGGTAGTGGGGTTTGATGCCCCTTTTTAGCATTGATGCATATGACCAAAATGTGTAACGATTACTTTGAGGGTGTACATTGTGAATGTATACATTAGATACCAATGTTCGCTGAGGTATAGTATGAGTAGTTGTGGGAGATTGGGAAGAATGAGTCGCTTCATATGCCGTCACTGGCCAACTCATGTTTTCGTTTGATTTCGCTTGACTTTCTGCCTATCGACCATCTCATCTACTTTACCTCTTACACTCGTCCATCCTGGGATCTCTCACGCAAGCAGAGCAAACAAGAATACATACCAGCAGTATATACAAAGACAGATCAGCGCTGGTCGCTTGATCGTTGTTTCCCTCGCCTTGCGACAATTACAACCCCCCTCACCCTTTCTTTCCCTTTTGGCAATCGGCGCTTGGTCCGACCCTCAACAACTATCACATTTCTCCCAGTACGGTAATATAACTTAAACTGCTCACACGATCATACTCGCTCGTAGCATTCGAACGCATTAACCTCTCGATCTCTGATAACTTCCAGGTGAAGACAACATCCCATCCAGGTATTGTGATCAAACTGTCAAAGGCATCTCTCTCTTTCATCTTGAATATTCAAAGGTACCCGATCTCCTTCATTTCTTTTGCTCGAAAAACCTACCCACGTTACCCTTACCCCACAAGGGTAGTCTAAATCCTCGAGGCTCGACCGTTTTATTAGGGAAAAATCCAGATAAAAGTACTACAACATCATGTTTAGTGTTCCATCACCTGCTATCTCTCCTCTACCTTCATCTCTCACAGACCATACGCGTCTCAGGTCAAACTCTGCACATTCTTCACGTCCTCATCTCACACCTCTCACCACAGAAGGTCATCATCACGTTTCCAGAAGCATGTCTTCTGCTCAGGTTGACGATCATAGTCCACAAGAAAGATCAGATGTCGTCGCTGCTGTCAGAGGTCTTCGAGGTGATGGTAGCCCTGATTATTTTGGAAACACTTCACCGATAGAAGGTGTATATCAAAAGGGTCGTATGGTCGGATACAATGGACAAGAAAACAACGTCAGTCCTGTGAATCATAATGGGATGAGAGAGGATAATGGATATGGTCAATGGCATAGACATACTGAATCCAATGAGGAGACGGGGATATTAATAGTGGAAGAGGAAGGTGTAAAATTGACAACTTTACAAAAGTTAAATATGGCAATGGAAAAAAGTCCTGATAAAGGTGAAACGCTAGATGTTAGTAGATGTGATGTGGATAGGGTGGATGATGTCGATGTTGAGTTTCTGCGAACGGGTGGGAAGGAGAACAGGGCTATCGTGTGGAGGTGAGTATAGTTTGTTTTCTCTTTGAAATTCTACATTGCTCCCCGGTGCGCAATCTCATCATCTTTTAAAGAGGCAGCCGGATAAGATGAGGTGTGGATCAAACTAATGGCAGACTGTCAAGATTGGCATTATCATACAACGCTCTACGAGATGGTGCTATCGCTCATTCCTTCTCACGTCTCTCCATGCTCAGATATTTGAATTTGAAGGGGAATCAATTCACCCAGTTCCCGCCAGCCGTAAGTATATGTTCTTCGCTCATGCCTCCTCATAGTCTTGTGTATCGACACCCCGTCGACGAGAGATGATATTACCGCTTGCGTGCTTTTTGAGTCGCCCCCACTTACCGAAAGTCGCAGGCGGTGAACCGTCCCACATTCGTTATTGGTACACGAATCCGGTAACCCCACCCGGATGCGAGACATCAACTCTCGTGGAAATCTAATTTTTACCATCCGGACTTCGCACCCGAGAAAAGCGATGGCCTTGACTGATGGACAGCTCACGGACATGCTTTCGCTCGAGATTCTGGATTTGTCCAAAAATCGCCTCACGTCTTTTCCCGAGAATCCTGGTCGACTATCAAGATTGAAAGTTCTGTCGTTGACAAACAACAAGTTGTCCGTTCTTCCAGAGTATCTCGTGGAATTTGATAGTCTCAAAGTTTTCAAAGTGGGCCAAAACCCCATCGAGTGGCCGGTGAGTCATGTCAGCCAACGAAGCAACCTTATTCTCATTATCCCCATTCATAGTGATCAATTTTTACTTGAGACCTTCGACATTACACTAAATATTGTAGACCATTAGTAGAAGGAAGGCGCTGATGTGTCAGCCGAAAGAGATTCTAGGAGCCCTCGTGGAGCATGACATGGCTGGTGCCGATAGATCAGATACACGGAGAAGGAAAGACGAAGATTTGAGACCTTGGATCGCCAATATGAAATCATGGATGCGGTCGAAGGCTTCAGAAGGGAATAGATCATTGGCCAAGGGGAGGACTGAAGAGGATGCCTATCTGGCAGCATCAGAGTGAGCATTGGGTACCCATCTACCTTCTGCCCATTCACTGCCCTTAGCAGCCTCGTCTGATGATACTGTCTTCATTCACCGGATGTCGGTTGAGATTGTGCTGACAAATACAGAGAGGAACCTCTTAGCGCTTCATCCTTCAACATGACTGGCCGTTCATGGGCATCACCACCTACCATCATGAGTACTCAATCCTCCCAAGAGACCATCAAAAAACTCGCACCACTTAGTATTAATCAAGAAGATCAGTGGTCGTCTCAAAACCTCTCCCCGAATCAGACCAAGTATCCCTTAGGCCAGCGAAATTGGTCCGCCGGTACATCCGAAGACTCACTCATCCCCTCTCAATCGCCCAAAGCTTATCAGCGGCTCAAACCTTACTCTCATAATCGAGATGCATCTGTATCATCCGTCAACACTCCGCCCATCTCAGCCAGTACATCTTCCGTCACTCATTCCCGAAACTCATCCCTGACTCGAACTCCCACATCGGACCATCTCGCCATTCCTATTCCCGTGGGACACAATCGAGGTGCAAGTGATACAGCCACTCAACGATTGAGTGGTCAACTCACTGTGAAGAAGTCTCTTCCTGATTTGCGACAGAGTCACGCCAGAATCATACAAGAGAGAAGAATTGAGGTGTCCCAGATGCCTGATTCTGGTCCTTTGGGGTTAGGAATAGGATCGTCCACAATGTCCGGCTTCAAATCTCCAAGTTACACTCTGTCTGGGAATGTTGACGATGGGTCCACCTTGCGCAAATCCTCGACGGAGAATGAAAAGTCTCGCATCCTTTCACGTAAGCGTTCCGCAGACGTCCTTCGCCGTGGTCAACCAGATATGACTCCTGACCCCTCCAATGAACGCCGTAACTCTCAAGAAAATCCATTGGTGGATGAATCTCGAAATTCGTATTTCCGACGTATGAGCATGTTACCTTCATCCACCATCTCCAAGGCCATCCCTCCTGTCCTTTTGACCTTTGTCGACGCCATCCGGGGTATATTATTTGCTCTCTCTCAAGTCCATTCGGCTCTCAGGCAATATTTGTTGTTCGCAGTTAACGACCGAGTGGCCGGCATGTTTAGTCGGGTCATGGAACCTGCCAGTGGGTACATGACAAATCTTATCAATGCTTTGGATCGATTCGACTCACATTCTCGTCGGGGAACACCATCAGTCAACGTCATACGAAGTGTGATCGACAGTGCGAAAGAAAGTGTTGCCTTGTTCTCGAAAATTGTGTCAGTGTTGAAATTACAAGTCTCCGATTTAAGAGAAAACGATGTGAGATATACTCGAACCTTACTCCTCATGTTGTATGGTAGTATGGCAGAGGTGGCTAAAAGTTGGACGGCAATGGTACCTCTTATAAGAGATATACGTCCTTTGTTATTCACGTCAATCTCTGCGATAAATAAACTCCCTACAGTCTACAAAATCCCACCTGCCACTTCCCTTGGTGGAACGCCTATCTCTCCTATCATCGAAAGAAGAGAAGGCAACACTTCACCTTCTTTATTACGCAGTACTGGGAGTAGCGGAGCGCCTTCGTTGGAAAAAGTCCCTTCGAATCGTTCTCGTAGACAGGGAGGATCATTTTCGACTCAAGATGTGGAAAGGGGTATGTTGATGGCTTCTCCTACTCCACGCACTTCAGAATCTGATGTCATGTCATCATCAACTTCGGCCACTGGGTCTGGCACATATGTACGACATCGACCTTCTGCTTCAGCACAAGTGGTTCTGGACGATACGGCTGAATCAGAGGAAGAAGAAGAAGAAGAAGAGTTATCAGGACAAACAATATCTTCAAAACCTTACAAAGGTATAATACCTATCACACCACCCGAATTAGTTTATCCAGGTCCTTCTTCTTCAGATTCAACATCGCTCATCATGCCACCTCCAAAAATTTCACACCATCATCAATCATCATCTTCTGGATCTTCACATGCTTTATCATTATCCATCACTGGAACACACCATCCTCCTGGTGGTATTGGTGTTTCACGTAAATTATCAGTGGATGTACGACCCCCAACACCCACTTCGGCTACTTTATTCGACGAAGATTTACTTGACGTGTTGGAATCCGCCACCGATATAGCATATACAGTTTGGCTTCGATTAGCAGAAGAATTAGGATCATCATCACCAACTTATCATTCTCGTGGACATTTAAAAACTTCTTCTTCTTCTTCTTCTTCCACTTTATCCACCGAACCAATTGGTAAACAAGTATCATCACAACATTCAGAATTACTTTCTCTACTTGAACCAGCAGAAAAAATTACTACATCCCTTCGTCAAAACGTATTGACACTTCGAAGTGATCCTTCACCTCTTACGAATTATTCTCAAACTTCATTACCTGATGATGCTCAAACATTCATCAAAACAGTTGTAAAGATTACCGTTTTGGTCAAAACACTTTCTTCTCAACATACATTTTCAACAACCGTACGACAGAGTTGTTCTCGTTTAACTCAAGTAACACGTGAATGCGCTATACTCATGCAAGTATCTTCTTTAGGTCCGAGAAGAAATACGAGACCGGGAACTGCTAACGTGTTGGGATCTTTCCCTACTGGTATGAACGGTGGACGTTCTGGTGTTAGGATGGGAGCAAGTACGGAAGAATTATCATTATCAACACAATTACCTCAAAGTGCTGTTTATCCTTCTCACGGTTGGGCAGGTAGGATAGAAAGGAATAATAGTGTTGGAGGTTTAAGTTCTGTTAGTGGTGTAAGTTCTACAAGTGGGACCAACGGACTGAATGGATATAATGGTTATGGTGGGTATAACGGAATAAATACGAGTGCTGGTGGAGGGATGACGGGAGGGTTGAGAGGTTTAGCGTTACCTAATAAAATGGCATTGGGGAGAAGCAGAAGTGCTCAACCCGTTCCAACACATAATGGATGATTCAATAAAGTGTCAATTGTGTTTTTACCTTTCGAGTATGTAGTACGGAGTATTAATGACAAATTGCATGGTATTACATCTCTAACTACTACCGTATTGCAAAGGCTTCTCGCCAGCTGAAATATCCCACCTTCATCCAAATAAGTCGAGATCGAGGTTGAGATCAAGATCACTACTACTGTCACAACCAATCTCATCACTCTTCCTTCTGTCCAACATTTTTGTATCGGAAAAGAGCCCTTTCTCTACTTTGTTTATGATCCACTATCGGAATTGGATATCCCAATTTGTTGAATTCGTTTCTCGGCATGGAATGAAATGGATCGTGAACCGCTTTACCTTTAAGGTTTTTAAGTTCTGGGACCCAATATCGGATATAATCACCATTAGGATCACATTTCTGTGATTGGGTTAAAGTATTGAAGATTCGCTTTTGGTCAGTAAACGTCTGATTTAGTCTTGGAAACTTTTTTATTTGACTGGAAATATGGGGATGATTGTAAAGATGTTGAAAAGACTTACAAAATACGGTTGGGGATCCGTACCTGTCTATCAAAGTCAGCTGATTGACCACCTTTTGACTACTCGGCTATCGGCGAAAGTGAGTGACATTTTGGGGAGGACCGGGGGAACAAGGTGGAAGCATACAGGAAAAAAAAGATAACAAACACTTGCAGTCCATTGCCATCCTCCATTATTAGCGGCGAGATCACCATCGATAAAAGATTCCATAAAGTATTTCTCCCCCAATCCTGCCAATCAGCTTACGACTTGATATGACAAATCTGGAAAAACTCACGCCAATCTAGTAATAAAGATTTGACCAAGAAACAAGCAGAAACCATTCTGACACGATTCTCCATCCATCCTGTTTATAAGTTCACTGTTTCAATATTGACAAGTCTGGCGATCGTACTCGCATGACTTGGATTTTGGTGTGAGGCAACAGTGGATTTTTGAATCATAAACCAAGTGATCTCACTCACCTCTTGCCTTGCACGCTCTCATCGCCGCGTCCACTATTGGATATCCAGTTTTGCCGTCTTTCCATGCCTGAAGATTTTCTTCGTTGATCTCCCATTGTACGTCGGCAAACTTTTCCAGGAAAGGTCGTCCCATACTGACTCTTGGGCATCTGGCCATGACCTGCGAGTCAGTCGCCTGTCTAATCTCACAACTATTTTTGGCCATCATCACTCCTTACTGCTCTGACTTTCATGCAAGATAATAGTGAATAACACAAGTGGGGTAGGAACAAAAATCTCACATGGTTGTAAAAATCTCTCCATGAAACTTCTTGAACCCACATGCCAACTCCGGTATCCCGTCCACTCTCCAATCGTTTCCCCTTGCCCAATTTTGCAGCTTCGTTCAAAACCATTCTCCCGCTGATGACTCCCAAAGCGAGGTAAGGACTGAGCCTGGACGAGTTATCCCCGTCGACAAGGTTCCGACCGTCTTGATACTCCCTGACCCTAGAATGTTTGTCATCTTCCTCCGCCCCTTCTGTGAGCGGTGAGACTAGCTGAAACTGCTTCTTCCTAGCTTTGGTGTGGAGAAACCTGTCTAAGAGCTGGGCGTAAGCAACATATCCTTGACATAGGGTGAAAAGCGAAAAGCTGACCTGTCTCGCCGCATCGGTACCTTCAGGCCAGCACTCTTTCAAAAGGTGCTTATCTTCCGGAACAAAGTCTTTGATATCCTCCGGAACCGAAGTCGCGTCAAACAAATCTTTGAGGGGGCCTTGACGGACAGAAGGGTCATTTCCTTGCGGAAGGGGTGACACCTCTAACAGATTCGGTTCTTTTTCCAGCAACTTTGCCCATTGACGTTGCCAAGGACTACTGATCAGCTCACACGTCACGATCAATGACTGAAGCCACCTCACCTGAAGACAGACATGGGCTTTCCAGCTTGACTAGTGATCCTACCAGGCGGTACCACCAACCGATCATGAAAACACTCCACTTTGACGCCCTTCTCCTGACCGAACTTGACAGTGGCTATATCTCGTCTAAGTTCGTCGACTTCATATTCCAGGTTCACAAACAAATGATGGGATTTGAAAAGGGGCATCAAGTCGGTGATCACCCTACGAGGTATTTGCAGTCGACGATCAAAAGAAGTCATATAGAGAGGGATATTGAGCGCATCGAATTTGGGCTGTCGTTTCAGTTAACGTCACTAAAAAATAGAGTGATGGCCTAACCTTGAGATCTCTGAGGTTTCTGAGAAGGAAATCGATTTTCTTCGAACTGCGGTCGTGTATTTTCCATTCGCCCGGAGAGAGGATGTTGAGGACGACGAGTGGAAGGTGAAGTTGTTGAGCCTTTTGACTGGCCTTGTACAATGCGGTGTTGTCGTCGACTGTAGTATGAGCTTACAGACAAACCTTTCCTGACACTCATTCACGCATCACCCCGTGACGGGGACAAGGAAACAGCTGCCGGCGCGTCCTCTCTGAGTTTCATGTGAAGATCATATAAAGATCATAAGGAATATTACTCACTTCTCACATCTTCCATCCTCATCCAATAAACCACACTTTCGCCATTTGGAACTTCTTTCCCACCATGCTGAAGGAGCCTCATGAGTTGATCCAATGGAGGATCCTCGTCTACCTTTGCGGCAACTTCAGCCGTAGCGATCTTTCCCTCTGTGTCATTAGCATCATTTGGGCTCCATCACAGACGTGACTTACTGATCTCGTATGCGTTCTTGTGTTTCTTTGCATCCCTACCAGACACCCCACCACCTTCTGGTGAATGTTTTCTTTTGCCTCTATCCGGCTGTCCTTTCATATCTCCATTCTTACCCGCGTTCAACTGTGGTCCATGTTCCTTTTTCACGGTCTTCTCTTCTTCGTCCTCTTCCATAGCCACAGCCTTCCCTTGAGCCATGGCAGAGGCCCTTGACTTGTTCGCCGCCGCCATATCTTCTTCTTCGTGATGTAACTTGCGAAGATCTGGAGGAGATTGTTTTTCTTTGCCAAGACGGAAAGTTGAAAGCTGTCGTTGTCGGGGTCTCTCAGGTGAGAGGGTTATATTCTTTGAGTGTGGGTCAGTGAGTAAAGTGAGCTGAGGCATGAGAAGTCTGACAGCCCGTCGTGAAGTCGAATAAATGTGGGATAGACGAAAAGGAGACAACATGGTAAAATTGCCGATCGATGGGTGAGTACGTTTTTGATGATCGGAGTGACATCATCGATCGTAAACGAGGAACCAAACTTACGATTGCATAATCTAATCTTTTCTACTATCGCTACATGCTACATGCTTATCTCTCCTTGTGCATTGCTTGCCTTCTTTATATGATGAATAGATAGCGGTCTACTTGACTTTCATAACCTCATCCGCTGCTTGGGATGGTACCCGAGTGATCGTCCCACTCGTAGAGTCGTCCGCTCGCTGCCCAAGCCGGGCACCATTCACCACCTCCGGGTGAGGAGGTGGCAGGGTTGTATCTGTTTTTTCCGCATTCTCGGCCGTTCCATAGGTGTTGGGTGCTTCGACACTACCCATCAGTTCCAGGCATGGGGTCTAGCGGATCAGGGCTTACTCTGCAACGCCTCCGTGGATATCATATCGGTCCGTCATGACTTGGATCTGGTGATCCGTGAGTTTGGGCAGCTCGGCCGCAATCAATGTGGGCCGTCTTTCCCTGTAGAGTTAACCATTGGTATGATGAATCAGCGTGCTGGACCTACGTGAGATACGCATGGGCGTGAATGATATCAATTTCCTCAAGGCTTCTCCCTGTCGTATCCGGGTAAAGATAAAAAATGAAAGGCAGGAATATGACATTGGCGATGGCGAAGATCAGGAAGGTGTATGATCCGATAGAAGCCGTCATTGTGGGCAATACCTGGACGACCAAAAAGTTTGACAACCAATTGGTCTGTCACAATATCAGCCGAACATCCGAGGGTGGTGAGAAGGCACATGGACTCACCATGGTACTGATGGCATTCGCTTCAGTCCTCACTGCCATCGAGTTGAGCTCAGCTGGGTAAAGCCACGGAAGGGGAAGCCATGTTGCTCCGAAGACCGCGATGAAGAGGTACAAACCGAAAGCTGCTCCTTTGGCAGATTGACGTCCCCCGCTTACCAGACAGCCAAAAGTGATGAACATAGCTGTAGCCTGACCCACCGTACCGGCCAAGAAGAGCTTGCGTCGACCGACCCTTTCCACGAGGAAGAATGATGACATTGCGAAGATGGCGTATACAGTCGACAAGACTCCTCCGAGCACCAAAGACAAACGAGGCTCGAGTCCGATCTGATTCTCGAATAGTATGGTAGAGAAGTAGATGACGGCGTTGCATCCACCTTTATAAGTTAGTTCATCAGAAAGCTCACACTAAACTCACCAAGTTGCTGAAACAGTTGGGTAGAGGCACCCACGAGGGCTCGGCGAAGGTGTTGTTGTTTACCGGACTTCAGGATATCACGTCTGTTAGAGGTGAGAACAGTACGCTGGGCGGTAAGTGCATCGGTAACTCATGGTCAGCGCCAAGTCATATCATATTGACGAAGATGAGACTAAGTATTGAGAGTACGGAAAGTTCCAAGGAGGCGTTGGACGGATATAGGACAGCCCAAGACTTACTTCTGTCCTTCTCTGTGATGGCCAAGGGATCTTCCACAGAGGTGGCGCTGAGAGCCGCAATAACTCGTAAACCCTCGGCGTGTTGTCCATGAGCGATTAGCCACCTCGGACTGTCATATAAGCCTTCTTCCACTCCCATGACTTGAGAAGTTTACCTTTCTGGAAGTACCGAGACGCCCCCGAGAAGGATGAGAGCGAAGACGATCTGGAAAGCAATTGGAAACCTCCAGGAGACGGAACTCTGCTCGGTAAGCGACGATTCAGCTCACCACCTCGACGCGCAGTCAAATTGACAAGGGAATTCACTCACTTTCACACTGAATATCAGCTTTCATCACCTGTTTATGTAGAAGTAAGACGCACTAGGAAAGCCCGAAATCTTCCCAGTATGCTAGACAAGTACCTAGGGACACCGTTGATGCTTCCATACAAATGAGGAACCCTCGGTTATGGGCTTTGGTCGTCTCTGCCAGCCAACTGGGTATGGTAGCTGTGTTCATGCCGTTGCCTATAGGGTCAGTGATACCATTCACTAGTCTCGCTCAGTGATTCTCAAAGGCTGCAGAAGACTCGTCGAGGATTGTCTTTTACTGAAAGAGCACCCACCGATACCTGTGATAACCCGGGATAGGATGAATTGTACGAAACCTCCCACATTCCCAGTCCCATTGGAAGAACCAGGACCAAAGCTAGTGACCGACAGAACGGTTCCGATGATCATGATGACAGCTCCTAGCAGCATGACCTTTCTACGACCCATACGTTCACCGAAGAAGTATGCAAAGAGAGCGCCGAAGAAACATCCCACTTCGTAAACACTTGTGACGGTTCCTTGGACTGTACCAGCGTGAACATCGGAAGGGGATGATTGGTGTGTCTGGACGTTATTAGCGTTGTACTCAGCTGAAGGATACTCCGACTCCAGGGATGTGCGAAAAAGAGTGATATTACTTACAGCTGGAAATTCGGTATTGAATTGTTCACTAGCAATGATCCCAGACATCAAACCTGAGAATCAGTCTCCAGCATATTCAAACTCAGAAGAGATTTACCTTGATCATAACCGAATAAGCTGAAACCACATGTTGCGATACCTACAACACAGTATAAGAGTGAATTCCCGTTCAGTCCTGCGTACTTGATCAATTGTCCGGTTGTGGGGGTGAATCGTTTCTCGGAGTCAGACATGATGATGTTATGAAATGGGTAATTGGAGTCAGTGATAGTCAATGATAGTGAGAAGATGAAAAGAAGAGAGGCAAGACTCGGTCAGTTGCGATACATATATACATATACTTGATGGACGAGATCGGCGGAGGTTCAGCGATCGTGAGCAGAAACTTACGCCTCAACATGTCACCAGAAAATTTTCGGTCTCTGATCTTTCATGCTTCTCCCTCTAATCAACTTCAACAGGTGACATAGTCTATCAGGGTGTGGTTCTGACTGACGTGGACGACTGAGGTCAGCGGCTCGTCAGAGAGGGATCCCGAGGGCCGAGGAAGACGGAATGAACATGAGGTGGACAAGTGGGTTTTTAAAGAGGGTGCTTGGGAATGCTCCGGATGACGTGACAAGGACCCTGAGAGATGGACGAGGTCTCCGTTGTTGCCGCCGGCATTGGTGGTCTTTTACGGTACCACATGCGCTACACAAATAGGAGGGGAGGAGAGGACAGCAAGGGGCATATATTCAGAGAGTTGGGATAGAGGTGCGAGATTGGATAAATCTTAGCACACGGCATTTTTTCCCCTCTAACCCGTCTTACGGCCGTAACATTCCGGTACTTAACACATCTCATATGTACAGTATGCATCCAGGATCATACAAGCATGTCATTATAAACCCTCTCAGAACCGCTGTTTCATCCTTGCACCCACCGTCTTGAGGTGTGCATATACCTTGCCTGCACGACGTCAGCGCAGATTGACCAGTCAAACACGAACGTCAAGACATACCCGGCGGAGATCCAAGAATCAGAGACACTACGGCGTCGCGAGCAATTTTTATATTTTGTACAGAACCCAGAATATGGATATTTCTGAACGCTGATCAGCTTTTCAACAAGGGAAGGTGATGACGACTTACGTGTCTGCGAGAACTATACGAGTGCGAGATGCATTTTCGATGGTGAATTTGACTTTACCACCTTCTCCAGCTATACGACCTGATATCTCAGTGGAGTTCTCTTGTATGCGGTGGAAAAAAACTATCACCCCTCCCTCAAACATTTTTCACAGCCTCGATCCCAAGAGAATAATGAAAATTGAGATAACACGGATGAGGCGACTAGACCAGGGGATGGAGATAGAGGAAGATGATATCTTACCTATAGCCCGGGATAAATGATCCCCATGGAGAGTCTTGACATCTTTAATCTCGAAAGAGTCCAAATACAGATCATCCAATCTCAGAAGAGCAATAGCGTCGTTGACGTCAAACCCAAGAGCATACGCTTTGACAAAGTCGGCACCTTTTTGAACAGCACCGCTGTCTACGGTATGTCCGGAAGTCTAAGATGAGCACAGAAGACTCATGTGACAGGTAAAAGAAAAGCCTCACTTTCAACTCCACAGCTCTTCTCTTCACGTTCATCCTCACTTGAAGCCCGAGCATCTCTACTAGCGGGGTGTAGATATTGACCCAATCTCGTTTGAGCGGACTGAGTCTGTGAGGAGGTATGGCCACACGTCGAAACTCATTTTTCAGAACAGTTGATTGAGCGGCATTTGATAGAGGTTGAAAACCTGAAGACGAAGCCTGGACAGTGGAGGGAAGAGTGGAAGTCGATGTGGATGGATCGATCACAGGAGCAGAGGTGATCATGACATTTCCGTCGTCGTCGTCGTCTACATCCATCGACGAGGGGGGTTGTGGTGTTTTCGAAGATGAAGAAGAGGAAAGAGGTTGAACCAATGAGATGACTGGTTGTTCTTCCAGCTGAGCCTTGAGGGCCTTTTGACGATGAGATTTGTGAGCCATCTTCGTCTGGTGATCTGTTGCAGGTGATGAGGTATGGGGGCTATTGGGATGGTTAAGCTATGACGGGGGGGGATACAGATAAGTACAGCGATACAGCGATGGGGTAGTGAGAAGTGAGCAAAATCCAACTTTTCTACAATACACGTGTACTTTTTACTAACAAAACGTTATCACTCACTGTGTTATCTCGAGATTCCTCTCCTACTTAACAATTCACTCTGTATAACTTACCTGTTCCACCTCTTTCTTTGTCCTTCTCTCGTTTGTCTCACTTGTCACGGTGACAAACCCTTCCTCTCCAATGCCCCCTCATCCCAGGAACTCACAAAACACTCGTTCTCAGCATTCTCCATACTTTATAAAGCCTCCTTCCAAGGGATCACAGAACTCTCTTCTTCCATCCTCACTCGACCGTCCACAACCTCTCGATATCAAGATCAACGACAATCACATCTATAGGTCTGCATCTCAAAGTGATAACGAACGTAAGAAAAGAAGAAAAGACAAGAAGAGAAAACCTTCCATCACCACCGAATCCGCCATTCACAGGGCTCACGATTTGGCCATGCTAGGGTACACGCAACGTGTCTCCCAACAATCCCCTAGACCAGCCCGAATGATATCGGACACTCGAAACAAACCTTCCACTCCCCCTTCACCAGGAATAAACAAATCGAAGTCGGATGATCATCGAGTGCAGATCCTTCAGCGCAAGTTCGAGCTTTCTTCTCGTGAAGCCAAGAGAAGGGAGGAAGAGTTGGAAGAGACCATCACGAGGTTAGAGAGTAAACTCGCAGCTCAAACGCAAGAAGTAGAAGCGGCCAGAAAAGATGGGGAGAAACATCGACAGCAAGCTGCAGAGCATGCAAAGGTGAGTGTCGCCACCATCCACTCGTAAGGATCAAACAGTCACGATCAAATGTTGATGAACAGACTATTGAGGAACACGTCGCCACCAAAGATTCTCTTAAAGAAGCGATAACGGAAGCAGCTTCATGTCTTATCTGTTGTGATACTCTCAAGGATCCTCATATCCTCTCATGCGGCCACATAGCCTGTAAAGGATGGTACGTCAACTCATATTGGCTGATGATCCTTTCCACGTCTCGTCTTCGGTCTTCTCGTCAAATCCCCCAATAAATGGGATATAGGGCTAATTTGTAGTCTTCAAACCTGGTTCCGTAGTTCTGGAGCTTACATTCACGGTCTACCAGACGATGTTCGACCTGAGCTCGATCTTTCCTATCGGTCCAAAGTCTGTCATGTCTGTCGTACCTCCATTATCCGTCGTCCTACTCGGCTTTACGTGCTCGGTGACTTACTTCAACCTGTCGGTATTCAAGTCAACCTCCCTGCGGCTTCTCAAGAACCTGCGGATCCGTGGCAACTCACCTTTCCCCGCGACCGCGAGAATTACCGAATGTACGATTCAGCCGATGGAGTTTATCGCTGTCCTGAATGCATGGGAGAGATCGACGGTGATTATTGTCACACCTGCGATGCCAAGTTCAGCACCGATGAGGAAGGAGGAATGGAAGGTGATTTTGATGGTATGACAGACGAAGATTCTCTTGGATTTCCCGAGGAATTGAGAATAGGATCAGAAGAGGAATACCCGATGAATGACATAGAAGCCTTTGAGGCTCCTTTGAACAGGTGGGCGCAAGATGAAGTCGATTGGTCCGATGATGACGAGGAATATGAGGATAGTTTCATTGATGATGGTGAGATAGAGTCGGAAAGGGAGATGCCTGATAGTGGAGGGAGTGATGCTGCGAGTCATGCGGGTGAACCCAGTGCTGGTGGTAGTGTGAAGGACGATTCTGATGGTGCGAGCGTGAGGGACAATGATTCTGAAGAAGAGAATCTTAGTGACGAGATTATCCAATTGCCCCGTCAACGAGCGAGGGCACTCATACAGCAGATAGGGGCGAGGAGGGCCATGCAGAGACAGCGTGAGCGGTGAGTACTCAATATTCCGCTGTGTTATCTCTGTTTGCTCTTCCCTGCTCTACTTGATTGTTGTTCGCCGATGGTAGGATGAGCTGACGAACAGCATCAGCTCTAGTCCAGAAGCACCCATTGCGGCTCCTGCCCCTCGTCGTGGTCGTGGTCGGGGTCGCGCCGTCAATCAAGTCGGATGGTAGATCCATCCGACAACTCTATCATGGTTTATCGTGTCATACAAGCATCACGAAGCTTTCAACTAGCTTCAACATGAAAGAGATGGAAGAACACTTTTTAAGATGTAAGGGGATGAAGTAGTATATTGCTTTGCCAGGGGCAATTGCAGATGAGGTGTATACGTAGAGACCGTTCATGAATAAACCATGTATGTAAATTCAATATATGAAATTCCAAACTCAAGTCATTCTGATCCAGGAATTATAATCTGCTCTTCAAGTTGCGTGGGTGATCCTCGTCCCGAGAAATTTTGACGAGTCTGTATTTCAGCTTGAATCTCCATAAAGGTAAAAAGAAAGGTGAGAATCTTCCAACCCACGTTTTACCGAGATTTTCACCTCTGAACATTTGCTCCAATGCTTCCACACAACGACTTAAACCGTTCTGTCCCTCTACAGGATAAAGGACGGTGTAATCGTATCTCAATTTACCGATGTTCCTGAGGGAAGAGAGATACGCCCTTGCTTCGGGATAACGAGAGGCATAATCGAAAGTGATAAAGCCGGTCATGGATGCTTTGGAAGAAATGAGATTAGGAGTGTTTGTTAAACCATAAGGACTTTGAGAGCTGTCAATGAGTGAGTTGTGGTGAATATGGAAAGAAAAGAGGTGACATACTTGTAAGTCGTCAAAGATCCACAGAGGATTATTCGAGCATGATCTGCTAATTGTGTCAAGACCTGGTCCAGTATCTCTCCTCCGACTGAACGTTAGCCTCTGTCAATTACTTCAACTCCAACTCCATGTTCAAATTATCCATCCCGAAGGATTGCATGATACTCAAGTCTGTTTTTTAGAATATTCATGCGTTGGGTGCGTAGTGATGATTCGTCTAGATAGATGAAAGCGATGATCGATGAACATACCATTATCAAAATAAACGTCGATTAACCCAACTTGTTTCAATCTAGTTTTGAAATTCCCGTCTTTGTGATTAAGAACCTCATGACATCCAAGTTTTTTCAATAGATCACACTTTTCCACGGAACCAGCAATAGCGATTACTTTGCAGCGAAGATGAGCCAAAGCGATTTGAGTGGCTATGAGCCCTACTGAACCTGCCGCAGCTGATATCAAGACAGTATCACCATCTCGAAGACGACCGATATCGAACATTCCCTTTATGTCAGTGAGATATCTTCAAAAGTTGTTTTATAAAGGTGAAATATAAGTCGTAGGATACTCACAAAGTAGGCTGTTAAACCTGAGGAAATCAGCAAGGTTTGACTAATCAAATGAAACCTGGACCAGAGGGAGTAAACTACGCGAAGCTTTGAGGGGGTGGCAAGAGGTTCGAGAGTCAACTCACCAGATACTCCCAACAAACCCAGATGATCTATATCTCGTCCTCCTTGAGGAATTCTATGAATCATTAGTTGAAGAGTTACCAAAATATTACAGTACTCAAGTACAAGCTGCGTAACTCACTCTCGACGTTTAACACTTTTAGATGACCCTTGCCAATATTCTTGCCATCCAAGTTCGCCAAAAACCTCAACAGGATCAGTGACACTTGTCCCTTTAGTTTGGGAAAAATTCAAAAGAGAACTTACTAGATCTCCTTCTGAAAATCCATCGGCCTTGCTGGTGACAACTCTTCCAATACCAGCTGCACGCATGACCGCCCCGACTTGCACCGGCGGAATGTAAGATCTGCCAGGGTTGAGCCAAGTTCTCATGGTCGGGTCCTTGATGTCAGTCAATTATTTACGGATATCGGATGAGCATGGTTGATAAGAATACTTTAATGAAGAGAGAAGGATAGCTAGATCCTGACGAGATAAAGACACGCACGATGGAAACATAGTCGACCCTGACCCTTACCTCACCGTTGGAGAGCTCTTGCAGCTTCTTGGATCGCCTCTGAAACGTCGTTTTCGTTATCGGTCCTCTTTCAGGACGTTCATATAAAACCAGGCTTTCGTTGTGTTCATTCTTGAGTAGGGACATGATGAACAGAGGGTTCGCTCAGTCTAACATGTACGTTCATAGAGATCTTGGTGGACAGACCGGGTAAACCGGCAAAGAAGGAACGAGTGATAAGCTTACTGGTACGATATGCCACGTCATCACAGTTTGAACCATCTCAAAAGTCTTGTTCCTACTCTTTTTGTCGTTTCGACGTTCAACATGGTGAGTGCAACTCTAGATCAATGACCTTGACCCTTGCTGACAAGACTAGAAACCCATAATCTTACAGGGTGAGCGAGATCCCCCTACTGTACTGTTGTCATCCCCCGGTACCCTTCATCTCACATATCCAGCAATTCAACGACAGCTCGGGGGCCCAAAGGAAGCCTTGATGCACTTGTGTTTTGGGAGGGCTGACGTGTATAGGCCATGAGCGAGCCCTTACTCAGATCGTGTACAACGCAGAAGGTGACTTGCTATTTTCTGCCAGTAAAGACAACATCATCAATGTCTGGTTCACTTCCAACGGCGAACGATTAGGGACTTACAACGGTCACAATGGTAGTGTGTGGTCAGTAGCTTGTGATTGTGAGACTTCTCTCATCCCTGCTCAAGAACATCTATCTGATGTATAGCTCAAACAAAATATCTACTATCAGGTGCAGCAGATAATACCATGAAATTATGGGAGGTATCGACTGGGAAATGTCTCAAAACTTGGGAATACCGGACGGCGGTGAAGCGTGTGGCGTGGAAGTTAGTCTTTACCAGCTTCCATGACCATATCTCAGGAGGTCATGTTCCTTGGTCTGAGCCTAGCTGACAGATATAGTGCGGATGATGATTTGATTCTGAGTATCACCGAGCAGAGACAAGGACAACCGTCCGTCATCCGGTAAATTCTTCGTTCAAGGTCGTAAACATCAACTGATGGTTTAGGATATATCGGATTGATCGTGAAGCTGGGTCTAGTCGTAAGCTTCACTTCACCCTGAAATTTTCCTTTTCCTTATTGTTCATGATTTCATGTCTCGATCAAGAACCTGTTATGAGGTCTATGGTCACTATTACGGATGTCTGACAGATAGAAAGCGACACCCCTCTCAAAGAAATTATCCTGACTGGTTCCAAAGCTACCGTTGCAGTCTTCTCCCCCCTTTCCGACTTTGTCATCACTGGTCATGAGAATGGAAAAGTAGCTAAATACGATATCAAAACTGGAGAGGAAGTCAAATCTGTTTCACCCGAGGATGGTGAAGGACATCGAGCAGAGATTACGGACATGCAATTGAGTCCTGATGGTACCTATCTCATCACCTCGAGTAAGGATAAGACAGCGAGAGTGAGTTTTACCACCACAATGCTCTCAAAGAAACTTCGATTTGATCGCTTTACGACCGTATCATGCTTCAACTCCCTCCATTGAAAGAACCTTCGCTCCCAGACTGTTGATTGATTGCTAAGAGAGACTGGCCTCAACATGCGGATGTTGGATCTGACCTCACAGATATTTGACTCCCTTAACATCGAGGAGATGAAGGTCTACGTCACGGAAACACCTCTCAACAGCGCATGCATCACTCCGGTAAGACCGTATGTGATCTTGGGTGGTGGGCAGGATGCGATGAGTGTCACGACAACCTCTCAGCGTGCGGGAAAGTTCGAGAGCAGGTTCTGGCACAAGATTTTCGAGGAAGAGGTTGGACGAGTACGGGGGCATTTGTACGTTCACTGTTCTCATCCTCCCTCGTTCATTTCCCGCCGACCCTCTTTGTTGGCAGCTTTCCACCATCCTCACCGACTCTCAAGAAGTATCTCCCAGAGTCACCGAGTTACTTCTTAGGCAAGGTTTTGTATATTCCGCGAGGTGCAAATATGGAGAAGAGATATGTTGACCACTCAGCGGTCCTATCAACACCCTGAGCGTTCATCCCGGTGGAAAAGGTTACGCCTCTGGTTCGGAAGATGGCTTCGTTCGTGTACACTGGTTTGACGATTCATATTTCAAAAGTCGACCTTTCGGTGATCTCGAGCCTGATCTGGAGATCTGAGTAATGTCGACCTAGCATTTTGATACATGGGTGCATAGGTGCACATGGATGAATCTGATTTGCATGTCTCACGCAATGTCATCCTCGCGGTTTCGCCTTTCTCCCAACATCAACCCCTGATTAGCACGGGACTGAGGTATACTGTGCAAGTACGCGAATTATACAGATGCATCCTCATGAGACGCCAGCTGTAGCTTTTCGGGATTGATACTCTAACATTTCACGATCCCGTATGACTTTCAAGTCTGCTTTCCGTTCCGCCAGTAATTCTCGTCTGAGGATCAGCCATGTGGATCCGGCATCGGGCGAGGGCAAAGTTGACTTTGCAAAGATTACAGAAGAGGGAAGAAAAAACCTCACTGTCTTTTCTCAAGTTCGAAAGCACCCCATCCTACTAATCCAAAAGCCGCCGTGGCGTATAGATGTCCCAAAGGAGCTGATAGGTCAGTGACTTGATATTTCTTTCGATACCTCCACTTCCTCGTCTATTTATAAATTGAAATATCATCCTTGAACATCCTGTCATGGCACATAGTAGCAGGCTCAGTTCGCACTGTCTTCGACAGACATGAAGGTCGTTGATGGAATCAGGGAGAAGGGAGGAGGGATTGGAGAGATGGTGCGGTAAACTTACCTTCAAACATGTATCGTTTTTGTAATCCCAGTTGAAAACATCTCGCACCGAATCCAAAAGCTGCGAATCCGGCTACACTCGATAATAGAGACATTTCGAGGACGTATGGTAGGTAGGATTGCAGCATGCAGCCAATTGTTGGAGGAAAAGCAATCGACTTTATTGAGAAACAGGTGGAAAGAAGGAGTGCCACATGTCGGAATTTGCGAAAATTCCGATAAGACCTGTGGGAGCCAAGGTTTAATGGCCAATCGTCCAATGGCTGCTCGCACTTTTACAGCACCAATCCACCGCATACGAAGATGAGACCAAGTTCCGTTGTTCAGAGTGGGATGCCAGGGGGTGAGTATATATATCTTTCGTATGAGATGAAAAGCTGATATGTGCTAGGAAAGGCTTATGTGAGTGATCATTAAACACCTGGATTCACATCCTACCGGGATTACTCGAGTTCTGCCTGGAGGAAAGTTGGAAGTGTCGAGAATGAAGAGCACGAAGCTTGCATCATTCTTTGAGAATGTATTGGATAATAGGTTGAAAAGAAGAGGGAAGAGTCGACACAACATGCTTTTGGGGTAGATCATATGGATGCCGGATGTCAATTTGGAGAATTGATGTTTCATTGGTGGAGATACCCGCCAAGATGGAGTGACTGACAATTAGATGGGATGGTGGGGTGATATGGGTGGACCAAAACAAAAAGGTGTTATCCAATATTGTGAGTTGTCAAGCTCATGTTGGTCGAAACTCGCTGACTGTCGACCTCTTTTTTGCTGATTACACTTTTCTCTTCACATCCACGATACATCTTTGCTTCATCCAATTTGCCCTTCTCACATGAACACTTCGGTATGGTTTATCAAATGTTGTCCCTTCGTAGCTCTCTCTCCCTTTCGTCAGCGCGCTACGGCGGGTATGTTGACCGGATACTTATTCAACGGATTTTCGAGGATTATGGCACAGGTACCATACTTTGTCCCACCTTTTGCCATTGGTGAGTTTTGACTTTGTCTCATCTTATCACTGTAGCATCACCTTCATCAGAATCTATTCATCTCATGCTAGCGACCATAGAGATGTCGGGGAGTATCGATGATGACTTGGAAATGCGATACAAGTCAAGCCGAGCATCGGGACAGGAGCTGACGGGCAGGTTATGGCGTTTATATTTGGGGCAAAACTAGGTCAGTCTAGTTTATCAAGATATTTGATTGTAGCTGATATACAGATATGAATGGAATAATTCGAAAGAGGGTCATCATCAACTGTCGATGGAACATGAGGGAGGGCATTAGAGGAGTTGATATGATGCATTTTTCAAATCACCCGTCTAGTTAGACCGACGGAATGGTCGGTGGCGTTCGTGATGACTTTGAAACCCACTGAATCGACTTGCATACTATGACCGTTTGGATCTCTGGCAGAGCGAGATGACGTATCGAGACCTTACCGTGCATGACTAATCATCTTGGACAGACATGATATGGTAAAGAGAGAAGATGGAGGAAAGATAGAACAGACTACTCAAATGAATGTTTGGTTCTCGCCGCTTTCGTCCAACCCTCGTTGCAGTTTCCTCCCCTCTCTCCATTTCACCTCTTCTTCCTTTCTCTTCCCATTTCTACCCCCATCTGATCACTTAACCCCCGTTCTTCCATCTTATATCAATCTGTTCGACCACCATGGCAGCAACATCCAATCATATAACTTCCGTCGCACCCCCCGAAGGCATCATCACATCTGTCGTCCCCAACTCGCCGCCAGTTTACGATGCGCCTCAAAATGGAGCCAACCAACAACTACTCAGCAGACTCAACCTAGATCTAAGAGGTACATTGTTTCCTGTGGATAGGGAACAACTCATGTTACTTCCTGAAAGTGTTTTATTAGGTTTATTCCCACAAGGTTTGATATTGAGTAAACCTGCAAGTTCAGAGGGCGCCGATGATGGGATTTTCACCGTTGACGTGAGTTTTCAAACAATAATTCAATCACTCTTTTTCTTTCCATCGTTCATCACAATCATCATCCTAATTCCATACCATACCATATCAAAACATACCATACCACTGTGAAAACTGATGAGGTGCATGATATCTCGTAGTGAGGACAATCTATTGATGAACCAGTTTGACCCACAATGTTTTCAATACATTCTTGACTTTTGGGCAACAGCACAGACATCATTTTACGGAACCCCAACCACCCCAGGATATTTCCACGCTCAACAAACCATGTGTCAATCCGATCCTGCATTAGATCAACAATCCAATCCTCTTTTATCGAAACAAGCCATAATCGTACTTCGTGAAGAATTGGAATATTTCAGTATCACCAAACCCGGTGCTGAAGCTAGGACGAATATGATGACGGGTTTGGCGAATGAAGAATTACGAGCATTAAGACGTAATTGTGGAAAAGCTTTGGTTAAAAAACGTAGAATATTCACTGCTTTACAAAGAAATGTAAATAAGGAAAATAATCAAGCGGAACAACATTTGATCGATATGCTTTGTATGAGGTGAGGTTTGAGTATTACCTTTCTTCATCCCATCTCTTCTGTCACACCGTTTTTTCAATAAAATCCATCAATCAAAATGTTATCCTTTCTAGTTGACAAGTGTCGAAAGATAAACCGTGATAGATTTACTGACAATTTCTAGTGGGTTTGAAAGAGATGACGAATGGGGTTTTAGGGCATGTGAACCTGCTAGAAATGTCATTTCATCAATGGCTCTGGTATTACTTAAAACAGGTATAATTCATCCTACTCCACCTGATGCTCCACCGGAACAATCTCAAGCTCCTTATATCGATTTAGACCAAATCAACACTGCTCAAAAATTACTCTTGTTCTGGAGGAAACCGGCGGTACGTTTTTGTTTATCATTCTACCTTGCGAAAATCCACTTCCTCTACCCAAGCCTTCACTGTGTGAGAGAAAGTGATACTGATCAATCAGCGTAAATGTTGGTGGGACGGAATCGAAGTTGAAGTTCCAGCGTCTTTGAAATCGAAAGGAGAGATGATGAAGGTCAAAGTGTGGGCGAGAAGGGTGTGGACTTTGGAGTTGTCTTTGGTGAGTTCAATTTTCATCGTGTACTTCTTTACACTTCGGTTTTAATCGTGAATGCTACGACGATGTGATATGACGTACTGATTGACAGATTTGAAAATCTGATTTTGTTGTAATTGCCTTCACATGCATCGATATACCCCCTACATCGTATCCACTATCGTATCCATACAGCCAGTGCACAACCTCCAGTGTCAAATTTCTACCAAATGACATGTACGATCAGTACGAGTACCCATAACTCTCATCTTCGGATTCAAATTCACTCGGAACGTGAATGCGTATCTGATACTACAACAGAAAGAAAAAGCCACAAGTGGTCGTCGATCGTCGACTGCCTGTGCGCTGTTGGCATAACTGTAGACATATTCGATGTGCTGAGGTAATGTCCTTCACACAAAAAGAATAATGCCATGCTTGATGTCTACTAACACATAGAAAAACAGATTTGTTCAATTGTCCAATTCCCTACACTATCATCACCATCACCATCAATCCCATCGTCAACAAGATACGAATCTGTCCACCCAACGTCATCACCTTGACCTGACTAGCTCCTGAATTCTTCCCACTAGCTGAAGGACTAGCCGAACTTGAAGTCCCACTTGAAGTCGTTGTCTGATTCGCCAATCCTTGTTCCACCAACCAATTTGGTACACTGCCAACTCTAGGTTCATAACTCGCTGGTTGGGTGGTATTATCTTTTCCATCCCAACACCATCTATCAAAACATTTTTGACATACCGAACTTCTATTTTGACTGGTATATCCAAATGATCTATCGGATAAAGCACAAGCTAAACATTGTGGCCATTCTCGGACAGTACCATTTAAAGTCAAACTTCTTAAACCATTTAAGACTAATTGAGTCGCAGTTGAATTATCATATTGTAATTGAAGTGTTGAATAATTAGCAGGTGTACTCCAAGGGTATGATGGAACGTAAATTATTATAGGAGAGGAAAGTTCTGTATCGTTACAACCGAAGAAAACTGGTCTAGTGTTTAATTCACCGTTGATAAAACCGTTTGTTGATGGTACAGGTGGCATACGAAGGTTGGGAGAGGAATCTGAGGTGTGAATCATTGCACTTTGATATGTCACTACTAGTGAAGAACCATTAGGCCATGAATAAGGTGTATCGGCAGATGAATCGAATGCCAAGATAGCATCGACTGCTCTTTCGGGGATGAGAAGAGGTTCGACAGGTATATTTCGATTATCTTCCCCTCCATCAACAAGGGTTATATATTGTGAATCCGCATTCTTCTGTCAGCTCTGATTCACTACAGTACGCTTGCAGCCCATTCCCACGATTCGGGGGAGGATACCTCAACACATGCCAACGAATCATCCAGGGGAAGAAAAGGAGGGGGAGGGGGGGGGGGGGGGAAGCAGCTAGAGGGTGTAGAAGAAAACTCACGGGGTTGTTCGAAGCGTTCCAGTTGGCGAATGGATTGGGATACAATGCAACATCGTTATCAGCATCACCCAAGGCCTCCGAGATGGCCGTCGCAGCATCGACGACCACAGAGCTGGCATTGGCAGAGTCTAATTCAATGATGGCGTTATTGAAAAGTGTGGAAGAAGTACCCATGACGAAACTGCTATTTAGTCATGCTCTTACATCATGCTAGAAGTCCTATCAGTCATGGTATGAATGACAACAACAGATGAGATGAGAAGAAAGCCATCACGCATTAAATAAGTATACTCACGAGAGCTGGTCAAATCCTTTGAAGCAAGTGGTATCGTTTGGTTGCCCATTGTCCAACGAACTACCAAGATATTCAATAGATGTGAAGGCACCCACAGTCTTGGAAGTGTTACCCCAAGACCAACTACCAAATTCGTACGGTGTGAACTCATAGACGGTCGAATTCTCAGGAATGACAGTGGTTCCGGGTGCACGTCTATCGTCTCAGCTACTCCAATCGCTTCCGTAATGTGTGAAAGTTATGATACTGTGGCAGCAGGGCGAAACCTAGGAAGAGATATTTCACAGGGAATTGAAAGACCACTCACTCAACAGATATGATTATAGGCATGGGTAAAGATGCGTTGGCGTAGGCAGGAACAACAGCGGGTAATTGAGCAAAAGTGACATTGGGGCTTGTGTCCAACCTGTATTGAGGTGGTAAAAGATGATTCCCAAGTGCTAAAGCCCATAAATCGGTGATTTGCGTTTGAAAACCTGTACCCTGTTTTGCGTTGACTTCTGAAACCAAGTCGTAGTAGAAAGTCAACTTGTCATCGGAAGGTACGACCAAGTCCGAGGCGAGATTCCAAACCTTCCTCATTAGCGAAAACTCGATTTCAAAAGTAATACTGTATGTCCCGGGAAATACCTAATATCTCATGGGACATTCGGTTGATCCCCTCTCACAACAGTCTTTCAATGGAACGATGAAGGTAGCTATGGGTTCAATATTGTGGAGGGCAGAAAAGGCACATGGGAAGGCTGAGGGGAAAAATCTCACATCGTTGACAAGATCTGTCGGTAATCTACCCCCGTTGATCATGAAACTTCCAGTGGCCCAAGAGCCTCCACTCAACCCAGCCATGTAAGCCATTCCGTCCAGCCATCCTCCCAGTCCAGAAGTAGCAGACTCGGGGTAATTCGCCATAAGGGCTTGAACCATACCGCTCCCGACCCTGTTAGTCAGTATGCTACAAAAAGTCTGCGCAGTTTACTGGATCCCACACAAACTGGTCCCGCAATCATCCGTCTAGCTTCGGCTCGGTGCAGTTGTCATTCTTATCATCTGCGCCTTTCGTTCTATCAGAGCAAGTGTAAAAAACCAGTGGGGGAGTTGCTGAAGAAAAACTCACTGCATGGCCCTATACCCTCCTCCTGATAGCGCAACTCCTAGAATTGGCAACCTCGGAGGTGATGTGAGGTTGACTTTGCTCAACATGCTGTTGATAGCGGGTTGGGTCACTTGTTTGCGTTGTTGTAAAAAAGCTGCCTCTCCTGAACCAATTCCCTGCATGTCAATTGTGGCCGATAAGGACCCATGGTATAGAGAAAGATGTCTAAGGGTGAAGAGCTGATGGTCGTACAAGCAGAATCTTACTCACATCGGCAGGCCTTATCCATTGAAAATTATCCGGGCAAGATACTCTGTACGGCGCATAATCAGAGCCACCAAACGGAAGTTGCCTAGCCCCAGGCAAGGCGCCCAACGCTCGACGCACATCGTTCAATGATTCCAAAGCGATCTTCCTCTTGATATTATCATTGAGGTGAATACCTAAGCAAGGAGACAAAAGGAGTAATATGGGTAATACGATATTCGAGATCATCACGAGACTTGCCACCGAAATGAGAAGTTGATAGGGGTGGATTGGTCGTGACACAGTAGAACCAAGATGGGAAAAACAAGAGACAGAGACCGCTCCTTTATGTCATTCCATTCAAGCTGTGCTCGAGACGCCTTGTAGCGGTGATATAGCCAGTCGAGGAAAGAGTACCTAGTAGTGCAAAGTCGAAAATCACAGCTAGACCTAGTGGTTGTTAGGTGAATTTAAACTAGAAGTAAGTAGTTGCGGTGAAGCAGTGACCGACGTGGCCGATCAGCCGGCGGCCGAAAGCGTCTCGTCCCCCCGCAGCCACGCACACGATGATTGGACTTTTGGGTGGATGGAGGGAGCATGTTCGGTACCTCGAGGGGAGGGAGGGGGGTTATGTGCATGCAGGTCACAGCGGGTGCCAAGGGTGGCTGTATGTGCATGATGTAGACAGGGGATGCAGGCTGCAGGGGAGATATGCGACGATCGACGGACGGATGGATGGGCGGTTTCTCGGACTTGGCGTCGGCGATCCATGCACTTTACCTAGCCGAGCTCATTTGCTTCCGCCCCTCCAGCACCCACGCCCACCACTCGGTCTCGCCTAAGACGATTGAAAGCTCCTAGGCCACTCATGCATGTCATGTTCATGTTCACATGTATTCATCTGCACAGATGACCGTGGCAGGCGTTCATAACACATGAAGCAAGTGCATGCAGGGCAGGGATGGGGTTCGATCCTAAGTGTACGCGCAGTCCGCGGGGCCCCGCTTGAGCCTCAACTCCGTACGAATTTTTGGTCGTCTCTTTCTTTCCATCATCTTCAAGCAGTATGAGATTGGACGCTACCGATCTTCGCTATATAACCAACGACGAGTTCAAGGTTCTCACAGCTGTAAGTCACCTCCATGTCGCTTTTACTTACCATTCTCAAGCGCTCGAGGGACCTGGCTGACGGCGCTTAGGTCGAAGTGGGCTCAAGGGATCATGAAGTCGTGCCCACCTCTTCCATCGCGGAGATTTCCGGACTTAGAGGAGGTAACGTCAACAAGGCTTTATCTGATTTAGCAAAGAGAAATCTAGTAGCGAGGGTCCAAGGCGCCAAATGTGAGTATCAACATCATCTTCTTAAGGCCAGAGAAACAGTTAGCTGAGTTCAAACAGATGAAGGTTTTCGTCTCACTTATGGTGGACTGGATTACCTGGCTCTTCGAACTTTCTCCAGAAGAAAACCGCCATCGGTCTATGCTGTCGGCCAGAAGATAGGAGTTGGTAAAGAGTCAGATATTCACGTCGTGGTGGATGAATCAGATCACCGGAGAGTTTTGAAAATGCATCGGTGAGTTTGAGCTCATTTTTCGATTCGGAATGTCTGAGATAGATCACCTTTACAATCCACTCGATACGAGCATTGTGTAAACATGATGTACGGCGATGACGACCATCAAGCGAGGTGGGCATTGTGATGCGGAAGAATTATTGTCCAGTACCAATTCGAGGAAGGATAATCAGCCATATGGCAACAGAGGAAAAACCTTTTTATTCGTTCATCTCCCACTGACTTGACAGACTCGGGAGAATATCATTTCGACAAGTGAAGAGTAAACGTGACTACCTGGGAAATCGAACATCGGCTTCATGGATGCAGCTCAGTCGTCTGGCCGCTCAAAAGGAATTCGCTTTCATGAAAGTATGTCATGTCAGAACATCGACTTCAAGGACTGACGTGTTAGGTTTTGCATGCTAATGACTTTCCTGTACCGGTCCCTATTGATCAAGTCCGACATTGTATCGTCATGTCTCTCATTGATGGATACCCATTGTGAGTGTCACCATTCCTTTCGCATCATTTGAGTATAATTCCACCCTACGAGCGTCTGGATCACCCATACATAGTCGCCTTAGAGATATAGCGATGACCGGAAAACATATTTGTGTGTCATCGATGAGGTGAACCAAACTAATGCCAGACGTCAAATCCAAGCCGTTGAATCGCCTTCGGATCTGTACGCGAAGCTCATGGAGTTGATCGTCCGACTAGCAAACCATGGTCTCATCCACGGTGATTTCAACGAGTTTAATATCATCGTCAAGAAAGATGGTGAGCCAGTTGTGATTGATTTCCCTCAAATGGTCAGTACGCGACATCGAAATGCTGAGTAGTGAGTGTCTTCATCTTTCAATCTACATATCTCCTTTTCCCTCCATCTCCAAATCCTCCCTGTGTCTACTTCAATCATTCCTCCCGAAGAGCCATTTTACGAAGTCATTCGTGACTCATCAACGGATACTTGAATGTATCATGTATGTGCTGACGAAAGCTTTTTCAATCGTGATGTCAATTGTATCCGTCGGTATTTCCGACGTCGATACAAATATGAAGGATTATCTTGGCCCACTTGGGCAGATGTTTTGGCAAATCAGGACGACACTTCTACATCTTTCGAGCAAGTAGGACCAGAAGGTGCTTCTGAACCTACCCAGGGAGAAGTACAAGGATCTGCAAACAATACCACCGGGCTCGCAAGTACAAGCCGAGGGAACAATAAGAGACTTGATTTAGAAGTGGAAGCCAGTGGATTTGGTGGCACGTTAGCTAGAGAATTGGAGGATGTGAGTTTAGCTCATTCCCAAACTTGGAAAGTACTGATAGTCAGCATATGATACGCATGATGGATGTACCTGAACAAGATAATAGTGATGATGATGAAGACAGTGACTTTGAAGAGGAAGAGGATGAGGAAGAGGAAGAGGTAGTCGAAATTGACGAAGATCAAAAGGAGGAAGATACTACATTTGACGAAGATCATTTCCAGAGACAATTGGCGATCAAATTAGAAAGAATGCGATTGAATAAAGCTCTAGGTAATGATGTGAATGAGGAACTGTACACAAATCTCGGTGGTCAAATGTCTGGAGAATTGGAATACAATGGTATTCCAAGGGAAGAACAAGTCAGAGATGTTGGTAGTGAAGGAAATGAAGGAGAATCAGATGAAGAAAATTCAATCGCTATCTCAGATGAAACACCCGTTTCAGAGTATCCTACCGGGACACGAAAACGGGATGCTCAACATAGGATCAATTTGAAAACATCATCACGAGACGAGGTGCAAGCTGCTATTCGGGCCGAAGTGGGGAAACATCGTAGTAAAGAAGAAAGAAAACATCATTCACGTAAAGCTCCTGTGAAGGCTGGTAATGTTAAGGGACATAAATGGAAACAGAGTACTGGACATTTGGTGGAGAAGAACGGCGGATGGTAGATTCCATTTCCGTTTTTTGTTTGAGACTGAGAACGGATAGATTGTACTATACTCGTACTTTCATACTTCGTGGACAAACACAGATTGCATCAGATCATAATTCCTCAATGTACATCATTTCATATTCCTCCATTTCTCATTCTGGTCAATTCATGTTCGGACTAATCGTCGATCGTCATAATTTGCAGTACGAGTAGTGTTAACTTAATATTCGAACCATTTGATAGGTTCTCCAGTGACGAAGACTGCACCGTGTTCCTCGCCGGGACGGGTGTCGATAGAATGGAATGTTGTCTTTCCACCAGCACCAGCTTTGTGGCATCGGACTTTGAGTGAGCTTATGACAAAACAAGGTGGAGAAAGAGAAGAAAATCAGGATAGACCAGTTGAGTGAAGATTACACCATCCAAGCCAAAGGATACTGTTTGAGTGGTCCATCGCCTGCCTGACCAGACAAGCTATGAAGGCAAGCTATGGAGGAAGATGACAAGTTTTGGTAGTGATTGTCACTCGAAGTAACTAGATGACTCACCATGAATGCTCTTTCCTGCCTCTATCTCAATCTCACCGATATAATCAATTCCCATAGGACGATGAACTTTGAAGAAACGTTTCGGGTGGTAATACTTGCCGTTAGTTTTCAAGTCCCCATTGGACATACCGAACTACGAACCGACATGATGAGTGTGGGGTAAATGTTAATATAAACTCACCGAAATACCTTTGTTCACTCCACCTTCCACTACAAGATCAAGAGCAGCGACCTCTTTAAGTCCATGTCGGACATCTTCGCTGTGAGTCAGTCCAAATCCTTGTATAGGACGAATAGTGGCTTTGCCCGACATATGTCATCGGTGTACAAGGTTGATACTCCAAAACCATCACTCGACTGTCTCAAAGGGATTGGTTTTGAAGGGGAAGCCGATGCTTGTAATGAGATGGTGAGGTGAGTAAGAAGGAATAAGAGAAAAGATAAACTCACACGGCAAGTTTATTAAGTTTGACCAAAATCTCATGTCTAACTTCTTCATCTTCAAAAACTGATAAACCATCAGAGTCCATTTTGATTATATCGCTGACTTGTGCGTCGGGTGGTAGGTCCACTCGATGATCATGATCATGTTCATGTTCGTTTGAGACTTGTTCTGTTCCATAGCCGACAGCATTGACTGCTGCAGAAGCTATATTCTGAGCATGAGTAGTTGCGATGTTGGCTGCGGAAGTAGCTGCGTCCTGAATGTCAGTGGATAAGTGGGACACAGCTTTGAAACAGAAATCCGTGATGAGCATTCCAAGTCAGACTCATAGCTTACCTATGTGAGGAACGGCCCCTCCGTCGCACACAACCACAGAAAGAGGAGAGGGTAGAGAAAGTCACTTACGACGACAGATTGCATGTTGATATTCTTTCTTAACTAGGTATACGTGGTCTGAGATAAGTACTCGAGTATGGTAAGTTGTAGTAAAGAGTTATGACAAAGGGATGTGAGCGAGTTGATTTCAACGTGGAAGAACGCACTGATCTCTTGGCCGGAACGTCGATGATGTCATCGCCACCCTACTAACAACCACTGCCTTTCCCATACTTACATAAAAACACCAAGAACACATGCAACTCTTACTCTATGCCCTCACTACCACCCTCTCCTATAAACGAGGTACAGCAATGACCACAGAAGTACAAAGCAGAAAGCTGCACCTACTGCGTCGCTCATGAAGACACCGTTCTCGAGAAACTTCCCCCGTTGATCGTGCCCATTAAGCAGCTGAGTAGTTAATCGAGCGTTTCAGGACGGTATAAAATCGCGGGTTCACTATCCGGTCTCTTCTCCAGAGGTTCACACCTCCTCAGCTGTCTCACCCTCACCAAAGTAACTTCATCTCACCTTGGAACGCCCATCATCACTCATCCTTGTACATATACCGTTCATCCACTAGTCCCCATTGCCCGTAGTATGGTCAGAACTATCTATGAGTTGTTTGGTAAATGGTGGAAGGGGAAGCATTGTCTGACGGCTGACGGCTGGATGGAAGTGATGATGACATGACAAGTCATCAGTCAAGCCGGCTGAGATCAGTGACAAATGTCGAGGGAAACGCGGAGAAAGATTGAACTGTGGAATGGCTTCAGCGCTAGTCAATCACCATTTGTTCCGCCAAAGAGTCAAAGCACATTACATTCACTACCACCCCCTCAAGCCACTCAGTAGCATTGTATTAGACGTCAGTGGTGATCAGTTTCAAATCAGCCTAAACGCATCATAACAAGGGCCATGACATGAAATGCTAGGAAGACCAAGGCGCCTTCCAACCCTCGCTCGTCCCGCCGCTCAGTTCGTTCGTAATGCTTTTATGTGCGGTCATGAGATCTGTACATCAGTCCGACGCTGACGGATCCCATATCTACCTCACGAAGCCATCCTAAACAGCACTGATAGAGTTTGAGGTCTTCCATTGCGAAGGAAAACGTGGAAGAGAAAGACAAACTCACAATCTGTGTAACTTAATGCGTCATTGTTGCTGTCCTCCACTAATTGATTTGCAAACTCAATCTCCATCCCATCCATATTCTGCCTAACTATGATCACCTGTAAACTATGCCCGGCCAAACGTTCCAGGTGAGTGAGAATATTGCGTACTTGCGTCGAAAGCAGCGTGGGCAGTTTCGGTAATCGAGTCATCCGTGGATCCAACTCTTCGAGAGCTTCGACGGCATATAGATCATCAATGATTTGTGGGGATACCGAAGCGCCGAACCAGATCATGGCTGACTCTCCGTTACCTACCCGTTAGCCGAGCACGGCAAGTAGTACAAGAGCTGGAGGTGATCATGCTCATGCCCGATCCGGCACTCTTTCAAACCATTTTGCATCTAATCGTGGAAAAAGTTGGGATTTAGTGGACATAGGAAGATCAGGGAAACGCGATATCATAATCGAAACAACAACGGAGGCGCATATGGGAAGTCATTGCCCCACACAAATTGCAGGGATGGTGGAAGCATGGAATGACATTCAGAGTGATCTGGGAGATACAGTCACCACTCACTCAACAGATAAGCTCCTTCAGCTACCATATACGCGTAACTTGCTCGCATGAACGCAGGCATCCTCAGACGGCCGTTCGGACCAAGGAATCCGGCGTCAGGTGAGAGATCATGAATAGCTAAAAGCCGTGGGTATAGAAGGTTCATTGTGTTGATAACCGAGAGGGACGAGAATACCCGCATATAATGCGCTCGAACGTCGGAAGTCACATTGCCACCTGATGGTGAGCCTTTCTTTCGCTCCAGAGAAAACGAGCCAGCACCGCGCAGAAAACCACTGGCAACTTCGGAGTGAGGACACAGAACGGGCAGGGGGAAGGAAAGAGAGTGACATACCCTTCAGAGGTTTGGACTTCAACATGCAAAGGGTATACAGGGGTAAAAGCTTGAAGCCTTCTGGCAGTATGAGCTGGACTCAGCTCGTACATTATTGAAGAGTATGTCTATCACTCACTTGCCCTGCCGCGACCGCCGGTGCGCAGTGACGGCGGTACATATATAACACGCGATTGCATCGATCGGTCAAGGCCTTCCTGATGTCTCTCAAGCCTTTCGATGGCATTTGAGAAACGGCTTCACGTCAGCCATGATTTCAGGAAAGAGAAAAGGGAACCGATAGACAGTACAAGTGGGGAGATGGAAGTGAGACTGTGTACTTACCATCTTTCATGAAAAGTGTCACGCTGGCGTCCAAGTCGGCGAAGCGAAAGACGTTGCCGATCAAAGCAGTCATGGCCAAGCTCAGATTTAAACATCTCACTCTCCTCTCACCATTTGCACTCGTGTACAGCACTGCTACCTGCACGTATGCCATGCTCCTCTCGTCCAGCTTATGACCATCGTGCCTCAGTACAGCCGCAAATGCTTTGGCGTCATCGATCGTTCCGAACTCGAGATCAGTCAAAGACCTCTGATAAAAGTTACCGATGTGGTCGGCGACACGCAGACCGGTACTGCACCGAATCCGTACCGTGGCATTGTAGACGGTTTCACGGGTACACACTCGTTTGAGTTCGTCTTGCAGCGTCTCCCGATCTCTCACGGGGGAGAATTTGGGATGAAAGAAAGCTTCTCCACCGGTGACTGAACACAGAGTTCCAACTGACGCGACATCGATATACTGCTGAGGGAAGAAGAACACGTTACAGCCCACCCCCGCTTCGGCAAGTTCTTCAGACGTGTTTCGCCAGAATGGATCCGCAGATGTGAACAATGTGCGCTCTTTATCGGTGTTCTGAACGGTGGGGTCTTCTCGTCGGTCGAGCTTGCCGGGGCCGAGTGTAGGAAGGGAGGCGAGAAAGAGGTTGATTTGGCCGCCCCGCATGCGTAAGCCTGCTAAAGCTCCTCTGACAGCGGCTCCCGCGGCCGGCTGGTTCCCTTCAGGCTGAGACCCGGCGATGCTAGGCAGAAGATCTAAGAGTGACTCGATTTGAGTTCTTTGGCGTCAGCTCGGTTTCTCAGCAAGACCAACACGCACCGCGAGTGTCGCGGAGATACCAGAAAACCATCGATGAGAGGCACAAACATGTCGTCCAAGTCACTCACAACCATCAATGAGGGGGCAGGAAGACTCGGCTAGTAGATTAGCTCGCAGTTCCTGAGTCTCATATGCTCACTGACCGAAAGGTTCCAAAAGCCCACAGACTCTGCAAAGCTCACGATGGCCACCTGCTCCTCATCTCCAATGACTCCTTCATCCGCCTCCGTTTCGTCACCATTACTGTCTTCTGACCGTCTCTGTCCGTACAAAGCTCGCCTGATTCCGTCACAGACTTCTCTGACGACGCCGTTCTGTGCACTTGGCCCCGTCACATCAACCACGAAGACTCGCCCAAGCGGTCTGGGTCGCCTCACTGATCGTTCATCCGCCCCTTTTTTCTTATGTCCATGAGCCGGGCTGGGTTGTCTGAGCGCAGATTGCCCCAAGCTATTCTGCAATCCTCCCAGGAGGTCCACTGCGGTGGTAGCAAGAGCGTCACCGGCCGACGCGAGGTTGGCGGCCGAATTATCTACAGCCGTGTCCAACAACGATCCCAATGCCTGCTCCGACCAATACTCTTGCGGCACAGCGAAGTCAACAGTGCCGTGCAACAGCTCTGGACGTTCATCGTGATCCAATCGCTGCCCGCTGGGGGATAAGTGACAGAAGTAAGCATCGGGCACTGATCTGTCAGTTAAGTTACTTTCGTTCATTGCAAGTAATCACTGACGGGGGTTGATCGCCGAACAAAGATTGCAGGTCCACTTCCTCCCTCCTTCGACCCATCGAACATGTGGGTTGATGTACGCTCGGCACTTGTCGCATCTGGGTGGACCAATATTATCGCCTTGCTGCGAAGTTGCGAATGCGCTCTGTCCGACTGTCCAATTGGAAACCAATGGCACCGGCGCCTCGTCGTATCTCAACGGAGCAAAAGGTTGCACGATCAATCCAAGAGGTAAGGCGGTCGTCTCGAGTAATTGGCTGTTGGTGGGTATGCTCAAGAGCGTCGGCCGTAAGTGCCGGGGTAGGGAATTGCCCTGGTCGATTCCTCGCCAGTCGGTACCAGACAGAGGCATCAGTCCACGAGGGTCGCAGCTCAAGAAGTCGTCGTCATCGTACAGATTCTGATCAAGCTCTTGAGCCTCTACAGGGTTGGGCACCTGCTCCGGATCTATGCGTTTACGGGGGCCAGTGATGGCAGGCCCGAAAGAGTGGGGGGGAGGAGGTATGTGATGGGGGGGAGCATGTGAAGAAGGATGGGAAGAGGGAGAGGGAGAAGAAGCCTGATTTGGTATAGACTGGATGTGGTGAGTGGGACGTGAAGTCGAGGGAGCATATTCATTGACGGAAGGGGTACGATGGTCGAGATCTGGATGGAGGTGAGGGTGGTGAGGAGGTTGAGGGAGATGATGCTGTGAATGGGACGATGGTTGATTATAGGCCGGCTGAAAGGTGTTCGCTATCAGACTGGGATCTACCGCATACCTTGAGCGAGGAGGCATGACGGTATAGTAGAGGGGAGGGTGATTATAGTTGTGGTCGAGCAAGGGGACATGGAATGCTTTTGACACGTCGGCAAGGGGCGGGGCTTGACTGCCAATCTTACATGGGGGGGTCACTCAAGTTCATGCCGGTGACGCAACTACTAAGTATAGGCTACTCTACTCTATCACTGCCCATACTACTACTTGTAGACTCTGCCCCCTTGTATGCCCCTTGTTCCCACCATTATCCTCACTGCCCGTATCTGTCTTGTGCCCTATATCGGGCACTACAATCTGCCATCTCTCTCCCAGTGCTCATGAAATTCCTCAGCGCGTTCGATACCACCATCCCACCAAGTCGGACCATGACCGGCACTCCGGCGGAGGTTAGTCGCCACTTGCCATCCCAATGCAATCCATACTTATGACCAGACAATCCCTACAGCCTCTTTTGACGATGCTTCTCTCCTCAGCATGTCATCCTTGTCGATCCAGAACGCTGCCCCATCGCCCACTTCCTCCAAGGACGGCTACGAACATCTCTCGGCCCCATCGACAGCTTCCCACCCTTCCATTCCTCTAAACTCATCTCAACTTTCCTCGTACTCCTCCACAACAGACAGAAAGGCAAGACTCTTGTACTGCAAATCCCATGTATCGATCCATCCTACCTCACACCGCAACGATGACATATCTGGATACTTGGCCATTGTACAAACTGACTCCCCCGTCTCCGCCCCGCTCCCAGAGTCCACCGGCTCCCTAAAGCCGCCCAATGGGGCTATACTAATTTCCTGGGTCCCGAATGAACTGTTGGAGCAAATGAATGAACAAGATCGGGAGAGCTACAAGCGAGTGGACGAGAACTCGGGGAAGGGAACAAGCGAGAGAGAGGAGGACGGTGAGTTCCTCTCCCCCGGATGCAAGCTGAGCCTGTTAGGTTTTGTCTTTATTTCCTTGCCTCCTCCTAGAGGAGAGAAGTACGCATTCTCCATACCACTATCGGACGTTTATAGCATATTGGTCTACCCTGTGAGTCATCCCCATGTGGTGAGTCCTGACTGACGAACGAAGCCGAGTTTATCTCACTGGCATGGATCCGCCACTCTGAAGTCTGTCAACCTCTCCTGTAGTCTAAATCAAGCTGACCAGTAAAGTCTGATTGGCGGCGTATCTCTACCCACGCTATACTTTCATGACGACGAGTCCCCTCTCCTGCTGTCCCCACCTTCGCCGAACTCTCCCGACGGCCCGATCCCTCGGTCCCAATGGGGTTTCCCCCCATTCCTGGCCCTCCTCAAATCCAACGCCTCCCTGTTAAGGTCGCGTCTCATCGCCTCCGGTCAGTCGCGTGGAGCCGAGCTTTGGCTTGTAAATCCGACGAAATCGGATCGAGAAGTACACGAACACGCAGTAGAGGATCCAGTACCCCCGCGGTCGACAAGCAAGTCTTCGCACACAACGTCACCGCCTGACGTGCAGCAGGCGCCTTACCCTCCCAAACCGTTCTTTCCCAACTCGTCCGTTCTTAGCCAGAATACTCCCAAACAGACCCTTCTGACCGGCCTGTCCACCTTGACCAACCTGTCTCGAAAAACGGCTCAGCAGCTTCTATCCCACCCTCTTGCTCAACCCATGGTACCTCATCTGCCACCTATAGTGCAAAATTTTGTCAACGCCTCGGGAGAATGGGAACGCTCTGGTCGAAGCACTACGAAGACGGCAGGGGGCGGCGACGTGGCGAATGAGTTTGAGGCCGCTCGACTATACCTCGCTCGTTGGGCCCGCGTTGTGGCCGAGGAGGGGGAGCGTGCCAGGCGGAATGAAGTGACACGCCACGCAGACCTTGCTCAAAGTGTTCGAGTGGGGTCAGAGGATCTTGCCAGTTCGTTGGGTGTCTTCTCTCTCTTGACCAGTCCCAACTCCAAGCGCCCCATACCCCATCCTACTCGCATGCCACATCAACCTATTACGGCCAAGGAATGGGATCTCTTTGCTGCACAAGGCCGAGACGAGCTGTGGGTGAGACGAGAGATTTTCAGGCGAGGTCTTCCAAGTGCCTCTGAAGTCGGCAACGAGCACGTGAGGAGGGAAGGCTGGGAAGTTTTACTCGGCGTTGTGCCCTGGTCTGTAGGCGGGCTTGGAGGAGGAGAGGCCGGTCAACCAAAAAGACGGCAAGAGCGACACGAACTTTTGGAGAAAAAGAGGACCGAGTACGCCGTACTAAAAAAGCGGTGGCAGGAAGAGGCAGATGCGCGGAGAACCGACTCGTGGAAAGACGAGTGGCATCGGATAGACGTATGTGTACCCTGCCAGAGTAGAGAGCTTCGCTGATCATGAAATCTCCACCCGAAAATGTTCCTATTTTCTGTCATTTTCTCTCCTGAATTCGAAACGTTCCTGTCGCTAGGTCGATTGCCGAAGGACTGACAGGCAACAGGCAATCTACGCGGTTCCCGGATCGGCGGTCGTCCAGGGGGAGGGGGATCCTGGTACAGGAGATCCTCGCCTCTTCTGGGAAGACGACGCTGAGGAAACAGCTGGTGACCAGGCGGGTCAAGCCACGCTCAATCGTAAGCGACTGTTTTGACGTAGAGATAGCCCTGCTCAATAGTAGCCCATATCGCGGCACTGAGAACGATTTTGATGACGTATCATACCTATCGTCCTGAGCTGGGCTACGTACAAGGTAGGTCATGTTGATGTTCGCCCACTTTTCCATCGGCCTGCCTGATGACTTGCAGGCATGTCAGACTTGCTGAGTCCCACTTACGTCGTATTTGGAGCAAATGAAGCCGATGCCTTCTGGGGGTTAGTGGGGATCATGCAGATGCTGGTAAGTTTAGGTTTGCATAATGTTCATAAGCTGATCAGCAGGAGAGCAACTTTCTTCGTGATCAGAGTGGGATGAAGCACAAGCTTAGCACTTTGCAGCAGCTCATCAGAGTGATGGACCCGGAATTGTATACCCATTTGGGTGAGCCCCTCACGCCAATACTCCTGTCCTCGCCTTCATTTCTGTCCTTGAAGTATGGCTCATTGGTGTACCAAGAGAGGTCACATATGTTGACGATTGGAGAAGCAATTCTCTTTGTTGTATTTGCTGACTGGTCTTAGAACGGACCGACTCTCTCAATCTCTTCTTCTGCTTCCGATGGATACTTATCGCTTTCAAAAGGGAGTTCTCATTCGACGTGGTGATCAAGCTTTGGGATATCTTATGGACGAATTATTACTCGAATGACTTTGTTCTTTTCGTCGCATTGGCGATCCTGCAGAGTCACCGGGATGTCATCATCCGGTACTTGACAGAATTTGATGAAGTGTTGAAATATGCGAATGACCTCAGCGGTACAGTGAGTGTTCCATCACACGGCTCTGATTCCTGACTGCTCTTTCCCTCCCCAATTACCAACACCACATTTGGCGTTGCATGTGGTTCACTCGCTTTGTTCCGTAGTCGTCCAAATAATGTTCAAACCAGACTACAAGTGGGTTACTGACGATTTAGATCGATCTTGATACAACCCTTGCCCAAGCTGAAGTGCTCTTTCTCGCTTTTCGGGGTTTGGTCGAGGATACGGATCATGACAACGCATTGGATGAATTGGGTGAATCAACCCTACGGCGTCGCCGATTGAGCGCAGGGTCCGCCAGTTCGCTAGCGAGTCGGGGTACACCTGCGAGAACTATCATTTCGGATGATCTTAGGCAATGTCTTGTTGGGTGGAAGGACACGGGATCGGGGCTATCCGGTGAGATGAGTCCGCAAATGGTATCGCCAGGGGTCACTTCGCATCAAGCGACGACCAGAGAGGGTGTTTCTGAAAACGTCCGTGGGCTCTCCATCAGTTCGGTCCCCATAGGTTACGCCTGAGGTTGAGGGATGTTGGGTAATCGTAACGGGAGGTCGCGACGCTTAAGGGAAGTAGGGAAATGCGGCTGTTAACGTATATACACCGGGTGAGGTGAGATTTTTCAGTATCAAACAATCGAGTGATGTAGCTTTAAATATCTTGTCTGCTACCCGTTGTAAATTGCTCTGGATCATGGATTGTTGGTTATGCAACATTTTCCTCATACGTTTTGAGGGGTATCCATCATTTCTTTTTAATCAACATTAAAACCACAGGCCAAGCTACTTCTACACCGTTTTTTGCTTCTCCCTGCTGCCCTACAGAAGTTTTGAGATTTACCAGAAGTCTATCCACTAAATCCCCTTGTGCACCTTTTCCTCGAAATTGACGTTCTTCCGGATGTGCATCAAGGTACGAAGCGTATGAAGACCAACTACGAAGATATTCTTCCAAATTTTCCCAAGTAAAAGATTTCTGTAAAGCCCATGGACCTTTAGAACTTGATTTGAGTCTCAAAGCAGTTGAGGAATCCCAATCACTATCCCAATCACGATCACTATCTCTGATTTCCTCAGAGGGTGGAAGAGGTTCTTGTATGGTAGAATTAATCGGATGTCCACCGTTAAGTGAAGGAAGAGAATTAAGGTCTATTGATAAAGAAGTGGAAGAAGGGTAAATTGGGAAAGGGATAGAATCTAATAATCCTTCAACTATTGATCTACCTGGTTGAGACCAATATGGACCTAGAACGGAAGAAGAATGATGATGAATCATTTTGTTCAATTTAGGATATTGAGGGAAAGTCATTTCTGCGTAACCCTAATCTATCAACGTTCGAACTTATTTCAACCCTCTCAGAAACCCTGAAGAAGTACTCGGAAATCCTCAATGTGAAAAGATAGAAGATTTATTAATGTTTGATACAAGATGATGAGGATATGAATTGAAATGATACTCTACTACTCACGATGTAAGCTACTGTCCCTTTAGGTTTAACAACTCTTGATAATTCTTTCCAAACTTTTGAATGATCAAACCAATGTGCCGCTTGACCAGCTATCACCAAATCTACACCTTTTTCTAAACCTGGTGCGGTGGATATTGATTCAGCTGAAGAGACTTGGTAATTGATTTGAGTGAAGGATGGGGGAGGTTGTAATGCTGATGAAAGCATTTTGACAGATGTGTCGAGAGCGGTAACTTTAGGGAATCGTTGAGCTAGATTGAGAGCTATGAAACCTGTGAGAATGTCAGCTACTACTATTATTACTACTACTACTACTTCAAGCTCTCTTCAAATGATGATTCGAACACTTTATTTGTACTCGACATATCTTCCATCTTCAGAAGTCCGGATCGAGGGATGTGAGTGAATAGAAAGGGTGGAGGAAAGTTAGAATGAAAGACATACCAGGACCACAACCGAGATCGAGAGCATGATCGAATTTACCTCCATTCGATGAGTGGTAAGAGTATATCAAGTCGTATAGTTTTTGAGGGTATGTACTGTATTTCAACATCATTCTGCTCCGGTAGAACCTCTACGATACAACAGACGAAAATGACATACGGTCTGGCAGCAACATACGCAGCGACGTCAAAAGACGCCTTTGCGAATAATGTGGCCATTGTGATTTTACGTTGGTCCGGAATGACCTATGAGATGTCAATCACAATCTTAACTGACCAAGATCGCAGTGTGAGAGATACAGTAGTTGTAGAGCAGTAGTATCGAGTACATTACGAGATATGTGAAGGGTACAGTAAGTAAGCTTTTGTCAGAAATAGAGCAAGTACGTTCGGCTTTGATCGGTGTGAACGCCGAAAGTGGAGGTTTCGTCTACTTTCCTTCCTCTTTCACTACTTACTTCACTTCATCTACCCAGAGCTGTTCTACACCCTGCAACGAAACAATCACATATCCGTATAATGCCGAAAGATCCCACACGTCAACAATACTCTTCAGGTCTGACCTACGTCGCTCAAAAACCTTCTTTTCTACAAAACTTTGGAAAGGTTCCAACATCCCCCCCTCATCAAAATGGTCAGAGCAGTAATAACCGCGAACCTCTTCCCAGTAGACCACGAGAAGGACGTTGGGCCAAAGGTAGTGATAATGAAGAAGAAGATCCAGGTGAAGAAGATGAATGGGAAGAGTCATACGGTGGAGGGGAAGATGGACCTCAGGTGGTAGTACTTAAACAAGGTAGACATTTAAATGCCGATGAGCTTAAACGGGAGAGACAACGAGGTGAGTTCAAACTAGGTCCATATTCATTTCAAACTTCTTTTCCTGTATCCATCTACTTAGAATGCGACTCGGCAAGGTCATGGAGATTGAACATATGTTCGGTTACTGATTTCTAGCTTCTGGAAAAAATGAGGATTCACCACCACAGGAGACCATGATCAAATCGCAGACGGAAGAACATCCTCAAACAAGAATCCAAAAAGCTCGAGCGACCGTATCAACCTCGTCAAAACGGAAACTCGTCGGTGGTGAGATTCATGGAGAGGGGGAGAAGGATAAGGATGGAGATACAGTTAAAGGGAAAAGGAAAAAGAAGAAGGCGGATAAGGGTTTACTTAGTTTTGATGATGCTTAGGAATTCATGGTTTGATATCAACGACAAGTGAGTCGTGAGTCATGAGTCATTATTATCGCAGGATGGACGTAGCTGAGAGTCAGGTAAGCGTCGAATGATAATGGAGAGATTGTGGGTGTCATCATAGGAGTAAGATTATCCATCATTTGGATGTACTGTGCAAATGTAATTTTGTGATGCAACAAATGGTCTTGTCTATAAAGACGTTTCACACAAGTACTCGAGTACTCGTACTGGCATGCCACCTCGATGAGGTGTACAGGTCGTGATTCATACAACCCTCTGCTATTTTCATTGGCATTCGTCGAAGGATGCAAGTAACAAATATACATGACCCAACTTAAACTTCAATCTATAACATAACCCATTCCTGGTCCTTAGACCTTTCGCCCTCCATCCGGTAGCCCCTGGTTGAGCAAACATTCGTGACACACTGAAAGCAAGAACACTGCAAGAAGTGTTATCTAATCTAATCTGACCAGCTTGTATATGAAAAGCCACGTCAGTAGTGTAGACTTTCTTCCATCTCATGCTGTGATGTTACTCTGCATATACACTGTACATGTATCATTCTCGATTCTATCATGTCATCTCAACGTGCCAACTCCCTCATACCTTCCCTCCTTTCACAAGCTCGTCACGGCCGTCACCTTTTTAGAAGTTATTCTCGTCCATCGGTCAATCAAATCACATCAATTAATCCCCGTCGAAATAACTCCACTTCAACTGATATTTTACAAGAACCATTATCATATTGTAAGAATTTAGTACAACGACTTGATCCCGAAGCAGGGCTTTGTAGTTACTTTTGGCCTGAACAAGAAAGGAAGTGGTTCTTAGCAGGGCGAGCTTTTAATGGGAGCTCCCCCCCCCCCCCCTCCCCCTTCCTCCCCCATTAATCATCTACCACTTTCTACTGTATCATGAGAGACGACTCTTACGAATCTTTTCACACTGTATGTCATGGTATTCTAGCTTGACTATTATCTTCTAAGTAAAGAAGATGCGAGTTAAATAGGTTCAAAATTAGATAAAACAGTGTTAATTGACTTTTCAAGTTAGAACTTCATCTGATATCCACCACTTTGACTCAACCTGCTCTTGCAGCTATCCGATATCAATTCTGGAGAGACGCCTTAACTTCTGCATTCACCAAAACCGGTTCTGTAACTCAACATCCTGTAATCATCTTATTATCGGATATGGCCAAACATCGACCTGTTCAGAAATATCATCTCAGTCAAGGCACACGAAATGTCATCCGCGATTGGAGTCATCTCCACTTCGCTTCACTGGCGCTATATAAACAAACTACTTATGGTATGATCCATCTAGTCTGGAGATGGAAATTGGATTCGTTGAAATTTTGTTTATTATTAGGCTTCAAAAATTGCTAATCCACCTTCTTCTCTCACTTTCGAAACTCATTTAAACAACTATTCTCCACTTTCTTCTTCCTTACTATTAGGTCCTCTTCCAATTCTTGTCCCACCTTCGAGTCCAGAGTCAGCACATCTATCTCACACTTTATCTCATCTTTCACATCTTTCAACAGTCGTCACTCTACTACGATCGATACCTATCACTGTATCACATAAAAAGTTGAATATTCCCTCCGATGTATGTGCGAGACATGCGATTGTGGAGGAGGAAGTTTATCGTCGTGGAGGTGATGCTGGAGGTGTTCGGGATGCTTGTTGGGAAATAGGAACAAGGGGTATGGACGAATTGATTACTGCTCGAAGAGATCTCACGAGTACTAAAGGAAGAGTCAAGCCAGTATCAGCTATGCCTCTATTTTTACATGCGGTAAGTTCCCTCACTCATCCTTGTTGTTTGTTCAGCGGTCCACTTGTACATAATTCAGACCGCCCTCCCCTAGCCACAATCGCTGTCTCTAGCTGATACCACTACCAATCTCGAATTCTTCATTTTTGACAGCGATGAAGAGGCAATGCTGACATTCAGGTGTCTGCAGAAAGATATCTTCATAGATTGGAGAGTTACGACTTTAATGTTTTCCATCCAGATTTACAAAAGCACGATTGGAGATTAGCTCCACGGATCTGGTGGAAATATCAGACAAACACTTTATGAATTCCAGTCAATCGAGTAGTATCCCCATCACCTATTCGTATGCAAATTCAAGATCCTATCAACACAGAGAAAGCTCTGTCTACATGCAAAGTATAATCATGTTTCATACTAGGTCTACAAAAAAATGGTTATGTCACTCTAAACAAATCATACGAGCCATATTGGGACGAGTTATCCTAGGAGCTCATCTTGACTGGCGTAGCTGATATCTTCAGCGCATACAAATACGCCATCGAATCACCAACGCAATAACTACAATCACTTAAACCTTCTGCCAAGGAGGAGCTTGTCCTTGGATGGGACTGACAGGCGTGGCTAGACCTCCCACGTTCTCTACCTTTTTCATATCATATTTCTCTTCAACAAAAGACCCCATGTCAACTTCCATTCCCGATCCAACATACGAGCCAGCGTACATCATTGGCGAAGGGGCTGACAAAGCCACAAGGGGGGGTAATGGTGGTCTGAAGCTATACGCATTGACTTGTGCCATATTCAAGCCATCCGACCACCCAAACACGTCGGGTCTAGAGGGATATGCTTCACCCCGGGTCATCCATAAATCACGACGTACCCAATCGGCCATTTCAGCTTCTCCTCGTGTACTAGCTTGAGGATGTTCATCTTCCGATTCCAAATCCATCTGATCTAGATTCTCCTCTTGTTCTGGCAACTGATCGACGCCCGTCGCAGCAACTCCGCCGTTGGTATCGAATGGACGAGTAGGTGTATCCGGCGTAGGGTACGATTGAACTTTAGGAGCCTTAGGGTCATGGATACGTGGCCAGACGAGTCGAAGGCCTTCATCTTGATCAAGAGGGTTGTTCCGAATGTGTCGAACCGCTATAGGTCCATTGGGAGTTCCAGCCTAAAAAGTCAGCTCATATCTTACAGAAGATCCCTTGTACCAATGGAACGTAAGACACGGCGAGTGCAGAGGTGGTTTTCAGTCGATATGTGTCAATCGGAGGTGATGAAAGCTTGTCACAATGACTCTGTCAACAACGTACCATATCTTTGATGACTTTGACGAGCATATCGATGTCCGCACGTTGGTCTGTTTCAAGTAACACTTCCTCGCGCAGACCCATGAATCCTCGACCTGGCCGCTTACCTACCACTGGTAAGACCACACGATAGGAATTCTGGTTGAAGTCTCCTGGGCGTCAGCGGGCGAACGAACTAGTGATGGCGATGAAGATCCATGCCATCTTGACAAGGTACGCAAGGGGGGAGA